ACAACTGTAATTTTGTCCTTGTTTTATTAGCTGCAAGATCCACTGTGACATCTTACCCCATATAGTGAGACAACTTACCTGATGGTGGGGGAACATGTCACATGTTCACTCTCTCTATTTGATTGCTTACAACTCTGCACTAATGCAAGATATGAAAATGACATGAATACGAAATATATACCTGAGACTTTGGTCTTTCATCTGGTACACATTTTGTTTATATATGATGTATTGATTCAAAGAAATATATAAGAGTGTACAAAGTGTGACAACAAGCCCCGGTCTCCCCTACATTTTTAAAGGAGTGTCAAGCAAACAACATAATGGCAAATCAGACACATCACATCTGCACAAGACAATAGTGGTCTCTCTAAACAGCTTCCCACTGATACAGGAGGCTGGTGTGTGCCGGTGTTGTAACAGGACATGGAAGGGGAAACCTTAAGCACAAATTCAGGTAGTGAGTCCAAACAGTCCAGTCTTCTCACCATTTAAACAAACTGCTCCTGTTTTTTGTAATCTTACCAACAATCGATCTGTATTTAACTCTCCAACAGACTGCTCCACAATAGCCGGTAAAAAATATTTACAATGAGACAAACTTTAAATTTTAAAGCGCCACTTTCCATTCGTAATGACGCGTTTCACTTTTCTAATTTTTATGTGTGTGACTGTTTTTTTGTGAGTTCCAGTTCCTGTGGAGGAGAGTGTTTAATACGCCTGGTAATGCACGCCCGGCTCGCTCTAAATGACCCTGTACGTCTGTGAGACAGTGGGCTGGTCCAAATTCAACAAATCTGAAAACAATGGTGGAACCCGAGTCCAGCTGGGCTACAAGAACTCTGCCCTCACAAACACAATGCTGTGGCCTATGACCAGATATGACACATGTTTGAGGAACCTGGTGTGGTGTAACTCTGATGTGATGTAATGTGAATATGAGTCTGTGTAGGTGTGTGAGCACAGAAAAACAAACTTTGAATCCAACCTGACTTGCTGGCGTACATTTCTGTCTCAGATCACAAGGTCAAACTCTTTGAAACGAGCTTTTATCAACTTTCATCACAAGTTTCCGTTGCTGATACTGAAGCGAGTGGCTGCAGTGTCACAGATGTTTACTCTGTGATTTTTGGATGCCTTGGTTAATGGTTTAAAACTTTCTCACCAAAGCAGGAAAGAAACAATTTGTCGGTTCTCAGAGGAAATGAGAAACCACCGGAGACGAATGAGAGAGAGAGAAGGGTGCATAAAACAAAGCTGCTGCTAAATTGTTTGTATCTTGAGGTTTAATAGCGCCATTCAAAACAAAAGAAGTAGCTGTGAACAGATGACTCATGAAAAAAAAGGAGAAACAAAGAGGAGAAATAAAGGCGTTGTTGCTGAGGCAGTGGGTCACCAGAACACAAAGAGATTGATGGGACTCACACATATGTGCACAAATATGTATAGACTTATGTCTGCGCACTGAACAAACAAGAGTTTAGAAACAAGTGTCCCTCTGTCTTTAAGCATAAGCCTGATGCCATTGAGGTCTTAGTGTTGTGCTATGTCATGGGACTCAGCACTGCCCCCAAGGTCATGTGGTATCTGTGAGGGGCATCGCTGATACCATCTCTTTAAACCCCGCTGTCAATGCCTCCTGTCTGTCTATGTGAACCTATGAATGACACAGACAATTCGTGTGAAGTTCAAGAGATTAAAATGAAGAGCAAGAGAAAAGACGAGGAGCCATCAAAAAGATTAAAAAAGGTTTGCACACATATTTATCATCTGTTACTATTCATTCATCTTGGCTGTGCTGAAATTTACCTGAGAGTTACAAAACCATAAACCTTTGATCGCTAACGCATGGTATAAAATGCATGGTTTATAATGAGCTGCTTATACATAAAAATATGAATATCCATCTTCTGTTTGACCGAGCAGCTTTGAATATACAGCAGAACCAAGTTAACTGTCTTTTGGTGTGAAATAATAGAGCTGATACACTTTTATCACCACCTTAACCACCAAATCAGAAACCCCTGACTTTGCTAAAATACTTCACAAACCACACTTATGTATTCCTGACAGAGTGAACACTTGTGTGATGTGGGATCAAGACTGATCACACACTCAGGATGAAAGGCGAGGAAATTACTCTGACGTCTGTAATCACAGTTTTACCATCACATGTTTAAAACCAACATTTTTTTTCTCTCTTTATAAGGCTCAACACCCTCACTGGTCTGTCTTTCTTTGTTTCAGTGAATAGGTCCTCTCCTGAGTAAATGATGCCCCTGTCAGCTTTAGGAGATTATACAAATCAAGTAGAGAGGATGTAATGCAGGGAGACTGACTGCTTTTTATGACCTCAGCATTTTTAGTGTACAGCAAAATCCTCAGGCCCTCCACCCAGTTAAAAAAGGGGGAGCTGAATTGTTCATTTCAAGGATACACAGCTGAACTTAAAGAAATGGTTCCACATTACTCCTTATTTTTGCTCTTGGTATTTCGCTATTACATCTGTAAAATCCAGCCTTGTGCATTTTTGTTTGTATGAGCAGGAAACATATGAAAATAAAATAAAAAATAAAAAGTTGAAAAAAAAAACCCAAAAGGTTTCAAACTGGAAGAGGTAAAACGTTTGCGCCCAGTTTCTGTACACTGGAATTTTGCTCAATATCCCTCACATACTGTCTCTGTTTCGGCCTCCACCAGTCCAACAGAGGTTTCAAAACCTTGGCTTTGTTCAGAGCTGGTCACCAGTTTCATGTGTCAGTAATTTTCTCAAATTTATCTAATTTTGCATTCCCTGTTAAGATTGAGATTGTTTATTCAATCAATATAGTACAATTTTTGATAAGGAATTCCCTATTTTATTGGAGATTAAAAAGGAGTAGATTGAAGCTATTAAGCTTATATGTACCTACTCTCATTCCTTCCTGTTTGTTGACCCTTTACATGTCTTTAGATGGTTTGAATCACTTGCTTCAGTTGTCAAAAAGCCATTTATGCACACACTGGAAGAGGTTCCCAAACTTCGCCATGCCAGGGACCCCTCCATTAAGCCCCTTGCAGAAACCATCTCTTGCAAAATGTCTGGTTTCCTCACTTATGATGACAAATGTCAAAAATTAACCACTAAATTTAAAATTCTCAATATATTTTATTATCTTAATAAACAATTGATAGTCTTGCTATTGATTCATTTTGTTGTAAAGCTCCTGTGAGGGTTTTTTTTGACATTGATGTAGTAGACTGATGTTTAATGATATGTTATATGTATGTGTAATCCTTCCAGCGAGCTCTGGGCCTACCTCAAGGGCTCCTCCCCACTGGCCGCACCCAGATCATCTCCACAGGGAGGCGCAGAGAAGGCATCCTTGTCATATGCCCAAACCACCTCAGCTGACTCCTTCTGATCTGAAGATGCAGGAGGTCCACTCTGAGCTCCCTCTGGTTATTTGGTTAATACAATCAAAGCATCCTTTCTCTGTTGTTAACAGTCAGCGTCAGCTCTTCCTGATCTCCCAGATCTTTGATCTCCAATTTTCCCTTTAAGTCACAATGGTGCCCAGTTAAAAACAACTGCCTCAGATCTCTAATTAATCAAGTTTTCTTCTTTAGTTTACCAACTTTACGACCGCAGATAGCAATACAGAGAGCCATGCGCTCAACCAAACAGCCACTCTACATATAGGGTTTAAGACATAGTACTAGCCACCAAACATCTTTTAACTTTGCCTAATTTCTTTAGCAAAGAGACCAAACACAACTCACCTACTCTCTTCCAGCAGCCACTTGTACAGAGACCTGCGGGCGAGTCCATCACCGACTGCAGCGGGGGAACGCTGCTCAAGGAAGAACATTCATGACCATTTCCTCATGAAAATGCAATCAGACCGAGACGCTAAGGCAGAAGAACTACCGCGTCTGCAAATGATTAATATGATGATTATTTCTTCAAGGAAATGATAAAGAAATGATCATAAATGTTCTTCCTTGAGCTGTGTCACCCTGCTGAAGTCGATGGACTCCCCAGAGGTCTCCGTACAAACAAGCGGCTGCTGGAAGAGAGTGGGTGAGTTGTGTTTAGTCTTTAAGGATTAATTACTCTTTTTTAGAGCTAATTAAATAAACAGTAAGATGAACACTGGAGTCTGCTTGTTCTCTTTTGACGCATTTCTGGTCTCCAAATATACCTTAATTTGGTTCCAGTTTCTTGCTAACCTGTTCTTTGTAGCTGCCAACGCCCTCCTGTGTCGCAGTACCAGTGATTGAAGATGAACTGAGACAGACAGACAGTGGTTTGCAGCAAAGACCACTGCGTTTGACCAAATTCATCACAAACAGCAGAGCAGCCTCCTGAAAGTCTGGTTTAAAAAGTGAACGTGTTGCCTATTGTACGTCAAAAATCAGAAAACATACCCCAGAAGAGATTTTCTCCAGGGAGCGGTGGAAGATGTTTACTGAGTGAGAGGCCAAATCAAACCAACCTCCTGCCAGCATGTGTCACAGTCACATAATGTGCATATTGTTTCATGAAATTCATGTAGAAAATCAAATCAGATTGATAAGGCCCGTACCAAAGTAAGATTTCGGTTACTTCCTGTGTTTCAAAGGCCCTGCGTGCAGAAAGCGCGTGGCACCATCCCGCCAGGAAGATCGACGCACGATATGTTTGTTAGCGTGTTAGCATTCTGATTAATGGCCAGTTGGTGCCCTGCTTCAGAGGTCTAATCTGGCCTCATGCCTCACTGCACGTGCTCAATAGAGTCCGCACCCTGCATCATGACATCATGTCTTTGTGTGAAATCCCGGTGCCATTCACGGGCCCACCGTAGGGCTTAGTGTGCAAGCGTCCACTATACCAACACACAGGTCTTTAAAGGGAGTCCTCTGGTCCCCCAGCTCAGTGGATACACCCTGATGCCTCCAAAGAGCTCTGAATATGGCTTCTATCCTCCAACAAAATGGGATGAGCCCATGTGCCGTCCAGGGCCCAGAGGAGAGTGAGTGTTTGGGAATTTTGTTGGAGACACTGTGCTCCTGTACTTTCAGTTTGGAGACTTGCTCACGCTAACATTCAGATCTTCTTGGATGGGAAGTTTGATAAAAGATTCAGACAGTGCTTCATGCAGCTTTTTGCTCTTAGATTACATCATCCGTTTGCTAAAAGCAGAGGGATCAGCGAAGCTCCATGTGGAGGCCAAATCTGCCACAAACCAACAGATCACAGAGCAGACATCAGGAGGTGGGCGTTCGAGTTCACCAGCCTGGTGATGTCACTGAAAACAGATAACGCCATTGGCTGGGAAACAGCGAGGATTGGCTGTCATAAGATGGGCAGATACATTCACAAAAGGAGCTTCTGTCGATTGATAGTTATGATTTTGACCACAATTACACACGGCCTGTTGCACGAGGTCAATTTTATTTTCCATCTGAGAAATAAATTTAAACTTATGAAAAAACACACAACAGAAGATGTTGTTTTCTTTCTTTTCCAAAGTTTAGTTTCAATGTGAAGATGTTAACCTGAGATGTTGTTTTGGTCAACATTATTAAATAAAATCAGTGAGTTTCTGATACTTCTAGCCCATGACTATAGGAGGTAAAGAAGTTTCAGACTTCACAGAAAAGGTAATTGTTTAAACTCTACTGGGTCTCAGGACTATCTCACAATGGTGAAACCTGGAAATTAGATTGTGCAAAGGGAAATGAGTTGTGTAATTGTAAGCAGACTGTCTGTTTCAGGCTGCTGTGTATTTATTTGGTTCCTTCCTTTAATTTGGTGCATCAGTGGTTCACTGGCAGAACAAGTTTCAACAGTTTAGATAACACTCAAACAAAAGCTCTCTTCAAATAAACTCCCTCGAGTTCAAGTTTGGTGTGAAATAAATGTATCAAATGTTGGCACCAAGAAAAAGTATTGCTGATATCAATCTGGACTTGGCTTTTCATGTGAGTTTCTGGATTACAACACAATGTATAGAGTTATGATGTATAGAACAACAACATCCTGTTCCCCCTTCTGTTGAAATGCTGATAGAGAATATAAAAACACTTCTGTTAAATGTTAATCAAGCCATAATTTTCATGAGTGACCATTGTCGGCATTGAATAAAAAATGATAACAGGCAGAAGTTGACCTATTTCCCTGATTCAACAGAAAAGCCTCTACAAGCAGTATTTAAATGGTGTCTAACTAATCAATGAATATCAAGACTTTTAAGATGATTGACAAGGCCGTGATTCTGTCCAAGCTGGGGAAAAACTGAGATTTAGATGTTTAAACTGCAAAATCTATAAAAGGGATCATATTTATTAAGATATCGACAATTTATGTTATCATGTATTTTGATTTTTTAAACAGTTATAAAGCAGCATTTAATGTTTCATCATGAAAAATAGATAGATAGATAGATAGATAGATAGACTGTTATTGTCCCCCTTTAATAATGTTACTCTGATTGTTTTGGGACTCTTAAACTCCATAGTTCAAATGCCTGGACTGCATTTTGTTAATAATTACAGAAGACAAATTATAATGTGCCAAATTGACATGACATCTTAAATGAAATAAAATCCCAAAGATGCTCCAAGTGAGAGTAGGAGGTGTTTTCTTCCAAGACTGACTTAATTATAAGTCTTTCCTCAGTCTTAGATGGACAAAAGCAGTCGTGATTGTATTTGTGCAAACCTCGAGATCATTTCATAATGAGATTTTGAGATACTAAGACAGTAATAACATGCATCCATGAGCTCTGCAGCAGCTTTCATCTGTTCAAACATCTCTGGAACAACTCACACATCAAAGATCGACGCTTATTGTTTTTCTTCCCTGAGACGGGAAAGTTTGACTAACCAACCTGATAGAGACATTTTGGCTTGTCCTTTCGCTCAATGGCTCACATTCTTCACATTCCAGCTTAGTGACACGGATATGATGATACACACATACACACACTCGCACACACACACACACACTCACAAATGTACAGGGTTAAATTCAGCCATCTACTTAAACTCAACTGACTGCAAAACTGAAATGTTTATAGGATGCCTCAGTATTAATAGAAATGTACATTTTTGAACTATAAAGGAGCTCAGTGACCATAAAACACCAAAGTATCACTCATCTTTAGCTGGACTGAAGAGCTGTTCTGCTCTGATTTAGCCTTTAAAATTTCAGAGTCAAGAATATTCAAGAGGGAAACTGAATGTGTGATTACTCTGATCATGCTGTGACACGTGTTTGCTTTCCTTCACATACTACAGGGATGTAAATCCAAAAATTTTGAGTGTTGAAGTGAATAAATATTGAAAAGAGGCTGAGTTGTCTGGAAAAAGAGACTGTTTAGAAATAAGGATTGAAATTTTATTTTATATGCATATTTATTTTGGGGGAAAGTAATCTGGAAATATGTATAGTATGTGAAATAATGCCAAAATTAGAATATTTCCTTGTTAAATGTATGCTTGACTTAAATCAACACTTGTAGGGCTGATGCAGAATGGCCAAAAAGTGCTTGTATGACACAGTGATCAAAGTTAGCTGGTTCAGCGATTAAATAAAACAGGAAAAAACTGTTGACTACCTCCCCAAAACCAACAAAATTCACTAAATCCAGACTCAAATGTAGGAGAAATTATATTTACATGCAGCAGAAATGAACCCACAGCAATTATGTCCAGTGTTAATACACGAGCACACGAGCTCTCCCTCGTCACTGACCTGCCTCTCTGCTCCTATGTTGGGCATGGCTAGAGGCCGCAGACACATCATCAGCTGCTGTAGTTTCATCTACTGTATCAGTGCTTCTACATACAGCACATATGTGTGAGGAAGTGAGATGCAGGGAGCTGGAGTGCTCTGCCGTGGACTCGGTGCCCCGGCAGTACAGTGTCCATGTTGGTGTGGGAGCCTGAGGCCTGCTCCCATACATCCCCGCTCTGGCCCTGTTGATCCTATTGTCTCCTGCGTCACTACACGTCGCCCGGCAAATAAAGGCCGTCTGGCTCCAAGCTTAAATATTGCAGCAAACTAAAAACCAACCATCAGAGCCGATTCATTCACATCTGCTCAGTGGGGCGACAAGGACGGGGCTTTAGGTGGGAAAGAGGGCAGAAAAAAGTTCACTTTTCCCTGCCGGGTGCCAAGAGAACGGGACAGGACTCAACTTCACCGGAGCCGCAGCTGTGGCAAGTTGCCCATTTGATTACTTTTAACTGAAATCATATTTTGCAAATAAGGAGACGGATTTTTAGATTTTAACCTTTTTTTATTGGTTTGTGTGCAAACGTTTTTTTTTTTATATGGAGCTAGAGCAGGAGATTTCTGGTTTAAATCAAAGTTTATGAGCACACAGAGCTACTGTGGTCTTAGTGCAAAGTCAAATCAGTACTTTAGTTTGCATTTTGATCAGGAATTTAATTTTATATCTTCGTTTTCGTTGTGAGTAAAACCAGTGGGCTCAAACACGTCTCATTAGAAGTTTTAAAATCTCACAGTTTCTGCTTTTAGTAAAACATGACAGCATGAAATGATGGTTTAGGTTTTCTTTTTTTTAAACAAGTTTGTAAGTTTTCCTCTTTTACATTTCTTACTTTCCCCTCTGCTCCCCTCCCCTCGTCTGCCCTGCCTACCCCACCCTTATCTTCTGCACCCTCTGCGTCCCTTCCTACCCCACCCTTCTTTATTGCAGTGCTACGGACCGATCATGGGTGACTGGAGCTTTCTGGGTAATATTTTAGAGGAAGTTAACGAGCACTCTACGGTGATCGGCCGGGTGTGGCTCACGGTGCTCTTCATCTTCCGTATCCTCATCCTGGGCACTGCGGCGGAGTTCGTTTGGGGCGATGAGCAGTCCGACTATGTCTGCAACACCCAACAGCCCGGTTGTGAGAATGTGTGCTACGACGAGGCCTTCCCCATCTCCCACATTCGCCTTTGGGTGCTGCAGATCATCTTCGTGTCCACGCCATCTCTGGTATACGTGGGCCATGCTGTGCACCACGTCCACATGGAGGAAAAACGCAAGGAGCGTGAGGAGGCAGAACTGAGCCGGCAGCAGGAGCTGAGTGAGGAGCGACTCCCTCTGGCACCAGACCAGGGAAGCGTCCGCACCACAAAGGAGACCAGCACAAAGGGCAGCAAGAAGTTCAGACTAGAGGGCACCCTCCTGAGGACCTACATCTGCCACATCATCTTCAAGACACTTTTCGAGGTGGGCTTTGTGGTGGGCCAGTACTTCCTGTATGGCTTCCGTATCCTGCCGCTGTACAAGTGCAGCCGCTGGCCCTGCCCCAACACTGTGGACTGTTTTGTGTCTCGCCCCACGGAAAAGACTGTCTTCATCATCTTCATGTTAGCTGTGGCCTGTGTCTCACTCTTCCTCAACTTTGTGGAGATCAGCCACCTGGGCCTGAAGAAGATTCGCTTTGTCTTTCGCAAGCCGGCCCCGGCCCCAGCCCAAGGCGAGGGCTCAGCTCCTCTGCCGCTACAAGGGAAGGGCCTGCCCCCCCTGGCTGTGCCCTCCCTGCAGAGAGCGAAAGGTTACCGGCTGCTGGAGGAGGAGAAGGCTCCCCCCATAACTCACCTCTACCCACTGACTGAGGTTGGCATGGAGGCCGGTAGAGGTACCCCACCTTTCCAGGGGCTGGAGGAGAAGGCGGAAGAGGTGCTCCCCATGGAGGGCATCCCTAAGGTGTATGATGAGGCTCTGCCCTCCTACACCCAGACCACTGAGACAGGGGGGGTGACATTACACAAGGAGGAGACCAAGCAGGTGCAGCAGCCAGCTGAGGCAGAAGCAGAGAAAGTGGAGGAGGTTGTGGATGAGGATGTGGAGGTAGAGGAGGCTGTGATCGGGGAGGGCGTAACTGCAGCAGACGCAGGGATGGAGGCCACGGATACGATAGAAGACACCAGACCGCTGAGCCGATTGAGCAAGGCCAGCAGTAGGGCCAGGTCAGACGATCTCACCGTATGAACCTGTGAGGAGAAGCACACAAACACCTGCAGTCAGCTATTGTTAGACAAAAGAGAGAGAGAGCACACACACACACACACACACACACACACACACACACACACACACACACACACACACACACACACACACACACACACACACACACACACACACACACACAAACACACATATTTCAAGACAATGCACACTCTTGAACAGGCAGGTCAGAAAATCAAAGTAAGCAGGGAGAGATTAAACACTTGAGAACACAGGCCACAACTCAAATTGACTTCTTACTCAAAACTGTGTGTTTGTGATAAAAAATAAAAATATGAAAAGTAGAGGTTAAAGACAGGAGGAGTAGGTTTTTTATTAAGAGTGTTCTTATATTTAAAAAATGTGGAAGGGACACATGCAGGGGGAAATGTTTTTACTTGATGAAAATCAATGTTCAATTTTTAGAAACATCTTTTTCTATTGAAAGAGTTTTAATCATTATACACTGGAGGGTTAGACATTTTTACGTGGGGTTTGAGTAGATAGGGAAAGAGAGTTAGGGTATACTTGTGTGTCTGCACATCAGTCATTTCACTGTAGTTAGGCACTGACTTTCACTCCCTGATGAACAGCGACATATTGCATTTGCAGCATGTAGCCGCACATAGCAAGGCTGAGAGGGCTCTTGCACAAACACACACACACACACACACACGAAACGTAAAATCAAGTGCCGCTACATTTAAAGGTAAAGAGCTCTTTGAAAGGGAGGAATAAAGCCCAGTTTCATGTTGAGACGAGCGTATCTTTATTTTTTTGCACATTCAGAGATTTAGACCCGTGCAATGCCTTAAACCCCACTAACACCTCATCCACGCATCCATTTAGCCAAGATTCGTTTGCATTGAGAGATGTGCATCAATATCAGAGCATTTCTCTCCTTTTCATGTTTGTACCATGTAGCACAGCCAGAGCTGAGACAGTGAGGAAAAACAGACAAAAAAAAAGAAAAAAAAGACCACATGTTGAATGTCTTTTTCAATGTGATTCTTCTTTTCTTCATTTTAGATTTGCTTGTGTTTTGTGGCCTCTAAGTGAAATTGTGTAGTCTGACATAAGTTGTCCATGGAAGAGAGCAGGGCTCATTTGGCCCTACTGGAGAATGAGCTATAGTAGCGACCTCAGGCCAAATCCTCTCTTTTCGTGCTGTACAAACATGCGTCCGGGCGATAAAGATCGTGCACCATCAGCACAAGTATTGTTGGAGGCGAGACAATAAAAGAAACCACACTCATCAATGAAAACAAGCATCCTTGACCTGGCTGCGAAAAAATCTTTCAACTTGAATTTGTGAGAGCATAGTGGTTCCTCAACGGGCAACAAAACACAATGCTCATGACAGCCTTTGAATTCAGAGTGAAACAAACAAAAAGGGGCAGTTCCTGTTGTATATAATGCCCCGAATCATGTCTGATAGTGTACATAATGTGCAGTTTTTGGTTATTTCATTGTCTGCAAGAATCACACACATTATTGTTGTGATTAACTATTGGTTCAACTCACAAGCCCGACAGAAAAAAACAAAAAACAAAAAAAAACTAATGACGCTTTCAGTCAGAGAACTTCAACATTTCCTTTCAGAACTTTTGCAGCTACTCTAACACAAAGTGCTTCTTGTCTTAAATCATGCCTTAGATTTACCAGCAACCTTCTTCTCACCTTCTCCGGCTTTGTCGATTCAAATGACTGTGTGAATTTCTGTGCCTTATCTGTAAATGTAAATTCTCAAGATTGTTTCAAGATTGTAGCAAATGCTTGTATTTCTCTGGGACCTGCATGAACTTGATCTTCAATTAACACTTAAAAAAAAAAAAAAAAAAAAAAAAAAAATCAGAGTCTCATTTATATGTGTGACCTTTAACAAACACTCATTCAACATGTTTTGGCCAAAAGGTAATAAATAAAACTTTATTCTTCAAGTGTAATCATGATGTTTGAATATTAAACAGATCAGGATGTTAAGTTGCATGTTTGCAGACATGAACTCACCCACATAGTGCAGAGCATAAGCATATATATGAGCCTATATGTGCACAGAGAAATGCACAATCTTCATGCAATGTTGGTTTCGGGGGTATGATCAAACGGCTCTGGAGAAACTCTGAGAGAGAAGGCAGCTTTGACCCCTTTGTGACCCCAAGCCATCCCTCAATCCCTCAATAATCCGGTGCTGTGAAATCTGAATCAAAGAAAGCCTTCAACAAAATTCCAAATTGTGGAGCACATTTCAAGCTTGTAACCATGTCACAATCAAAACTCAAAGCTGGTCCTTGTGTAAATGGATAATGTATGATTTTTTTTTGTTTGTAATTTAAGACTGTTGCATTCCCTGTATGTTCATAAGAAGACTTGATTAATTTTGGGGAAGAAATAATTCTTTTTACTAACTTGTAGTCTTCTTTAATGATAGATGTGTGGCAGTATCTTTTTTTGAAATGTGAACCAACGCAATAAAAAGTCACACGTGGTCAAGAAGTGTTGTGTCAGTGTTTCTCTGCAAAGTTTGCATACCCACACAGACACCCACTCACAAAGTGGTAAGAAGTGAAACAGTAGTCGAGGTTTTTACTACCCCATAAACTTCACTGGAGACGTAAACTGTTCTTTGATACACAAACATGGTTGTGTTTAATTCTCACTATACTACTTTCTTTTACAGGCACCCTGACAGGAAGTTTATCACCATAACTCATTATTTATCTGACTCAGTGAAACTTTTTATTTTTAGAAGCACGGGGGGTGAAACAGGAACTAAATGCCCAGGGTCTCAATAGAGAGACGGGGGCCTTAACTCTAGAATAAAAACCCAGTTTTTTAAATCATTTTCAACAGCCAAGAAAAATGGTCTGAGTAAAGGATATTATAACGCTATAACTCAGAGAACCTGGCAATAATCTGTCTTGGATCAAACTGGTATTATGTTATCTTTCACAGGAATATCTGAATTAAAAAACATTTGCTTCTGCTGCAGAAAAAGCCTGGACAAAACTAATCTGGCATGGTGGCACCTTAGTGTGGAGGTCTGGAAACACATACTGTAGGTCATGAGTTGTAGTCCCAGCAGTGACCTAGTCATGTGAAGCTGGATCCTGACCTGGTTCCCACCACTGGAGTCAGGACCATGCCATTGATTATTCACAGAGCAAGAACGAGGAGAAAAAACCTGAAAAAGTGACCTCTACAAAGTGGAAGTATACTGATGCCTCTGATGTTCTGGGTTTGAATCCAAACCCAAAACCTGCCATGCTTTCCCCAGCTTTTGAAAAACCATGATTAAATGGTAAAATAAAAACAACTAAAAAGCAAGCACAGCCTGGCAGGGCCTTGGTGTGCTGGATGAGGCTCATTTCAGTCAAATGGTCTTAAATCTAGTGCAAGGAGAGACTGAAGTTGAGGCAGACATAGTGCAAAGTCAAAGCATGGAAAATACAGGGTTGAAACAGGGGGAAATAAGTGGTCTTAAGCAGAGTTAGAGGAAAAGAAAGAAGGTAAGGAAGGAAAAGAAGAAAGAAAAAGGTGAAAGAGGGAGAAAAAAATAAATTGTCCACCAGGGTTGCTCAATTATTACAAAAATTGAAGTCATGATTGTTTTGACTCATATTTCTAGCATGATTGTTAAAGAAGGATTACCCATGATTTGATATTTCATCACACTTACAGTTTTTATGCAACTTAACCCTTTTAAAAAGCACAATATCAATATTTCAATTTTAACATGCTGTCTCCTTGGTAGTTGTTGACCCCAAATTTCCAGGGTGTTACACAACGCTCTTTTAAAACTTTAAGTGAGACATATTGAACTATAACTATAAACATATTGAATGTGTGTTTAAAATAGTGAGCTGTCGTGGTGGGGCCCACTGCTACATACTTTTATAGGACCCAGGATTTCTGGTGACACCCCTGTTTAAGAGTCTAGAAAAAATAGAAGTCTCATCTTATAAAGTCTTATCTTGTAGTTTTCTGATGTGACTGTCTCAAGAGAGTTTTTAATACGACCATAATGAATAAACTCCATTAGAAGTGCAAACAAAACTTTACTGAGAAATACTCACAGAAGTACACCAGGGTAATAACACTTAGTATGCATGAATTACTTTGATTGTAGGACTGTAATCAATGCAGCTGTGTGTTTGCATTAATAAACAGGATTCATTCAGTTTGTATTGACTGCTTCCTGAAAAAAAAAAAAAAAGATCATGTGTTTGTATCAAATGACCACCAGAGTGCAGTATTGTAAAAGTTATTCATTTCATTACCAGTCTCTCCCCCCAGAGTCAGGAAACAAAGAGCTATGTTTGAGAAAGTTTCAAGTTTAGACCATGAAAGGAAAGTAAAAAGCTTTTAAATATTTAGATAGAGAGTTTAGTTTAGTTTTATTTTGGATCCCCATTATCGGACACAGAATGCCAGCTAATTTTCCTGGGGTCCATGAAAATAGATTGATTGGCTCCTGAGCATTTATTTGTTTTAAGTAGATTAGGTGTTTGTCTAATACTATGGAGATAATTTCAACATCAGAGAATTTAAAAAAAAACTAAGAAAAGGTTATGAATCAAAGACTCAATGAAAAACCTTTGTGTTTTGTCAGGTGCTGTGAGATGGAGGCTGTGGACCTTATGTGAGCCTTTAACAACTTACATTTTTTCCCCAGTTGGAAAGGAAACTCACACCTAGCTTTTTTGACCACATTTCCTTTTCTGTCATGGCAACGTAAACACCCCTCTGTAGTTTAGCTCCAAGCAGCACCAAATGTTTAACAAACATCTACTCCCATAGAGGAGTGCTCAGTGAATAAGAGGAGGTCAAATAAGGTAAAGTTAAAACTCTTATCTGTGATATGTGGCTATTTTTACGCAGACACCTCATGACAACAAACAGAAAACCTACATGTATTATGAAGTTGAAGGATTGTAGCACCCACACTTTGGATCAAAAGCTTACAAGAGCATTACATTGTCAGCTATTTTCTAGAATAAACAGAGCAAAGGCACACCAGAGAGGATTAATCATATACCTAGTTAAATTCCAGGGTCCTTTTCCTCTCCAAAACTCACAATGTTCTGTTTGGAGAGAGGGCCATGTACGGACAAAACTTTCATGAGCCTCAAACTTTTACTAAGCAGTCAGAGTCCTATAAGGAAATAAAAAAAATTCTGACAGACTGAAATGATCTTGTAAATCAACTTTTCCTTATTTATTAGATAAGTTTTTTAAAAATTACATGCAATAATAAAATAACACCAGAAACTGTTTGTTATGTCTGTATTACGGGTGTTCCTGGCAGTTCTTTTGGTCAGGGCTGGAAACCGTTAGCTATCTGGCATTACTGTAACACAGCTGTTTGTCCAGATAGTCTCCCCTCTGCCGGCCTCCTCTGTGTTTTCATTCTGGTGTTATCATATTCTCCAGAAGCAAAGCTGTGGTGGTTCAGAGTCCACTCACTCAGAAGCTTCTTGATGAAGCATTTTAAAGCACTTGATACTCCTGCTAATGCATCTGTGACTGTCAGCTGTGTGTGTGTGAGTGAACAAGAAGCTTCACAATGCTGCATATGTGCCTGTTGGTGCCTGTTGCTGCACTTATGATGTGATTTAAATGATCTGCATTCAGGCAAGTAGTTGTAATGTCCTATTCTAGGTAACATATAAACCAATAAGGACTGGATTTAGGGTTCAGTGTGGCATCTGCATATGCACTTTGCTCTTTGAATCCTTTTTGTTGAGATCTTTGCCAGACATTATACTTCAGTATGTTGAAGTTAATCTGCTTCAGGAGCAAAGCAAAACTGATGGTCTGTTTCAGTCAGTAGGGCAGTTTCAGACTGATAGTCGTTTAATTTGGAAGAGAAATTAATCCACAGCTACATAATCTAGGTATCCCTTAGGAAAAGAGGTTCATTCAAGTGTACAATGAGCATACTTATTTTATACTAAAACTGTGGAAGCATGCTTGAAGTTGACTTTTTATAAACTATATTTTCCTTACTTAAGAAGAGTACAGCGAAGTATACTTAGCTTATACTGAAACGTGTGAACAAAGGTCTAAGACTAAGTACACTTATACTTTAATACTGAAACTTATACTTGTACTTTAGTATACGTTTTATTTCTTTCTGTTTTCATTTTATTATCAATATAATAAAATGCTGAAGTTTACACACTTACAGTAAATAGTATGTGAATTCAACTGCATTATCTTTATGAGCCTTAAAATCATACATAAGGACAGAGAAACATTTGACTTGACTTTTTGATCAATACATTTAACCTATACTTACACATAAAATTTTAATCAAGATATACTTAAGTATGCATTCGTGCCTTGGGTCTAAGTATACTTGGCCAGTGAATACTTCCAAATATCTTTTCTAAGAGTATACTCTAAGAGTACACTCTTAGAAAGATAAGCAATGCAAGCCAAGGATACAAATACATCCAACTATTGAAATTATAGCATACCAAAAGGTAATTTTAATTATGCTTCAGAGTCAGTGTACAGATAGCTGAGTGGGCTAAAGTGCATCCAATGTTGCAATGTTATTTTTGAGTGTACTTTTATAAACTTAAAATGAACTTATGAAGTATACTTAGGTATACTTTTACGAACTTAAAACGAACTAATAGAGTATACTTAAAGTATACTTTGTAGTACACTAAAAGTACATGGTCGGTTGTATACTTGGTATACTTATACTCAAGCATACTTAATAAAATGAACTTTAAGTATATTACTTTTAGCTGAGGGAAATCAGCCGGACTGCAAGAAGTTCTACTTAGTATTGGATTTAGAAGTCCAGTTTTCATGGACTCAGGGAATAAAACTTTTTCTATAGGCATGTAAATATCCTGACTACCAACTTGAAAATTTGTTACAAAACTGTAATGTAAAAAAGAATTATGCATTATTTTCTTGTACACATAGCCCAGCTAGACACATATCTGGGAATTTCCCCTTGTGAGACTAATAAGGGCTTATCTTATCTTACATATGTATATATTTTAGGGTGTCAATGATGATGAGCTGCTCAGTGAACAAACGGGAAACAGGGTGGAAAACAGCAGCAATGAAGATGTTCAAGGCTTCAGATAAGCATGTTTTTTTGTTCCAGAACTTTGTGGGGTTTTTTGTTTACTTCAGGTCCCTCAACTGTGAATAACAAAACTCCACGTCTCCCTAGGCAGCAGCATTCAGCGGGACACCGAAGGAGTTGTAAGTGCTGCGGAGGCACTTACACATTCCGCAGATTTCTCACATGGACTTTTTACTTTTCCTCTCCACCCTCCTTTAAACAGTGAGCATTAAGACCTCCCCACAATAGTTTTACAATATTTAATTACAATTTAACATGCTTTAGTTTACTATCTACTAATTACATGTGACTGTGGACCAAAACAGACTAAACAGACTGAAGGAGAAACTGAGAAAATACCTAAACAAAAGCACATCCCTCCCCTCTCTTAATTTATCCCTCCCTCCCAGAGAATAGACCTCAAATTGGGAAGGATAAGTAGGGTTAACCAAAAAAAGATCATTATATATAATTAGTCCTGTGGCAGGGAGGACTTGGGGACAGCTTGGCTTTTGTTTGAGACAGAAGGGAGTGGCTCAACAATATGTCCACAGTCAAGTTACTAATATGCCCAGATGTATTGCTCACCCCTGCTGCATCACTTATTTTCTTGAATCAAAGAGTTTCCGAATAATCCCACCCCTTTAAGATTGTTTATTCTACTTCTGTGTACCTCACTGTTTTCTTTATAAGGCTGAAAAAGTCCTATAAGCCCCACCCTCCTGCTGCTGTAGTTTCTCCTGTAATTACTGTGTGGGACTGTGAAAATATCCTTTAAATCTCTAACAGGATTGAGTAACCTTTCTCGAGGCCTTTTGGAAAACTGAGGAGGAGGATGTTAAACAGTCTGTAGCTATAACTGTCATTCGAATGAAAGCTTTATTGACTATTGTGAAACAGAGACTATGTTCAGTAAAGAATCAAATATCTTAAAGAATGGGGTGCGTCTAACTGTGTGGAGATATGGCCTTTCAGTAAAGTGCAGCTGTGTTGGTGTGGTTTGCCACACCTAGTTGTTTGAGTTGCAGCCGTTCAGATTCCTATCATAGTAACTGTGGCTTCTCTTGGTGCATTTCAGCCTTTATATCATGCAACACTGATGGGTAACCTCAGAGCTCCAGACAATGAGGCCATTGTTGGAGTGGGAGTGAAAACTGGCTTTTTTATTTTCTTTTGAAACGAGCTGGCGCGACGAAACAGGTCAAGTAATAAAGAAAAACATTCAAATGTAAAAGGCTCAGTTTTCATTTGCGCTTTCATTTTCCTGGTTTGGAGTCTGCTACAATAAAGATCTGAGGGTCATTTTTCACTGTTTCTCAAACCTACTGACTTTTTTCCCTCCCTTTTCATTTTCAAACTGAAAATAAAACATGACAACTCACGCTATCCCAAGCCTTTTGGAGAAGGTCGAGACAAATTTCTGAAAGGCACTGTCCTCATGCAAAGTCTGAGTAAAAGCCGGCAACTTGCTTCACAACCTAAAAGGCAAACAACAAAGATGACATGCTACTTATATAGCCACAGACCACCAAAAAACATCATATCTTCTACTTCCTGTGTGGAAACTGTGTACTCACAGTGTGTGGGCAGCCTGGCCAGGTTTTGTCTGATACCTTCACATGCATGTAAGCTACTCCCCCAAAACACAGACACTTGACATGTAATCAGTCTTATGTTTAGGAATATATACAGGATTTCCTCCCTGTCACCTCAGAAAACACCGACCAAGCCTTTACCAACAGTAAAGGAAGAGACAAATCAGCAGACACTCACCACTGGTAAGTCCTTGAAGCTAATAGCTAAATGCTTCATACCACAGGAAAGGCTATGATATTTTTAATTAATACTTTAGAAATCTTATATGATTATGCAGCTATGTTTGAAAAAATCCATACCGATAATATTCGGACTTTCTGTATATCACACCGCTTCTTACAGCATAATTGCGCAATGAGATACAAAGTAACAGGATGCAGATGAGCCACTTCTTACGGCTCTTCTTGGCCAGGTCGCTCATGCGAAAGATAATGTAGCCAGTGACATGTTCCTGATTTCATAAATATAAATATCAAACATTCAGGTGAATCCAGTCATAACATTCAGGTTTCATTCAGTGATCCTGAGTTCAGCAAATGATCGACCCCGTTATCCACATTCATGAGATTGACATGAATAACAGCTGTCTGTTTTTCAAGGTGATGGATGATTTTCATAAATGTGTGAACACATACCGGACCTTTTCCCTGTTGTTTCACTTGTTGTGGATGCTCTTACCAACAGGTAGTAATCTTTTACAAACATGTCTACTTTCAAAATGAGGAAAACTTGATATTATTAGAGAATATTGTTTCCGTTTGTTTGTGAGAGGATCTTTATCACTTTCATTAATAAGATTTAACATCATGATTGTTAAAATACCTGATTTATATTTTTAGGAGTAGTATTAATCCTCTCATTGAATCCTCAGCAAAAAAGTTAAACTATGACTTTAACATCGGAGTGGTATGATACTGGTCTTTAACATACATATTGAAATCTGTGTTTTTCTCACAGATGGAAAAACCATCCACGCTGAGGCTGGCACAACAGTGTATCTGCACTGCATCAACCAGTCAATCAGCACTCTCAAACTACTTAAATGGCAAATGAATGAGGTTAACCTGTTCAGTTTTACCCCTAGTAAACCCTCGCCACATGTCTTTGATGAAGCTCGAAACCTGAGCATTAATTTGTTGACCTCAGAGAGCGAGCTGTTTGCACTGGTCATAAAGGAAGCCCAGAAGCATCACTCAGGAAACTACACCTGCGAGGCCACCATGGAAACAACAATTAGGAAACAGAACTATGAGCTTTTAATTACAGGTAAGCTAACCAAACCATCATTTTATGTTTGCTATGGTTGCTGAATAAGTACCTGTGTGCAAAAGTCTGAATAAAAACAGGTGTGACCAAAGACACTCAATCAACCCTGCAAAGATACAGAAGAATGAGTAAACAGTAACAAGGATATTGACGTTGTTTCTATGTGAGGAACAACCTCAAAACCAAGCCTGGATACGTCAATGACATTTATTTTTCCACAGATAAGCATGGTATCAAGTGATGCAACAAATAGCTTCTTAAAGTCAGAGTTTGGGTGTTATTAGGCTGTGGTGCGTGGTATTAGTTCCTGGTTTATTTTGGGAGACCACAGGACTTCCTTTGTGAAACTAGCATCGCAGATGATTACAATTTGCCAACATGGCCAACATGATCTCACTACACACTATATATCTGGAGACCTGATTTTGATATACCCATTGGTTTTCTTGGCTGCTGTTTAGAGGCTCGTCCAGACCTGCTGTTTGTATCAATATTTAGAAATCCGACTAGATTCCACCAGGGCAAACCAAAGTTAAACAAGCAGCGCCAGGAACATTTACCAGGCACTCAAAGCTGCCACATCCTTTTTCCTGCATAATTAAAGGCATGATTGACGATCTGAGACGCAGTTGAAAAAACTGAGCCGTTGAGGCAGATTTGAAAAGATTATCCCACCCCTTCAACACACAAAACTCTCCCCTCTGTGCTCCATATTAACTCCCCCGAACCTGTATCGCCCTCCCCATGGCACACCCCCTCTGGCAGAGCAAGAAGCCGGCCGCGATATTTTTTTGCTTTGTGTAGGACAGTAGGGTAAAGTCCCGCCTCCTTCACCTCTGATTGGTTAGAAAAGCTGGAAACATCATCGCACGCTCGAGCCAAACGTGGTACATTGAACAGAACATTACAGAACATTACCGCACCTCTGAATCTTCTAACCCTTAAGGTCCTTACACACCGGGAGCATTTTATTTTGTGCAATTATTTTGGACATCGATATTTTTTTCAAACCCGTATCCTGTCAATACAAGTGTTCACATCAGCGACATTTTTCTTGTCCTGCAATATTGCAGCGCTTATTTTTTTTTTGTGTGTCACGCTCTAATTTTCTTAAGTTTTGCATACTGTGTGTCGACTTCTGACCAATCATATTTCGTGTTGTTGCAACATCAGATTCACTGGTATATCCAACATGGCTGACCGGCTGATTGTTTATGTGTCAGAAAACAGAGTGCTTTTTGATAAAAACACAAATATTAAGATAATGACCTAAAGGACAACTTGTGGAGAGTCATGGCATGATCGCCATGTAACCGAGGTTCAAAATAATTACCAATCCCTCCAATTGTCAACCATGCCTTGAAACTTTACTACAAAAAAAGATATGTTTCACGTACAATAGCTTCACTAAGGTGGGAGATGTGTGTTAGTAATTCGTATTTGAGCGTCAATTTTTCTGATAAAGTGGGCTTGAATTAGTTGATGACGAAAACATGATCTATGGTCATTTGGTAAGTCCCTGCATCAGAGCGGTGTCTGCACCTGTGGAGGCGGTATTATTAGGAGCTTAGAGGAAGTGTCTACATCGATGTACAGTCAAAGGTTGAATACCACAATGGTGTAAAATTGGTTTTCAAGAGTGTGATTTCATGTGTCAGTCTGTGAACATGAAAACCTGAGAGACACTGACTCAGCTGTTTTATCATCCCCCTGTCTTACCCCCATTCTGCCTCTGTTACTGACTCTGAGGGAGGATGAGAGGCAGGGCAGCTAAACTACCACATATTTAAGGAGGTTAAAGGAGGTCTATGTCCCGCCTTGCAATGACAGAGGCCCGCTATAAACTGCCTTAAGTGGTTATTCAAGGATTTGCAACCTTTGGTACTTGGCAGTGGAGTTAACAGCCACAAATGTTGCTGCTGTGTTGTACTTTAGATTTTTGTGATTGTTTTGCTGTTTTTCCCCCAGAGCCAGCTGGAAAATGGAGTAAACATATGATTGCTGTGGCGGTCGCTGTTCCTTGTGTGTCCCTCTTGACCTTTATAATTACTTTGATTTTGATGCTAACAGTCTGCAGACACCGTGCACAGTAAGTTGACTCAGTCCTTTACTTCCCTCATGATTTATGACAGATGGCCTCTCACCCCCAAATATAAAAAAAATGGTCATGTTCTTTTTCAGAAACTTCATTCATTCTTCTCACAGAGATTCGGTAAATCCAACAATGATCAACTCAGAAGTACACAGTCTGTCCATTCACAGGAATGTGAGAACAGTGAGATCATCTTGTCAAAGTGAACATTAGCTGATCTTCTGTTTCTTTTCTGCTTCCCCCAACAGAACGAGCAGACAGAGGATATCTATGAAAACTGCCTGGAAAACCGTGGCTATAATCGGCCTGCCAGAAATAAACCCAGGGCTCACTGATGGGAAATGTGGAGCAGTCATTTGAAGGACAGAGGCAAAGAAATACAAACCTTAACCACATTGTTTGGGTCCTTTTCTTGCATAAAACCTGAACTCCAAAAGACATTTTTTTCAGCATTTTTTGACATTTCTCTCTACAGTTCGTAATACTCCCTTAATGAATGTATTGAATGTGATGAGAAATCCCTCTTTCTCTAATTAGGAGCTGCATATGAAAATGTTCTTACCATTTGGGGGCAGCATGGCTGATTACATGTCTTTCTTGCTGCTACTTTAACTTTTTTTCCTGTTTAAAACAACTGTTTTTTTCGTGTTTTGAAAACTGCCCACTATAAACAGTAGAAGATCTTTGAAGCTCTGCTGCTTCAAAGGCTGCTGGTCCTCTAAACTGGAATAATCAAAGGAGTGCTTAGGGCCAAAAAAATACAGGATAAAACACACCTTCTTACAAGCAGGATTGGGAGAATACATTTAAATTACCATGACTGAGAACATTTACATAGCTATGGCTTTTAGGACACAATCAGGTGTCAAGTTTGTAATCTTTTCCACAGTTTACTGAACAGATGTTGACATACTGTAAGTATTCCAAGGCAACAGCAAGAAAAAAATCTTCAACAAGGACTCCTCTGTTTCAATGAGATACAGCCCACTTAGCATGTCATCCATTCCTGTCTTACACAACAAAGAGGGTGTTGAGTCTCCATGAGGCAAACATCCTGTGGGCTGATTTTTCTTAGTTTAAGACAAGCCTTAGTCTGTTTCCATCTTCACAGTGGCTTTACATTTGTGGTTAAAAAGATATAGTATATAGTAATGAGAATCCATTAATACTGTGTAAAAAAAAAAAACCCTAGTCATTGCAACTAAATGAAGCATAGCGGTAGTTCAGGCAGGTCATGGAGTCAAGCTAAAGGCTACAGTCAGCTGATCTTAAGCCAGCCCTCAGTCAGCTGACAGCTCAGGTAATCACCCTCTTCACATGTCAAAATGGCGCCCTATTTAAACCGCTTCTCCTGCCTACTCTGCCTGCTGCAACCACTCTGCAACCCACCTCCACCCCAACTCCTCCTGTTTATGTTGTGTCTGATCTTACCAGTGTCAAATGTATTGTCACTGATGCTTGCTCTGTTCTGTGCAGGGATTTTTATTTATTTATCTTAATCGAATTTGTTTGCTGCTGCTTCTATGCCTGGCTCCTCATGTATGCACATGAAAGGAGGGGAGGAGCTCTCCCCTCTTAGAGCTATACTGTGCAAGTGCATGGAAGGGCAGGGAACCCTCAGGACAGAGCCATACTGCCAAAGTAAAATGTTTGCTTGTAATAAATAATTAATTTTGACTAAAGTGATCCTGACTGAACTGCAGATTATGTATTAAGGATGGTATGTGTGAGGTACACAACGAAAACAAAAAACACAAACTGACATGAGATACTTTTTCTTTAAGTTTTAATATTTTTTTTTAGCAATGCAAAAAAAGTAATAAACTCAGCAGGTCACCATTATAGAAAACAAGATAAAAATAAAGAACAGGCAATAATATGTAAACATCAAAAGGGCATGGAACAAAAATTTAAATTAGAGGGACAAAAATGCTCTGGTGACACTGGCTGTCAAACTCCAAAAAATTAAAGCCAAGTATCAGTAGTAGTCAGAGCTTTAAGTCCAAATTTTCAAATACACGTGTGTAATTAAGGCTTCATAGAATTATTAACCACGTCCTAATCAAGAACAAACGTAACTCCTTATCCCACCCCCATGTAAGACAGCCAAAACCAATCATTTAAAAAAAGTAATAAATAAAACATGACAGATGTCATTTTTGGTGAGTCAAAAAATAGTACTCCACTAATTTAATGCTCTTCACTTACAACATTATCAGTCTCATAAAAACCCTTTGTCGGCCGCATCAGACATCATAAGATGTTAGTGCTAATAAGGTGTACCAGTATGAGGTGGAGTTTTTTTCTCCACATGTTTAATGCCAAAAAATTGTGCTTGAATACATTTTATTTAGTGTAACTGTAAAAAAAAAAAAAAAAAAAAAAAAAAAAAAGAAAAAAAAAGTTTTTTTGGCTGTTACCTCCTTTACATTTTGTTTGTTGGAAAACATTCATGGTCCGACAGTGATGTATCCCACTAACTTTCATGGTCCTCAGAAATTACACAATGCTTTGTTTCCCGTTGTCTTTTTAATTATGTACAAAAGCTGACAAGACCATTAGCAACAAGACTGACAACTTTGACGCTGTCATTTTTTAAGGCCTCATACTGGCTTGAGGGGTGTAGGTGTCAGATGAGCAGCTGAATAGACAGCCCTGCTTTTACATTTCTGGTTCAATATTGTGTATATTAGTAAGATAGGCAAAGGCTACTTTGTCAACAGGGTCACCAAAACTGACCCAAACAAAAAGTTTCTCACAGGAGCTTTAAGTTTGGAGTGAAAGGCCATCTTTTTTAGTAGACTGTCTGTGGCCACATGCAGAGACACAGAGACACATTAATGCCATGGTTTTGAGGATTTTAGTAATGACAGCCAGAGGATAACTTCAACCTTGGAATTATAAAATGTAGGCATGTACATCGGTTAATAAACAATTGTAAACATAAAAAGCACCACAAAAAACACTGAAATTATGAACATGTTGGCATGCAGCTGTTCGTACTAAAGAAAATTCAGTATTTGACCACAAGCAAAACAGTGCCAGGGTCAGTGAGGACAGACTCATGCAGACTTGAACCCAAAGAGGGTTTATTGTTGCAAGCTGGGTAGTGAGTCATGGTCTACAAACAAAATGTTTCCAACTCCCATCAGTCAGTTAAGTGCAGTGATTTGAAACTGAGTGAGTACAGTGCAATTAACAAATTAATACGCCGCACAAATTTGAATCTTCAACAATTTTACATAACTTCTTTTTTTTTTTTTACCTTTAATGAACTTCAACAGCCAATAAAATACATTCTTAATGTTGATCGTTACTTCAGTCTTTCTGTACTGTGTTCATACAAAATGGAGAACCTAAAATAGAAATAGATGGTAACAAAGCTGCCTCAATATTAACACACTGCGCCCTATAAAGCTTAACTGGAATCATGTAACAAGTAAACAATCTCCCTGCTCCTTTCTGAACATGAAATGTGTTGAAACTAATTCTAATTCAATGGAAAATTTTATCCATTGACAGACTGGGACACTTTCAAAAAAAAATATATCTTCTAACACAAATATCTACTTCAGGGATATATGAGTGGATTACAATCAGTACTAGTACCTAAAAAAGCAAACTAGACTATCAAAAATAGAGTTCTAAAGTATTATGAGGGAGATGAAGGTTTAGTAAAGACAGTAAAAGTTAAAACAACTGTCAAACTGCAGTTCAAAAACCAGCATCTGTGATGGTATGGTGGTGCATTAGTGCCCAAGGCATGGGTAACTTTCACATCTGTGAAGGCAACATTAATGCTGAAAGGTACATACAGGTTTTGGAGCAACACATGCTGCCATCCAAGCAACGTCTTTTTCATGGACGCCCCTGCTTATTTCAGAAAGACATTGCCAAGCCACATTCTGCACGTGTTACAACAGCGTGACTTCTTGGTAAAAGAGTGCAGGTACTCGACTGGCCTGCCTGCAGTCCAGACCTGTCTCCAACTGAAATTGTGTGGCACATTATGAAGCGTAAAATACGACAACGGAGACCTCGGACTGTTGAACAACTGAAGCTGTACTAGGACTGAGCGATTTTATGATTGTGATCGATGATCGTGATAAATTTCAGTTCGATTGCGTTGATCAGCTGAGAGCATATTTACTTTACTTGATCAAACATAGAGGAAATGTGCGTCACAACAGCCAATCAGAGTTGAGCTTTTCCTGCTCACTTCTGTAAGCTACCAGAGAAGTAAACAGGAGAAGTAAACAGAATGACCAAACATGGAGCTAAACACGGTGCTGAGGGCAGCAAGATAGTTGTCAGCCATGACTTTGAGTCATTCTCCTAAGATGTCATTGTTGAGAAGTTATTCAACGTCGCTTGTGTGGTGGTGGTTCAGGTATCTCCAAAGTGACGTCGAGTAATTAAGCCGATGAGCAAGGTATGTCAGCGATCGGTGCCCTCAAAAAACGGCTACACAACAAATCTGTTGAATCATTTGAAGAAGTACTTCCCCAATGATTAGGCGGAAAGCATGAAAATGTGAGCGGAGTTTGTACAGCCTGCCACTGCTGGCGGCACGAGTAGCATTAGCAGTTTAGCCACAACTAGCAGTGCAGCCACCAGACCTAGGCAGCAATTAATCGTATCATTTACGTTTACATCATCTAATGTTTACATTTTAAGGCGTCTTCATTATCTCTGAGGGGGCGATCTCTTTATTTTGGGTCTTGCATACCTGCAAATCAGTGGCGGCTGCTGGTCTTTCAAGGTGGGGAAGCTCATTTTTCTGGCCTACATCATAATTGTGTTTGTTTATTTGTATGTAACAGAACAGAGTCGCCAAACACAACGGCAGTCGTCTTTAACAAAGACAAAAGTCGCTGAGGATCTGTAAAGTCTCTGGAGCAGTTAAGAACAACGGAATGAATGACTTGGAAAATGCTCCGGTAGATGTTTTATTCTTCAAGATCGCTGATTCGCTTGTTTAGTTGTCAATCAAAAAAGTAATTCGCCTCAGACAGCTCATCCAATCATGGATTGTCCAGAGTCTTTTCTTCCTTTTCTTTTCTTCCTCTTTGATTGTTTCGCTGCTAGATGTGGTCATCGCCATGTTTGTGTATTTCTGATACTATGGCAAAGAGACTCGGCTCCTGTTGGTCCACGTGACAAAAATCGCTTCACCCCCTGCATATTCGATTGCGTGTGTGCAAGTATCACTACGCCGCAGAAGGGAAATAGTTCGACACCGAAACACTGATTACTAAAAATCGACAGGATGGCATGAGGAGATACTTTTTTTTAGTACTTACTATCAATAGAGCTATTTTATGAATCACAGTTTATGTTGCCCCACTGAAGTGGAACGAACCGACATGATCTCGCTCAGCCAATGCAGCCTATAATTAAAGAAAAATTTTGAAGCTTGAATGTGCCTCTTTTAGAAACGCTCTGAAAATCGACCAGATGGGAGTGTTTTGACTGCATCTTAAAACATCGGCTTTGTTGCTTATATTAGCAGCTGTTGCTAAAAAGGAGCAGGTATCAGGTATGAGCACACAAGGATAAAAAAAAACAACTAAACAGAGAAAACTAAAACAACAAACAGTACATTTGTGTCACTAACACTTCTAATAAATAATGCGAAAAACACAACAATCTGATTTCTGAATCACTGACACATTAAGCAGACTTCTACAGTGTGTGTCTAAATGTGTGTACCATAGGCTGTATATAGAGTACAGTACACAGTAACACCATAGACTGTGTATACATATAGTCGATGGTATGTACCGGTTTGGATGGAGTTTCTTTTCACCCAGTTCTGTGTCTACATGAGCAGGCTCCATAAACCTCTGCTATGATCAGGATTTAACACTATTGATGGTAAAATAAGCTTCAGATGTTTTGTCAGATAAGGTTAAAAAAGACAGTTAAGCCACATCCTGAACACGTTGGCATGTGGTACACTGGTTGTGAAAGCTACTTCAACAGTCTCCTTGTTTTTTGGTGCACTTTTGTCTTTTTTTTCCTTCTGCCATTATTTCCTGTAAGCCCCATCCACAGTTGAAAATTAGTTGTGGTGATTTTTCTTAATGTAATTGAAAGATTCTTTCAACATTATTATTGATGAGGCTGTTACAGGTAAATGATGACAACCAAGGAAAAACCTTTCTAAAGAGATTGACCTGACACCTCCCAAAATATTTGTTTTCAAATGTTTGGCCACAGCAAAACAAAAGCACTTAGATTGTTCCACATTTTTAATAGCCAGCTGAGTGAGAAGCTAAATACCAGTCCTGGAACGCTGCAAACCACCTGGAGTCCAACTGTCATCCAGCTTGTAGCTCCCATTGATGTCAAGGAGATCCCTGAGGCAGATAATGCAAAGCATGTTAGCAAAGCATGTCCATGCAAAGCAATATGCAAACGGTTCAGGGAGCTGAAGGTTCTCTGGAGTAACGGAAAAAAACAGCAGTACTTTATAATGTAAAAGAAAGACCTGTTTTATTGGATAAATACAACTTGATGCGTCTTTATCAAGAAATTTGTGAGACACAAAGTTTATATTTTGAAATGAAAAAAGTTGGCCTGCGTGACTGCACAGCACTGCTGCACTGTAACATTTAAAATAAAAACTTTTCCCCTTGTAAACACCAGTATCATACCTATTGGTGTGTTGCTGCTGATTCTTCTTCATGTTCCTCTTCCTCTACTCTCTGGTTATCGTCACTTGTGCCAGAAGCTATTCGAACCTTTTGCATCTCCTCAGGCGTGCCCTGTTCTCCCCGCAAGTTCAGACTCCCTTGTTGTCTCCGCAAGTTCAGACTGTCATGGTAGATGTAGTAACTTTTAAGTCAAGCAGTAAGACTGAATGTTCAACCTTAACAGATGACATACTGTCACATTTGTTACCTTGGAAGTCTCCCGGTTTTATATAAGTACCCAAAGACAACAGCAGCAACATTTAGTATAAGCAAAAGAGAGAATAGGGTCCAACAGGCAGGGCAGGATCCTGTGAGGAGACAGCATGGAAGAAAGAGAGTACAGTGACAGGAAATCGAAAATAAAGGCTCCTAGATTATTTCCTGCAACAAGAGCCAATAGAACAGCACAGCAACTTTTTAAATGCTGGTTTATCAGCTTCCTTTAGCAGTGGAATCAAATCAGGTCAAACGTTGGGCCTAAAATAATGTTGGAAACTTCAGAGAAAAATACCCTCAGCTTAAGCTATGACGGCAATGTGCTGCCAGACAGTTTCAAAAACAAAGGACTCAAACTGCAATCTTACATTTTTAAAGATTTTCAGACCTTTAAACATTCAATAATTAACATTTTAATGTAATAATGACAACTAAGTGATTCATTGATAAGGGACTTTCCCAAGGTAAGACATACTTCACAATTTTTGTCAGTGGAGGTCCAATTGTATCAATCAACAACACATCCTGACATTTGCAAACCTGCAGAAGTATCTATTAAACTGCAATAATATGGCACCAAGCAGAGTGAAAATTAGCCTTCTGCACACCTACAAACTTATCACTGGACTTTTCAGAAATGTGAGTGTCTGCTTCAAACCCACTCAAGACTCAGATCTGCTGTGGACTGTACTGACCCATTTAATGGGTAAGCTAAATACAACATGGGTTTGATGTCATTGTCATTATGCTACCGGCTAGACATGCTGCGAGAGCTAGAGTGAAAGTTAACTCCTGGTGCTTCTTTTGGCTTCCCCGCACAACAAAGGGGCGGAAATGAAGTGATGTTGTCCAGCATACAGTCAGGGTTAATTATAGATACTGACTCTGACTGTGAGGGAGGTGTATTATGCTCATAACAACAGGTAATAAAAATCTTTAGTGTGTGTTGCTGTTCGTCTCCAATCTGTGTTAGTCAAAGATGATATTATGGTTCCACAAACTCTCACTACAGATTTTTTAGATGGCCCACTGTGGACAATGGCAGGCATTAATTACTAACAAGACTGCATGTGGTTATGGATTTAAGCTGTAGCTATGAACAACACCAGCTTATGAGTTACCATGGTGATCTAGCTAGGTTAGAGAAGAGACAGCTTTATGTCTTTGTGAAAACTCTGGCTTCAGGATATAAAGACTTGGCTTATCCCTTTATCTTGCTTCATGGTACACCTCTCAGACAACATGTTCTCAGTCAAAATCAAGCAACTTTCTTTTTATGCAACCAAACTCTTATCAAATGTTTTCAGCCAAATGAATACAGACCTCACCTGGAGTAAAAAGCATCTTGAGGTAAGCTTGTTGACTTCCATGTGTGTTGGATGCTTTACACTGGTAGAGGCCATTTAAGTCTGAGGTGGTGCTCAGAAACTGCAGCGTCGCACCCTCTGTTCTGACACCAGATGAAGGCCACGATTGGTCAGATCTGAAAAGAAAGAACAATAGCTTTAGATACACAAGGTTAAGGACTGTGACACCGCTTTAGACTGCAGGGGGGATTTCACCTTGATAGCTTCCAAAATCCAGATCAAAATTCATCAGGCTCCGATTTAGATCTGTTGTCCATGTAAATACACTTTTTAAAATATCTGTCTGTAAAGCAATAAAGCCAGGGTCAGTCAGTGTTAACCTTTATGGTTTTATCTACTTAGTTAAATTGTGCATCAATAATGTCTCATGATGGCAGGACTAATGACTGTTTACCAGCAGGACACCTGGTACCTGATTTCATTTGTCAGGGGGCGAAGGAGGAGCATCAGCTTATGTTTTACCTGCTCTGGCAAAAGTTTTAATTTCCTCCCACACTGACACATTAACTTGAGTGAGGTCTGGGACAGTTGCACACCTCAGTTATCACGGGACTATTTTAAATACCAAAACTGATAGTACACAGGGCACCAGTAAGTCATTTTCAACAATCCTCTGACTGAGTTTTTCTGCTGAAACCAATGAGCATCCCTGGAGATTAGGGGGAATTTTGCACAGTAATTCAGCGATTAAACCGGCTCTCAATAAAACCTGTCTCTACAGGACAAACTTTTACTTTCCATCCTCATTGTTTAGCCTCTGGTGCTAATGTAGCATGTCTGACCTTTTCCCCTTTTGTAGCCAGCTCCCACAGAATCCTCCCAAGGCACTCCCGTAGTGAAGCACACTGTAGGCGATGTGCTTAGTGAAGCACATTATCTACAGACCAGTCAACATTATAACTAGGTTGAACCTCGGGTGGTGGAGACTGTTTCCTGTTGATAAAGCTTTCCTATCAAACCTGTCTGCATCTTTCAACTTCCTGATCTAAAATCTAATTTTATAAGATGCTCTATGTTCCTCATTTTATTTCAGGCTCTCCTTCTGTGCGCCCCCATTCAGGCTAACAATGGCCTGAACTTGAACTTGTTATTCATGAGTCTGTGACTTTTTTTCACAGCCCACTTCTTTTTTTTTGGATCAAATCCAGCACAGAGCCGATTTAAGTCCAAGGCAGACCAAAAGAGATGGAGCACCTACTTAACACTGCTTTTATTAGCCCACTTGAAACTTGAGAGGCCTTGAAAACCGCCTCCTTCCATCATCTCCATCAAAAGGTACAAGGTACAAAATTAACATAATACTCCTGTTTATGTAAAAACAGTACCTGGACCACGAGAAGTCTGGAGTTGGATATCCTTCTGACAGACACTGGAATACGTTTGCAGATCTTTCAATGATTTTCACTTCCAGAGGAGGGGCTGCAACAAACAGGAGAGACCGGATTGTGTTATTGCTCTTTGTGAAAACAAGCAGATCACATTTACCAATGTTTGCTCCTGTTTATGCGTCAATAATAAGCCTGAGCAAACCTGAACAATGAGAGGTTTTTTTTAGGACGGACCAGTTTTGAATTTCCTCGTAGAAAAAAAAAGATTCAGTCAATGACTGACTCAGAAAAACAGGTATCTACATTTTTCAAGACTCTAATCATCACAACTGCTGTGAACTGGATATCTAACACGGTTTCAGCGTGTTATTGAGATTTAGACAGAAGCTGCTGAGAAGCCAAGGACAAGGCTAAGTGTCCCCACAGGGATGTGACACAGGATCTGACATTGAAACTGCAGACCTTTTTTTGACTTTTTCTATATTTGCCTAATGGGCGTAACAAAAGTGCTGTTACTCTAGGGGCTTTTAGGGAGTTTCCATCAGAAATATGAGCTCAACTTCATACAGTGCATACCTCTTCAACTGTCTGTGTAAAATTTGCCACACACTCCTGTCATTTACATGTGATCTCTTTCCTCATTTCTATTCCTCTATCTTTCTTCTAAATGAGAAGCTGTGAGGTAAACAACAGTCAAGCTTTCACGTGGGAGCTGGTCCAGAGAGTTGAAACAGGTCCTCGCTTTAAATCCAACTAACCAAACCTGAATCATCTGTGTTATAAATCTTATATGATATATTATATATATTTTAGATCATTTATGTATCAAATTTCCCCTTAGGGATAAATCATCTTCTTATGTTATAAGACAGATGAGTATGAACATAATCAGTCCATCAAGAATTACAAGCTAACTGTGTCACTCATCGTAAAGATACTTGTCAGTATTTCTGTAACCAAAGGCTGGTAATAAATGTTTCTTTTTTTAAATGCTAGACAGTGTTAAGTCCTTGAATTGTTACTTTGGACAAACATTTACTTATTGAAAGACTCATGCTTTGGAGATTTGTTCCTTTTTTAAGTCAAAAATATACACAGGAATGAAACATCAGTGTGATACTGACATGTGAGTAGTTATATAGATATAAATGGATCAGTGGAGATTAAAAGGAGAAAAAATTGTCTTTTTTTATATTTTTTTTTTACAAAATTGTGAAAAAGCAGCCCTGATGATAGTCTTAAGACACACATGTGACTGAATGAAAGATTAAAGTTATGCAGTTCTTCCTCAACTCAGCGGAAGGAGGCTGGTGTGACACAGTTATTATCAAAACAAGATAAAGAAAGAGAGTAATAAGTATGGATTTGGTTCAGTAAAATAATTAGGATGCAACTCCAAATATTGGTTTTGTTCTACTGTGCCACTCAAATAAATTTGGGGTTTTTCTCTTCCCTTAGTTTTCTTGCATATACAGGCAAACCATCAGCAATGCTGCATCTGATTCATGTGACTGCTGTTATCCTTCAACATAATCATCAACACAAGCAAAATCCTCTGTATACTTTAGCTTCTTGCTCTATTAACAGGATACTTTCAAAGTACAGTTTACCCTCGCTGGCTCTTACAAAGTTAACCCAACTATCAAATTTCTCAATTTTGACAATCATCACACAAATAACACTGATACAAAACCTGCGGAAGGCGAGCTCTTAAGCAAAACCTGTATTTGAAATGCTGAAATATAGTGTTCACTCTGTTGTGTTGTGAGCTGAACTCTGAGCAAATGCCCTAGATACTGCCTGTACTGTCACCCTCTAGCAGGACCTTGCTGCTCCCACTCAAGAAAATACTTTTCAAGGCCTATTTGTGGAGACATGAAGCAACTGTAATGAAGAAACCAGGAGACGAAGGGAGAGGGCAGAGCAGCTGCAATTATGTCTCAATCCCATCAGCAGAGGAAAAATCCACATCTATCAAGAATGCTCAGGACAAATGAAACACATGTATGCACAAGCAAACTCATAGTTTTAACACAAACTTCTTTTTAGGGCAATTAAATATTTGTTAATGAGTGATTAAAATACCATCCTGTAAAATTCAACAGAAAAAAGAAGCTCTTAAACTCAGTTCCTGTATTTGATGGAAATTAGGCTGAAAACCCTTCCACTAAACTAGATTTTATCTCGGGCCTGTTCCGTTTTGTTGTTGTCATACTGCTGCAAACAAAATTATTGAATGTGGAGCTTAAGATTTTACAGACAACAACAGACTGACACTTAATGGCACTGATGTGTTTCTCACTCACCCAAAGATGAGTAACAAAATTAAAACTGCAGTGACGCAGCTTTTGTATACCCACAGTTGATCTTTATAGTGAAGGGCAGGGATTCTTTTTCCGATCGGACGTCATTGCTGATGACACACTCGACTGTGTGACCACTGATTTCTCTGGTGGGCACTCCCAACAGCATGCTCTCTGTGGTGGTTGTTCCGGTATCTTCAACGATGGAGTTGGTTATTATTTTCACTTTTTCTGCCAGAGTACCAGTGAGCCACGTCACCTCTGCAGGGGGTTTGGATTTAGCAGCTGTACAGGTGGCAAAAACAACCTCTTCATTTCCCAGAGTAAGATGATTTTCTTTCAGGCTTGTGATTGGAGGTACTAAGAGAGAAAGAAAACAAAACTTCAGCTTGCAAAGATAAAACAAGATCATATTTAGACTTAATTATAAGATGTTTACAATTTAATTTATCATACCGAGCACATTTAGAGGTACGCTGGTCTCATGGTTTCCACTTGGAAAGAGGGTGAAGATACATATGTATCTTCCTTCGTCCATGACTGTGATGTTAGATAACTGGAGGGTCCCATTTTTATCATTAAAATCCCCAATAAATTTAAAGCGGTAATCTTTGCCGTTGAGGAACTTTGTTTCCCCTGTACGTGAGATAGTGAGGAAATCATCTTTTTGGGGTTTTCCTCTGGTTAGTCTCTGCCATAAAATTTGAAGGAGGGTTTCTGAGGTATCAGTGAGTTTGCAGGGGAGAACAGCAGTACCATATTGAACTGCTGTTGCGTTCCCTCCAATGATCTGGAGAGCTGTAAAGAAACATGAAATCTCATCAGGTACTTGGATCAATGATGGAAAGCAATAAAGAGGTAAAACACAACCTTTGTGGCAAGAGTTTTCAATATTTGATCTTTGTCTGTTGTCTTTGTGGTCGTTGTGTGGAACTGCAGGCTATAACACAAACTAACCCGATGGGATTGTATAGTTGTAGGAGCCATAAATCAGTTGATCTACAGTATCCAGAGATTCGTGCTGAGGGTAAATGTGTGTGATTGTTTGTGTATTGTACAATGTTATTTTTGTTTATTTTGTACTCAAATTAAGTAGGTAAATAGTGGGTCAACTGGATGGGGTGGAGGCAAAGTCGATCCAGTTGTGGTTGAATCAAATAAACCTATGCCTACCAAGTCTGCTAGAAATCTGGGTGTCATGATTGTTCATGTGGCCTGATTGCTCGGTCCTGCAGATTTGCTCTCTATAATCAAGAGGATCAGACCCTACCTGACAGAACATGCAACACAGCTCCTGGTACAGGCTCTTGTAATTTCAGGCATTGACGACTGCAACTCATTACTGGCAGGACTCCCTGCGTGCACAGTTAAACCTCCGAAAATGATCTACAAAACAGCAGCACTTCTGGTCTTCAACCAGCCCAAGACAGCTCAGATACACCCAACTTGGTACTTTGGTAATTGTTGTTGTGAAGGCAATTTAATTGATGGTGATGAAGAAAGGTCTCAAATTGATGTTTGGTTGCTTCACTGTTGATGTTCTTAAAAAAAAGAAAAGAAAAAAATAACTCTTTGCATTGCCTTTAACACAGCATGGCAGTACATGTGTCCAAATACACTACTACTGTTGTTGTCTAGATCTATGGGTTGTTCTTGCTCTGAAATGTACCTTGCTTTGGATAAAAGCGACACTGTAACATTGAAACAATTAATATGGGGATTGGAGACACTCAGTTAAACTAGCCCACATCGTGGGATCAAACACAAAGCATTAAAGATGAGTATACTGGATTGTGAGGACAGAAAAACGGGGCCGTCCGTACGTCGCGAACGTTATTGATTAAACTTGGAAAACACTACGATTTTTTAAAGGGACTGAATCGACATACCGTCTGTAACTATGTTCAGAATCAACGCCATTACATAAAAAGGCAGCGTCATCCTTCTCCGGAAACACAGCATCCATCGTTTACTGTGTAAAATCCTCGGTGAGAGCTCGGTCCATTGTCGACAGATGGTTGCATGCAAAACATCCTTAGCTTGTACAATATAAAGCTGCAACGAGTGCCCGTCACTCGTGACGTCTATAGCTGCCTTCAGGAGAATGGGAAAATGTAAAAAAGCTGGAGTCCCACTGTCATAAACGTTCTGTCAAAAAACTAAAAATAAAAAATGAATATACTAACCTTACATTTCTCTTTCAGTAACAATAACTTGTAAATATTATTTCTTGAAACTGTTGCTTTCTGTGTGGTTTCATGGAGGCTTTATTTTACAGTTCTATTGCTATTTGGCTGCGATTGGTGAAACCTCTTCAATGAGTGCTCGTTTCTCTAATTTAAAAATGTCAGTAAAATGTTTTTTTTTTTTTAAGTGTATTGTCAGCCGAAATAATCTCTTCGAAAATGTAGACCAGTCCTGTCTGTTACATTAAAAGACTGAAAAATAAAATACAAATAAAAAATCCAGTACTTTACGGGTTTCAAAAAGTCTAATTGCTGAAGACTTTATGTAAATCCAAAATTAATATATTTTATATCAATTGATTGAATTGAAAAACAAAAAAGTGAATTTAACTAAAATATATGTTAGTCTAAGAAACTAACCAGAGTTGAAACTTTGTGCTGTTCATACAACTTGCTTTATATTATATAAATAGCCTACTAATGGGCAGCCATTCCAAAACAAGGGGTGACTTTTAAAGGTGTTAATTAAATACCCCCCCCCCCTTAAGTTTGTCAAAGTAAAAAATAAAACATTATCTTATATATGAACTGATTTTAAATTGTACTCAATAGTTAGACACTACATTTATTCAAAACAACACAAATGACACAGAATTCTACATATGCCTAAAAGCTTGCTTGCAAAATGACAATTGTGTTTTAACCTCAGTAGATAGAAATGTGTGTTGATTTCCACCTCTAAAGCAGCAGTCCTCTGTTGGCACCGGCTCAGTTGGACATTTATCTGTGCTTGATTTTTTAATGTTTAAAATTATATTCAATACAAAAATTCCAACTTCCGATTTTGCTTGTGCCTACCAAGGTCTAACTGCACATGCACTTGGAGGTCAGCTGTGTCTGCAGACTGGACTGAATAATAACCAGTTTCTCTGGTGAGAATAATAACCAGTTTCCCAACTTCTGACTATGGAAGTTGTATTGCTGGCATGCAGGGTACGAGCGAGCCACCTCACCTCTGTTGGAAATCTGGAACCAGCAACCATTCAGGTTGCAACCAGGGGCCACCGCCTCATTATCCAATACAGGCTTAGCGTCCTTTAGGTTTCTGACTAGAGGTGCTAAGAGAGAGCGAGAGCGAGAGAGAGAGAGAGAGAGAGAGAGAGAGAGAGAGAGAGAGTTCAACATACATGCAAAATTAAATAGAAAAATAAAACAATACCATATTTAAACACACACAAAACGAATATTAGGACATTTTCAAAATAATTCATCATATCAAGCTTATTAGCAGCATGTCTATTGATATGACAAAGTTATTGTTACATCACCACAACATAGCTACTGGGTCTCTGAAGCAGGAACTTTCAGTTTCTGTTAATTTTTGACAACCCCGTGTGGACAATACCTAGTATACATGTAAAATGTTAAAGGGCTCTCCCACCGGTTCTCTCATAGATGATGTAAGGAAGCAAGTAGACTTTGTACAAGCGGTCTAGAAAGTTTAATAATAAGCCTACTCCTCCTACGGCAGAGTATTAGGGCCACATTAAGAAAAAAAAAAGAAGACTTTGAGATTAAAGTCATTAACTTATGAGAATAAAGTCATTACTGAGAATTAAGTCATGACTAACGAGAATAAAGTCATAATAAAGTAATTAATCATGAGAATTAAGTCGTAATAAAGTCATTACTAACGAGAATTAAGTCGTAATAAAGTCATTACGAGAATTAAGTCATAAAGTATACGAAGTAGGGTTGCAAAGGAGTGGAAAATTTCTGGTAAATTTCCAGACACTTTCCACTGGAAGTTAAGCCTGGGAATTTTGGAAATATTCCAAATTGGAAACTTTCCATAGGAATTATGGGAATTATTGGGAATTTTTTGGAACTAACTGGAAATTGGGGGTAATGTAAACAAACTGTATCATATCCAAACATAGCTGTAAATATTTTCCCTCAACATTACCTAACATTGCATTCCTTCAAAGGCTGCTGGTTACTTAACATTCCTTCAACATCAGTTGGCTAAACAACTGGAATGGTCTTCAAAATATTTGACAATTGATGTATAAATTATTGTATGGTTTCAGAAAACCGTCTTGCAGGAGTTAGAAGAAACAGCATTACATTCGAGGTAGCTACCACCACCATAATAAGCTAGCCCCTTAAATGGTCAATGAAATGAAAAATAGCTTACATTTAGCACCTGTTTATATTTTTTTCCAAGTTACATAATAACACTATTATAGCTCAAATATATTATCAAAACTTACTTGACTTTATATAGTCTGTGGGCTCAAATGTCTTGTACTTTGGGCTCAAGAGTGATTGAGGCGTGTACTTGCATTAAATCTGGTTGTTTTAGCAAAGATTGTGCTTCAATATATTTCCCCCAGCTATATTTAAGTTCCCTGTTTGAGGGACATCCTTCAATTTTGTACATTTAAACTAAACCCCTGTGCTACTGCTATAAATGGCAGCATTGACGGATTAAGCCTCAGCACAGCCATTTTCAGCCATTTCTTATTCTCGTAAGTAATGACTTGATTCTCGTAAGTTAACGTCTTTAATCGTGAACTCTTCAATTTTTTTGTTAATGTTGCCCTTACACTCCGTCGGATCGTTTGACACAGAAGCAGAGCAGTAGAAGTTTGTGAATATTTGGGAAAACGTCACTTCCTGTGGCTTCCGGTGTTGGCTCTCTGTGTCTATCGTAATTAAGAATTAAGCAAAATAAAAGCTTACCGTCCACAACAGGCCCCAAGGATAAATGCCGACGCAAAGACACGCAACATGCCCCAGGTAAACTTTGACTTCGACACCTGACTCAAGCACTTTCGATGTATAAATAGGGGCGACCCTCATCTCATTTACTTCCTGCAATACTGTGCTGCTTTCACGTGGTGTGGGAATCTTGAAAGCTACGAACATAGACTGTATATACAGTCTATGGCTACGAAAAAATAGTGCATTTCCGCCACCCTCTGGTAGATTCAAGATTCAAGATTTGTTCATTTGTCATGTGGATGTTAACAAAGTCATCAATGCAATGAAACGCCCCGGATGGCAGGACCGCTCGACTCAAAGGAGTACAGATAAAACACACAATAAGTACTGAGAGGAATGCAATAAAATAAGCATGCAATAAATACAATGTTAAAGTGCACAAGCGATGCAGTTGGTGCTAAGAGTGAATCTATGAAAAGCTAAAGCTGGATAGGTGTGCAGCCTCAGAGGAGACAGAGTTGAGTTGTTGAATATGAGTCGAGGTGGAAATGAATTAAAATGAAGTCAAAGTTGAGGTGGAGTTAAGCCAAAATTTTACTCGATTTTTACTAGATAAAGTTAGATTTACAATCCCCACATGATCAGGAACTCGCCTTCGTAAAAACTGGGCAGAAAATGTCATTTTATATGCACCATGGTATAGAAACTTCATTTAAATGCAAACATACAAAGTTCAACTTCACAAAAGAGCTTCAGACAAAATCCTCAATGAATTTGCTGGTTTGAATATCTTGATGAGCAAAAGCGATCTCCTATTCCTTTTTTTCCCCCTTTTTTTTCTGCGTAAAGCACTTTGTGCTCCATGGTTGTGTATGAAAAGTGCTATATGAATAAAGACTGATTGATTGATTGATACATTTATTTGTACAATGTAGCCTATTTTAAATACAAAGACACTTCAAGGTGCTATGGATTAAACTTGACAACACAAAGCAACGAGAAAAAGACACAGAGGGCAATAAAAAGTCAGGTTCATCATAAGGATGGAAATACAGTATTGGAATTTAAAATAGAAAAGGGGGTAAAATACATTACAGTTGCAAGGCACTTCAGTAAGAGTCAAAAGCAAACAGAAAAATCTTATTCTTTAATTTTTAAGAACCAAGGATGCTTATTTTGTTTAGCTCAGTGTTTTGTACAAAACCAATTCTGCCAGTTTTTTTTGCTGGATTCTTTTCATCTTTGTCCTCTGCTTTTTCTGTCTAACATCTCACTTTTTTCTTATCCATCTTTAATCAGGCCAAATGCTGAATTGAGCCGTCTTCAGCTGCTTTCTTCACCCTGAACACCACATGGCTCTGAGGATGACAAGGAGGCACATGTAAGGTCAGAAAGCAGAATTAAACTCCAAGAAAGAAAAGCAGTGAGATAATTTGGGGCATATTTATCTGAGTGACAAAGTTCTTCTGACCTCTCCTTCTGGCTGAACTTGATACTCAACAAATGACATGGTTCTACTCCAGGTGAAGTCTTGGATTTGAGTCTTGGTCTTGCTTTTTCTGCACAGGTAAAGGATGAATAATATCATTCTGAAATTGTTTGATAGTTGTGATAATCTGCTTGGAAAATCAAGTTCCTAACAACCATTTAAGCCTCTAAATGATCTCCTGTTGGCACAATGCCCTTAGATTAATGTCATGAGGTGAAGCCCAAATTATGTCTCGCTAATATGCAGAAGAATAGAAGTATAGCAGGGCCTTAAGTGAGTAAAGCATGAGTGAACCTAAAAATTGACCTGAGTAATTAACAGGAGGAAGTATACTCACTAACTGAAGTATAATAATACTGTACATGCATACTATCATCACCAAAAACTTGCTGTAACCATTTATTTGCAGGTGTTTGTGGTGGTTTTATATAAACAGGAAAGACAAGGTGTTGTTATTTGTGTATGTTTGTATCTTACACTATCACTTTCTTTCTGATTCTATTTCTTCTGGCTTACATCTTTAAATCCTTCTCATCTCACTTTCTTTTGCTCGTCTCTTCTGTGACTTTGTCGCCATCTACCTCTCACTTTGCTCCCTCCACTTCCTCCTCCTTTTCAAATCAATTTTTTTAGCCCTTTTTTCATTTATCATCATTATTATAATTGTTTTTTTTGCCTCAAATCTTTGACCCATATCTGAGCATTGCACTGAGCAGACTTGGAATATCAATTTTGAGCAAAAAATAAAAATAAAACCTACGGCTTGTGGCAACAGTTTGCAAAAATAGAACTGTGACTCACCTGCAGAGATAGACTGCTGAAACGATGCAACACAGGAACACTCCAATCAAAGGTGTGACAATATGTAGTAAAACACTAAATGACCCGTCCTCTGTATTAAATTAGATGCAAATGACTTCATGTTACATTTTACCAGAGCTTTGACATATGATATAACTGTTATAAAATGATCAAGAGCAGACCTACCTTTGGGTTTCTCAGACACTGTCAGATTCCACTGAATGGTCAAAATACTACCATCACTAGTTACTTTACATGTGTAGAGTCCTCCATCACTATCCTGAGCATTTGAAATCATCAGCTTTGAAGGTGAGTTTATGTCTATTGTCAGTCTGTCTGAGGTTAAAGTTGATGAATTCTGCTTATCCTTGATGGAATAAGAAAAGTAACGTCTGCCTTTGGTCCAATGGATTAGTTTTGTTTCTGAATTAGATTCGTTGCAGATGAACGTGACAGGATCTCCTCTGGACACCAGCATATTCCTTTGCACAGGTGGATAATGTGCTTCAATAGAACAAAACAATAAATTAATGCAAAACATATATACAATTTAGACCAAAGAGAAGCATGCATAACAAAACAGATCTCTACCTGCACGGACGGTGCACAGAGCTAGCAGTTGTATTTGGAGCAGAGCTGCTTGGCTCAGACAAAACATGATGGTTAGCGGACAGAGCAAACTGACTGACACTCCTTTTAGATGTTTCAGTAAAGGAGTCAAGAGAAGAGGGCGTGGTTCATTGTTCTCGAAATGTTTTGTTACATGTAAGTCAAACAAAAAGATAACATTTACTACAGCCCCTTAAATCGTAATTACATTTAAGTGAGTGTCTAATAGAATCAAGCTTTGTACCTATAAATGATAAGTAAAGATTATTTTAATCTGAATAAATATCTACATGCAGCTGTGAAAAGGAAAACCACGTCCGCAGAGTGCTGAATTTGACCACACAATGTGACTAGAGTATGTGAAAATTTCTCGGAGCCAATGAGAAGCAAAACCATGTCTTCATGAACCACGTACACATTCACCATGGGAAGTCAACAGTCTCTACTTTGGATTTTATTCTGTATTTAAGACAAAGATCTTATTCTGTCACCTGAAATTCACAAAATGGCCTTTCCATCTTTCTCCAAATAGACCCTAAATCTCAATAGGGCAAACAGTGCCCAACCTCCAAGTTTTTTAAATTTTATTTTAATTGAAATGCTATCCTGTTATTCACTTATGGACCCTGTGGAGGCCAAAGATTCGCAGCTTTAACCATTCAAGTTGAACCAAGCTGAGGCTGGATAGGTGCGCAGCTTTAAAGGAGACAGAGTTGAGTCGTTGAATATGAGTCGAGGTGGAAATGAATCAAAATGGAGTCAAAGTTGAGGTGGAGTTAATTCAAATTTTTACTTGAGTTTGACTTAAATAAAGTTAGATTTACAATCCCCACATGATCAGAAACTTACCTTTGAAAAGGCAGGGCAGAAAACGACATTTTCTACACACCATGTTATAGAAACTTCATTTACATGAAAACATACAGAGTTCAATGAACATGACAAAATAGCTTCAGACAAAATCCTCATCATGAATTTGCCCGTTTGAATATCTTGATGAGCAAAAGCGATCTCTTTTTCCTTCTCCCTGATTAGCCATCCTTGTAGCACCAAGTTTAATCCACAAAATGTGCGCAAATGTCCACTGTAACCGATCTTTATATGATAAATTGTGTCCATGTCACTTGCGTGTCTAAAAGTCCCGTCTGCTCAGGAGGCGTTGTATATTGAGTTGAGCCTTTCCATGTACTGACTCCTCCGTTTGTTATTCGTCCTCCTGTCTGTGCTGCTCTGAGCGGTCTGTATGTGTTTGGAAAGAAATTAAAACAAAGATCAATGTTTTACAACAAGAGCAGAAAAAAAACAAAAGTTTCAATTCCAAAGATGAATAAGATTTTATGACCTCTCCAACTGACTCATAAAATGGTTCCTGGATCGAGTTCTGGTTTGGTGTCCGATGCCTCAGTTTTCTGCAGAAATGACGTTGTTACAGTAAGGAAACGCAGTCCTATTGTCTAAAAATTACTTCTGTTTACAACCAACACAGACTTTAAATGACAGGACATAATATAATAAGCGTACAGTGAGAGAAAAAGTTCAGAACTAGAAAGTAGACTTACCTACAGAGACAGACTGCTGAGACGATGCAACACAGAAACACTCCAATCAAAGGTATGACAATATGTAGTAAAACACTAAATGACCCGTTCTCTGTATTAAATTAGATGCAAAAAACTTCATGTTACATTTTACCAGGGCTTTGACATATGATATAACTGTTATAAAATGATCAAGAGCAGACCTACCTTTAGGTTTCTCAGACACTGTCAGATTCCACTGAATGGTCAAAATAACACCATCACTAGTTACTTCACATGTGTAGAGTCCTCCATCACTATCCTGAGCGTTTGAAATCATCAGCTTTGAAGGTGAGTTTACGTCTATTGTCAGTCTGTCTGAGGTTAAAGTTGATAAATTCTGCTTATTATGTATGAAGGCATATGAAAAATAACGTCTGCCTTTGGTCCATTTGATAAATTCATCTGGCTTAGATTCATTGCAGATTAACTTGACAGGATCTCCTCTGGACACCAGCATATTCCTTTGCACAGGTGGATTATGTGCTTCAATAGAACAAAACAATAAATCAATGCAAAACATATATACAATTTAGACAATAAAGAAGCATGCATAACAAAAACATATCTCTACCTGCATGGACTTGACATGTGAATAAAAGTGAGAGCAGAGCTGCTTGGTTCAGGTAAAACATGATGTCCATCAGACTGTGACAGACACACTGGTATTTCAGCATCAGCCTTTCAATCTAATTGTAAAGGAGGCGTTCAGAAGAGGAAGTGGTTTGTTGCTTTTCAGCTTCTCAAACTTAGTAAGTGTGGAACATGATGGATGTCACGTGTAAATAACAGAGGTAAAGTGTCAAACTGTGACACAACTTACCACTTTGATCATCACTTGTAAAGCCTAATGTACGTGTATAACTTTCATCTCTATAAAACATTTAAGTGTGCAACAGACTTGATCTTCTGGGTGTAGATTCACACTGTGGGATTTTGTTACACAATAAATAGCAAGTTTCATACATCTTGACACAGACAGTTACTGTCACAACCCTGGTCAGGTTTTGAAGGGGGGAAGCGTGAATGAATTTTGGCATTTGTTTCAAGCTCAGTAATGTTTCTGATCAGATTTGTTCATTTATTTTAGCAGTGATCTTCCAGTTTGGCAGTATTTCTTTGCCATCTTTTTCATCCATATAATTTAGAGTTCATAATCTGGTAACCCATTAGATGTTCTCTTGAATTACTGTGGAAAGAGTCCATGTATTTGCCTCCAGAAAATTTTCGGTGCCATCACTCAACAATTAAGATCAAATGCATCAATCAAAGTTTTGAGGGGAACTGTATCGTACAAAAGAACTTAAGAAGTTTTGATATTTTTATGCAGAATGAGTTTTTTGTTTAACTTTTTCTGAACTTGAGTTTTTTATATTTGGATCTTTAATATCTTCCAAGTCTTTCTCCATGATATTTTCTGAAGGAGTATCATTATTTGTGACTCTTGTAGATTTGACTGCCTTCATGGTTTTTCATTTTTCATGGCTATTTTTGGTTTATTTTGCTTTATCTGAGCAAGAATCCAGCCAACAACAATCACTTTGAACACATTTGTGAGTTTGACATTTAACGCGGTATCGTAACATGATGTAATGATGTAATGATGTTTATTATTCACAGATTTGCAGAGTCATAGTCTTCAATAAACAGTTTGAACTGACTCAATTCTTCTGAATCACTTAAGACATTTTTCCAGAGAGGTCAACTACTCCTACTCCAACCTCTAACACATTTAGATTTGGAAACTTAACACTTTAACGGAGTTACGAGAATCAAATCTGCTTTTTCTATATATCTTAAGGCACATAAGCCCCCAGATGATGCCCAGTGCAAATATTAAAAGCCAGCAGAATTAGGAAAATGGTCATTGTTAAAGTGTCCTGTGATAAGATTATGAAAGATTTGCTTGAGTGAAACACCAGAGTTTTATTCTTTTCCAAATGTTTGAAAACTTAGAGGCGAAAAAAGTAAACTGCACTTATTCTTTCTCATAAGTTGATATAGAGTGTCCACAAACAGGGAAGTGAGAGTATAGGCATATAGTATGCTGTCACTGTGGGGCCAAGGAACCCATCCAGTTATTTTAAGATATCATATCCGTTTGAAATAAGCCAAACCCATAAATAGTTGCATTATTTTAACTGTTTGTGTTTCTAAAATCATTCTGCATTTTTATAGTATTTCCTTGCTAAACAAACAAATATGTACTCACATATTCCACTCTGTGCAAGAAAAGGAAGTTTCCATTGTGCAAGCAACTAAATGTTTGTCTTTTGTCAGGATTTTTCTGGGTTTTATTTTTGCTGATTAGTTTGGTCCATTAATTCTATAACAAATGAGATTCTATACATGCAGCTGGAAGGTATCTTAAAGCTGAAATATAACATCATCTTCCACTTTTATACAGAAACTTTAACAAACACAATGACTCGTATTTCCTCCATTTCTGCCAACACCCACTCAAACATACTCAAACTGTGAAAGAGGACCAGAAACAGGAAACTCACTCTTTTGAGAGCTAACAAACAGACAAACAAACAGAGGAGACCCGATCTAAGAAAAATCTACTTTGAGATTTTTACAATTGAGTAGATCTTTTATGCATCTGAAACATCTTGCTCTGCTGTGAGACTTTTCTCAGACTTGGCACTCGATTAAGATTTTCATTTTGATCAGAGGCAGAGTATCCATCATTATGGTCTGCAAGGAAATGCTATCTGAGGCAAAACAAAGGACAGGTGGTAAATTTGCAGTATCAACAATGACACAATAAGTCTTGTTTTATGTATAAGGAGAAAAGGAGAGCAGTGTTGGTGTGGAATAATGATTCAAAGGTGGGCAGTTTCTAAGAAGTCTATGATGAGGAAGTGTGTCACCACCAGCAGAGGGTACTACAGTCACCTGTTTTCAGGCAGCAGTGATCGGCACGTTATTTCTGTAAAGACATGAGGGGTTATATCAAATAGGCAATTAATTTAATGATCATGTTCTAGTAGTCTGGTAAAATAGTTCACTCTTTTATATGTTTCAATCTATGAGATCTTAAATTGAGATTTTAACTTTTTCTGTGCATTACTGAAAATTTGACCCAACACAAAAGCTGCCTGGGCTCAGTGCATCCGCAATCTTTAATATTGCTTCAGTTATTTATTTATTTTTGGTTATTATTTTCCTTTATTTAATAGGTTCAGCTGAGAACAGACAGGAAATGTGGGGAGTGGGGAGACGTGCAGCAAACTACCGTAGCAAGGAGCCTATATGTATGGGCACACACCTAAACCACCAGCATGTGTAAGGACATTAACCCCATGAACCTGTACTCTAGTCAATACCAAGAACAAAGACCTGTAAGAAAGAAAGCAGACAGAGAGAAAGAAAGAAAGAAAGACAGACAGAAAGAAAGAAAGAAATAAAGACAGAGAAAGGAAAGTATGTTAAACCCTATCTTATGAGTATGGCAAAAACACCACACCATACTTTATACACACTCAAACCAAGACATTCACATACACGCATACAAAAAAGGGTTATCAGTGTGCCCCCTCCTTCTCTGTATTTTTTAAAATGGACAGTTTCTTCACCAGTTTCCCAACAGTTAAGTCTTTTATTAATACATTTCAAATAGTACCCCTGAGGGTTCCCTCCCAGCGAAGAAATACCTCTGGGGTGCTTGCATAATAAAGTCCCTCTTCATAGCTTGTACTCTGAAGCAGAACAGGTAAGGGAAATAATATGAAGTATGATCGGTAACACTGAAGTTATTACATGAAAGGATGTTGGGCTGTTTCCAGATGTAGGTAGTCATGTGACTGACCTCATACAGATGAATGTATTCTTGGTTTTGCAAGCTTTTGCCTGAACATAACAGACCTTTTATGATACAAACCTTGCTAAAACGATATATCATATGGTTGCATATGGTAGTAAAAATGTGAAAGTATCAGTCTGGTGTCGCAAGTCATATCAGCCAGCTCACATACATTTCCACGAGCAGGTGGGTCTGGAACAAATGTCAGTATTCATGTTTTTCTATTGAAGGCAGAACGACCCAGGAGCACTGCTTCAGCACATTTGTAAACAACCAAGATGGCAGCTACTGCCAATGGAAGGTCTGGAGAATACACGACGGCGTGATGAAATGATGGCTTGGTGATGTAAGGCTGGGTGGCTATAGCTCTGTATGCGCAAAAGCCTTTATTGTCCATGCTTACTTGTGTTTACTACATGTATTTTCACAGGTAACAGCATCTTCTTTTTTTTTTGCATTTCATTTGAAAAATTATCAACGCATATTCATTAAAAAAAAAAAAGTAATCAAAAATGCTTCACTATGTCAAGTGACCAATTGCTTGGGGGTGAAAAACATGTTTTTAAATGTCGGTAGTGAAGCAGGTTTCTCCTCAAAAACATCGATATCAGCCCTTACAAACATCTACTGCAAGGCTGCATTAACTTCACATAAACACCTAAAACTTCACAGTAAATGATGACACAGATCCAACATGACTTTCAGAGTTTAATCAAGTATATCTTTTATGTTTTGCTGGGATTGGCCCATAATAAATGTGACAGAAAAACAGTTCCTTCAATCACCTTTTCAGTTCTCTATTTAAAAGTGCTGCCCTTCCAGATATTACGCTGTGTTTCCTGTATTGAAGTGAAACGTATTTCATGCCATGGATATCTGAAACAATCTACCGGGCGTGTCAGGTTAGTGTTGGTTTGAGGGGGAGGGCACTTTTCACCCACTTTGGTGGGGGTATGTTGCATTGCCCTGTGTGGGCTCTATAAGGCCATAAGTTTCCAGTAAGCTCTGCAGTGGCCTTCAAATGGAAAAAGAGGGCTTAGACCTCGTGCAGTATCACACAGGTTGAACAACATGTTTGTGCACAATGGTGCCCCCTCCATGAAGTAACTACAAATGCTCAGTGGCACTGATGCTATCAGGAGTTGGTACATAATGTGAGCATAAAAGTTTTCTTTGAGTCATTTTGTCTCATATTTCCTCATTGCTTTAAACTAATAGTGCAGAATTTAAGCATTGATCTTTTTAAAGGGTAACGCTTGACCAACAGTTTGTGGAGCAACAAAACTGGCAGAAGGAAAAAAAAAACAAGCTCTGTCGATGCATTCAAATGGGAATAAAACACCTTTTGAATGTTCCTCCTATGTGTGTTTTTTTCTGTAATGGGGCCTCACTGCATTTGTCTGATGCAACACCTTTGTGTTTTTGCACATCAGCCCCCTCCCACTCTGTATCATTTGTTGAGATCATTATTTTGCAGTTAGACAGTATGTTAATATGTGTATGCACAAAGCATAAAGGTGTTTTTTCTTTTGTCCTAAAGCCAGGCTAATGAATGAAGTCTTTTGTAATAGCAGTCAGCAGGCACTCTTGGCCATATTCACCCAAGACATAGTGAGAAAAGACCAACTAACAAGCAAGGACAAAGGAACCACAGCTTTTCAATAACAACAATGAAGAAACCCCTTTAGCATCAGCTCATTTGTTTCCATTACAGCAAGAAACCCCCCAAAACATCCAAACACCGCTTTAATTACAGCTAATTGGCTGTTTTGTTTACAGGCAGCATCCTTTTCGGTCTTCTCCTCCATATTTGCAGCTGGGAAGCAATATTTTGAGCATTATAGTAAAACCTAAGCTTGATCTTGTTATAAGTGTCTGCAGGGCCCTCCCACACACAAAAGCAGGTACTACAGGAAACCTCAAACCTTAGCCACACACTTTCAAACACATACGCTTTGCTATTTAACTCATTCTTTTCAGAGCCTTTGAGCCACTGGAGCACACACTAACGCTGCTTTTGAAACACCCTTCTTCTGTGTGTGCCTCAGAGAAGGAGAAAATAGAAAAATCATGATTAAAGAAAAGTCCAGCTGCAAAATGAAGCTAATTGAGTCTGTATGGTGCATCCATGTGAGGGCTCAAGTGTGTTTTATTGCCTCTAAGTATGTGTGTGTGTCTGAGTGAGTGTGATTCAGCGTGACTGTGGCTAGTCTTTGACCCTTTGAGACATTGATGGATGCTTGTGAATATTTGAGATGCCTCTCGCAGAGCCTCTGGCAGAACACAGAGAGACATGAGAGGAGCTAATACCTCTGTTCTCTATCTTGAATACTGTATGATTCTTTAGCATGCATGTGCACAAAGCATGAATTTAAATCAGCTGTAGCAGGGAGCAGTTTCTTAGGCTGATGACTTGGACGGTGCTTTGTTGGACGCTGCAGCAACAGGAGAGATTAAAGAGTTTTTCTGATTTAGTATTCATATTCTCCCAGCTGCTGTCAGAACATGGTGAAAGTAAATTTGCTGTAACTGTGTGTCCTTTTCTGAGTGCTTACTTTACATTTCAAACGTGTTTTTGTGTGCATGCGTACATGCGCAGGCAAATGATAGGATGAAGGATGAACAGGTGGCATAGCAGATAGAGCAGATGACTAGATAACCTCTCCATGAACTTTTGATTTACATATTAATCAAGAAGAGATATGCAGTCAATTCTTTCTTATGATTTGTTGAATTTTAAAAAGATTGTGTCAGATGGTAAAGATCTGGTAATTATACAGTTAATTTCAACCCACCAAATTAACACTGTAATGATAACAAGCAGCTTATTTAGTGCGGTTTGTTGAAGCAAAGCTTTTAAGATTTTCTAGTGACTTCCAAAAACCAAATACTGTTTGATGGAAATGTTGAAGGGAAACATTTTCACACCACAGACCGGGTTTGTATCCTGAATGTCATATTTGGTTGGGTTTTTGCAAGGCTGTAACTTCTGCAAAGTGTTAACCAAAACCTCAACTTCATGATGAACCGTTGAATTTTCTCATGACTTTACAGTGTGAGAACGTCAACAAGTCAGGCAAGATACATTTGTATGATTTGGCAGCTTGAAGCAAATGCTGTTTTGATTAAATAGAGGATGTGGCGGAAGATTAATCATATAAGTTAGTCAGAAAACTACATCAGAGCAACAAAGCAATGACATGGCGGCTGCTGGTGAGCAAATCTGCTCTGTGATACGCCATCAGTACACTACTATTTATTTGTTTGAGTCAACTAAAATATAGTCATGCAAATAAAGGAATTTGTTTTCTTTGTATGCCTCCAAATTTGTCAAAAAAATGATTATTCGGTACCTCCATTATGACAAAGAGGTGATTTAGCTTCAGCTAGCGGCTAGCCTGTTAGCCTAGCCTCTGTAACCAGTCAGGATAGTTGAGAGGGGATAGGCGCCCTTACTAAACGACCAATGACATGCTGCCACTAGATATGCTTTCGTTTTCAGTTTTTATTTGTTCTGCCAATGGCCAATTTTAAGTATTTCCATAAATACAAAAGGCATTTAACAAATATAGCACAGCACATGGCCGGAAAGGGGGCAGATAGAAGACAATGCTTATTTTACCTGCCCCTCACTAAAAACAATTAAGAACAATTACATGAGATGGTCTGTCCACTTCAGGTTATTTTCCTATAACTTTACAAATAATATTGCAATCACATAAAAGGAAACAAGCAAACAAAAGCAAAGTTAGTGTCCCCATTATAACGTATGCATATATCAAAACACTTCTCAGAATATAAACTGCAGCCTTTATCCGGATCCAAACCCAGATTATGGATTATGTGATCCGATCCACTGTCTATATCCTTCTTTTCTTTTGATTAACACAAATTTGAGATAAGATTGTATCTGGTTACTTTAGTTTAATTTCTTTGGCATAACCAGCCTGGCATATACATTTTCCGGTGTAAACCATGGCACAGTTTAGTCTTCTATTCTCCATGTAAAAATAAGCATGTCATTGTTGCATTGTTGACTAGATGCATTTTTTTCCCAACTCCCCTTGGGACGGGCACACGAAAGAGAAACAAACATTTTCCTTTCACTCAGCTTCCTGCATGGCAACAAAAGCAGGAAGGTCACTGAAGAGGTGTGAAAATCAGATCTACATTTAAATACAATAGGTGTAGGGAAATAATATGCATGAGGCCATATATAAAACTAAACTCAGCATGTTTTTTTCCTGCTTCTTATTCAACATCAATGCAGGTAGAAAATGAAACACCAGAACACATGCTAACACACACACATGCACATGTACACACCCTCAAGTACACACACGCGCTCATTGAAAAGGCCCCGGGGTGTCAAATAATCACAGCATCTATTTAAACAGGTAGCCTTGCTCAGAGGGGATAGAGTTATATATAACTGATGTCTTGCAGTGGGGAGAATTCATTCATCCTCTGCTTTCTGTGCAGAATTCAGAGTGCTGCAGGGTTCAATGCCTCTTAGACTGTTGTCTGTGATCACTCTGTAATTATTCCTCAGTGGAGCATGTATGCAGCGCTGTTTGTCATCCTGGAGTACATGATATAACATATCAAACATAATCTAAACCATATGAGCCATCATACATTAAGTCATATAACTTTAAAATGTTCATACTATTGTAACTCTAAGGTGCAAGGTGGTGTTCTAAGGTGCAAGTTGTGTGATATAATGAGATTTAATATGTATTTTAATGTATTACAATAGATATAATGTGATTTGATAGGTATTTTAAAATGTATTACAATTGTACTGTAGTTATGTTGCATTGTATTTGTAATGTACTTATCTGTTTGTGTATGTGTGGTTTTAAAACAGGGTCTCCTGGAAGATTAGCGTAAGCTAAAAGAGATCCCAAATAAAAAACAAACAAATCAAACTCTAGACAGACAATAGATTCATGTCATAACAAGGGGCCCCTTTTAAAGATTTGTTCTTCTTCCTGGTGTATAGATTTTTTAACCAATAAATTTTTTTTAACCTTTTAGAGCCACTGAAGGACTAAACCATCTAAAGCACTTATGTTGTAATTGAGTAAAAAAGTTTGATTTAAAAGACTTTAAAGGTATTATAGCGGAGGGCTAGTTGTTTGCTGTATTTTGTTATCACTGCTTGATATTTGAAAATTTTTTTAAGCCTGTCCGGCAAAAAGGGAAGGAGTTTTAAATGTATCAGCTCTAATCTGCATGATATATTTTCTGATTATTTAGTTTTTATTACTAATTTCGTGGATTGCACATTCATTTAATTTTTTTTCAATTTTCATAAACTTCATTTTCGGCAGAGGGGCATAGGGGAGAGTGGGGTAAGTTGAGCCGCCCCCTGTTGCTTGGAAATGGTAAAAGAAATTGATCATGTGACCAAATATTTAGAAGATGGGCATCAATTCATGGTTCAAAGCACATGGTAGACGGGGTTAGACATTTATTTCCAAAACAACATTTTTCACTCTTGAAAGTGAATTTAGTCTGTCATAAGTTTTACTAGAATTGTGTTCAGACTAAAAAAGATCATTTTAAATTTGTTTTATACAGACAGACAGATTGTTGAAATGTGTTACTCTTTCTTTCTTTTCTTTCTTCATACAGCTGTGGATGTTCTGAATCACTTAAAGGCATTCTCATGTTAAAATGGCTTTTTACAGAACAGCTTTTTAGCAGTTATATGCAACAATAATAATAATTATAAAAAGAATTATTGTACCAGTTGAATAGTGTAAAATAGATTAAAAAAAAATACACATGAATGTGAAGAAGTGACTTTTATTTAGGGAGAGAGAAGGTGAGGGAGGGCCGGAGTGGGGGTAGGGGGGTAGTAGGGATACGGCTCAACTTACCCCACTCCTATGGTCAACTTACCCCCATGGGTAAGTTACCCCATGGGTAAGTTGACCATAGGAGACCACTTTTGGCATGCTATATTATCAAGACAGTTATGTTTACACTTATTCTGTTGGTTTGCAGGGATGCACAACATCTTGAAATATATGCAGATACACTAGTTAGAGACAAAATTATGATTGCATTGATGTAGTGATTCGAAATATGAAAAATGGCTGATCTTACCCCACTCTCCCCTACTTATCAATGTAATTTATGGAGGTAGCATGATTTGGAGTTCTGCTGCCCCCTAGTGATTAAAAACAAATACATACAGGTACAAGTCATTTAATTTTTAAAACCAACAGTTTAAATGATTTTGTATGCAGTCAATTTTTTTCTTTTGCCATCTGCTGTGTACTTTGGTGTCTCAAAAACAATAAGTAAAAAAAAAACTGAGTTGCCCTTTAAAAGATTATCATGTTAGACCAACAGACTTACGTTGCACTCTATTGCAGGTTTGCAGGTGCAGTTACGTTGACATGTGGGAATAGACATTTTGAGGTGTAATTTTCAGGAGACTACAATCCCACACATGAAATGTTGGACACACACACACACACACACACACACACACACACACACACACACACACACACACACACACACACACACACACACACACTTCCATGGTCCATCCCCCTCCTCCGCTCCTCTGTAAACGTCCTCGGAGGACTCGAGACGTTTTCATTGGCCGTGGCGGAGAGAGAGGAGGAGGAGAGACCGACGGACTGGCTCGAATTCCTCCGCGCTCCTCACATTTCTTCAAATCACGGACCTCCTGCTCTCCTGCTTTCCTCCGTCCCGACACTCATCCACTAGACCAGCTCCAGCTCCTTCCTCTTTCTCCTTTTTTCCTCCTCTTCCTCCACCTCCTACGAGAAGCTTTCCGAGCGGAGCTGCTGTTGACAAAATGGTAACACTGAACTGCAAAAGTAGCGTTTTTCCATTTTAAGTTTACTCCATCTGATGTGAAGCTGGTAAAGAAACGGGTGTAATTGTTTAATAGTACTCTAAATCTGACTTTTCCCCCCCTTGTCTCGTCTTTTCGTCCAGATGTATCGAGGTATCACCGTGCTATGTCTGCTGGCCCTGGCTGTCTGTAATGCCGAGGTAAGTTCGGCCGTTTCTTGACTCTGAAACTTATAACCAAAAGCTTTTGTTTTGTATAAAAGTGGTTTTAAATGCAGCCTTAAATGTGATAAAAACGCTTCCTTTCCTTTTCTTCAACAATTTTGTTCACATAGACGAGCATTGAAACATCTGGAAAGCGGTTATTATCCCAAACAACACGGTGCTGGGGCGAAAATAAGACACTCATGGCTGGGTTTTTCAAGACTACACTCAGCCTATAGCTTGTTATGGTGTTTATCTTCTTAAAGAGAGCCAATTATACATTTAGTATTGTCACTCTGCGCAGTTATGAGCTTCATTGTTGAGAAAATCAGACTCAGGCTTTAACTTAATTGCTACTGGGAGATTATCTCAGCTGGGACATCTCCCCTTATCCTATCATATTATGGTTTTAAACGTTTAAGGGCTTTTATTTGAGGGTGTGACGGACCACATACAACCAAAAATGCGCCTGTGGTTTTAATTGTAGAGTTTTGAAGTTAAAGCTCAAGACAAAGCTGCCAGAGTGACCCAAAAGTGACAGACAGCTGTGAAAAGAAAAGAGGGGAGGGCTTGTGTTTGCTGGCTCTGGGGGTTTGATGGCCCTCATCATCAGTATTGTAGGATTTGGAGGCGAAATGCTCCACCGCCTGGCAGCTGCTCTAATGGCACACAAACAGCTTGTTTGGGTGGTCAGAGGGACGGAGAGCTTGTGTGTGTGTGTTTGTTGGTGTACTCAGGGGTGGTGAGTGTACTCAGAGGCTGTGAGAATGCTCACCTTATGGGTCTCACACTAGAGCGCTAAGTAGTGCAGCCTCTGAGCAAACATGTGGATGATGTGCTGGACTGGCGGTGAGGGATCATCCGGTCATCTGAACTCCCTGTTAAAAAGGGAGAGAAACAAGTGTTGTTTGAGTGGAATTTAAAATAGTTTAAGAAGCTGGAAAGCCAAATACAAATCCAAACAATCAAGACCTGCTAAGAGTATGATAAAGGGTGTGAAGAATGGAGAACCATACCATATGATACAACACTATACCCTTCAATACAGTAGGATACAATACGATAAGAAACCATATGATACAACAGCATATGATATGACATAATAGGATATGAGATTTTGTATTACACGACATGATACGATACCGTATGATATGAACACATATGATACGATGCCAGGTGATATAGTAGCATTCATTACGATAAAATAAAATAGGACTTGATACCATAGGTTATGATACGATACAATATTGATTGTGTCCGAGGGGAATGTTTCTCTTGGACTTTTTCAGCGTTTGAGTTACCTTGGAAGTCAGTCCGAGCTGAAAATAATGTCACACCCGAGTTACCAGCGTTTCGGTTACCAAGTCGGAAAAATGCAAAATTGAAGGCGGAAACAAGATGGCTACATGAACGAAAGTTATTTTAGCGCTCGCCTAGTGCTAAAATAACTTTCGTAGATGTAGCCATCTTGTTTCCACCTCTGATTTTGCTCCAACTTGTTAACTGAAACGCTGGGAACTCAAGTGAGACGTCATTTTCAGCTCCGACATCTGACTTCCTAGGTAACTCTAACGCATCATTACTCATCTTGCAAGCTCCCGTACTCTACCTAAAACTGCACCAAAGTGGTTATTGTTAAACCATTTTTCTGTCAAACATACAAAGACACCCAGAGGCCATTTGAACACCAAAAAGGTTGATGTTTCGCAGGCGTTGAAAAAAGAACATAGCTACCCAGTTTAGTGTGACTCTTCATATATTGGATATTCGTGGAGTGTATTATTCAGCACTATCCCAAAAAGCTACCATTCAGCTTTAAGGAAAATAAGAGCATCCTAGTCAACATTGCGTGCACACTCTAGGTGTAATCAATGACGCTGTAAGCAAAGCATTTGGTGACTCACCATTCAGTGACCACTTTAAACAAATCACTTTCAGACGTCCTGTTCTCTGGTTCCTCATCTGATTGAGACTCATGATTCTGAAAATACTTGTTGACGCTGAGTTCGCTGATTGTCGGCTGTTCCATTGCCGTGCAGCCACACAGTCTTAAAAATGAGCCGTGTCTTGGTGAATGTTTTGTCACAGTAACAAACTTTCGTAATCACCTCTCAAGTTTGACAGGGTTTGTAATGAGGTTTTTTTTACTTTGCTAACATGGATGGATTTTTACTATTTCAAGCCAAATTTCCAGAGGCTTTGAGTAAACACCAGGTGGTGATTGATTGTCTGTCACAGCTGTTGAACACCTGGCTTTGTGTTGACTCCTCTGTTGACCTGAACAACAGTTGCAGGCTGAGGGACTAAACAGAGGAATAGCTGCAGCCTAATTACAGGATGGATTTTTCAAGCACTTGTAGCTGCGCCAAATGTGCACCACAAGATAAACCAATTGTCTGCTGCCCGATCCATCTTTATGGCCTTACGCAGATGGCCATTAGTGTCTCTACTGCCACAACAGCCTGACGTCTAGGCTGACCTTCCGCTGCTGTCCCTGCTTGCAGGCAAATCAGCCAGCAGACAGTCATAGGAACAGCAATAAAATGTGGGTTTATTGAATTCACGGTGTTGATCTGTGAGGTATGGCATGGCAAAGACAGAGCACACAGAAGAGTCTGTTGAATGTACCCACTAAGTTAATAGTGAAGCATTGAAGAGGCATCTATTCTCCGAAGGTAATTACCCTGATAATATACGGCCTGTTGACTTGCCATGGGAAGAGCCTGAAGTGGCATTCCAGTGTTGCTGCAAGTTGGAGCGAAGCTATCGCAGAAGATGATCTGATGAGCCTCCAGTGTGTATGTTTAACAAGGAGACACGTGTTTGAAATTGTATACACAGTGAAAAAAGAGCTGGAAAAAATGACAAAAACAGGACTCTTTGTGTGTGAATTGATGTGTTTACTTCCTGGTGTGAGCGCAGGTTATTAAAATCTGGACACCCACTCCTGATTTATTATGAAGGACAATGCCTGTGTGCTTCCTGAGGTGAAAAATTGCAGCGTTTGAAGACAAGCAGCTCAGAGATGAAGTGCTGCGGGGTGGCCTGGGTCGGGACTTTGTGCATAAGAATACGTGTGTGTGTGAGTGTTCGCAGGCTGGAAAGGAGATAGGCATCTTGTGAATAAAATGTTGAAGTCAAACACACGGGAAGCTTGATATGCAAAGAAGGTCGAGATGCAGGCTTAGTGAAAGTCACAGGAGTTTGCAGCCCCGAGGGAAACATGTGTGAGCACACACTTGCATAGAAACACAGAGAAAGGAAAGAGTGTTTGTGTTTCTGTTTTGCGTTATCTTGTTATCCAGCATCATCCACTGTGACTGGGAGGAATGACACAGCGGCTAATTAAGTTATCTTGACTGGCTCTTGGTCCTGGAAAACAGAGATGTCAACAAGGCAACCAGACCGCATCCCCTCTTCTGTCTAAATGTCCAAAAGCAGAGAGGCAGAGGAGGAAAAGTTGAAGGGAGGGAGAAGTCTATAGGGTCTGAACCTGCAGGTTCTGATTGAGCCCAGAAACCCTGCTATGTTGCCATGTTGATGCCTGCTTCCTCTAATTCAAGGAGGACTAAAAATACCCAGCCAGGTGTAGGGAACATGAGCAAGAGGGGACGTTGTGTCCTCTGTCTGTTTCAGCTTGCTCTAATTACTGTAGCCCAGCATCCAGTCATGGATCCTGTACAGGCTGAGGAACTGAAGTGATGTAAACCAAAGTGGAGATGGAGCCACAATCATGCAATTACAGCTGGGGAAACAGAGGGTGAGGTAAGACTTGGCTGTGGAGTGAGAGGGCAGAGGGACACAGAGAAGAGGGGGGTGATCTGCGTTTCATGTCCCTGCAGTGTGTACTCTTCACTCTTGGCTTGGCTTAAAAGGAGCCCTCATTTGGCGTACCAGCTGTGCTGGTGTCTTATCATTACCGGTGCTCTGCACTAAAGGCTTGACACACATAAATTAACACGCACACACAGATGACAAAGAAAAGCATGAAAGAGTACTCCAAGGGCTTACCTTACTCATGCTCACTAAAAGTGAAGCATGCACAAAGGTGGAGAGGACTAAATTAGACTCCTCAGGTGTGATGATAAATCACTGCTAAAATATGCGTAGATGAAGTGATCAAAGACTTATTATCGTAAATACAGAGAGGATGAAGCAATCCGTGTGCCTGTGTAAAGGATTTGCAGATGGATGAATTGAGCCAATAAAGCTGACTAAAATGCAAACATATTTTTCTTTTTATTCAGAGGGATGGATTGTTTTAAATGAGTTAAATACATTGACTTATGGAGTTTGGGATCAATAAAGTCTATCTATCTATCTATCTATCTATCTATCTATCTATCTATCTATCTATCTATCTATCTATCTATCTATCTATCTATCTATCTATCTATCTATCTATCTATCTATCTATCTATCTATCTATCTATCTATCTATCTATCTATCTATCTATCTATTATTCAATATAAAACTATCAGATCATTCAGTTGTTTTGTTGTAGTTTTATTGTGAGTTAATACAACTGAATATATTGGCCTATGAAACCATCACAAACCATCGCATGACTCTGAATGGGATGTAATATAATAATATTTGATAATAATATTCTATTGTGATAAAACACCCTGTCAGAAAAATCAACCATTTTCCAATTGTTCACCTCTTATTAAATTGTGGTGTGGATCCCTGTGATGCTGTTTTTTTTTTTTTTTACCTTGCTTTCAAATTGCAAGAACATTTTTGGTATAACTCGTCAGGCAGAAACCTCACACAACCCATTAACCTCCCCCAGAGACCATCTTGCATTCAGCAGCCCGTGCAGAGGACGCACCCTGAGATCAGGCCCTGCATCTGTAATGCAGTTTACTTGGCAGTGAGGGGGTCACTGCGGGATGAGTGATTAACTAGCTGCCATTGTTCTTGCCAATTGTCATTGTTTGAATTCCTCCAGCTTCACCCAGAAAACCTTGACAACAGCTACAGAGACCAAACAGCTCATTAACACAGTTTTTCCCCCAAAAGTGGTTCATGTTACTGTGTTAAATTTTTTGTGGTGTGGAAGATGAGACAGCAGGATATTTTTTTTGTCATGGGTACCGAACAGCTTAATCTGCAGTTTCAGTGTGTTCAGTTTTGTTGTTTTTTTTTTTTTCCTAGAGCTGTAAATCTCAAACAATTTTTTCACTCCTGCATTCACATTTTTTATTTTGATTTGCTGCTTTTATGTTGTTAAAAGATGTTTCACTCAGAGTTTTTATCACAACAAGGACTCAATGCCATGTCACCAAAACAGTCAATAAAAAGTCAGAATTGATGCCCAGATAATGTTGCCCGGGAAATAAAATAACTACAGTTCTGAAATATACTGAAAAATATCAAATACAAAAGTGGTTATTATGTAGACAAAAATGCCACTGTGGTTCTCAAAATATCACACTGTATGCACTTAAACAAATTATTTACATGTTTAAAAATTTAATGTGTAAGCTGCACTTTATAGACATCTGGGTGGAGCTAGTTCTTGGTCTATTTGGAGTTAGAAAAAAGTATGAGTATATAAAAAGTATGACAGCACTTTCAGTTTCAGAGAATAGCAGTATTTTACATGTATCTATGTGTGCTATTTTAAAGGTAATTTTGCTTTTATTAGACAGGACAGCTGGAGAAAGACAGGAAATGTGGGGGGTTAAGCGTGGGGGTTGACATGCCGCAAAGTTCGTGGCCGGGAGCTGAGCCAGTGACCGCTGTGCTCAAGACTGTTGCCTCTGCACACGGGGCACGTGCTTTTAATACCAGGCCAACAGGGGTCAGATTTTGAATCCTGATGGAAAAAATTAGCAGATGGATCAAAAAGAAAGAAGACTTAAGGAACAGAACAGTAGAAAGTGTGGAAAATAAGGTGCACGTGTAAAGCATGTCTTTTTATGTGAAGCATTGATGAATCTGTGCCCCCTACCTTGTCTTCACTTAACCTTAGAGGGGCACATCAGATCAGCACATTTGGTGTAGATGAGAGATGAGATTTTGTAGAAAAGCCTGAGATGAACTACATCATCTCATAACCCCAATCCTATACATGACAAGGACAAGCAACAAACCCTGATTCCTTAGAGGCATTTTGGTTCTTATAAAGTTGAACCTAGTCTTTCTTTGTGATCTTTTCTTGTTGTGTTGGTATGTGAAAGTTGAGTCAGACATGAGAGAAACTGACAAGTCTGCAAAGACTTACAAGAAACAGACAGAAATGTGTCTATTGGTTGTTTTTCAGACCCTGTTTTTTAAATGCATGGGCCACAGTCCCGCTGACTCCCTGCAATGAAGAGGTTTTAGATGTCTGCTGACACTGAACCCATCCTGCAGTCTGAAAATGGGCCTTTTTCCTCCACAAACATGTTCCAGCCATTAGCCCCAATACTGGCCTCAAAGAGAGAGCAGAGAGGAGGGCAGGGAAGCTACTCATTCCCCTGGACTGAGCCTAGCAGGGACCCTCCCTCCCTCCTTTCCTCTCGTTCTCCCCTCCTTTCCTGGCAGTGGAAAAATGCCCAGAACATAGCAGGGGTGGAAGAAAGGAGAGGAAAGTAAAGTGTATGGAGAGAAAAAGAGAGCAAAGAGTTGGGCAAAATAAGAGATAATTACTGTGAAAAAAAACATGTTTAAGTTGTTGAAAATATGTACTTTTTAACGGTAGTTTTGTTTGGGACTGACATGTGTCAGGTGATAGGGACAGGGGACACTTTTGTCCCAGCAGTGTGTCGAAAAAAAAGGGGGTATTTGGTGTGGTGCAGTGTTTGTTGCATTTTATGTTCTCCAGTGACGTTTTAACTGCTAGCAGATGTGTCCCTGCCCAGACCATGACTTATTTCCTTTTCTCTACCCTTTCTCTTTCTCTCTCTCTCCCTCTCTCTCTAACGTTCTCTGGTTCTTTCCCTTCTTTTGCTCCAGTTTAACTTTGCCTCCTTTGTTTCTTCATTTTCTCAAAGTTCCTAGTTCGTTGCTCTTCAGCTCTTGAAACAACGGGGCTGGTGGGTGTAAAAGAAGAGGCTGCAGACGGGGGTGACATCATCCTGTCTGTTGGTACATTCCTTTCACACTGAATAAGAAACAGAGAGAAGAATAACAGCGCAAACTGGTGGCCTGTTCGGATCCTTTTGTTTTTGCAGGTTTAATCTCAACACAACCGCCCCCCCCAAGAGCTCATTTGAGACCACCCATAGAGTCTTTACATAGCACTCATATCTTTAGAGCCCTCTCAAATTAGTCTTACTTTGGCCTCATTATTCCAAGGACACATCCTGCCAGCTCCACTATCCGCTCATTTCCATAGAAATCCATGAAATACTTAACAGGCATCTCGGCAGGAAGCATGTCAGGAGATAGTGTCATTCTGAGGTTGGATGTGTGTTTCACAGCAGAGGCTTTTTGTACGTCTGATCTCAGGCGGCTGTCAAGTCAAGAAGAAATGAGTCTGAACCTGATTTGATATGTATGAAGACTTAGTTGAACAGATTCTGAAAGAGGAAAATGTGTGAATAATTAAGGGCAAATTCTACAGCTTTCTGTAGTGATTCAAAAAGGGAAGTCTGTGATGTTGCTCCCATGTGAGAAAGTTCCTTAAAGACGGAAACTGGCACATCGTCTGCGTACAGTCAAATAGGAGTGTTTCTCAGTCGTCTTTGGCTGTGCTCCACTTCTCTTCCAGTAAGGCCCGCTTAGAGCCAGAGAGAAGCAAGAGATAGAGCGTTCTTCGTGCCTTGAAGTAGACGAGCTGTTAACTTGGAGCCCTCTTTCTTCGTGTCCTTTTTTTCTTTTGCTGCTGGCGCGAGCCCACGACTCATGAAGCTGATGAGAAGTGGACAGTACAGAAGTGGAGAGACAACACTCAGGAAAAAGTGGGAAGTGCTGGAGAGGGGGAGAAAAAGCATGGGGCACCTCTCTGACCTAGATACTCGAAGAGATTTTGGCTCAAGTCGAACTCTTTCGGACCCCAGCTGAGGCGCAACATAGCTCAGGAATGCACCCACCCCAACTCCTGATTTTCCTTTCCCCCACTCTATTATTCTATTTGAGAGTAATCAGAAACACACTCATGAAACACAAGGATGCATTGTAGGGTTAGAGCAGGTTCCTTTTCTCTGTGCACATCTATCTGAGTGTTGCAGCAGTGAAATACTGAGTTTAAGGAATTAGGTCATTGTATGTCAGGGATAAACATTTATAAGCATACTGCTAACAGTCGTGTTACGTTTAACAGACTTTACTACAAATCAAAATAAAGAGTGTTTTCAGGCTTTGAACTAAATGTAAAATGTTTAAGAACTTGTTCAGGGCTGCTTCTTGAGACTTTGCCAATCAAATAATTAAAATCCTAAAGGAGCCTCATTACTGCACACCACAGTACGCAGGGTGATTCACAAGCAACAGCAGTCAGTAAGCTTTTTAAAACCTGTCCCAAAATGACCCTTGATCGAGACTGATGTTTTCACTGTTGGCAAAAACTCTTGAGGTCTTGCTCGCCCAAAAACAAACTCGGGCCCTTTGACTGAGGTAAAAACGCTGAATATTGTAGCTTTATGTTAAAAATCCGTGTTTAGTTTTTGACAGGCACAGAAGGGGCTCTGAGCTGAGCTGCTTGGTTGACCCCATTATAAGGTTGGGCCTCCTCCATATTTATCGTCAAGGTGTTGACTTTGCACTGATTTATCCTCATGAATCCCCCCAAAACTGAAACAGTCATTTTAGAAGTGTGAACTGAGCTGCCCCTAGCTATGGCTAAAGCTGTTTTTCTGTTTCCTAAGGTTGGATTGCTAATACCCTTTATTTGCTGGAAATAATATATGGTTATACAATTACTAGAAATATCACTAGCTCTGTCGCAGAAGCAAATTCAAATAAGCAATCCCAATTCAGTTAAAATTTGGACTGATTGGCTACGAATAGTTGAGTTGCAACTGAATGTAAAGCTGGTAACAAGTTCTTACTTAAGACTGATGTGTGTCTAACAGATAAAACACAACATGTCATTTAACTCTTTATTAAAAGAGACAAATAGTCCAAGAAACTTCATTTAACAGCCAAATTTGCATTGACTGACATAGTTTTGATTAGGTACAGCAGAAAACCAGCTTAAAGTCATGAGAGGGAACAGCTAAAGAAACATCCACAATTAGGTGAATTTACAGCAAACTAGCACTGTAATGGGTTTGTCTACAAGGCTACTCATTTAAACAAACAGTACTCACTAAAATCCCCTCTGCTTAGTCCTAACTCTTCTGTTTTTGACCAAACCAGACCAACTATTCTCACCTCTTTCTTTTCTTTGTGCTAAGCTATGCTAACCTGCAGCTAGCCATGGATCATATTTACCACACAGACGTCTAAAGAAAGTGGTGGAAACGTCCCCTCCTCTCTTTGAAAGTGCAAACTCATTCCCTAAATGTCAAATATGTGAAATGATAAAAAGTTCAGCACTACTATTCTGTTTTAAGTTTGAGTATTGCTGATTATAAATTTACCAAAAATAATCTCGTTATAGAGACAGAGTGATGCCTTCAGGACACAGTTGGAAGCTTTAAAGTCTGTCTCGACTCCACAGCCTCATCTGTTCATGTCGGCGTCATTGTTATAACTCTATAATGAGTTCTGAAATGTAATTTCTTTGATGAATAACTGAGTCGGGGGGGTGAGTTTTTGTAATCATTTTCTCTTTTTTCTCGTTGCCGCAGCCCTTATTTTACAGACAGTGGTATGAAATTAAAACAACTGCTCCATTCAGATTGCCTTTTTATTGTTTGGTCGCAGTATTATCGTGACAGATCTGAAGGAAAAGCCTCTTGAGTGGCACTCAGACTGGAAATGCACATTACAGTCACAAACTTGTGTATCTTCTTAAACCTGTCAGGGACAACTTGTTTTTAATAATGCAAGCTGTCATTTAGCAAAATGTTTAATTTATGAAAACATCAGACTGCAGACGTAACTGTGCCTCGGTGGAAAGAGGAGAAATGTCAGGTTATTTGTTGCATTTGATCTTTTATGAGGAGGTGCCGGCTGCTTAAACGTATTTACAAAGCTTTTTTGTATTCAGTTATGGTTGAACCTGTCTCTCAGAGATGCTGATGCAACCAGAGCTGAAACACCTTTCACCTCCATGTAATGCAGTACATCTCAATATCCCGGAGAGAACAACCTCCAGATGAGCATGGTGTGGCATCAACGTCTCACTTACAGAGAGTGTAAACTTGAATTTTAAAGATTCAGTGCTCGTTAGATTGGATGGTATTAAATCAAACCCTGTGTGCCCAATAAACCCATTAAGCTGATTAAACTGATTCTGATCGCAACCAAAAGGCGCAGCGCGGCATAATCCATTCACAGAAATAAACTGGTTATTGAAGACATTACGTTTCTGAGCAAATTGTTTCATACTGTTTATCACTGTGGGGGCATACATGGCAGGGTGTTTACAATCAGTAAGTCAATGTTGCTTATGCTAATGAGGGGACCGGGTGCATTGTGGGTATGGATTCACGGTGGCTGTAAAATGACACCCAGAGGAGGGAAGCATTGATTGGCCAGCTGGATCAATGAAGCAACACAGAGACACACACGTACGAACACAAACGCACAAAAACATGCCGTTAAAGGCCGATGTGCTCGGCTAGTTCCACTGCTGTGTGTATGGAGGGATGCAGAAAGACGTGTAGATGGATGTTCTAATGGGATTTTAATGTCTTAGCGCCTTCAGATTCAGCCGCCCTGCTGTTTCACTGCATACGTACTATCAGAGATGGAAAATGAAAGAGGCTTTTCTGTTTTTTGCTTACTTTAAGGAGAATAAAATCTGTCCTTTAATTCCAGTTAGCCTCAACATAGGGCCGGTCAACATGTGGCAGGGGAGAGTTTTAACCACCTGCCTTTTCTGCTCCCGTTTCTCAGCAGTCAGACTTCTTTTTCTCATTCCCCCTCTCTTTGCTCACTTCTATTTTTCCTCCCCTGACTTCTGTCTAGCCCTGCAAAGCTCGTCTCGGCTCAGCGGCACGTCTCTTGCAGCCGTAAAAGGCCATGGCACTGGGAATAAGACAAGGCAGAGAGAATGAAGCTACACTGTACTTCAGATAGGAAGAGGGAAGTATGCACTGAGGGTGTTGAGAAATATCACTTCAATCTCCTAATCTTTTTGAACCGCGTGATGAATAGATTGAAGCAGAGAGAAATGGTGTAAAAAGAGGGGCAGGAGTCTGGGAAAATGAGCAGTAAAATGTGCATAAATACAATCATGTCTTTTGCTGGAGGCAGCTCTCTTTATGAAGGGCGCCGGTCTAATCTGTAATGATTCACCAGTCACTTATTAGGGCTCCAGCTCCTGTGATTGGTTTTGAATGGGAGGGAAAGAAAATGAGGAGTCTTTGTTTATTGTTTTGAAAAATTGATGCCATTTAAGTAGGACACCCACTGTGGGTGTGTTTGTTTTTGTTGGAGCTGGCTTTGTACATTTATCGCTAATGTCTGCACAGATGGTTATTGAGTAAATATTTATGTTTATATTAGTCTAATATCCATGCTATCCATGGGGGGTTTAGGAGAGCCTGGATTTGATCGTGTAAACATGTGAAACATGGAAAACTGAAACCTTGGCTTCGAGAGATATGAGTAAGTATCCACTTACTGCGGTGATGGAATAATACCTTTTAGAGAAACCAGGACCGCTGCAGTGCGGTCAACTTGACCTGCACACAGGAACTCAGTTTACCACCAACAGCTGGTTCACTGGCGTAGCTCAAAGATTGTGAAAATCAGGCAAAAAGTGTGTCTCTGTCTGAAGACTACAAATGTTGTCTACCAGGACCTCTAAAACTTAAAGAAACTTTTTGAACACTTTCTGATATGAATGTGTGGTGGTCACTTGGCTGCCAGGGAGTCGCAGCTTCTACCGACAAAAAAGGAGCGGTAATGAATTTTTTCTTCAAAAAATGAGACAAAATCACTTATAATTTTCTCTTTTTCAACAGTGCTAAGTTTACTCTCCATTTCCAGTCTCTACGCTAAATTAAGCTAAGCTTGGTAAATCTGTACTGTACTGAACTAAGACAAGCTAAGCTACGCTAACTGGACATCAAGTCGAGTTTTGAGTGTACAGGTTGGAGGATGATTTCAATGAGACTGTCACAAAATCAGATTTTCTCTTAGTGATTTTTGTGACCATAAAATATCCCAGTAACTATATTATCAGTTGAAAACTTGAAAATAAAACAACACAATCATTCACAGTGAGAAGACGTCTTATTAAATAATTGTTGTCATGCTTTTATTTTGACATCTTTTCCCTCTTGAGTCTAAGTTGCTTTAAATCCTGCATTGTCAAACTATACTTTTATTTTGAAGTATGCTACTGCCAGAAGATTGTTTCATTATGGGACTGAGTGAAAACAATTAAAACAACAGACAGTATAACAGTTAATTTGACTGCTATTACTGTATGCCTATTTTTAGCCTAATATCAATATTAGACAGTTAGGGTCGATAGCGGTATGTCATGACAGCCCAAGCTTCAATTTTTTCATCCACAGAAAAGCTAAGACTATTTTACTCTCAAGTTTTATTTCCTTTTCTGTGTGTATAATTTAGCTTGATATGTGGTGAAAGTGTAGTGTGACAGTTGTGAAGAGTGTAATATAATCAGTGGTTATACACTGGTTATAGGTGCTGTAGTCAAGACCACTTGAACCAAGCCACAGTCAAAACCTGACAGAGGTGTTTAAGGACTGTGATGAAGTCCAAACCACCCTGGTGGTCTTCACATACAAGCTCACAATTATATAAGATTTAAAACACAACAAAATGCTGCAAACCGCTTTTTTAATATTCAATTTTCAACTCTCTGTGCTTCGTGTAGCTAAATTCTTAAACACGTCTGCTTTTGCACAAAGCTTTATTACTTATTTTCTGTACTTTTTTTGCTCAACTGTCTTCTTTTTTTCTTATTTTATTCCTGTTTGTATTAATATTTATATATTCCCAATGTTATGTTGTGTTAAAGAGCTACTATAAAAACAGAATTTCCCCTCAGGAGAAATACATTATTTCTCATTCTAATTCCGATGTTGCATAAATAAGCAACAGCCAGCCAGTCCTTTAAATCATCAGAACAATTCACATTTCCCTTTAACATCCACAGATGAATATTAAAATTCCTGTACATGAGAAATCACTGAGACCTTCTGGTGACCAGTCTCAGACAGAGCAGAGATTGACTTTTGAAAAGTGGCTTTGAGTCTGTAAAGACTTTACTTATTCACTGAAATGTTTTATCGTTGTTGCTAAGAATTTTACTGCTAGTATCTGCTTATACTCAAGATTTACCTTTTTGTAAGTCTCGCTCCTGGACTGAGTGGTAAACTTGTGGCAGTAAGACGACCAAAAACCTGCACACATCTGGACACAGTGTGATAAAACGCTTGTTCTCATGATTTCCCGTGAAGGTCTTTTCCAGAATTATGATGAAAAGCTGCTTTTAACTCGAAACCGGGACACTAGCATGCGGTGACCATCCAGGCTTTATTTATGACCACAAAAGGTAGTCTCACTTCCCAGCTCCCCTGTTTTCAGTTACTGTCAATCATAAAATCTCCACCACATGCTCTGCTGTGATCCTATTATGGAGCTCGGTTCTGTCTGCCTCTCGTGATTGACACCTCTGTGATCTTGTCACAACAGGAGCCTGTACATGCTCTCACCATGGCAACAATCCACTTGAATCAGCTGGAGGAAAAAGAGCCTGGTGCTTGTGTATTCATTAGCTAAATGTCAGGGATCCTCTGCTGGTTCTGCTCACTGGGAGAGATGGACGGAGAGAGAGTGGTGTATGTTTAAACCTGATTCATCTGAGGAGCACATCCATTATTCATGTTCTCATTGGAGGTTTCTACAGGTTTCAACAGGCTTGGAGCACATCTGTGTCTAACAAACTGAATTGTCCAACACTCTTAAAGCCACAGGGATCACTTTGAAGATTTTTCCATGACCTCAACTTTGGAGTGCAAGTGTGTGTGTGTATGTGTGTGTGTGTGTGTGTGTCAAAACCATGCATAGAAATGAACCCAAACTTCATAATCCCTCTCCCCTCACCGCTTTGGGGTTAAAGCTGCTACATTGCTAAACTCGCATGTCACTGCCTCCACCCTGCATCCATCTTGTTTCATTCCATCATAACTGAGTTTGGTCACAAGAATCCACCCTGATTTTAACCTACATACCAGAAGCCTGGACACGCTAACACACAGCCAGCTTCGGAGCCAGCTCACGTGCACTCACACACACAAGGCCAACTTTGTGTCTCACTCTTACAGGAAACAGCGGCTTACAGAGGGGGAGGAGGGGGAGTCTAGAGGAACAGGGAGGAGAAAAGATTTCACAGAGCATGGGAATGGGCCCAAAGGAAAACACAGCCCAGACTCCAGATGTGGAAACACCCTGTACACACACACACACACTCGCATATGTATACAAAAACACAGGGATAGAGAAAGGGGAGGTAATGAGGGTCATAAAGCAGCTCTTGGAGCTCTGCTTGGCACCGTGTGATTGGTTGGTTTCTTGCTCCAATGAACTCACTTTTTGGCGAGTCGACCGGCAATGTTCTTCGATAAACAAAAGATGAAGCAACACCGGTCTGAAAATGAGAAAATGAGGCCAGAAGAGAGATTGAAAGAATGAACACACAAACAACTGAAATGTTTGATCTTACAAAGCAGGGATTTTTGACGGACCCTTTAGTTAGTATGTTTTTCATTCTGTCCTCGCTCTGTGTTCGGTAAGTGCTCACATGCAGGGAAAATTGAGTTGTTTGTGTCACAGAAGGTTTTAATCTGCAGCATTTTCCCCGTTTTTCGTGCCGGAGAAAGCAGCTCCACTATTTCCATTCTTCTCTGAGTGGAGTATGGTCAGCTGTCACTACTTGAACAAAGTCTGGAATCGTTGACATGGCAACTACTGGCATATACAAGTGGGTCTCCACAAATCTCAATCAGTGCAGACTCTAAAACATGAACTCATAGTTTAAAAACAAGAAGAGGCAGCAGCTATGGAGCTCACTTACACATTTGTTATTGCAAAGACAGTTATAATAAGATTTTAAATTATTCATCTTAGTCCAGATGTGATTCAAAACACACAGTGATAAATAATCCTCTCAACTGAGAGATTGCAGTCATAAATCAAAGAGATTATCCCAATCATGCCAAGGAATATGGTTGGTTACACGAGGAGAAAATGTGCGTAATTTTAAGTGAGTCTGAGTCATATCCACAAATTAAAGCAATTGAAAAGCGATTATGTTGGAGGAGCGCCACCTAAAGGGACGGCACATGCAGGCTCTGCAGGATGGCTCAGAGTTCAAATGAACATCTTTTCATTTGGCTGTGATCAAACAAGCGGATGAAGATGCAGTAGAAATTAAATTTAGTGATGTTTGTGCATGAAGAGGTGGTTGTGTACTTTGGTAGATAGCCCACAGGTAATGTTAGGTAATTAAAAACATCAGGGTTCTTCATAGATGGCAACAAAAACTAATTTTGTTCTCCTCTCGCTGTCTTATAACTGTTGAGTCATTTTTAATTATTTTAAAGGCTAATAAAGAGAGCGTGCAGTGAGGCTGAAACGGTCCCTTTAGTTGTGTGACAGAGGTACAAATCAGATCAAACATAAAGGTGTCATACTTGATTTAAAAGCACGTGTTGGTAATGCATAACTAAATGTGGTTGACACCCTCGCAGTGCTTTCTAATGGGCTTTAATGGGACAACAGCGCCTCTGAGTGAGAAACTTGCAGAAAGCACTTTTAAAGTGTCAGCAATGTGTGTCCTTTCTTTTTTCAGGAGCTGCAGAGCAAAAGCAAAGTGTGTGCCAACGTGTTTTGCGGTGCCGGCAGAGAGTGTGCTGTAAATGAGAAGGGGGAGCCCAGCTGTCTGTGTATAGAGGTGAGTGTGGGGTCACATTACTACAATCTGAGAACATGTCAGAAATGGGGAAAAAAGAGTCAGAAAGAACATCTCCTTCCTTCTTTTCAGAGCTGTAAACCCCATAAGAGATCTGTGTGTGGCAGCAATGGTAAGACATACAGGAACCACTGTGAGCTCCACCGGGACGCTTGTCTGACAGGTCTGAAGATCCAGGTGGCTCATGACGGACACTGCCAGGGTACGAGCAGCAGCAGCTGACATCACAGCACAACATGTGACAAAGTTATCAGGGCAAAAAAATGGGAATGAGTTACAAAGAAGGAGTAAAAGGACCAGGAAAAATGTCAAGAAAATCTAGTTTTAAACCAACAAAAAACCCAGTTCTGTTGAGACTGGATGGCAGAATTTTAAAGAGCCATTTTCTCTCTTTGTATAGTTGATAAAAGTGCTGACAGCAGATAATTATTAGTGAATAAATGTGGTAACACAGTGCCAAAAGAGGATAAAGCACCCCTAAAATAATTCTGAAGTGTAGACTACTTGATGAAAACATGAGATTAGGTTTGCTGTAAAAGATAAATCTGAGGTGAATTAATTAATTGCTAAACTTCTGCTAAGGTCAGACTACTTCTTGTTAAAACAGAATTGTTTAAATGACTCAGTTATGTAAAGTTTACTGTGTTTTTCTTGTGGTGTTTCTCTTTGTTAAACAGTGAATTCCACTGATCATTATCTGTTCCTTTGTGCTGCGCAAAAAGAGATGAAACGTAGGAAATTACTCAAGGAAAAAAAAAAAAACTCTGACTTTGACAAAGCATTTTTACACCATCATTTTGCTCTAGCAGAAAGATATGTCGAGAAATTCTAGTTGAAGCATCAAGTCACTTAGGAAATCTCAGTGTGAGTTATGATATTTGAGAAGGAAACATTAAAATGAAATATCTTTGCAAAACAAGAAATCCTCGAGTACATACAGATATTTTTGCTTGAATACCCAAACAGAAATGTTATTAATGTAAAATATCCTCAACCTTATTATATGAAGCTAATTAATAATTGTAACGATTTCATATAAATACATATGTGTGTGGTCCATACAAATATACAATATAGGTTTCAAATAGTTTTAACACATATGGTCAAAACATATGTACTATAGAAAAATCAAACATTTATTTTTGACATTTATTGATTAAACATGAATTCAACATAAATGTATTTTTTTTCTACTTGCATTAATATAATATGTTTCATATACCGCCTAGGTAACAATTTACTCGAGGTCTATCTCTATAGCGCATTATAAATGTATGATGCGTTACAGTCATGTTATAACACTGTATAACTATAGTTATAAACACTCATAAATGATCATAATGCTTTATAGCAACAATCATAACACAATATAAAGCATTTTATCGTGGCTTACAAGGTCAGGTATTATAATGTGTTATGCTTATTGTTATAAAGCCTTATGATAATTAATGAGTATTTATAATGACTGTTATACAAGTTTATAAGCAAAATATAACACATCATAAATATATGTATAATGCATTATCTATTTGGGCATTGTCAGTGAGTTGTTAACAGTTATAACACATAGTAATACCTGACCTTGCAAGCCATGATAAAATGCTTTATAATGTGTTATAATTATTGCTACAAAGCATTGTGATCATTTATGAGTGTTTATAACTACAGTTATACAGTGCTATAATGTGATTATAACGCATAATACATATATTTATAATGCGTTATGGAGAAAGGCAGCAAATAAAGTGCTACCATGTTCTACATCTGCGTATATCCTGCGAATATTTGTAAGAGCAAAGAATTTGGTATAGTTATGGCACCATCACTCCTAATATGGACATGTAGTCATAGGTTACGTTTCCATGCAGATAAAGTTATTTTAAAGTATTTTTTGCACCTTGCTGCTAATATTTCTGACTGGCCAAACTCCATGACAACAGTTATTGCTTGGATAGTGAAGGCAACAAAAGAGTCAGCCTGATTACACATCACATATCGGATCAGTCTAAGGAGTCTTGGCACGTCTAGTATACTGTTAATGATTTCAGCTCTCACTGTTGACAATCTCACAAAGGCCCAGCTGTTTTATGGCACCAGCAGACAACACGGATGGTATTTTTGTTATTGCTCTTAAATGTTTGTATGAGAGTCACTACACACATGAAGTTAGTCAGAGCTGCGTATAGTTAGTCAGATGCTGCTGCCTTTACACGTGGTTTCTACTGATAGTCAGCTCTGAACCCACATCAATCCTCTCCTCTGTGTGGATATTAAAAACTTCATAGAGCTGAGATAAAAATAACAGTTTGCTGTAATAAGAGACAAAGCTCTGCTGAAGCAAAGAAAATTCTGGCCCTGCTGCGACTAGATTAATCTAACTGGTAGTTATAACAATGGTATTTTATAATACAGTTGACACAGAGTCACAGAGTCTGTGTTGTTGGAATTTGTTATTGAAATGCTGGAGAATAATATATTCTCAGGATTGGTCCAATATTATCAGGAAGGTCTGCTATTTTTTAATTTGGGCACATTTTCAAGAAAGAAAAGCAAAATTGTCAACATTTAGGCTCACCTGACTAACTGTGAGCGCTGATAGCACTTTGTGGCAAATGGAAACGATTGCTTTATAATCTCTGCCCATCTCCTATCTACTCGCTTGTATTCATATAACTGATACTTGGGGTCAACGGGTTGATAGAGTACCATATAAGGCCACCCACGTGTCCCGGCACAAAAACAGTGTGCTGCACTCACACTCCCAGCCTTGACTTTATCTATTAAAATGCATCTAATAGTAGTGTCTTATCTGGAGTGAACCTTTCACTGCTCACAGTTGGAGATGTCACAGTCTCTGTGTCCCTGCACGGCTGAACAGAGCTGTGGAAGAAAAAGTAAAGGAGACAAATAGTTATGTCATCACACTGTCACTTTTAAAGACCTTTGGCCAAGAGCTTCGGGACAGCAAAGTTTATCTTCATTGTACTGAATCAATGCTGTTTCATAAATGCAGAATTACTCTTAAAATTTGTGCTTTTTTTTCTCTATTTTTTATGCTTTAGAGAAGAAAACAGAGCAAGCAGCTGCCAGCCCAGGTGAGCTTGTGTGATTTTACTTGCATGTTTTATTTTCATGTTTATTTATGTTCTGGAAAGGAAAGTAAAATGAAAAACAATGAATGCTCTGCACACTGACATGTTTTCTTTTCGTATCAGTGTTACTTTGGTATCAGGCCATGATTCAAAGATGAGTTAGTGTTAATATTTGACTATTATCAAGGTGCAATGATTATTTCATTTCAGATGAACAATATATGACTCTGAATACCTACGAACAAAGAGGACAGATGTAAAATGACGGACAGCTTTTATCTGTTTGATTATTTATCTAAATACTGACTTATGGAAATGCTCTCGTTCCTGCAGTGGTTTGCTACGCTGCTGATCGCAATGAACTGAGGGGCCGTGTGATCCAGTGGCTGCAAACTGAGGTTGTCCCAGACGGCTGGTTTGTCAAGGGATCCAACTTCTCTGACATCCTGCTGAAATACTTCAAGGTGAGCTTAAAAAAGCGTGGACATTGTTCTTGAATAGTGCACTCAGTCGTTTTTATTCATTTCTACAAAATGGCTCAGATTATTTATAGATGTGGGCCTCCTCTGACCACACTGGTCCTTAGAGCCGACTCAGACTGTGTCTAATTATTCATGTGACAGACCTTTTAGGCCCATCAGCTGATGGCTGTAATTCAGTTTAATGAGGGTCTCTGTGGAGGAGGACCCCTGCCTCTCTGTGTGCTGACATGAATAAGATTACAGCAGAGGAGCAGATGGCTCTTTGAACAGTTTGTTTAAACAGCAGGGTTTATTTATCTGCTCCCATCATAAAAACATGCACATTACAGAACCTTCTTAAAACTCACTTTCTATTGAATCCACCACATGGCTTTCTCAACACATATTTATGTGATGGGTTTTTAATTATGTACACCGTCTTTGGCTCCTACTGTTTTCTAAAGGCTCTGATGTTCATTTAAATGAGCGAAGATGTTGCTTTCATGTGAAGATGATAGCCAGAAATGACTACATGATTGGATTTTTTCATGCTACAGCACCCATTTCTCCCCAAGCCCAACTGAATAATAATCAAATTAATACACGCTGTAAGCCAGGCTCCTACTTGACGTGACTTGACGCAAAAGTCACAAGATGATTGTCATGGCAACTGGTGTGCTCTGAATTTTGGATGGTGAGATTGGTTAAAGCACTTACCTGTAATTGCACATACTGCAAATTCTACTGAGATGTTAATTCTGCTCTTCTCTATATCTAACTGTATCTCTGCAGACATATGACAACGGTGATTCTCAGCTGGACTCCTCAGAGCTGCTCAAGTTCATCCAGCAAAATGACTCTGTGGTCGAGCTCCAGTCGTACGCAGACCAAGAGAGTAACAAACTCCTCAGGTTTGTGGGTCTTCATGCTTACATGAGTGCATATGAGAGCAGGGTGGAGGTACAAATGGCTTCAGTTCACAGTGTGTTATTCTTTTTTTTTGCCATTTTTACCTCTTCACTCCGGGAAACATTTTCCTCTGTGGCAGCGCTTGCACATACAGATCCATATCTGCCTGCTGCTGTGCTATTTTCAGATATGCAGTGCATTCAATGAACTTTATCTAGCCAGTGCAAACATTACAGAAGGCCCTCTGTGGGAGCCCAATCTGCGATAAGCACATGTGCTATGTGAAATTAAACTATTTCAACCAATCTGCAGTTGTGCAAAATATTTTTCTGGACTTCTGTTGGAACTGTGCAGACTTGTAACTTTTATCAAATCCATGTTTGCATGTATGGTTGTGTTTTCCAGGAGCCTTTGTGTCGATGCCCTCATCGAGCTCTCTGATGAGAACGCAGACTGGAAGCTGAGCTTTGACGAGTTTCTTAACTGCCTGAAGCCTGGCTTCAACCCCCCAGAGAAAAGTGAGTTTACAGTTTCAGTAAATACACCTTGACACATGGATGTACGGTTCATAAAGATGTACTAAGTTGCTCAGACAGCCCTGGTACCCAGCAAATGGTGGAACAGTTTCCTGCATATTTTGAGGCACAGTCAGAGTTTTGTGGTAAAAACTCTCGCCTGCCCAGTCCTCAGATGTTGAAATATTCAGGATAAAGTTCACGGGAAGCAAGGAGAAAAATAACATCCAGCAGACAGCACTGAAGCCAAGAGTTTCACGAGACTCAAGGACATACAAACACAAACTCACACGAGACACACACAAACATTTGGCTGGCTTTGTGTATTTACAAATTCCATGTTTAGCACATAAACAGGCTCTGGGTGTATCAGTGACCTTCAGGGCTGAAAAACATCTTAATTATGTCGAATTTATTTTGTCGTCTCTGAAAAACAAGTCTCTTTTAAAGTCAGTGGTAATTAGTAGATATGTTAGTTGGCTCAGATTTGCAGAAGATGGGCAAGTTTAAACTTTTTGATTTTAAAAAACTGAAAGGTCTCATTTAGTCAGATTTCGGTGTAATGCTGTTTCTGTGAACATTTCTGTGCAAGGTGAATTATCTGTTGACTCGACTGAACCCTTTTGTTATCCTACAGAATGTGCCTTAGAGGATGAGACATACGAGGACGGAGCAGAGACCCAGGTTGAGTGTAATCGCTGTGTTTGTGCTTGTGGCAACTGGGTCTGCACTGCCATGACCTGCACTGGTGAGATAAAATACCAGATGAGTTTTTATGCTTTTAATTAGTTTGATCATTTCAGGAAACTTAACTCTTACTCATTTTTTAGGGCGTCCTTTCGTGACGAAAAACAAACTCTACGTATCGAGCAGGTGTAGACGTTCCTGTTTCTTATATTGTGCATCTCACACATTTTTGACTCTCCTCTTATCTTTGCAGACAAAACAGCAGCTGTGGATGAGACAGCAGATGCTGGGGCAGAGATGACTGAGGAAGAGTGGAATCTCCGTGTGGCAGAGCTCAACAAGCACCAGGTGTGTTTGCAAAAACAAACCAAAGAAATCTAAACAAAAAACGGCACTTGATTTATCATAGAAGTGTAAATAAGAATAAGATGTATCCAGGAAAGTCTCTACAGTACAGGACAGACCACTTGGACATAGTCGTGACTCTTAAAGTGCATATCAGGGCCTCATCAGCGCCCACTGCCCGCTTCAGCTCCATGAAATATAGCTGACATGTGCCCCAAAGCTAGTGTCTGCTTTGAGATTCCTCCAGGATATGACTCTGTGTCTCCAGACAAAGAGAATTCAAAATCAAACTGCTCAGCCAGCACAAAACAATTCTCTGGGGAATTGGTGAGAGTAAATTTTTATGTGACTGTGTACCAACCCAACACAGCTCTGTGAGCCAGGGGATCAGCAGCTTTATGGGTACTGGCCTGAGAAGTGAGATGATAAATCAGACAGTGAAATGAAGAACTGTTTTCTAAATTAGATCGATAAAACTATGATTTGGCCGTGGATATGAAACAGAGGGCAGATGGCAGACACAGAGCCGAATGATTACCAACACTTTCCTTTTTTATTGTAGATCACTGAATGTCTTCAAGAGTTTGTGCCATGATTCAAAGTCATCAGATTATATTGCTGTTTATTCATCGAGTAGCTTGATATAAGTGGCTAAAAATATAAAAGCCAGCATAACCTGGCAGTGTGAAAGAGAAAACCTTATTTAATTTGACTCAAAAGAGTCTACTTAAAGGTCTTAAAGATTACTGCTGTAGGCTTTGTGTGATTCTTGAAAGGCCTGAACCAAGATTTATTTAAAAATTACAGAAAAAACAGGTAAAAACTACAACTGTGTTTTCATTTTGTTGTTGGAAAGAAGTCATCCAGTAGTTTATTTGTTGACCATGTATCCTCTCTGCTCATGCATACTCTGTTACTAGCATAGCACACTCACAGCTGTCGGTAGGTGAGTGATCATACGTAGATATCAGGTCTTTATAAGGAAGAGAAATAAATGACATAAAATGAACACTACCTCATGTTTTACATCAGTTTGATATTTTTTGTCCAGTATAATGTCATGCTAACTAACTACTTTGTGCAAATGAGAGTATGAGACTCCCAAGGTAGGACCACCTCTTTGGCTTTGGGCCACTGCTGAGTCAGCATGATCATGTACCCCAGCATGGAGGCTTATGATGCCACTGTAAACACGTGTGGCTCTGTGGGAACAAGTTTGGTGAAACCAACTGCGTGCTAAATTCAGCTATCAGAATACAACCAAGGGATCTGTTTACTTTTGAAATACCAAGAAAAATATACACGTGATGATTTATAACTTGAACTTTGAATTTTATGGTTGATTAATTGATGATTGATTGATCAGCAATTTATCCTGCATCACAACAACTCCATATACAAGACAAATTACACACAATAAAAACCCCATTTCAGACACAAAACAGCAAATTCAGAGCCTTTCAACATACATTTGATCTGCAATTCAGCTTCATGTTTAATTTTTAGAAGTTACTTCAGTGAGACCATCATAATTTATGGGACCCTGTAACACAGGTTAGATGGTAATAGTACATTTTGGTACTGGTGCATGTAAACGAGCCTTAACATGTTGTAATTGTAGAGTGATTCATATGGTCTCTGCCGTGGCTGACCTTCAGTCTATAGATATTTTAGTCTGGTGGAGTAGTTTAGACTTAATGGAGGAGGACAGACACACGTATCTCATCAACACTGCTGTAGGACATTCAGACTCACAGAAGTAAAAAGAAAACAAGAGCTTGTCTACTTTCAGCCAGCAGAGAGATTCAGTTCTCTGTTTTGTCTTTATGCAGACAAACTCTATATGATCCTTCCAGGACAACAAATGACAGAATTATTGAAGTATGAAATAATTATAAAATAAAAAATGACATCTTACTCTTTTGTCTGCTCTTGTCTGTGTTTTTGAAACAGGAAACGGTTGAGAAGATGAAGGCCAGCACAAAGGAGGCCTAAACAAGGATGCAATGAAGGAGAGGATGCACATCATCACCGGTTCTCCATACTTGATTTACCTTGTGGCCATGTGTTGTTTTTAAACTGACTTTTTCATGTTTCTCTGCTATGTTAATTATTACACTTTTTTTTTTTACAATGTGTATGTTTTTGTGTTGATGTTTGTTAGATTCAGGGGAAATCAAAGAGTATCTTAGGATTCCCTCGTGTTCAGTACTGTCATATTTGATTGTATTACTGCGCCCCTACAATAGTCTTGGGGCTATTTTTACTACGATCCTTATATTTTTACAGTAATTTTGAAAAAAAAAAGGCATTTTGTCACTGTCTGGGAGTAAGAAAGTCATAGCTTGAAGGAGGATATTGGGATTGTGTGAGTGGAAAATCCACCTGAAGACAGAGAGCCACTCCACAATGGGTGCAGTATGTGTTTCCACATTGGTTTTACAGTCAGCAGATTAGTTGAAGAAGCTGGAATAAGAGGGTGAAGCTACTAGTGATTTTGATTCTTTTGCCGTTTAGAACTGCCACAATAGGCCACTACTTGACTGATGCACTTCTTTTTCTCTTCCTCCTTTTTGTTAAGTTTATCAAAAGCCTGATTTTTTTAATCTTCCTGCTAAAGTTAAAGTTTTGCTGCAAGAAAAATTTGCTTCTATGTACAGTATGTTATTGGCTCGAGTTGCAACTCATCTTGTTCCCATGTTATGCTCAGGCAAGTCTCTGTGGTGCTTTTAAACATTTCTATAGGTGACTGGTGTTTTTTTTTTCAGACAGAGACATAGTGCGGTCCATCTTTTAGTGCAGAGCTGCAAAAGCTGCAGCCAGGTGAGACCTGATCTGAATATAGCATGGTGAAAACTGAAACCAAAGTCTTAATGAAGTGTTTGAATGTTGTACAAAATTCTCCAGGTAAAACATTACTCTGGACCCAGCAACAACACTATACCTGTGCTTTCAAAATCACTCTAACAGAAGGACTAGCCTCACTGTCAGCTATAGTAGCGTAGAAGCATCAATAACTGGGTGAATATAAACTGCGTGTGTGCGTATGTGTGTGTGCTGTTGATGCTGAGAGTAGTTTGATTTGTCAAATGTGTATATTTGTTAAAATCCTTTACCTAAACTGGGAGGTTTAACAATAAAAAATCAGTGCCTTATAGCCGTATAGGTCTTTACCTTTGCCTGCACATGGGATTATCGTGCCCAGTGCCAGAGCAAGAATGGGTGTGCTTTTGCTGCAGTTTAGCAGTAAACTAGAGCTTTGTGATGCTATCTCTTATGTCTGTGTGAAAGTTGCATTTCTAGGTTCAGGCTCAATCTTTCTATTCCACTTAACGTGCAGAGACTGTAAGGAATACATATGTATGCCAATAAAGACCATAAACCACAATCCAGCTTTGTCATTGTGCATGTTGATGTTGATGTGTGCTTTTTTCTGTCAAATATGTCTTTCAAATACTGTGGTTAAAGAACTTCTTGACAGAGAGAAAAGTCTGGATTTGAAAATATTGCATCTTTTTGCAGCCCATTTAAGAATCAAATTTAGATTAAACACTGAATGCTCTGAATTTTTTAACATTTGCTTTGCATAAGAAGTAATTGGTTGTTTTGCAAATATGCTAATCATTATCTTGGAGATCAAAACCCCGGTTTGAGAAAACTGCTTATTTGCTCTGTCTGAATACTATAAAAACACTTTTTAAGGTTAAGATTGTTTACAGAGCTCACTTATCCAAATCCAAACTATCTAGTTTCTATCCTGATGTGGATCCCCTCTGTGATAAATGCAGATTAGGTGAAGGCTCTCTTCTCCACATGTTTTGGACGTGTCCCAGCCTTGAGGAGGTTTTTCAAACTTTATCACAAATCCTAAACATAACCTTAGAACCTGATCCTCTGGTGGCTGTTTTTGGTACGATGGGAGAGGATACAAACCTTTCTTCCACTAAGAGCCGAACCCTAGCGTTTGCCTCCCTCCGGGCCAGACGTGAGGTTTTCCTTAGATGGATGGATGCTGCACTACTACTCACAGTCAGTGGCTGAAAGACCTTATGTCTTGTTTGGACCTTGAGAAGATTCGATACTCAGTTACAGGCAACAACAGAAAATTTGAAAAGATCTGGGGACCTTTTCTAGACCACATTCAGAAACTCTGATCATTTTGAATTAGTTCTCTCCTCTTCTAGGTGTTTTCTTTTTGAAATATATTTCTGTGATGTTTTATAATCATACAATTTAAATTCTTATCTCTTTTATGGACTTTTTCAGTTTTCAGCGACTTGTCTACATTCGTATTTTTCTTAACGTACAATAGTTCATTTAACTTATTCCCTCTTTAATTTTTATTCCTCAACATCTAATGTATTTCAAGATCTACAAAACCTGAATTCCAGCACTTAGTTGTATTTTTATTCATTTATTTATTTTTATGATTATTTTGATATAGCTCCAGAATTTGGTATTTCAGCACAGTAATAGGAAAATCCAGCAGTAGACAGGGTTTTGAGGGAAAGGGGGTGTTTGTGATGTGTTTCCTTCATATAATTTGTATAAAACTAATACAGTTATTGTTGAGTAAAATGCTTTTTTTTTTTTTAAACTTATTAGTTATTACAGTTCAGTAATATTCTTTATACAAAGGTTTTTCAAAAGAATCAGATGCAGCTTTGCTTTCAAATAAAGCCATGACATTTCCTCACCTAACAAATTTAGCTGCTCCTGTGTGCATTAGAAACCTTTTGTCTTTCTTATTTTCTCAGGCAAGTTGAACTATTCTAAACCATACCTAAAATACATCTAGAAATTGAATGCAACAAAAACACAACAGAGTACTTAGTAGAGGTAACATAACCACTGTAATAATGTACTTTAAGGCTTGCTGATTCAGATGAGCATATTCATAATCTGTTGCGTTGTTTGAACAGTCAAAGGGCATCTTATCTTCTGAGCTCATGTCATTTTTAATCCCTAAAATCTTAGTCTAAACATTAACCAGCAGCAGTCTGGTGCTGTCTGGCTCTTTGCCTTAAAACCTGGACATATGCAGCACTTATGTAAATTTCATATCTTACCTCTAGACCTTGCTCACAATCATATTAAGTGACATAAGAAGAATGGGGCTCTCTTGACAGATCTGAATACAGTGGGTGGAACTCAATTATTCTGCACCTACTTCTCATTCTATGCACATTTCAGTCAGCAGAGTATTGCATAATGTAACAGAAGAGGGGTGTTGCATAATGGTGGAGAGGACTGAGCATATGGCATGATGGACCATCGATGGACTTTATGTCGTTGACATTAGTCGAACAACTTTAAGACCAAACAACGAGGTGAAAAAGAGTCTAAAGCGATATTGTTGAAACACCAAGGAAAAAGAGCTTGTTAGAAATCTCTCAATACGTGTGTGAAATGACAGAGTAGGACAATAGCCAATCAATGTTGAGGTGGGCGGGGCTTGTGTGTAGACTCAGCCAATCGCTGGAATTCACTCTGAACGTTCCCCTGAAAAAAAAGGCTGCATTGTAGTAAGGCCGCATAGAATTCAATGTAGTTTCGTGTAGCCTCAGTAGCCAGTGATCAGGACTTAATTAGTGACCTAGATTTTCACTGGAGATGTTGTTAGATGTTTCGGGTCGGAGTGTAAAAGCTTTCCGTTCTCCATGACAAACACAGGCGAAAGGTCCTGGAGCTAACTCGCGGTTTTTACGGGGGCGTTCAGCCGACTGCAAAACTTCTGCAAAGACTTAGTTCGGAGTTTAAATCCACGCTAAAACTACCAAAATGGAGATTCACGAAGGGGCAGCGGCAGCAGGCGACAGCGTGCTCGACTTCTCTCGCTTGAACCTGAACACTTTCAGCGTTGACACAATCAGCTGCGAGAGGAAAAGAGACACTAAACAGCTCTACCTGAACTACAACCGGCTGACCTCACTCCCCCCATCCGTCAGCCTTTTCTCTAGCCTGGAGTTTTTGGACATCAGTAACAATGGACTGACGGTCATCTGCGAGGGCATAACCAAGCTGACCAGGCTGAAAACACTCATTGCCAAGAACAACCGCCTGGATGAGTTCTCGCTGCCCAAAGACTTTGGCTCCCTGCAGCTGGAGGTGTTGAACTTTAGTGGGAACCGATTTGAGGAGATCCCGCTGCAGTGCATGAAACTGCTGCGTCTGCAGTCGCTTTCAGTCGGCGGAAATAGACTGAAAAGTATACCTGCAGAGATAGAAAATCTCACCAGGTAGGTCATGTACCGAAAAAGTGAATATTTAGCCAACTTAGACAAAATTTCTTAGTACTAGGAAGGTCGTAGGGTAAGATATTCAGTAAGGGGCCACCGACCTGTAACACGCCTTCCTTGTGGACTGTGTTGGTTTCGCGTTTAAAATACAGTATTTCATTTTGGAAACATACCAGGTTTGTATCAGGAACGATAAACCAGACTCCTCTGTAGCAATATTTAGCGTGTTAAGCCATCTTAGGGCGTATTATCGAGTTAATACGAATGCAAGTAACGTGTCTGTGACTGGTCGGTTTAGTTATTAGTTCATTTCAGTTGACTGGAACATGTCATGGAACCAAAGTGCTGTTGCTATGGTTACCCTTTTTTTTTCGCCCATGAAACTTCGACAAGAAAAAACATGAAAAGTAACAAAGCAGTCGATAAGTTGGTGTAAAATCTTGCAAGTTGTTAATAGTTAAATAAACAAGTAAGAACGAAATGAAGTTGATAAATAAATAGATAAAAATAGCCTACTTATATACAAACCCGTGGTCGATTAATATGAGTTTTAGCCGATCGCGATGCCGATATTTACAGAGCAGATCGGCCCTTGTCTGAAATATGATGCTTGTTATAGAGGTGGTGATGGTGTTTTTTTTTTTTTTTAATTTTTATTTTACAAAATATAACAATTAAATAATGATAAACTCCAGTGTTTCATCCACATTACAACCAAATACACACACTATCTCAGTGTGGATTGATTTTGAATTTAATCTTGAAATAAAAAAGTCTTCAAGGTTAAGATCTCCAAACATGACATATGTTCTCCAGTGACAATATTTATGCCATTGTTCTCATTATTCTACAATTGATAACAGAATATATATCAATCAGAGAGTTGACCTGTCATTTAATGTTGCTTTACAGCAGCTACCCTGACAAAGATTTATTAATTTTTTTATTTGGCCCTGTTGGAGCCCGACATCGGTCGATGTGGCAAATTTTGGGGTCTGATTAGTTGTTCTGCCTGTAATACATACATACATGCATAAGAACATATCCATACACAAGCAAGCAAGAGCCATAGGCTACACCACTTTGAGATTTTGGTCCAAATGCTACATGTTATACATAAAATATATGAATATTTTTTTAACCATAGACTGTATATACTATTCTATGTACAGTCTATGGTTATTACCCATCTGCAAGTGCATGCAAGTGCAAGTATTCACACCATGACTACCTCCAGTCAAATATTAAACTCTATGACAATCTTTTGAAACTTGCTCAAGGACACTACTGAAAATGCTTGATGCTCTGTTTTCATTTGAAAAAAATGTCACCCGTGCTGCATGTGCCCCATTTAGAACGCATTTGTGTTTATCAGTTGTAGCTTGACCTAATGTCTCGTGAGTCACAGATGACCCACCTATTTATCCTGGCAACACCAACAGTTAAACACAACAGTCCAACTGAGGCAACCTGTTGCTCTTTGATCATGTTATTTGAAAATGGTCAGTTTTTCTCTCTTCATTTGTTTGAATGCTTGTTTACGGATTTAGGACTTGGCATCTACGGAGCATTATTACAGTTATTCACAATGTTGTAGCCATCCCTTGAGTGTTTTTATTGTATGCTTTATGAAGACAGCGAGACAGCCGTGATAATAAATTGCTATTCATTAGAAAAATTGCCCTGATATTGATAAATAATTTTGTAAAAGATAAACTTTTGGGTAGGACAGGACAATGATTTTGTAGAGTACATGCCAGTAAGTAAACAGCTGAGAAATCTAGAAATGAGAAAGCCACGCTGTTCTTTAAGTAACTGTAGAACGTGTCATGTATGCTGTATGTAGAGTTGTAAGTCAAAGGGGACACATGAGTTCTTATCATTTTATGAGTATAACTTCAAAACGTCACACTGACCCACTTTGTCTGACTCACAAACATGCTTGTGTTGCTCATTCAGTGGTAAAGTGAGCAACGGGAAAAGGCATAATTGAGGCCAATGTGGTTATAAACACATGTTGCCAGCCCTCATTTACTTTTGGATGGCTTCTTTCCTGTTATAGCCTGTTTTTACTGACTGGAACTGACCCGTTGTGTGGTGACCATCGGGAAGTCGGTACAAGTTTTCGGGATCTGCCCCAGTTTCTGGATTAGATTCTGCTAAATAAAGCTGTTTGTTTACAGATGTTGCAATATGAACTAGTTGGATCATGATTATAATATTAGGAGGATGGGGGGTGGGGGGTGGCATGATGTGTTTAGTGTGCAAGGCAAGGCTTAAATCATAGGCTATAACAAAAGCTAGATTTATCATAAACCTTAGACATAATCATGAGTGCCATCACGTGTATCAACAGATGGTTCCCTCATGTAAACTCTTACAGTGTGGGCATGCAATCCAGTATTGAAGTGTATTTGATGGTACTACAGGCAGGAGTCTGTCTCAAAGGAGTGAAGCTGTCTCATATAAACAGCTACAAAGTAGTTAGCTGTGTTGTGTGTCAATGCTCGTGTTTATATTGGCATGTGCACACTGGTGTAAAAAGCTGGATAGCATCACTGCAGGATATATAATCAGGAAGTTATAGACTTCTGCTGTAAACAAACAAACAAAAACCTGTCATGCATTAGTGTCAGACATCTTCATATCCCATAAAGAGAGGGGGTCTATACCCAAGTTTTTTTTAATGAAAGTAACTGAAACAAAAATGAACATACTCTGCATGGTGGTGTTAGACATTAACTATTGGAGGCTGTGAATCAGTAATTTGTTCAACAACTTTTTTCTCAAATGTCACCAGAAGGGTTCCACAGAAAGAGGCTTGTTTACATCTGTGAACAGAGTAAACATGGCCAATTTGAGGGCACTACGGAAAACTGCACAATAATACGACTAATAATACTAATACAATAATGTACCGGCTATCCTAATATGCCCCGTTTTCAAAGAGTACTTTATGGCATGTTTTGGAAGGAAACTCGGGGATGTAATCATTAAACGGTCACCTGATGACAACACATGATTAAAGCAGAGCAGTCATGTTATGTTAGTAACTCCTTTACTTTGTCCACATTTCTCTTTGGAAAAGCCATAACTCTACAACTGTGTTTTTTAAATTATCTTTAATGTGTTTTCACGCTGACTTCTTAAGATTATTATAATTATTATTTTGGTGAGACAACTTATTTTAAAATGAAAACTTTTAAACGATCGGTGGAAGCATGGGGGGTTATTTAGAACTTCCTGGTACGTACATCAAAGGTTGTAACACGTCTTGAAATGCGAACAGGGTATGCCTAAACTCAGTGCATTTGGCATTAAGTGGCCCAGGAAAAAAGCCCATCTCTAACTTGCGGGAACGGCCCTTTTTCCTACTGTACAGCATTGTCACTAACCTCTAACTTCTCCCTCTGGTGGGTGATTTGTGTCATTGTGTTAGCGAGGGCAGTGAGCAGACCCCGAGTGTCTCCGTTTTCGGTCACAGAGGGGGCTTGCTCAGTGCTCAGCCACCAAGGACAGCATAATGGCTTCCTGTCTCTCGGCCGCTGTGTCATCAGATTCAGCAGGCAGATGGCCTGACAGCTTACTTTCACTGACCAGCCATCCAGTGCTCCCTCCTCCTCTTGGTTTTACTCCCAGTCCCCTTTGTGCTCCATTATCCACCAAGGTTACCAACATGTACTGGCTGTAACCTTCTAGTTGTCTTCTTAACTTGGAGACCATAGTCAAAAGCAGCTCAGATCTAAATTTATTTCATTTATCATCTTTGGTCTGTTACACTTAGTCTGTGCCCAGGTGATGCATAAGATAATCTTTGTTGTATTTTTTCTTACTCAGCGATTCTGGAAATAAAGCCTAAGAGACACATTTAGCCCCAGAAGCACAGTCCATTAACAAATAACCATACATCTTTAGCTCCCTCTTGTGGAGTGCTTGTGTTTTAAATTTAGGTTACTCAGCTTTGTACTCCTTAAGAAACATCCCTTTCTTTCCTATTCCTCTAATCTTTACCCATCAAGCAGAAAAATAGTCGCACTTTTTGAAAATTGTACAACCAACTTATGTAAGTTGTTGTGAATTCAAAAGAATAATATAAAGAATAACTAAGTGGGCCTCTAATATAATCAGTTTTACTCTACTATCCCAGGTGAAATTATTCAATCTTCAATTAAGACAAAATCATTTCTTTTCTCTCCTTCTGTTTTTTCAGTCTTGAGCTGTTGTATTTGGGAGGAAACCTCATCACAGCTATTCCTCCAGAAGTGGCAAACTTGCCGTACCTCGGCTACCTGGTGTTGTGTGACAACCGCATCCAAAGTGTCCCCCCACAGCTCACACGGTAACTGCTTACTCTACACCACTATCTGCTCGCTGTAAAATCTTTTTGGACTTGAAGCTTCATGCGTGAATGATGAGGCAACTGATTTCTGTGTCAACAGTGTTTCAAAATACTCTCTGTTTTCGCTTTAGGCTCCACTCGCTGAGATCTCTAAGCCTCCACAACAACCTGCTCACTTACCTGCCGAGGGAGATCCTCAGTCTGGTTCATTTGCAAGAGCTCAGTCTCCGTGGCAACCCGCTGGTGGTGCGTTTTGTCAAGGAAATGACTTATGACCCCCCGTCACTGCTTGAGCTGGCAGGCCGCACAGTCAAGAGCCGGAACATCCCCTATTACCCTTGTGATCTGCCCTCTAACCTGCTGCACTACCTGGACCTGGCCAGCAAGTGCCCCAACCCCAAATGTGCAGGTAAGAGACTTTTCTCATCACCCGCCCTTTTTCGGTTTGCCTCCTTTTAAGAGGAATTTCTCACATGTCATAGCTGCATATATCTCACATTTGTCAAAAAAAAAAAACAGTCCTGTGTTTAGTTTGAACACTTTTAGGGTCTTAGAGCACAAATAAAAAAAATAGTTCACATATTAAAACGAACAGCAAAGACGTGATTGTACTTTGACCCCTTGTGGTGGCCTTTGCCCCACTGAGAAACACCCTGACGGCAAATTCCATGTTGGTTTTTCCTTTTCTTTCTCTGGCTACTGTGTACAGTTGTTATTATTATCCTTTGGAAGTTGACCCTGGTGGTTGTCATACAACTCAGTGACCTCTCGCCTCACCCTGACCTTGTTTCTCCTGTCACATTAAACTGTTTCCAGGTGTCTACTTTGATTCCTGCGTGCGCCAGATCAAATTTGTGGACTTCTGTGGAAAGTACCGGCTGCCCCTCATGCACTACCTGTGCTCCCCAGAATGCACCTCCCCCTGCAGCTCAAACCCACAGAGCGACGCTGACTCAGAGGATGAGAGCAGCGTGCCCGCTTATCGCCTCCAGAGGGTGCTTTTGGGATAGTCCAACACAGGAGAGTTTTTGGCTAACAGAGCCATGCCAGTCTGTCACTGTTAAACATTGATACAGAGATGAACCATGCTGCAAGATTTAACTCCTGACGAAAACACAGAACCACGCAAACACAAGAACTGAAATTGTTTTACAGACATTCCCAGCGGCTGTATGTAATGCACAAAATGTGAGACAGCCCATTCTCTCTTCTCCATTTTATGGATATTGTTTGAAAGAAATCCATTCCTTGTCTCATTACAAATCAATAGGAGTGTGAAGAGTCAAGAAAACTCCTGTTTTTTTCCACATAGCTATGCAAATCAACAGTCTTTGAGTCATGGCCCCCAAAGGCAGGTTTCACGGTCTGGTGACAGAAGACAGTTGAACTCAGAGACTGAAGGAGCCAATGGATTCTTTTACTTTTCAGGGCAGCACACTGTATTTCAAAGTAACACTTGGTGCTTCTCAGTGGCTGCCGAAGATCTTTCAGGTTTTCTGGAACTTTGGATGTATACAATTTGGCTTTTGTCTCGCTGTTGATGCCACACAAGGCCAACATTTACATTTCTCCGACTTGATAAGCATCAGAGCTGCTCTGCTGACTCGAAATAAAGTCTGGGGTTAATGAGCTTTGGTATAATTTAAACACCACTGTTCTAAATTATGCAAAATTGTCTCAGTACAGTGTGTGAATTGGCCTATTCACACTCATTATGGGTGTGCTCAGTGAGGCTTGCTCTGCAGTAAAGCTGTCCTACACAAAAGTTTATCTTTTTATCATTAGCACTAACCTTGAGAAATGTTTGCCTTAATGGCACAGGAGTTTGAATCTGACCCACACGCTGGGTTATGGGAGCATGTGGAATAGAGTACATCTGGGCTATACCAGGGAAAACTATTTCCAGTTCTTGCATAAGAAGAAAAGCTACTAAACAATACATACTGTTAGTGTTTGTGTCTGGGCTTGATGGTTTTCTCTAAGAATAAGAATCTAGATGAGTGAAGTGCTTCAGCCGATGAAGCTTTTTTTCCTTCCCAGACAGGAACTTCAATTCTAACAGAAAGAATATCATCAGAATTATTATTATTATTATTATTATTATTATATATTTTAGTTTTTATTGTACATTTCTGCTTTATTTTTGCTTATTGGGAGAGCTGGGGATCTTGTAGTCCACCAGACAGCCTGTGTTCATCAGTGAGGCGGAGAGGTGCTCCTGGCTTTACAATAATGTTTATAAAACAGAAGATTGCTCCTCTCTGTTACATTAACACCTATCAACTAAAACGTTAAGTGCCTTACTAATGTTGACCCTTAACAAAGTGGGGTAGATAATCAAAAAAAAAATGTGATATATGTTCCCAGTAATGTGACAAGATTAACACGATGAATGATCAATCTCTTTTTGAGTGATTTTTGTACTCACCAGATAACAGTAAAAAAATGATAGCCTTTTATAACAAGATAGCTGGTTTTATAAAAATCACATATCAATTGTTAAATACGCTTCATATTTTAATGATCTGCAGAGTAGATGGCACATTATAATGTGTTATATTAATTGTTTGGTCTTGTGCTTCATAACAATGATGTAAGTTAACTGTACAGTATGTAATAACAATAATAAAGACTGATTGTAATATCTCTAAATGTTTTCTTCTCCGTTTGTTGTAGAAACTTGGTTCTGATTTGAAACTAGATTGATCACTCTGAGAATTAAGACAGTAACTTTCTTCAACTATAACTTGCCAACATGTGCCAGCAGTTTGATAACAATGTAAAGTTTTAAAACTCATTACGGTGCATTGGTGCAAACTATAAGTAAGGTTACCCACCCTTAAAATCCAATTTAGTACCAATTGCGCCACCAAGTGGTCAGTTATGAGGTGTAACGTGAAAGACTAATAAGTCTAACATACTGGAGTACTCTCACAATAATATGGATTGTTTGCATTGCTGAAGCCTATGTACAGGTAAGAGTAGATATACAAAATCATAAAGGATTACATTTAAACTGGCACTGGCGCACATGTTTATGAATAATATTTAACTATTTGGTGATAAACTTTAAGATAATAGATAAGTAAAGGACAGGACAGTGGTCCCCAGAACGTTACCTCCTGTGCCCTCCTTTAGAGGATAAAAAGGTCTGAGACTGAGATTAAAATCAACAGTTTTACACTGATACACATAAATGCTTCAATAAAGTGGAATCTCAGTGTGATTGACTTCCTTGGGTTAGAAATTAAATATTTGTTGTGATAATGTGATAAAAATACATTTCAACAGGTAAGGGCTGCTGCTTCTTTATGACAAGGTCAAAGATTGAAAGCTGTTGCTGGAGGAAGAAATCACTGCATTTGTTGGTTCCTTTGTACCATAGGATGATAGCAGACAGAGCCAAATAAAGATAAAAGGAGAGCACAAAGACAGGGATTTTTTTTCTCTACTTCTAAGAGGGTAGAGACGGTGATTCCCTGTAAACAAAGGTGAGACTTGAAATCTAAATTTCTTTCAGAATAACCTCAATTTCTGATCAGAAGTTTTCTATTTCTAAAGAAGTATTTCGAATACACATGTTTTAATGCTGTTTGAAAGTACTTATTCCATGAGCTCTATTTCCTGCCACATCACCTCTGAGGTGATATTTTAGTGTTTGTTTACATGAACCAATCCAAGCACTTTGCAGCTTTTGCATTCATCCAGGTTGCATTTGCATTTGAAGTTGAGTTCATTCTGTCCGCTGATTATGGAGAGACCATTATTGTCATCCAGATTCAGGGGATGCCAGGGTGAGTGCATTCTACTGCACACAATGTGCTAATCCCTTAGCCACACCAATCCAGAGCCACTCACTCCACTTCAGTCTCTTTTCACACTTTCTGCTTCTGTACTCATTCAGGCTCTTTTCAGCTCACTGTTTCTATTTACCAGATTTCTGAGGGCGTTACTTTAAGTTTTACATTTCTTTTGATGGTGCCTGATCAAGCCACAGCCAGTTTCTAAAGTTATTACAGTGCTTCTTTTTGCTTCTTGTTCAGTGTCTTTTAAAAACGTTTCCATAGCACCATGGATGGATAACTCAACTTGACTACTAGTCACATGAAGAGGGGCCCAAGGAAATCATGAGGCTCTGCTAAGGCAGCAACTAATCTTTTTTTTGTTCGGAAATCATGAAGCTAGTCAGAAAGATGGACAGCAACAAAGACATGAAAAATGCAACAAAGAGACTGACACTTGAGGCAAAAATAAAAATTGTGCTGAGACACAAAACAGGAATGAGGAGTTAAAGAGAATGTTAATGGATTAATAAAAAAACAATACCATGACTAATTAAAGCAAATTGACTACTGAGAGGCAGAATATGACAAATAGAAGGCAAAGAATAATAACAGACACTAAGAATGGCTTCAACGTGACATAACATGACCGCAAAGAGCCACAAAATTACTACTGTTGTGTGCAAAGTCACCACGAATTGACAAAAGTCAGATTCAAAATATCAAGAAAGATGCACACACAGGACACAAAATGACAACACACAGATATTAATGAACTACAAAGAGACACAACATAATCACTGTGAGCTAGTGATTCTAGACACAGTATTTTGACTCACAGTTGTGTGTTTTTGTGGTTACTCTCTACCTGCTTTGTATGTCAGACAGGAGGTTGCTGTCACAAGTGAAACTCGAGAAGTTGCTGTGGAGAGGATGAGTTGTGACTGGCAGATGAGGAGAGGAGCTGTCACCAGCTCTGCAGAGTTAAATCAGCTTTGGTGGAGGTTATGCTGAAAGTCAAAGAACATACTATACATCGTAAATTTGGAGCTCGAAAAACAAGGATTTCAAGAAAGATGCTTTCTCTGCTTTAGACCTCTGCTGCTGTGCAAGGTAAATGTGTGACTGAATGATCCTGTATCTCATCTTATTGACATTTCTATCAAATCAGCTCTCTTGAAATGATTATTTTTAAGGTTGCTGCCAAATCACATGTGGACTATAGTCTCTTTACTCTTGCAGTCTTTAACAATACCCACACAGTACTGCATACAGCAGGCAGATTAAAGAGAAAAGTCTTTTGACATTCTGGATGTGTGATACTCTAAGCTTCTTATCCCACTCACTCCAAGTCATACCAGCTAACAGTATAGTTAGTGTGCAGTAACATGCATGCCAGACCTCACACATGACATGTACAAGTGTACACTTTGCTTAGCCTTCACACACGACCGCCACACATAACCAGACATGGTCTTTTGCATCTCGAAATATCAAGTATGTGCTCTTCAAGTTCCACTTTTTGTTAAATTGACAGCTCAAAAAAGTGATGTTTATATTAAAACAGTATTTTTTTTTCTACAGTGGTCAAAAGTTACACTTCAAATGCTTGTAAGTTGACTTGCATCAACATTTTGCAGCATGGATCTATAAAATTTAGACTTTGAGTTAATGATCATGTTTGACCACATCTCCAGTCAACTCCAGACTTAAATTCATGTCACAAACCCTTCAGATGAAAGAATGCAACCCCTCACAATCACATTATCAGTATTCTTTCTAATTTTACTTGAATGCTATTGCTCATGCTCAAAACTTGTGTACACTTCCTGATACTTTTAGGATGGGATACATGTGTGAACACGAATAGTTTTTCAACCAGATTCTACCTGGATTTTTCCTTTCCACCAGCGAATTTCTGTAAGAGGTCAGGTTGAACCGGTCAAAGTACTCTATCCACTTGAGTAGATATGAATGTTGGTGTTGATGAAGAAATCAATCTCTCTTCTTTGATTTTAGCTTCAGTTCTCAGAGTGTTGGTAAGCCCCAAATGTGATATCTAGTCATAGGACCCAGAAAGCCTGGAAACGGCTCTATTTCTGTTTCCACAAAGTATAAATTTATGTAAGTAATTTCTCTATGCCTTCATTTTCTACTGTGGAAAACAACAGACTGTGTAGCTTTCCACCGAGCTTTTGATGTCATATCCTGAATCCCTAGACTCATCTCTGCCCTACCCAACCCCCCATCCAATAAGGAAGACCTTATACTCTGTGGGACATGTGTGAACAAGCAACTTTGTCAGCGGAGTTCTTAAAAATTTAAAGGCATTTCCAGGAGTTAACGAACATGTAAAGCTTCTTTGTACTTACTTATTAATGGATAAAACATACTAAACTCCACAGAGTATAGCTGGCAGGGTTGTCTTTCACCTAGCAGTTATTGCATCATCAGTTGCTATGCTGCTTTTAGCCTCTTGGATCCTGAACTGGTTTAGAAAGCAGAGAAAGAAGACTGATACTTTTTCCTACATTTATAATAATCACCACTTTCATTCGAAACACCATGACTGGAGCCTGCTGGGAAGCTTTGATCCAGCGCAGCTAATCCAGGTCCATAGCAACACTGCAGGAGGAGCTGCTGTGTTCCAGAGAGGGATTTGTCTCTGGGTTTGTTGGTGGGCAAACCTGGGCATGTATCTGAGGAGCGTCCAGGCTCTGGCAGGGCCAGCTCAGTCTGGAAAGGGTTTGGTGATGCCTCACAACACATTTCCACCCACGCGATTTGTGAATTCTACAGAATAGTGGGACTCTCTGGTCACATGTTGAATCACAGCTGCAGATACTTCCACTCCAGGAAGCGCTGGTGCTGCCTGTCAGGAAATGTTGTGTACCTTGCTTAAAAGCTCAGCTTGTTATGTGTTTTGGTTGGTGGACTTCCAGCTGGTACATGTGCATAACATGCCTGTCCAGAAAAGATGGGTACTTTTTGTGACACCTGTGTTGTTTAATTAGAGCATTTTAATGTTACACTTGATCCTTGGTAACCTCAGAAGAACGACACGTGTCCTGTTTCCAGTCCACCCTACCTGCCAGCTTCTCCCTTTTGACTCCTGCTTTTTGAGCAACAGCCTCTTGCCTGTAGATGAAATATTTAAGCTCTAAGTAATCCGAGAATCAGTGTTGTCCACCTGCTGCTGCTGCTGTAGTCCGTCTTGAACCTGATCTTGAGCGAAACCTGAGAGTGATTGCCACGCTTTGGGTGTAACAAAACAGGGGACTGTTACAGTCCTTCAATTGGGTGCAAACGTGGTGTCATTTGATCCGAGCACACATGTGAATATGAGAAGTTTTGAGGCTTTTGTCTGCATTGAGATTAAAGTGCAGAGCTTGTTATAGTCTTTTTGATGGTGTTTGTTAATCTCACTTGCTGCAGCTCCAAAAAAATGGTAACAATAAAAGGGACAACCAACTATAGAATAAAAATAGCAACTTAGTTACAACAAGCACCGACAACTTCGTTTAAAATGTTCAATAAAATAAATGTTTGATCACGTACTTATGTAGCCAACCTGAGACAGGCTGTGAGGAGGTTGGTGCATAGTTAACAGAGAGGACATTTAAACAGTACAAACACTTAAAACACGAGCTAAAGATATTGTGTTTGTTTTCGTTCAGCCACAGAGATGTGTGATGTACAGATATGGCAACACCTTTTTAGAAAAAAAAAATTAAAATCTTCAGCTGACTTTAAAGTCATGGTGAGGAACTTTTGGTTTGTGTTGAGATTGGCGCCCCTTGTGGACAAAGTAATACCTCTTATCTTGTGTCCTGTACTTATAAAATTGGTATTTTCAAACAAACACATCACTCTGTTCTCTGTTGAGAGTAAAATATATAGCTCTTTTTGAGGATTTGCCGAGGAAAAAGTTGAAACTGGTTGTTTTTTCAGCCTGTTGTCAATCCTCTGGTCTGATACCAACCCTCAGACAGTAGTGTTGAATGTTAAAAATTACAACAGTGTAAAGAACGACCTTCCAGCTGATGGTTTTATCCACTTTGAAAGGTCGTGAAGAGGCATCACTATCAGCTTCCGTCAGGTCTTAAACCATCAGTCAACCTGACCATGTCTCTAGTTTTGCAGGTCCATGAATAACTCCTAGCCTTAAAGGGATATTCTGGCACCTAACTTCATCAACAGTACATATAGGGTCCCAGCCACAGCACTAGCCATCAAATATCTTTTTAGCTTTGCCTAATTTCTTTAGCAAAGAGACTAAACAGAACTTACGTACTCTCTTCCAGCAGCTGCTTCATTGTAGCGAGACCTTTTCCATTACAGAATGCAGCGGGGTGATGCAGCTCAAGGAAGAACATTTATGATCATTTCTTCATGGAAATGCAATCAGACCAGAAGAACTACCGCGTCAGCAGTGCAAAATGATTAACATGGTGATTATTACTTCAAGGAAATGATGAAGAAATGATCATAAATCATATGGCTGGGACCCTATTTGTACTGCTGATGAAGTTAGATGCTGTTCTGAACATTATTTGTGGCTATAGAGTGGCGTTTTGGTTGAGCGCGTGGCTCTCTGTATTGCTATCACACGGTCATTACTAAAGTTAGTAAAACTAGAGAAGCAAGCAGTTGGCAACATTCATCTCTCAATGGGGTGTCTAACTCGGTGTGTTTGACCCAAACTCTTCGCTGGAATATCACTTTAACATCATCAAACGGATTAGATATGAAGAACATCACCTCTTATACTGACTGAACAAATATGTTATTAAGATTAAAACCGATTTCTGATCTGGGCTGTAAAAGGAGTTTGTTTTGCTGTAAAAATTACTTTTAACATAGATGTTTAAGGAGAATTCCTGGGCTTCTTGAGCCAGCCTCAAGTAGACACTCCAGGAACTGCAGTTTTTACACTCTAACATTAAAGCTTTATTCCTCTACACTGAAGGCTGCTGCTTTAGTTTAAACAGACCTGAATATGTGAGAGTGCATTTTGATTTTACCTTACTGCATGTATCTATTTTTAACTATTAGCGGTTTAGTGAGCAAACATGTTTTATGTCTTACAGATGAGAATTTGTAAATCATAAAGCTACATTGGGGGTTTAACTTTTCTGCATTTTGTTTGATCCACTCAGGACTTACACTGAGTTGAAAAATACTACGGTTGAACCTTTGAACAAAACTAATCTTTTAGAGAAAAAAGAAAGCTCAAAGAATTGCCAAACACCTTTTCCCACTTATATTCAAAAGAGCATCACCATACCGGCTTTACAGGATTCTTTGTTGAACGTCTTCTAGAAATGAAATATTTTGTGTTCTCAAAGAAACACCTTTGTTACACAAGTTTGAGCTTTTTGTTTTTCGAATGTTTGAATAATCCCAGACAGAGAACTACAAATTGAAGTTATCTAAGAGGGTTGATTCCCGGATAAATGTGTATGACATAAGATATTCTCCTCCTCGTCAGAGATCACTTTTATGTCTCTGCTCCCCACTTAAAGCTGTCAGTAGTGGTGACACTCCCTCATCAGGAATGACCCTGAGTGTAAGCTCACACTGTAAATCTCTGTGACATCTTAATAACACCTTTATGCCTCTCATGGCTGGTGGAACAAATGCAGAAATATTTCTGCTGGCTCACTGCACCCAGACAGAAGCTCCTCTCTCTCTCTCTTGATGCAGCCAGCAGAGAGGTTTTTCCAAACTCTCTTCCATTTCCATTAGAAGCTTGCTTTTTCAGATCATCTGTCTCTCTTTCCGTTTTAAACAAGTGCTGTTGTTCAGTATATTTATTTACACTTTAGGCACAGAGTCTGCCGCCCTGTCCCATGAGGCCCTCTGTAACATGCTGCACCCTCACTGTCTCATCCCTGCTGTGTCACATGGGTCATATCAAACTCGATTAGGGGGGCTGCTGCTGGAGCTGGAAAAGATTATCACAGAGAGAGAGAGAGAGAGAGAGAGAGAGAGAGAGAGAGAGAGAGAGAGAGAGAGAGAGAGAGAGAGAACGAACACACCTCCAGTCCCTGACACACACGCGCCTCCCTCTCGTGCCCAAATGAAAACTTGAGCAGTCTGATCAACTTTGTGTAAGTGACAGGATCCTCTCCGACTAAGGGCTGACGATTTGAAGGACATATTATCTTGTGGAACTAATTACAGCGATGGAACCTTTTTAGCAATGTTAGATAACTTCTTTTTCAGTCTTTTATTTTCGAGTTTTACAGTTAATTTTTGGGGTCTTGCGCGATGGAGTACGGAGCGGGACGAGGCGATGAGATCCTCCATGCGCTTTGGACGACAAGGTTTGATCTTTTAATTATTTTTAATTAAATTATTTTCTTTCTGCCTATTCTGGACTTTATCTCAGGTTGTTTTAAAGCACTTTAATTGAAATTGCCATGCATCTAGACTGATAAAACTTAAAGTAAACATGTTATAAGCATGTTTGTGGACACTAGATGTCAGATTAATGTAGATGCTGTCAATTTAATGCAACAAAACTACATACAAAGTCTATGAAAAATAACACTGTGATCTTCAGTAATATTTTTTTCATTCTTGTATCTCATGTTACTAAACATAACCATGTTTATGTTTGCTCAAAACCAAAATGTTCACCCAGCATGTGGTGCATTTGATGTCTAGTGTTAAGCTCGTATTGACTGATAGACTGGGTGGATAAATGTACTCAGAAACCACGCTGAAAAATGCTCTTAGTGCCAAGAATTGTCTTGCAGGGTTTGAGGAGGAATATTCATTGGTAGTAGAGAAATTCTGTCTCAGCTTAAAGACTAAACTTATAAACGGATTATTTCCTGTGAAGGAATGTTTCAATATTGCCCCCTGAACCAGGCTTTACATGTGGCAGCTCCTGCGGTTTCACGGCTCTAATCTTAAAAGTGCGGCAGAAAGACTGACAGCAAAATGAATGGGCTTTACTTGAGGCTACTCTGTATTTGATTAAAACATTTTATGGGGCAGAGCTCAATCTGACTCTCAAGGCTCGGAGTCTAAGTCAAAATCAGTGTAAACATTTCATCAAGCTCAATAAATGTAAGGGATGTGACTGAAGAAGAAGCTCAGGGGCATGTAAAACAGTGTAAGTGAAGCTGCATGCAGGTTATGGCCGCCTACTTTTAAGTAAGGCATCAAGGCCGCAGGTAGCTCAGGTATTAGTTGTGGTTTAGCCTTCAGGACTTCAAAAGACACTCCTCATGACTATTCTGAACTGTCAAAACATGTCTATTAAACCAAACTCATCTTGAAGATGAGCCAAGCTGGAGCTCCTTTCACACTGACCTCCATGGCTTCCTGGATGTTGGATGACTTTTGTTGACCCCTGCAGGGTGGCGGATTTTTCTCCTAAACTGAAACCTACAGAGGCAGGATTTTGAAAAACTGGCGGAAATGCCTCCCTCTCTGTCGGAGTTTCCTGCAGGAAACAACAGAACTGTGATCTAAACTTGGAAAGTGACGAAACAACACGGACAGGAACTCCAGACATTTCCCAGATACGCTGCCTGGTGGGCTTCATTGTTCTGTTGACCACATTAATTTTTGGAATTGGGTCACTGAAGACATCATGTAATAATTCACACCTGAGGAAATTTTCACAAAGAAAATCTGTCTTTTCTTTTGGGTGCATTCACACTTGAATTAACCTCAGATTTTTGAAGACAGTAAAGCTGCAGGAGGCACACATCTCATGATCCATACATTCCCACACTCTTTGAGTATCTCAGTCAGTGTGCAGACACTGACGTGACGCGTGTTGACTAATATCATGTCACTCATGTAAACACTCACCTGTCTGCCAATTTGTATCAATATGAGTGGTCTGACAGCATCCAGACCACATGTATCTGAGTCACTACAGCGTTTACAGAGATCAGACTGTCAGTCTGTGCCAGTTACAGCTCACAGTATCAGGTGATACCATGCTGCATAATTAACCTGCAACATGTCCGTGCAGCGCAGGTAGCCTCGTATAAATGCCTGTGGCAAGAGTGACAAACACTTGTTTGTTGATTCTCAGCAAAGTTTATGTCCCAGGTGTCCGATGGTTTATAGAATCAGACTGTCAGCTCAATCATCTCTCAGTCGAACCACAGATGGAAGCTTTCGTATGCTGACATTTTTACATTTTTCTTTATTTCTCCCTCTCTTCCGCCTTGTGCGCAGATGTGTGTTGCGGTCAGGGTGCGATCCTATTTGCTGGTTCACATCAGTTATGTGAGTGTGAGTGTATAAGCTGGTTCACACCAGTAATGACATAGTGATAGGAGAAATTGAGGATAAGCAGAAACACACAGACTTCCTGTCACACAGGCAGAGTCCGGCAAACCCCCTCAGTAATGCAGTGGTAAATAACTTACACCCCCTTCAGGGTATTTTTGTTTAAATCTTACTTTAATCCTCCTTTAAGCATCACACTTTTGACATATTTGCTCGGGAAGTAAATCATTTTCCTGGTATCATGTTTACATGGTATCGTGTAAATCACATCTCCTCTCAGAAGTTTCTGTCAGAGCACCACACTGTGGTGGCTGCAAGTATTGGGTAAATTATAGACCTGGAAATAGGAGCACAACTCCACTAAAGTTCCCCGCTCTTCTGCGTGCCCAGTGTTTGATCACGTTTCTTGGATCCTCAAAGATGCAGTAAATAGTTTTTTATTAGGTTGTTAGTGTTTAATTTTTGTCTAACATATCACCTGTTTGTCCCCTCAGGATGTGCGTCTGAAAGTGGACGGACTGGGGCCAGTCATGGAGCCTGAGCTGAATTGCAGCTCCCAGTGTGATTCCCTTCTCTGCTTCATCCACTCTGGAGTCAACAGACAGGAGGGCCTTGACATCCTGCAGAGACTATGTGGTCTCAGCACGGTACAAACACACACGTGCATTCAAACCATTGACTTTTTATAGAATAGACTAATGGCCTTCATTTCCACTCACTGTGAGATGTGAGGTCAAAGGGCAGCTAATCCATGTGTTGACATATTGTGGTGGTGCAGCATGCATAGAAGTGACCTGGCTGGTAGAGTCGTGGGACATCTCACCCTCTTTTTCATGAAATTCAATAACTCTTGTGTTGGTACTGGTTATATTTCCTCCAGCCGTTCCCTTACACTCATCAAGTCTGTTAAAGAATAATGCAGGACTTCATTTCTGCCAACAAGGCTGTTAATCAATTATCAGTCAACTAAATAAAACTGCACATCTCAGCAAAATCAACCCCAAATGACAAGAACAATGAATGCAGTTTATTCTGAAGGCAAAGCAGCTCCAATTCTGGAAACTAAACAAAAAGACTCCTGCTATATAAATGAGTGTGTGTGCATATACTGTAGTTGAACATGGTGTGGAGATATATCTAAACTTATACGTACACTGCAGGCACTCAATGCTTAATTTAATTGGTGAACACTTGAAGTTTTAAAGCTACCACGATGTACTCTACAGCCCATAATTACTGTCTTTTATTGTATATGCAATCAGTTATTGCGGCAGTCCCTGTAATAAATCAAAATAACACAATATTGGCCAATTCAATTTAAATTTTAATATTAATATTAAAGCAATTCACTGCCATAAAGCCATTCAATGCACTTTTATTGATAAATTTGAGCTTATGGATTACTTAAAACAGCTGTAAAAAACAAAACAAATAACTTAAGATAGAAATATGTCACCAAATCCAAACAGCAACTATTTACAATAATGTTATACATTCGTTTGGTAGGTCTTGGTCTTGTAAGTTCGTGCTGTTGTGTTCTGGGTATCTGACTATGTGTTCATCATCGCTTCATCACTTATTTTTTTGGGAGTGATGTTTTTTTTTAAGTCTCTTTTACATGTTGTCTTTTCAGTTTCTTATTATTTGGTAGCAGTGAATGTGGTGAATTAATACTTCAGAATGTTGAAACTTTGGACTGACCAGCAAAACTTTTTCGGGTATCATCTCTGTCGCTGGTCCTTTAAGAGGAGAGTGAGCGGGGCACGGTACGGCAACATGAGGCGGGCACAAGGAAGACGAATATAACTTTCAAAATAGAAACTACAGTAGTAGAGAAAGTGTGTCAGGGAGCACAAACAATCTCTGACAGACTCCTGTCCTCTCCATATCAAAACACAGACACATGACACAGAAAGGTAAGTTATCTTTGATTTCTTTTACGTTTCTGCTGTTAGTTATTGTATCTTTACATTGGCTTTTCTGCAGATTTCATCTTCTGTAGAAAGGAAGAGTAAGTAGTTAGCACCACTAGTTTGGTCTTTGTTGTGGTAGTGGAAAATTGTGAAAACTCAACTTCAGAGGACTTAACTGATTTTTCAGTCGCTGTTGTTGTAAAGTTAAGAAAATTGTTGGAATAATCCTTTTTTTAACATTGTCTGTTAAACTCAGTGGACACTAACCAGTAGACACAGAGAATGCTCAGGGAAACTGAAATAACCTTTGATGAAATATAACACCAGTCGTATGCTACTATTCGTGGACATAGACAGCTTACCAGGCTTAACTGTTTTTTCACCTAATAGTGTCATGTAAGGATTAAGAATTGGACCAGGGCCAACTGCCACATAAAACCCCACCGACTTTTCTCTCTGGATGTGTTCCCAGGTATGGCAACTGCTGGAAGTGTGCTGACTGAGGAGCAGCTTCTTTGCCCCATCTGTCTGGATTTGTTAAACCAGCCTGTCTCCACTCCCTGTGGGCACAACTTCTGCAGAGACTGTATTCAGGGTTACTGGCAGAGTGCTAATCTGTCACAGTGTCCTGTTTGCAAGCAGAGGTTTTTCAGAAGACCTTCGCTCAAAGTTAACACCTTCATATCTGAAGTTGTTATTCGGTTCAAGAAGTCATTGGAGCAGAGGGATGAAAATGAAACCAGAGCTGCTGACCAATGCTCGAGCTATAAAAGGGGCGTTTCATGTGATGTGTGTGTTGGAAAAAGGGTCAGGGCTCATAAATCGTGCCTGGACTGTTTGGCCTCCTTCTGTGAGACCCACTTGGAGCCACATCAAGTTCTGGCCACTTTTAAGGCACATCATCTGATCAACCCAGTGCTGACAATTCAAGACAGAGTGTGTAGGAAACATGAGAAACTCATAAGCCAGTTCTGCCACACTGACCAGACATATGTATGTGACGACTGCATGAAGAAAGACCACTGTGGTCATCATAGTGTGCCCATAGAGGATGAGAGCAAAGACAGGAGAGCTCAAGCTGTGGGGATAAGTAAGGAGGTGGCAGAAAAGATCCAGGAGCGACTGCAGAAAATCAGAGATATTAAAGAAGTTGTCGGGCTCAGCAAAAGAAACACAGAAACAGAGTTCAAAGAGAGTCTGAAGGTCTTCAACAAACTGCTCCACCTCATCCAGAAAGGCCAAGCTGAGGTTGCGGAAATAATTGGTTCAAAGCAGAGACAAGTTGAAAGCAAAGCCAGTATACTCATCGCCGAGCTGGAGCAGGAGATCAGTGAGTTGAGGCAGGGAAACGCTGACCTTGAGCAGCTCTCAAGCACCCCAGATGACCTCTACTTTCTCCTGAGCTTTCCAGCTTTCTCCACACTGCCAGCTTCTGAAGACTGGTCTGACACATGCGCAGAGGGCGCTGTTTATGTGGGCACGCTAAGGAGGGCAGTCAGGAGAGTGGCATGTCAGCTGGAAGAGACAGTAAAAGCTGAGGTGAAGAGGCTATGTGAGGCTGAATTCCAGAGGGCTCAGCAGAGTGCCGTGGATGTGACTCTGGATCCTGATACAGCTCACCCCAAACTGGTGCTCAATGAAAACGGAAAGCAGGTTTATCACGGTGATGCAGCACTCAATCTCCCAGATGACCCCAAAAGATTTTATCCTGGTGTCAGCATTTTAGGGAAGGAGGGTTTCTCCTCTGGCATCATCTACTATGAGGTCCAGGTGAAAGGGAAGACAGAGTGGGACATCGGAGTTGCGCTGGAGTCGGTCAACAGAAAAGGAGGAAACACGCTGAACCCTGAAAATGGCTACTGGGCGATAGGGATGAGACCGGGCGAGACCTACTGGGCCCTCAACACCACTCCAGTCCGTGTGCCCTTGGTTGAGAAGCCCCAGAGAATTGGGGTGTTTGTGGATCTGGAGGGGGGACAGGTTTCTTTTTACAACGTGGACACTGCTTCTCATATTTACTCATTCACTGGTTACTCATTCAGTGAAAGACTTTTCCCCTACTTTAACCCCCGACGTAATCACGATGGGGTCAACTCAGCTCCTCTTATCATCCTGCCTGTTGGTGTCTAATTTTAGACACTATTTAAAGCAACTGGAAAACTTCAAACTCATTCATAACTAATAACTGAAAAGTATCTGCAAACATTTGAAATTACTTTCAATTTGTTTCCAAATAATACAGTTTCAATTTCTGTTCACTTTTGTAACCCTGGGTTGCAATATTTGCAATTTTTGCCGCATTATTGCAGTACTTTCCTTTTCTGTTATTTATATAAAAATTTCTCTAGTACAATTACTTTACTATGTCCAGGAGAAGTAGAGACCAGAGGAGTAGAGAGTCCAGGTGGAGTGATGTGTTTCTTAATTACCTTTCCCTTATAAATGACAAACTTACACATACTGTGTAAAATCGTGTTCAATCTGCGTCATAATCAAACAAAAACCTGCCGCCCTCTTCTTCTAAGAGTTATTGTCAGGTCACTATTTGATGATGCTTGTGTAGTGCAGGTGTAGACATAAAAGTAAACACTCTGGGATCCTGTCAGTTCAGTGTTCTATAGTGGTCTCATAATGTAAACCAGCTGAAGGATGGACTGAAATACTATGTCTCAAATCTAATCAGGAATTTTCCAGGGTGTCTGTGACAGCAGCAGCAGCAGCAAGGTGTGCACGTTTACATTTAGAGTCATGTGAGTCAGAAACAGATTCTGCATGTACAGCAGTCAGTCCTCTGTGATCTAAGGTGAGGGCTGCATTTCATTGACTTATTCATCATCGACTAATCCAAGTGATGATGGCATATCACATTTCAGGTCTTATGACTGATATCGCACATCGTGTGATGTGACTATGTGCATGTGCACATTGCACTCATGATGTTAAAACTCAGTTGGTGATCTACTTTGCCAAGCCACCTGCTGATGCAGCTCATTACCTGGCCACCAACCACTGACATAAACAAGTTGACGCAAAATATTGATGAAATGATTGATAATTGTATTGATAAAAAAACAACAACATAAAGTCCTGATCTCACAGTTGCAATGGAACTATGATCACAGATTTTTATCAGCCTCCTTGCGGTACAAATTAACACCAAGTTAAACATTTAAATTCATGGCCAAGTTTTAAAATCCTGCTTATTTGTATTTATCATGACTTTCTACATTTTTGCTGATCAGTACCATGTATGGTTTAATATGATTAGAAACTTTGGGATGCGCTCACCAGTTCCCATGCTGTCGCATGAATTGCAGATCAGGATCTTGCTCTCTCTCTGTCAGGGATGGTTGGAGGCCAGTAGCTTCTCAGGCTTTTCTTATTATTTCACAGCTCTTACGACCAGTTGTAGATTGGCAGATATTTTTACCACATTGTCTACAGGTAGAGGTCAAACATGTTGGACTTCTTCCTGCAGGTAGATTTAAGACATTGTGTGTGATGAGCTTGTCTCTTGATAGTTGCTGTCGACTGTTTCCTGCTGCATGAGTTTAGGTTTTGGGTTGATGTGTTAGAGTTTGGCTGTTTAAAATGATAGACTCAGCTAGTGGTAGAGAGCTATAGTTTAGTATTGCATCCCTAGTTTTAAGAACAAATGGGCCTTATCAGCTAATGTAAGATTTGTATGCCAGCAGCTTACTATGACATGGACAACAAAGCAATTTTCACTCTACATTCAGCGACCAAGCAAAATTACTCTTTCATCGATAGGGCTGATTCTGACTCAGATTATTCAAATACTGTTTTCAAGGCTGTAGTTTGTTGATTGTGTCATATGCTGCCATTGTGTGTGGATGCTATACCTACAGCCTTGAGGAATAGTCTAGACAGCACAGTGAGCTGTTTTTGAATTAGATTCTCTGATAGTTATGAATGTTGCTTTTCACTGGAGTTATTGTTTTTTGATACATGCAAATGTAATTTTTAAAAATGGTTTAATCTCTGTTTCTTGATTGTTTTTAATGTTTTCTTTTACCATCTCTCTGTTTCAATCAAAGTTAGTCAAGGTCTTGCATGATATTTGTTGATCCGAATAAAGTTTGATTACTTGTCTGAATTGTCTGTGTTTTCTCTTTTTTTCTTCTGAGTGTCTTCTGTAAAAACCAAGGTTGAAAAAGTCTTAAAATCAATATTGGAATAATACACATATGTGAGCTACATCTGCATGAAATAAGGCAGGATTTAAAGATGTTGGCATGTGTGTGCAGGTGGCAGTGGAGCTCCCAAGGCGGTCTCTCTCCCCGGTGTTATGTGCTGTGATGTGGACGCTGCTCTCCTGTGGCATCCTGCTGGCTTTCTGCTTTTTCCTCTTCACCCTGCGTTTCAAAAACAACAGGTAGAGCACACTGGTAAACCCATACACGGATAATATAATAAAGACAGCCACAGAAATCGAACATTCAACCATGTGCTTGTGTGTGTTTAGGATAGTGAAGATGTCAAGTCCCAATCTGAATATTCTGACCATCTTTGGAAGCGTTCTCACCTACATCAGCGGCTTCTTATTTGCTGTTGATGAACAAAGTGACTCTCATGGTGGAGCATCCACAGCAGTGCTACAGGTAACCCCTCCAGCCGCCATCACTCATGAGTAATATACTTGGATTAACCAGGGTTGGATATTCAAGCAGACTGTTTTCTTGCAGGCTCGAGTGTGGACCCTTTGTGTTGGCAGTACTCTGGTGTTTGGTCCTATTTTGGGGAAGACATGGAGACTGTACAGAGTCTTCACTCAGCGAGTGCCTGACAAGAGAGTGGTAAGTCTGCTCCACCAGCCCCCCTGGTGGCCATGTGTATGATGACCTTATGTATACCTTGTAATGATTTCTCCTGAGGGGGCATTAAAAACTTAAATATGTTATCAGGGACTAACTTTAGAAGTTTGCATAGTTTTTTTTTTTTCATAAAAAATCTCTCAATGAAAAATAGCAGAAGAAACATATCAGAAGTTTTCTGGCCCAAGACTCAGATCTCCTTTACCTTTAGATTTACTGAGATTTTTTAGTCCATGTTTACCGATTATACTTCTTAAATGGAAATCCAAACATCAGACATCTTAAACTTAAACTGGCTTGGGGCCATTGTTGGTACTGTCATCTTAAAGGAGGTCCACTTCAAAGTTCAAGCAGCAAACATTCATTTATTCCCTGTATTATCATTTTGTCATATTTCTCAAAAAATGCTGTCAGTTTGTATTCACTGTATTTTATCAGTTTCCTTTTACCTCCTAGGACAAATAATTTGCACCTCAACAAGTTTTAAAATTGTGAAAAGTTTTTTTTTCTTTTTTAACGTGCAAATGTTCATATTTTGAAATAGCCCTCGGACCCGCAGTTTGAGATCTTAACTTTATTATCCATTACTTTATAAAAGATCATGTAGGAAGGAGGGGCAGAGGAAAATGCTGTTAAGTAACATTTGTTTTGATGCTTACAATGACGATGACTCTACTTTCGGCCTCAGATCATCCGAGACATCCAGCTGATGGGGATGGTGGCTCTGTTGATCCTGGTGGACTTCCTGGTTCTCACTGTCTGGAACCTCATGGATCCCATCAGGTGTTCACGATCTCTGAGCGCTGCTGTCAAGGTAGAATATAATCAGGGTTTTGATAACTCATACTACTTGTTAAATATTGAAAGAAATGTTGCCATTATACCCACAGGTTACTCTACCTTCTTCATAGTAATGTATCATGAAGTTATTTAATGACATAATTTCACGTTGGTGATGCTGTTTCTCCTGATCTAGGTGGTGGAGGGGGACATTTCCTACTCTTTGTCTCAGTTGGACACCTGCTCCTCCTTATACCCAGATCTGTGGGTCATCCTTATTGTGGTTCAAAAGGTAATTAAGATATCTTCTATTAAAATGCAGCGTCAGGGTAGAAAAAATCATGTAGCATTTTAAGGCATTTTTCTAACTTGAATGGATTGCATGGAAACACAAATGGTATTATTATTTTTTAATTAATGGCTTAAGTTTACACAGATATCAAATGTAAGTATACTGTATACATGTTACTTAAAGTTGTGCGTACAGCTCTGAACCAGCCACCAACTTCCTTTTATCTTTGTCTTATCTCCATTTCTTTATTTCTATTCAGGGTTGTCTCCTCCTCTATGGGACGTATCTTGCTGGACTGACCAGCACCGTCAGTCACCCTCCAGTCAACCAGTCCCCCACCATCATAACAGCCGTCACTCTGGTCACCCTCACCTCAGCTGTGGCTGTTCCTGTCTCCATTTTCCTGCAAGCTTATCCTAACCTGGTGTACAGCACTGTGGCTGGAGCTATTTTCATCAGCACACTGGCTACTAACTGCATGCTGTTTGTACCTCAGGTAAGAACAAAAGCCCACGTTTTTTTTTCATGTGACGAGAGATTAAGGTCTCTTTTGGGAAGTTTGGAGAAAGACTAGGTTTCGTCTTTATCTTTGAAGAGACATGTTTGACATTAACTTGTATTTAGTGGAGACACAAGCACTTTTTCAGAGACTGCGTTACAAACAGTCAGTCAGTTAGACATTTTTAATACAGAAACTCAGACATATAACAGACAGAGACATGACATATTCTTGTCTGACTTTCTCTCCTTGTTTTGATGAAGTTGTAAATCTCATGATCGGTGCTATGGCCCCCACATCTCTTTTTCCGTAAGCGTGCCAGTGTGTCGACTCTATCAGAGGAGAGTGACTCACACAGAAGGTGTTTATGAGTCAAATCTACGTAGGCTGCTGCAAACAGGTTTATGAGTCTTGAAGTGTCTGGCAGTGGGTTTGTGTTACGATAAAGGAATGCCTCCCCAGCGGAAAGGGAGGAAATATTTGAAGAGTGAGCAATGTGCTCAAACACACCTGGTCACAAAGGTTGTTGAAGGATCCTGGAAACATTTACTACTAATGTGTGAAATGTATCTTCAGATGACAGTTGTTGTAACAAACTTATTTAAAGCTCCCTCTGCCTCTTGCTTTCATTGCCATGCAGCTAACACAGTGGAGGCAGTTTGAAGATGATCAAAACAACCCGAGTCAGATGGCAAAATATTTCAGCAGCCCCAGTAAGAGCCAGCCATCCGTGTACAGCCAGGATGAGATCTACTTTCTGCTGGGGGAGAACAGCTCTATGAAAAAGCTCCTGAATGAGGTACTGCGCTGTTCAGCAATCATTCAAAAATACAAAGGAAAAAACCCTGTGGAGCTTAAGAGGTGCTGCCCTTCAATTTGATATCAGTGTGATCAAAGTCCAGGTATTAGTTTTAATAGAGCGCTGATTATCTTGGTTACACTTCAGCTTCATAGTATCAGTGGTGGAATCTAAGGATAGACAGCCTATCCTGATACAACCGAGACCTATTTCTGAATTGAACCCTCCTCCTGTGTTGGGGTCTGTACCGACCCGTTTTTGTTTTTAAATGCTTAAAAGAAGCACATAAATTAGATTTTGCATCAAGACTTTTTGACTTTGTCAGGAACCTCTATTTTAACAAAATAAATTAACTTTACTCAATTATATAATGCTCTTATTAAATGTAAGGCACTTGTCGTGTTAGGGTCGCTGTTGACCCGGTTAGATTTTAAAAAACTAAAATCATAAGTCAAATCCTCTTCCAATCGTGTGAGATTTAGGAAATTCTCATTTTTCCATGTTTTTCCCTACACAAAAAACAACGTCGGGCATGTCCAGACATGTAAGATCAATTCAGTATAGATGTCTGTATGAGGGGTATACTGACAAAGAAAGGCCCAGAGAACCACAACAAAAAATATTATAAACAATATTTTCATGGATAATGAAGCCTAACAAAGTAACCTAGAGAAGAAAACCAAATTGGATGATAGAGAAATGTTTTTAGTGTTATTTGCAGTTGATTTAAAACACGGGTCAAAACTGACCCTTAACATAGGTGCGTAGTAAAAGCTGACACAGGTGGAAAGTTTAGCCTTTTGCTGTCTTATTTTACAATAACTATTTAATTTTCCAAGTAGCTCTTGGGCGTCAAAGTACCAGGATGGACATACAGTTTTGGTTTTATTGTGATCTAGCCTTCAGACCCTGTGACAACTGCAGTGCTGACTGTATATTTAATTGTAGTATCATTTTAATCAATTTGCCATGTTAGTATGAAAGACAAGAATTATAGAGTATATTTTGGGGATCTATTGAAAAAGAGAAAGCCAGATGTAAATCTATCAATCCAGTCTAATTCAATGACAGGGTACTTAAACTTGTGTTTTTGTTGTGATCTCCAGAAGAACGCGGTGATTGACAGCTTACAGGAGCAGGTCAACAACGCCAAGGATAAACTTTTGAGACTCATGTCAGCCAGCCAGCCACCCGAGGACCAGGATACGGAGTCCTCCAACACCAACCTCAACTCATCCTCCACCCAGACCACAGAGCTTCAGTCTGACTGGATGTCTTCTTCCTCTCTACCTCAGAAGGACGCTCTATCCCAACTTTCACCACTTCCTCCTACTGCCGCTATTGCACCATCATCTGCAATTCCACCTTCTTCTGCTCCCAAATCTCCACCCCCTATTTCTGCCTCTTCTCCTCTTTGTAATGATATATATGAGGGTGAAAACATTAAAAGTGTAACTATAACTTGCACTCCAGGTGGAGACAAAGCTGATTCCAGAGCAGGAGATCCCAAAGAGCCTGTGTCCCTTAAGTCTCATGGGTTACTAAGGACAGCAGAAGAGACAGTTCACTTTGTCACTTCTCTACAATCTCACAGAGGATTGAACCCCTCTAAGGTTGAAACTCTCAACAACCAGAGTGGCCTAACACTCAACCCGGGACCAAATTCCAGACCAGCTGGTTTTGTCAGCAGTGAGCAGTTGCAGGAAGTCCTCCAGGAACTGAATGTTGATGCAATTATGGAAACCGCACTTCGATCTCCTGGTCAGACATCCAGAGTGTCTTCTCAGCTTAAATATCCTGAGGCTTCTGCACTCTCCCCACTCTCTCTACGGACTCCACGCTCCCCTCATCCACCTCTTCTCTTCCGCTTTCCCAGCATCTCCCCTTATGCGATGAGGAAACGCCGGCCACCCTTTCGCTCCTCCAGAAGAGGTTTTGCTCCTTCTTACTTCTACACAGGCTCAGAGGCTGCAGGCTGTGAAAGGACAAAGGACAAATGTGGCCTTCAGGGTAGAGGAAAGCATTCTGATGGTGCTGTTGGAGAGGGCACCCTCATTCAGGTTGAAGACTCCGACCTTGAGAAGGAGGAGGAAGAGGAGGAGGAGAATGCAGAAGGGAACAAAGGGATGAGGAAATGTAGGAGATGTGTTTTAAGGTCCCATAGATTTCACACAGGTCCACTGGATGTGGAAGGAGATGGTGAAAATAGTCAAAACAGGCGGATCAGAGACTCCTGTGGGTACTGGGACTCTGACTCTAGCAGCTCAACAGACTACTGTTACTACCACCGTCCCTATTGTGACTCCTGCCTTCAGCGAGGATCCTTCATGACCTCTGACACCTCCTCAGACACCTCTGACAGCGAGTATGAGGACTATGCTGGCCTGTACCGCTCCCCACACCCTGTGGTGTTCAAAGAAGACCTCAAACCTACCTTTGTGTGAGCACAGGGTTACTGCACTTTACGCCGTCATCCAATTTCACCTCTTGAATTCTCGTGCTAAGACATAATTAGCTTTGAGGATAGAGCAGGCACTAACTACACAGTGCATTGAGCTAACATGCATAATTTGACTTTGGATACAATGTGTCTTTGCAATCTTTCTACAAAAGTAGAATTGGAATCACTGAATTGAGAGCCTGGGAGGGTGTGGCTTTTTCACTCACATGTTTGTTACAGACTTGTCAGTCATCATGTAGCTCTTTTTTATATTACACATGGCATTATTTGAATATTTCTGTGGTCAAAGATAAATCATAAAAAGGATTGACTTTGACATTTGGTGCAGAGTGAAACGCTTCATGAGAACAGTTTGAGGTGTGCACTATATTAGCAACTGTGCAAATGCTGTATTTATTTCAGTATTTATTACACGTTTTTTTGTTTACATAATGTCTTTCTGTCTCTGTATATTTGTTTTGCATTGACAAACACATTTCTTAAAGTTATTCTGCATTTTTTGTACTCTGTACAATTTTTTGTGTTTTGTTTCACTTTTTGAACTCCTTACAGTCCCAAGAAATTACTTTGCATTTTATTTTTAGATCTTCGTTGCCTTTACAAGACACCACACTGTCAGTGCACTTGGCAAAAACAGTTCCCTGCTATCACCTACCTATCCTGAATTACTCTCCACAATATGTTGAGCTCTTATTAAGATGTGCAGAGGTCAACGTTGTCCAGGTAGTGTGTTACTTTTTGAGAAAAAAGGGAGTGCACTGATGCTCCTTGACCTCTAGGCCCCTTGTCATTTAAACTCTTGGAAAAAAAATCCTGCAACACTTGATGTCTCAACCAATTTTATTATTATCATCATTATTTTTATTATTATTATTATTTGGAGGTGATTGACAAGGCAAAAAATGAGTCCCTGTGCAGCCCTCACACTCACCTCCTTTCTCTTACATTCTTGCAGTTCAACCGAGCCTGTTTGCTCCTCATATTTAAAACATCATCTCAGGATTCACATATTTGTCATGCAACATTTATAACTACCAAAATAGAAAAGAAAATTGTGTAAATTCTGGCGTTTTCATAATAGTCCTGCCATATAGACAAAAATAGAGCATTTATCTCTCCCCCTCATTTTTGTGTATCTGAATCCAGTCTCTTCCTCTCTCTCACTCACTCCCAGTAACTTCACTCTGTCTCCTTCTGTATTTTTTTCTTTCTCTAGCTGATGGGAATATGAGTCTTTGCCGGGGGAGGTGTTGCTATATGAAGAGAATACAGTGTCTCACATTAATTCTGCTCTGTTGCCTGTTTTTGAGTCTTTGCAGCTCTATTCTGCATATGAACCATTGAATGGCAGCCTGGGAGAAATTCCCTTTGATACGGAGCATAACAGAGTATAAATAAACCACACAAAAGAGCGACTGCCAGCATCGCTGTGCAGAAGGAAAGACTTCCCAGCAGAGCTTAGAAGAGTGTTCTTCAAGATTTAAGGAATGGAAAATAAGAAGAATGAAAAATACACATATAAATCACACATACATTTTCTATTTTAAATAAAAAAGCAATTGAGCTGTCCTACAGATTTACTGTAACATCAATAAAAGAGGTCTTGTGGAATTTGACTGTGTGTTGTCCAGGAAAACAATAACAGCTAGCCTTTGGGGTCACCTTTTATGATGGATTTCTAAGATGTGACTAATGGCTCTTATTAAGCTAATGGTAAATGCAAAAAAAAAAAAAACACTGTATAATCCAAAGTCATAATCAAATTTATGACTAACAGCATTTAGAAATGGCTTATAACAGACAGTGTAGTGTCGGTGCTTAATAAAAAGATAAAGAAATCAGCAAAAGGTGATCTTTTTCACCAACATGCAGGCAAATAAGTCAAATTCATGGCTTATTGTTTATGCAGTCAATGCTTATTACATATCTATGATACATCAAGTGTTCAAGTCTATTGTCATTACACACAGCTCAGAAATTCACCATGGCTTACTGCTCTAGAGCCTTCGTGCTGAGCCAAAAATACTTAAAATTGAGATAAAGAATAGTTGATAAAGAGAAAAAGTACAACAAAATTTGAACTAGTAGGTAAAACTATAATAAGGCTAAGAAGATTTTAGGCATGAGTTTAACTGAAGGTACAGCAATTATGATACAAAAGGGATCAGAGAGTAAACTTAATCGTTCATTAATTTATCTCTCATCAGCTACAGACTTAGAACTTTTAGATAAAAGAAACCTTTACAAAGCTCAAGGATGCTGTTTATTTAGAAATGGGATGTCTTAAAGCACAGGAACAATTATATCTGGCCCACAAGATCATATCATATTTGTGTTATTATTGGCCCACCATTATAAAGTATGCAGATTTCCTCCAGTATAATAATGTAAACTTAAGCACCATTATTTAAAATATCCTTAATAAACCATGAAAATCTGGGAAATTAAAAAAGTAAGGAAGATTTGATGAATAGTCAAGAATGTGGGGGAAAAATATTTAGTGTTTCATTTCATGTATTCAATCTTGGATTTCAAGATTTCAAGTCAAACATGATTGGATTCTTCATTTCATGCTTTGATTTTGTTCAACTCAGTATTTAGACTTGTGTCATTTTTATACTTTAGATTCCAGTTTTAAATTACAAGTCCTATTTTGACCTTTTAAACCTGATTTCGACGTTCTTCTCATGTATTTGCTCTTTAAATGCATTATTTTTCTATTTTTCAATATCACGCTCTGATCTTTTGGACTAATAAATAAAAATAGAACAAAAAAAATTAATTTTCTATCTCAGATTGCCTTTAAACTAATCATTTTTGAATCTCCAAATGATTTATAATCATTGCTATTTTTGTTACATATTTTTTGAAAAGGAGGTTGACAGTTTTGGTGAAATGTTAATCCTGTTTGGCCCTCAGGTTAGACCTAAATTCAGATTATGGCCCTTGCTGTAGTTGAGTTTGACACCCCTGTCTTAAAGGAAAAATTGACCTGAGATAAGTTTTGAAAGGACAAGGAAGCCCTGCTCACATACATACACAGATTTAAACAATTACGAAGCTCTCTGACATAAAGTTAATAGATTCGCCAGGGGGCTACGTGAATTAAAACGAGGCAGCAGGATGGGCTTTTGAATCTAACATAGCAACAGTGCTGCATGGGCACCGTGATCTGTGACAGCTAGGGTTAGCGCTGACAGTCTCATTCTAAACCCCCATTGGATGATAAAGCCATCAATCACGAGAGTGGCTCCTCCCACTGTCCCTGACGCGGCATAGGAAAAAACCTTTGAAGTCGAGAAGGCGGCGCCAAGCGAACTGTGCCATGTGGTGCTCGAGAGCGGCGTTTCTATTGGATCACATGAACACGGTGTACGCCCACTTCTGAAGTATACCTCCTCTGATTGGTTTAATCCTCCACCCCAGATTCCCCGTTTGCGCGTGCAGTTTTTCCATTCTCAACTGGGGGTTACGTCAGTTGCGTGAGGTCTCTTCAACGGCGGCGTACCGATTCTTGTAACCTTATACGGAAACGGCGTATCTAACGTGCGCAGCGACAAAGACAGCGAGCCCGAAACCTATGGGGAAGGAATAAAAAAAGAATTTCAGTACCGTCGCGCTTCTGTACTTACACACCATCGTTTTCTGAAGAGGTCGCTGCCCCGGGGGTTTCGGACAAGACAGCGAAAAATTGGGGGGCTACGAGGGGCGGGTTTTGGCTGAAGGTTGAGCGGCTGAATTCGTTATAGCAGACTGTGGCAACGGGCAGATTTTTCCGTTGGACAGTAGGCTAGCGTATAGCGAGGGAGCCGCCATGGCAGTCGGATCATTGAGCCTCCACATCGGGATATGAAGAGGATCTGCATGTGTCTAAGAAAACGCCGCATTCAGCAGAGATCCACCCTGGATTAGCGATCTTTAACAGCTGATTTCCCCTGTTTTTCATCTTTGTAACATTGATTCAGAAAGAAATCGCAATTGGTTTTAATCGGGGGGCCACAGGGAGAGGCCAGATTCATGACTATTTTAGTCGGAGACGTGTCTTCAAAGGCCCGCTGAGAGAAAACCTGGAACATAAGGAAGAAATGATGCTCTGATTTTGACCGCTGCTGGGACAGAAAGGCTGCTTTATTTGGTGTTACGGACAAGAGGAAAGGATCTTGGGGTCGCTTTCTGTCAGCCTACCTTTTTAAATTATACTCTTATTTAATTACTGACATCCTTTTTTGGATGAGAAAGTTCGGCGGATCGATTAGCCCTGCCGTTTAGCGAGTCCTCCGTAGTCTCCCAGCCCAGAGAGAGAGTCAAAGGGATTGGATCATGTCGGGTCGGCCCAGGACCACATCCTTCGCCGAGAGCTGCAAACCAGTGCCGCAGCCCTCAGCTTTCGGCAGCATGAAAGTCAGCAGTGAGTATCACCTCCTCATGCATTTCTAAGAGTAGAGCCCACCTTCTCTGCATGCACCAGGCCCCGGTGTGGGCTAATCCTGACTAACCAGGAATACGGTATCAAATAATCATGACGTTAGCCCGTGTTAGCATAGCCCTGTCATGTATCTGTGTCACTGGAAGTGCTCGAGTCGGTGTCGGCTCCGCACAGCGCTGCGCTCTGACGCGCAGACCCGGGGCCGGTCAGCCTGGCTAGGGTTAGCAGGCCGCGCCGGGCCGGGCAGGGCAGGGCAGAGCCGAGGCAAGGTAACCACTGAGCTCTGAAATCAAACCTTTTCATTCTGCCGCAGATCCTCTCTGATTAATTTCCACTTGAATGCAGATTAGATCTCACAGCGAGTATTGCTACATAGCATCAGCCTTATGCGTAATAGAGTTAAAGCGATAGGACCGGTGTATTACGCAACTGTCAAAGCGGAAGGTGCGCCCATCGCTGGCTGACGTTCTCCCAGGGAGGCTGGTTTAGTGAACCTGTGCTACAAGGCGTCGCGACGACTGGAAAGAGTGTGACATACTGGATCCTGTTCACGGAGCCACTGTGGCACCGTGTCTGGATGTGGTTTTAGACCGGCTGCAGAGGAGAAGCCATGAGACCGACTAGGCCCCTAAGTTACCTGCAGAGCAAGGGGTGCTGAGAATGCTCTCCATAAGCCCCGTGCTTATTTCTAACCATGCACATTTCCTCTGCATGGACTGTGTCAAATTTCCTCCTTAAGAAACTGCTGAGAAAGCATTTAGTCTCTGTGGATGTGTGTTTTAGATTGCACATATTGTTGGTTCAAGTGTTCATGATGATAGTGTTTTAATCAGCTATGACTGAAGGTTGCTGCTTTACCTTATCTTATATGCAGGCACACATTTGGGTGTGTGAGAGGAAAGAATGACGCTGTTGAGGAATGTGATGGTGGTGCTTTAAGGCTGTGATGTGGTCATGATGTGTGTAAAGTGGGGTGAGGCCCGAGGTTCTCCTCTGGGCCTTGGCATAGGAAACCACCCAGTTGACTGGGGCACACACAGGCATACATGGAGGAACAGTCCCCTCCCAAATGTTATACTCCTCTTGCCCCAGATATGGGTGTCGAGGCATTGCTGTGTTCGAGTCAGTGCCTGAAAGTCACTGCTGTGCTGCTGCTTTTATAAAGATATCCAGAGTAGCAATCTTTTGCTTGTTAGTAACTCAGGAAAATGAAGTCTTTGTCCTTATTGTTGTTCAGACATAAGCCAGTGAATTAGCTCTAAATACCAGACTGACTGCTTGGACTTAACATTTTATGAATTTTACACCAGTTTCTCTTAAAATTTTTCCTTTTCCAAGAGGCTCATCTGGTAAGTCAGTACATCATTATCAGCCATTAAAGGCTGCAGTGTTGGGAGTCTTCCAATTAACTGGGTGTTAAATAATTGGATTTCTTTTAGCAGGTGGTGTCCAGCCCCATAGAGGAAGGTGATTAGTACAAAATACATGAAGCTTTAGTGAGGAATGGGTTTAACTTCTGAAAACTGAAAGGGGAAGTTTGGAAAGCAGCAACTGTGGAACTTTAAGCTGACTTTTTTTTCATAGAGCTCGGTTATTTCTATTACTTAATGTTCAGCACATTCTCAGTGCTGCAAAAAGTGAACAGTCTAAGATCTATTTCTGTTTCATGAAAACTGAACACTCAGAAGAAACTACAAACTTAGACCCCCAAAATTTGCACCTCAGATCTGGTCTTGCTTATGTAAAACCCCCAACACCTACTCCTTTCCAAGCGTCTTATTTTAAAGAGATATTACAGCGTAAAATTAATTTAGGGTCAAACACACCGTTACACCGAGTTAGACACCATAGAGATGAATGTTGCTGACCGCTTGCTTCTCTAGTTATACCAACTTTAGTAACGACCACACGATAGCAATACACAGCGGTCTGAGGAGCCATAAACAAACCTCAACCAAAACGCCACTCTATAGCCACAATTAATGCTCAGAACAGCACCTAACTTCATCAACAGTACATATAGGGTTTAAGCCATAGCACTAGCCACCAAACATCTTTTTAACTTTGCCTGATTTCTTTAGCAAACAGACTAAACACAACTCGCCTACTCTCTTCCAGCAGCCGCTTGCTTGTAGTGAGAGCTTAGGCCAGTCCATTTTGGACTGCTGCGGGGTGCCGCAGCTTAAGGAAGAACATTTATAATCATTACTTTATCATTTCCTTGAAGTAATAATCATCATGTTAATCATTTTGCACTGCAGACGCAGTAGTTCTTTTGCCTTAGCGTCTCAGTCTGACTGCATTTCCATGATAAAATAAAAGGATGTGTTTGACCCTAAATTAATTTAATGCTGGAATATCCCTTTAAACATCACAATTTGGTCCATTTGAAAAAAAAATTGTCTCCAAGTGGTAAACTATTTGTGCCACTCACATCTGCAGAGTTTGCGAGAATACGAACAGTTCAGTCAAAGCAGGTTTCTAATCTGACACCCAATGAGCCCCCAAAACAAGTAAACAAGAAGGTCGGCCTCGCATGAGATTGGAAATTGCACCAGCATGTTGTTTTCTTCGAACACATCCATGGATTGAGGAGTCGAACGCTTCATAATTAAGTCTGCTTTGCTGGTTGCCACATGTCTTTTGGTTTGGGATACACTGATGCTCAAAACAGAAGAAGAAGAACAGCAGCAGCCATATTTGTAGTTCTTAATGCCCTGATAATGACAGCCTTTTCCCCTTTGGGCAGTTATATCTTTATAGCACTGAGAAAGTGTTTTTTTTTTTTAGAAACTTATCCACCACGTCAACTCAAATTTAATTTTAGCTTTTAGTATCTAGACAAAGTTATTTATTTATCAACAAGTGACGACAGAAACCAACTTTAGAATTCAAATCAGATTTATAATCCAGGAACACAAATATTGCAATGTCATTGCTGCACTTTGGACTGTATTCTTATGATTCCTGGAACTCACCCTGTTAAGATCTACCTACACTAGTTTTATCTTATGCCCCAGTTTTTCATCTACCATTATAGACCTCTGCCACCACAGCAAACACACACACACACACACACACACACACACACACACACACACACACACACACACACACACACACACACACACACTTGAACCCCCCCTCATATGTGCGTGAATAACTTGGCTGATTATCTCAAGCAGCTGTAGCCGCTGTGTATGATCCTGGAGAGAATGCACTTACCCCTCCCACACAGGCAGACAGGAACACACACACACACACACGTCAATGCACACATGCACACACATATACATGCATGCATCTCCACACCCACATGAGCGCTCTTTGGGTCTGTTTTTTTTGGGGTGAGGCAGCTGGCCAAGAACAACGAGCAGCCTGTTTAGCATTTCAAAGCTGCAGCTCTCTCTTCCCCTATTTACTCCCCATCTCCTCTCTGTCCCCCTCTCTCTCTCTCTCTCTCTCTCTCTCTCTCCCACATTTTGCAGATGATGATAGGAACAAAATGAACTAATTATACTCTTTGGTTCAAAATGAAGCACTTCTGAGAGGAGAACTCTCATAATCCTGTTTAGGGGTGTAGAAAAACCAGTTGAGTTTAGAGTGACAGTTTTTTGGGGTGTCCATCAGGTGTATTCTTGGAAAGTTATACGGCGGCCATTTTTGTCTTAGGAAATCTTAACTATAATTTTTTATATTTTTCTAATAGACTAAGGTGTATGGTCGAAATTCAGAGGTAGATTCATCATTGTTTAATGGCAGCTAACAACATATCCCAGTAAAATGACCATCTGATAGTGTCCAGACTCACAGAGCTCTGACGTGAATGTAGTGGATACACATCACGCTGATATCTTAAATCTCCGCACCACCATTGTGTCTGCTCACTGATACCTTGATGTCTTGAGCGTTTCTCAGTCAAATGCCTCAGTGCCTGTGCTGACAGTCCTTTGACAAGATCTCCCAGTACTGTAGGGAATTATCTCATTATGATTACAGCAGCGGTAGAACACTTTGCACTGTGCAAGAGCCGTGGACTTAGTGTGTCCACGCAGGAGTTGTCCCGGCATGCAGCAAATCTCTACACACACCAGTCCATGGCTACTGTGTTTCACTTTATTTTAGGTTGCAGTTGAAACGAGTAGCTCATGGCAATCAGTGTCAGAGTTTAAAATAAGGGTGTGAATTTACATGCAACAGTGACAGAGTTTAATCAAGCTGTGTGTGTGTCAGGGGTTTACAAAGTCTCAGAATGGACTTCAGACATGGTCAGTGTGCAGGGTCAGACTCAGTGACAGCCACTCATAGTGATTGGAAATGAGTGGTGGAAAGATTTTCCTTCAAATCTGGGGGTGGGGGGTGAGTAATGACCACGGGTTGGAGTTGAATCTGGGGCTGTCCCCTCTATGACCTGTACATAAGGTGCATGTTTTTTACTGCAGAGCGAAACCTGCGCCCTTAAAAAGTTAAACCCAACCGCATTTTTTTGAAGTTAAAAATCAAACGCCCCTTATTAAGCCCACTTAAAGCCCCATAAAGCACTGCAGCTGTTGTTTTTCAATGTCAGGTGACTGACAGCTGTTTGTTTTGCTCTTGCACCATCACATCCACGTTTGCCTGCAGACCCTGAATCCATATGATTGTGTTAAAGGTTTGTGTCATGAATTAGTACAGTGGTTTTCAACTGATGGGTCCTGACCCAAAAGTGGGTCACGGACACGATCTGAATGGGTCACGAACAGCCGGGCAAAAAACGAAATATTTAATGCGATATTTATTAGGATGATATTTGGATGAAGTGGTTTTGACAAACTTTGATGATCAAACCAACGCATCCCCCCCCCCCGTGGATGCTCTGTATGGGGTGTTGCTCTGGCCCCATTAATCCACATGTTGTTAGCCATACTCTACTGTGGCCTGGACTAGTCCAGTGACCTGAATTGACTATTGACGCTTGTGTCTGAAAGTTGCAGCAGCGGTCTCCACTCTGCCATAATGATATAGCGTATACACATGGAATCACGTTCTCTTTTCGGAGGATTTCCAGAGTAACGGTGGTAATGCTGCAGGCACATGTTGCAATGTTTTTGTGCTCGCTCTATTTTCTGTGTCGAGGCTGTGATTTTAATTTTAGTTTAATTAGATATTAAACTGGGGCCCCGGGACATTTAATTTTCTGTTTGCTCTTTGGGGAATACTTAGTTTCAATGAAAAGGTTCTCCCTAGTTGTACTAAACAAGCGAAATGAGATTGTCGTCATACTCAAAGGAACACCTCGTCTTAACGGTTGTTTGGTGCTTGTATTCTCTCTTGTACCCTATAACTCCTGTATTAGTAATATTAGTACTAAGATCATTTCTTACTCTCTCAGTTTGAGACCTCACTGTGAACGTACAGTATGCGTCTGTGAGTAAAGAGTTTTCTCACGGTTTTGAGGAAGTGCAGAGGCGTCATAGAAGCGGCCCTGCTGGAATATGTAGGCAGCGGCATATTCCTCCTTCTTTTCTCTCACTCAAACACTCTCTCTCTCTCTCTCTTTCTCTCTTTGGGCGTCTATTTCTGTCGTTCCAGGGTCTGAGTTCAGTTTCTCTTTCTAGACTCAGTCCTGGAGAGCGACGGCCTGCTGGTCCCTCTCTTTTTTTTTCTCTCTCTCTCTCCTTTTGATCATAATCACATCTTCAGTAATTGGACCACTCACAGGTCACACAATGACATCAAGGATCCCTGCAAACACACATATGATTATTTCATGTCTGGGTTGGAGCATGTCGAGCTCACGTTTGAGTGCGTGTGGCCGCGCAGGCACTATTTGCGTCAAAATCAATAGAGCTGCTGGAAAACGAGCCGAGTGGGCTGGTGGAAGAGGATAACAGCGGTAAACCTTTGCTCTCTGTGCTACTGTTGTCTAAGTCAAAACGGCCTCTTTCTGCCGGTAAGCCACTCAGGGTTAATCAGCTAATCATTTAGTTAATTTAAAACTCATAAACAGACAGGTCACATGCTGGCAGTCTGCCAGAGGACAGCATTACTCAGTCACTCAATTCTCAGATAAATCTGACAGTATGGCCTGATAGGATCCGCCACGTGGAGGTGGTCTACTCCCAGTATGCCGCAGGAAGTTCCTATAATGAAGCACCATAATCTGGAACAGTCATGGTTATTAAGGACTGCTAATCCACACATTAACATGATTTGTACCCACTAGAGTTGATGACTGACTCAACAAACGCGTCTTAAATTAAGCAAATAGCACAGATACAATTTTTTAACGTGTTTTTTTGGTTTAACACAAAACCGCTCCTGCTGCAGTTTGAAACAAAGGGTTAATTATAAGTATAGGACCAGATTAGAGGGAGGCGGGATTTATCAGTACAAAATGCACATTTCAATTGAGACAGCCCACACATTTAAGGAACACGACACACACACTTCCCCTGGACGTCCTTTAACAGCCAGCTAATGTGAATTTTGCCCCTTGACACAGCAGAGGGGGGAGGAAGGAGAGAACCCACTTAAACAGGAAAGAGCCTCCATGTTGGGGTCTCACGGGAGCAGAGGCAGTTCCTCACTGACTGGAGAGGAGGGAGGAGCAGATTCTGATCTACAGTGCATTAGCACCAGATACAGTCCTATTAGCTTATGACTATTCACTGATCTCAATCGTGTGCACACAGTGGTCGGTGAGTCTTGTATTCAGGGTGGATATTCTTGGAAAGATGCTCTGTTTAAAACCTTTTTTTGATGGACTGATCTACCTGGATGAAAGCATGATACTTAGTGATGTAATGAATATCAGTGGCACCTAAACAGACAGACTTCAAGTGTGTATCTGTCCTTGAAAACATAAAAACCTACCACTTCGACTGCTCTAAAAGCACCAAGAAGTGTTACTGAATGGAGCAATTTGATGCTCTGTTTCGGCACAGCTCATGATTCACAGTCAGTCAGTCAGCTGGGAGCTGATCAGCACAGCCACAGCTGTTGACCAGTAGAAAGCTCTGCTGGAACAAATGGGGAGTAAAGTGGCTGTAGGAGGAAGCCTTATTGTTCTGTATCTCTCAGCAGATATTGAAACCTGCAACCTGTCAATCAAAAATCAGCCTCTCCAGCAAGAAGGCCATTAAACCCTGAGATGCTCCAGTCTGACTCCAAAAAGGCTTGAAAGAAGTTTAAGGAGGAAAAAAAAGGGGAGGGTGTAGATTATGAAATGAGAGATGACTGAATTGTGCTAAGCTGCTTTATTTTCAGATTTCTAGTTTTGTGCGTGGTGGCTCACTGTCACACACATTCATTCTGTATGGGGAGTGGAGCAGAGCCTCATAATAAACTATTAGTTTCAGATGTGATTTATGAAAAGATGTGAAATAAGCCTGTTCGAATATGGTCAAAATCACCTTTACAGCTATTTTCATTGATACTAAGATCACACTTATTGAACACCATTACTCACTAATTTGACAATGTCTGCTTCACCTGACCTTAAACACAATAACACACATTATAATCAGCATTATGAAACAAATTAAAAAAAAAAAGAAAATAAGCAAAGAATATTTTATTTTCACCTTTTTTTCAAACTAACCAGGTTTATTCACTCTCTCCTCTTGCTCACGCTGTCCCTCTGTTTTACTAACACACGCTCTTCTCCCTCACATTGTTACGCAGTTAAATGTATTTTTATGGAACTTTGTTATAGACAAAACGACAACAAAGAAAAACAGACACAGGCATATCCAAAGATATACAACAAATAATGCACAATTTAGAGAGAAATTTGTGGAAACTTAGTGCACTCCTAAACTTTGTTGCTTATTGATTTGAGTTTCATTTAAAGTCTGTGGTGGAGTCAGCTGGTTCTTCGGGGGTTTGCTTGTTTACCTGAACCATGAGTTAGTGGAGAAGAAGCATTTCTTGAATTTTCTCTCTCTTACCTGATGTTCATTTCTTAAAGAAAACCCTGTCCTTGACATTTTCATTTCTCTAATCTCTTGGTTTCTTCCTTCTAAGGGGATAAAGATGGCAGCAAGGTTACAACAGTCGTGGCCACTCCAGGTCAAGGCCCTGACCGGCCACAGGAGGTGAGCTACACAGACACGAAGGTCATCGGCAACGGCTCATTCGGCGTCGTCTACCAAGCTAAACTGTGCGACTCTGGAGAGCTGGTGGCCATCAAGAAGGTCCTGCAAGACAAGAGGTTTAAGGTAAAAACAACAACACAGCACCACACATTCAGACTAACAGAGTGTGTCTGTCAGCTCAGTCCAGTGTCTGACCTGTTGGCCAAAACAAGAAAGAAAATGATAGTGCAGACTTGTTGCATAAATGAATGTGACTGAGAAACTGTGAAGGCGACGTGAACAATGAGATCAGTGAAACTGCACAAGAAAAAAAAACAAAGGCAGGACTTGATCACGTTTTGCCCCCTGATGCCACGAAAGAAAACATCCTCGCTTTAATCTGTGCATTTCCTCACAGGAAGTGTTTTTGAGCGGGTGCATGTTTGGTTAAAGACTCAACTCTTGCGCAAACAAACTTGAACCCAGTAATAACCAGTCATCTGTCACCTTCAGCTCAGTCAGCACCGTCTGAACGTCATCTTAACTTCCAGGCAGAGCTCTGCTGGAAACTTCCTCCTGTGCTTTGAATAGATTTGACTGATGCCTTGTTGTTTCTTGGCCGAGGCGACGTGGTCCGCGCTCCCTTCGCTACTCTTGTCGTCGTGGGGAGGGGGTTAAAGTGTTGTTGTTGTTGCCAGCTCACATAAAAGCCGAGGGGATGCCAAGCCTTCAGGACAGCAGTTTAGGGTCTCATTAAGTTTACGGTCATCAGAGATTGGAGTTAAGTCTGCACAGTGTAGCTGCTAGTTTTTCAGGTCCAAGATAAATGTTCAACATGTTATCAGCTTTGGATCCTTGACAAAACATCCTTTATTTTCTACATTTTTCTATATTTTAAAGGTAAGTATTTCAGTCTGAAGATTTGAGCCAGAGTAAATAAATGTGTTGTAAATAATCAACAGTGATAGACATTCTTGATTTCTTCTATTTTCTCCTTTTTATGCAACTCTAAAGCAGCCGTTGTCATTAAAAAGGATTCACCCCCTTATATTTTGTTATGAGTTTATAATTTAGGTGACTTTGTGCGAAAAAATAAAATGCTCCAAAGTCAAAAACCACACAAGGCATCTTTATTGTTCCCATTAATGATAGCCCCTATGCATGCCACGCTTTAGATTGCTGTTTTTATATACAGCATCACACCAGCCTCAGCTTTCACAACACAGGGTACAGCATATATACAGCCAGGGGGCACACTTAAGATGATGCAACACATTGTGTGAGGATAATGGCCTCCACATGTGGACGTAAAATCAAACCAAGTCAGTACGCTCTGGTCTGAAAAAGATGACTGTTCATTGAAATGTTTAAATTGTGATAAAGGCAGAGTCAAAGTTTCTGAGTGTGGATTTATTTTTTTATTAAGAGTTTGAGATTTGATCCCACTCAAATCAATTCTGATAAGGTTTAATTCACTACTTCAACATTTCAAAATCAACCTGCAAACTGTCTGTCAGTGTCCTCGACTGAGAAGAGTAATGGCATGGACTAGTCTCGGTGTCTCTTATTGTCTGATTGACTGCAAAGCTTCAGTTCCGTCTCCTGTGACAGTCACTGGAGTTTCGTTGAAGTTCAGTCAGATGTGTTTGCCTGTAGCGGTTGTTTCTTCTCGCCCTGAGCAAACCGGTTCAGCCAAATGCTTCAGCAGCAGCTCTGCGCCGCAGGTTTAATTAATTTGGTCTTTTTCAGCAGGTGTGAGCACTTTGCTCTCCTAAAAACAGGTCCAATATATGATGAGGGGGTTGCCAATCTGTCCCGATGTGATAAATGTTTGTTCAGAGAGACACACACTCCCATGCTGGCCACGGTGAGGTCATATCCTGCTCTTCCTGTTAGCCTGTCCTTGGTTAGCTTGTGGTTTGTATGACACACAGGTTGCATCTTTGTAGCAGTGGTTGGCCGGCTGAAGATCATACACATTTTTTTTTTCTCCTGGTGTCGTTTATCTCTGTCTCTCTTTCTCTCTAAATGCCTCTACTCTTTCCTCGAGAACAGCTTGTTTTGGAAACTGAAGCAAATGAACGCTAAGACTCCTCACATGACTGCCAAGCTAGTTTGTGTACCCCAACCCCCTCCATGCAGACACACACACTCTCACACACTCACACACACGCAAACACGCAAACATACCCAAACACCTGCACTCTGTTTTCGTCTTGGTCTTTCTTCTTTAAAGCTTTTTGTCCACACGTCTCATTTGGTGTTCATTTGTGGAGTGAGTCTGGGTGAGCAGAACCATGCAACTCAAACATGTGTGAATGCACACACACACACACACACACACACACACACACACACACACACACACACACACACACACACACACACACACACACACACACACACACACACACACACACGAGTCAAAACAGGATAATCATGTGAATAGGCTCTGTGTGTTAAGGAGCAGCTGATGAATGTGCAGGGAAAAACCTTGGTGGGTTTACAATCTGCTCCTGGTGCATTATGGGATAGGTTGTCCTCTACTCCCATCAGAGGGATCACATATCAGCCTATTGGAAAATGGATGCTCACGTTAGAACCAACAATCACTCAAACAGACAGAGGGTGAGAGCATGTCTGCTGGTAATGGCCTTTACGCAACACTGTTACAGAATATCTGCAGATATTTTTCCTTATGAGTAAAAAACACAATAAGACCACCTATTCATTTATCCACTTATTTAACAAGTGTGTCAGTGTAGTAGTCAGAAAAAGATCAACCTCTTGGATTAAAAAAAAAGTCTCAAAATACTGTTAACAAAACAAACAAATCTAATTTGTGAACCATTTAAATGCACTGCTTCTGTTTGTTTAAATATCTTCTGCCAAAAAAGTTCAAGTTTTCTTTTACTCTCGTGGAAATCAAAATAAATTTCTGTTAAAGAAAAATTACCTCGTAGAAATTTGTAGTCAGTAAATACTAATGTGTTTCAAACTGAAAAAATTCAGTGTAACAAAGTTAGCGATCAGAAACACAAGCAGCACAAGTGAGTAAAAGACAGAATAGTGTCTGTAAATATTCTACTGTTAGTAAATCTGATTGAAAAATCATTCAAGAATTTTAAAACTTAAACATTAGAAAATATTACTTGTGCATTCCGAGTAAACTTAGAGTGTTGACTGTCAACTTGGTGGCATGTCTGTAGTGATGTTTCAAATCGATGAATTTCTTAGTTTCAAAAAACTGACTTTTCAAAGGGTTAGAAACACCAAGAAAGCAGTCTGAAACGTGAATAACTTGTATGCAGCAGCAGCAGCAGAGGATCAGCATTCTCAGAGCTAGAACCATCAGCCTTTGGTCTGCCTTGCAGGTCAAAGCCTGCATGCCTGTAGTGATTATGCATTGCTGGAGTCAAGTGACTTTATGACACATACAACTTTACATCCATTTTCAAAGCTGAGATGCCATCAGACCTCCTGTGCTTCTTTACATCCAGGTTTGACTAGCATATGTAGCCTGTAGTTGTTAAACATTCAATGTTTGAACCAAAAGTGCAAAAAGTTCAAGTTAACATCCACTCTAGAGAAAAAGAAAGTTCTGAGTTTGATGCGTTTCTTTGATTTAGTGATGATGACATAAAACCAGGAAAGTTTGATCAACTTTCTAAAGTGAGTATGAGCCGTTAGCTGCCGCCAAAGCAGAGCAGTAAGACAGAGTGGAAGAGTGTGTGCGATGGTCCTCGAGGTGTCTAATAGTCTATTTAAAAACTGGATGTGGTTTTGTCTGTCAGTCCACGTCAGCACTGAGAAAGCGTCTCTCATCTCACAGTATGCTCTTACGGAGGTGTTTTCTGGTCTTTGTCTCTCAGCCCGTGTCTCAGTGTCTCCGTGTCTCTGCCGGCTGGGCTGCTGACACACTGAAGGATGACAGGTCAGCAGGAATGACTGCAGTAGAACTGGAGCTGGGCAGGGCTTCACTGAACAGCCTGTCTGCTCCTCCTCCATATGGTACCATCTTTCTCACACATTACAACACACACACAAACAGACGCACACACTCACTCTCAAACACTCCCACTAAGCCGCTGCAAGAGGACGAGGGCGTTGTCTGCAGTGCATGATGGTTCGATGGCTGGTCGGTGACCCACACGCTATGATGTCACTTTATGTTGTGGGGGTTTTTGTGTGCATGTGTTGAGTGCAGTTGTGTAAATGGTGAAGAAGCAGGGAGGGGAGGGGAGGAAGGACTGTGGGAACCTTTTGTGTCTGCCTGTAAGTGAATTAGGACAAGGAAATCATCCACACCAGGCGGCGGCTGCTGTCGCTGCTGCCGCCAAGACGACGATGTCTTGTTTAGCGGACAGACCGCTCACTCTGCTCCCTTAAAAAATAAATGAGAGGGGGATTAGATCCACATAAAGTGGGAGAAGGACAGCAGCATACCTCCCTGTGACAGCCAGCCAGCCAGCATGGTCCTGACCCACATAGCAGGGGAGCTCATTAGTCAACCCATCAGTCAGTCAGCTTGCACTGTTTTTCACTATTATGTCAAACAAACCACACTCGGTCACCCGCTCAGATGGTCAGAGTGGCAGGCTGCTGACACAGACTTAAAGCTGTGCTGCGAGTACACACGTGTGTAAATTGATAAGCAATAAAATCCTAATTGATTTTTAAATCATATAATATGCAGTTGGATGCATATCTTACTTCCTGAATTTAAAAATGTTAGTTTTGTTCAATAAATTCACTGATGCAGACTTAATATTTACCACTTTTTTGACTGTTTCTTAGAGGCTTAAAAGAGACTTAACTCATAACTCTGTAAATTTATTAGATGCTTTTTGTTAGAAGTGTGTCTTTTTGTTTAATTTAAGACAGTGTTATGATTTGAGTTAGGAGGTAAAGCAAAATTCAAGGGGGTAGGATTAGACAAGTTTATAGTTCTTCCTCCTCCCTTTCACTGATGTAAGCTGAGGGGCTTAAAAAAATGAGAGGATTGCAGATTTAGCTACTGTCTTGTTTTGTTTTGTTTTTGTTTATTTCTGATGATCACTTATTTGTATTTTCAACTGTTTTTAAGTTTTATTTACAGGATCGAAATAAAAATATCAAAGAATACAAAAAATACAACTTCAACAACTTTCCTTTTTAAACTTTATTCCATCTCAAAAATGTCAATCTCACACGACAACCGAAGAGTTGATGGTTTAGATAGAAGAAGCAGTTGGGCTTGTTTAGAGAGGTTTAGCTAGCCAATCAAAAAGTTTCTAGTCTCTTTGATTACTTTGTCAGCTAATCAACACATTTGTCACTTTGTCTACTGGGAAATAAGTCAGTGGTTTCATTGTGAAACTGGGTTATTGTCCCAGTCAGCTGAAATACTTGACTGAAATTTCTCAGTAAATTTAGACTCTAAGCTGATTACATCCTGGTTTAATTCATGATTTGAGTTTCTATTTTTAGAGTTGGATTAGACAAAATACTAAGAAGGTTAGCTTGCACCAGAGATGTAAAAATGACCCCTATTCTATCGACCTCTGCACTTTCAAACGTTTGAAGTTTGAAGATCTGTTTAAGGTGAATCTCCTCTTCTCTCCACTTTTTCTGTCTGGGTTTTCCGTTTGACTCTCTTTGAATGTTACACAACCACTTAAGATCAACTCTTAGCACTGTGACCAAGGAGAGGAAGAAGAAATGAGAAGAGAAGAAAGTACAGACTATAATGAAGCTGTTAGAGTTTTATGTGCTGCTTGAATTCCTGCCCGCCTTGAACATTTAGATCCACATGCACAACCATTCTCTGGACACACTGTATCTGAGTAAAGATATACAGAGTGCATCCTGTTGGAGAGTCTGGAGTGTTGTTTACCTATTTATTTCTGAAATGTCTCTACAGGATGGATGTGTCTGGAACTCTTTGTGCTTCTCTGTGCCTCTTTGCCATAATTATTGTCAATTTGAAGGGAACGGGCAAAATGCCACGTAATGTTTTAGTGTGTTGTCATGTTTTTGGCCTGTGGGATTATGCTGTCCCATAAGAAATGAAAGTCCTCTTTTTCTTTATTGTTTTTTTTTTCTTTTTTTTTTGCTGCTACCAGATTGAATTTGATCAGATATTGATCCCTGAAAAAACGGTGACGTGTTTGAAGACAGAATGAATGTTTTCTGAGGAGAAAAATAAAAAATCGGCTTTTGAGAGTTCAGCACATGTGAAAAAAAAGTCTTGAGTGGACGATCTGTTATTGTGCCATAGCTGCAGGAAATCAAAACTGACATCTTGTGTATGTATTTCTCTGTTTTACAGAACCGTGAGCTGCAGATCATGAGGAAGTTGGACCACTGCAACATAGTACGCCTTCGCTACTTCTTCTACTCCAGTGGAGACAAGGTCAGTAACCAGTACATACCTGCTATTGATCATTGCGTTATCTCCATGGGCTCCATTGTTTCGGGCGTTTACTCTTTTAGTCATTTGAAGATGTGGGAATGTGCTTCCTCCTGTTTGCATTTTTCAGAATAAAATTGGTAATGTTATTATCACCCTGCTAATATAAAGCTATCACAGCTTTACTATTATCAGTCTTTCTGCTTTCTTGAAATGGTTTCATCTCATGCTCAGTCACCAGAGCGTGCTGATGGTTTAAAATAACTTCCCCACTGTAAAGAGTACAAGCTAAAATTTTAAATCTGCTTTCATTCCTGCTGAGAATAAAACATAGTTGTTTGCAGTCCAGGAGCTGTATCCCTATAAAGGTGCAAAGACTGATTGTGTCCCAGCATGGTGTCAAAAAGGTCTTGTTTTCAGTTCTCCAACAAATGTCAAACCTTTTGGGCCAGGAGGATGTTTTGGGTTCATTTTCCTTTTCCAAACGTAACCTGTGATATTTTTTTATGCCTATTCAAACAAGATTACAGACATAAGCGGCTCAGTAATACACTGTTAAAGCTTCTGGGAGAAACTTTTGATTGATATCAATTCTGCTTCCTCTTGTGGACAAATCAGGTTTTGCTTCTCTTGTCCTCTATGTATGAAATATCTCATCTTGCTGACTTTTGACGGTCAAAAGGATGATTTATTGTGGAAATTGCTAAAACAGGGCTGTTTCTCCGGCTGCTTGTCTGACACCTCTCCACTCACACCAGTCAAAAGTTACAATATAGAAGTCTTCAATCGTGTCTCTGGTGGTCGAGTTACATCATAAAAGGGGATGAAGTTGAATTTAAGTCTTTACCACAGGAGCCAGTCTGGAAATGATCCTTTGATTGATGGTTTAGGTGATTAAGTTACATGGAGCTTGTTATGGTAGTTTGTTTGCTGGCTAGTTATCTGTTGTCAGGTGATTAGGTGGAAAAGTGACACCTGTGTAAGGGTGGGAACAAAAGGTAATGGAAACAGGACATCCTCCTGAGCTGTCAGCATGAGTGATGAAGGCGAGGAGGACACACTATCCGAATTAAGACACTGTAGCTTACATACCCTCAGTACTGTTGATCAGTGGATACTATCTTCTAGGGGTGGGAGAAAAAATCGATACAACATAGTATTACAATATTTTGTCTGGTGATGTATTGTATCATCTCATCCACCAAGTATCAATTTCAAGTAATTGCAATTATGAACTCAAGTCCATCATAATGGGAAATAAAATTAACTGTTTGGCTAGTGACGTTGGCAGAGGTGACATTATAGAGCAGGAAAAGTTAGTACAACAAATATGGCAGCACCAAGGACATTAGGAATGCAAGCAGGGCACAAATTAGATGCACATGACACATGAGGTTTCCAAGTTTTGCGACATGAAAATAAAATATGTGTCAGTAAGACAAAAATAAATAAAAATGATCAGCTAAGCAGTTGAAAAACTGTACAAACACAAGAATAATAATAATATTATCGCAATAATCGCGATATTATCGAATGGTGGCCCAAGTATCGTGATAATACTGTATCGTGGAGCCACTCGTGATTCCCACGTCTACTAGCCTCCATAATTATTTTCTGTTTAAGCCTTAGAGTCCAACATTATTGTGAGATGAAACAACAAACATACTTAATTACTCCTAAATATGTTGTCAGGTCTAACTCTTTAATCCGTTCTTCTGACTATTGTGTCCGTAAAGTTTAAAAAGTCGTCTCTACACACAACTGTTTTTGTTTGCAGAAAAGGTTACTCTTCCTTGCTCTACCGAAGACTGTTTGAAGCACGTATTCCTCCGAAGTTTTCCTCCTTAAAAGCACCATAAAGTACCGTGGGATTACAGCGTTCAAAGGATTGCGCAGTTGGCTTTAATCAGAGCGGTAACATAATATCGCTCTCTTCCACCGTGAAGACTTAGTGTAATCACCGTTAATACGCAAAATATCTCAACTTTGCTGCCTCTTTAAGTTCTTTATGTAACCTCTCAGCTGCAGTGTCCTAATTCTTCTTCTTCTCATACATTCACGATTGCTTACAGTACATTATGACAGGGAAGTCCCTCTCTCTGGATGTAGCCCAGCCTCTCTGTCTGTCTAGAGGTCCCCTGGAGACGACAAGGCGGGGATGTGTCATTTAACTATCTGACAAACGGGCAGCCGTCCATGTGTCAAATATAGACACACATGAACCTGGCACGCACTCACATGCAGCGGGGACTTTAACCATGACTTTGCAGTCAGGAATGCTTCCATGTCGAACACCTACTGAGGCAACAGGGAGGCCGGGGGGATTATAAGGGGGAGGTGATGGCGAGGGGAGACAAATGAGAGAGAGGACAGGAGGTTTCTGATTGCCAAACCACTGGGTATGGGTTAATTTTAGACTCCACCAAACCCTCCCCCCGTGACTGTAAACCCCACCTACTTCTCCACCCCTCACCTCCTGCCATGTGCTCGCTGATCTCTTGGAAGTGGATCTGATTCTTGGTATACTGACACACTGACTTGGCAGAGAGGTGAACCAACTCCATTCCAACTTGATTTTATCCGGTTACAGGAATTTGTTGATTTGATTGAATCTATTATTGCTTTTGCATTTGCACCTTTTAAAAGCCCCCGCCTCTTCCTCTATTTCCTGTCATATATTGATTTCTTATTCACCCCCTCCCCCTCTTCCTCCCCTCCCCTGTATCACTCCAGGCTAATTATGGAGACTGGCACCATGTTGTTGGTATGGGGATTTACCACCCATAGAGCTCAGAGTGAGGAAAAAAAGGGAGGGGGGAGAGATTGCTGGAGAACAAGGCAAAAGGTAATGTCAGGGAGTTTATGACGTGGATGCAGAGTTGACGGATGGATGACAGATGTTACAAAAAAAAAAAAGAGGATGAGACCAACAAGATGAGGTGAGGTCAGGTATGTGTGGGTGCCATTGGTGTCCTGATGGCAGAGTTCATGCCGGGTGCAGATGTGAGCAGGTTAGAGCCACGGCTGTCAGTGGAGCTGCCATCGTGTGCACAGGTAGGCTTATGTAACCACTGGCATGTGGTGTACTCAGCACACACAGCGTGCTTCTGCTCTTACCCTTTAACCACTTGTATAATACTGTTCAAACAGGAGGCCACAGGTCCAAACTGCGTGGGCAAGTCTGCAAACAGAGGTTTGACTTTAGTCTCTTCGAAATGTGTAGTCGTAAAAAAAAAAAAAAAGGTGCGTGTAAGACTCAGAAGTGCCCTCTGCTGCGGGTGCTACTCAAAATCACATCTGTGGGAACGCCAAACGGCCTGATCCCAGGTCTAAAAGCACAGGATGGCGTAAAAGCTCTTAAGAGTTTGACATCAGATTCGGTAATGTCTGCTGGCGTTGCAAACGATTTAGCCTGTTATAATCTATTAAACGCAAAATTACAACTAGAGCTGCTACTTAAAAAAACATCATGCACAGTGTGTAACATTTCTAAAGTGTAATTATGGAGAATACTTAAAATTTGCATCACTAACATGGTGCGCACCCTAAATAAATGTTTGGTCTACCCTGGGCTAAATAGCAGGCAGCAGTTGTTTCAGGCATAAACACAGAGGCTGCCACACTGTTGCGCTACTTTAAAAAGAGTCCACAGAACAGGGGGAGGCACGAGTCTTTGGGTCCCTCAGCAGATCTTTCCATCCCTCACCCTCCTAATGTAGCTCTATTGTGGCCACTATTCCTACATAAACAACCCCACCCCATCCTACACGTGGATGTTAATAGACCATCTGTGGTCGAACTGCTCTGCTCCTGGGTAATGAGTTAGGTCTGGTGTGTGGTTGTTTCATCCACAGGATTCGCCGTGAAGCACTGAGATAGTCCTGACAGCCTTATGGTGATGCAGCGCCTGCTTTCTACGTCGGTGTATCTCGAGCTATAGTTCCAGTAACACATTTTCAAAATGAGGGAAATTCCCTTTTTTAAAGTTTCTCCATCCTCTTCCTGAGCTCATGCAAATTAATGAATCATAGATCGGTTATCATGGACTGTGGTGCAAATTTTCTCCAATCACTATTCTAATCTGATGTGTTTAAAATGCATGATGCATAATTAGCAGCTTATAATCAGCCACACTCAGGCCTATAATTAAGGATCTCAAACACACATGTTAATCGAAGGCCGTAGACAGTGACCTGCAGACGGTGTGTTTTCTCTGGGATGACGTCCCGCGGTTGTTGTACTTGATAGATAGCTAAACCAGTTGTTCAGGTGCAAGCAGTTTTCTCAGCAAATTGAAGGCTGAATTATTTAGCCAGGGAGTGAGCCAGGAGCCAATCACATCCCCGCCTGGCTAACCATCTGGGAAAGAGCCAAGGAAGTGGCTTTGTAGTGAGGCAGGAAGTGAGTCATCACTGTTGCTAGGCTAAATATAGATTTGGTGGCGCTAGCAGGAGGTGGAGCAGGGCCCTCTAGTCGTCACAAATGTTATCAATGAGAGTTCTGTGAAAGAATGGGTGCGCACATACACACACAAAACACACACGACAGGAGAAAGACACACAGGAGAAGGGTGCGAGGAGGAAAGGGGCAAGTGGCCAACACGTGTGCGTGAAAGTGGTGACCCAGCTGGTTGGGGGGATGCTCCTAACCGAGCATGATATCTGCACCTGTTTGTCTCCCCCGTATCTCGCCGCCTCTCCATGTATTTGCGTCTAATTGCCAGTGTGTGAGTGGGAGAGGGAAACCAGCAGAACAGAGGAGTCGGGCCAAATGAAGTGTACCAAAAAAAGTCTGTCTGGGAGCTTTTCATGAGCCAAACTCGTTCACTCATTGAGCTTCGCAGGAAGCTGTAGTCGTCATGATGGGCGGACTGTTAACTCTGTGAACAGATGGGGGAGAGGAGGTGAAGGGATATGGACACTCAGCGAGAGGGAGAGGATAATTGAATCAAATAAAGTTGGAGGCTCAAGCGTTTTTCCACAGGGCAGTGTGTCTCACAGCGTGAGTGTAATGGTCGGACCCTGGTCAACTTCTCAAGGACACTTAAACTAGACACAAATGAATCTCTTTCTAATGGTGGAACCAAAAGGTCTTATTCTATCATCCCAAATACTGAGTCTTCTCAAAACACTTTAAAGACCCACTCCCAGGAAAAACATGTTTTTGTTGTTTTTGACATGTTCATGTGGCATTTTCTGATGCAACCGGACATATCATGGGACAAATAAGTGCAAAATTGCATTTCTGAGTAGGGCTGGGGGATATGGCTGCAAATAAATATCACAATATATTGAACAGTTCACCTTGATAACGATAAATGGACGATAACTACTCTCCAGCTGCTCACCTCCTCCCATAATAACTTTGTCTACTTCAGCAGCTACAATGTTTGAACCGTCCTCCATCTCCTCACCTGTTTTTCCCTCTTTGTTACGGCCTGGATGGGGTGGAGTCACGTCTCTGACGTAGGACAGCGTCTTAAAGGGACATGAGACCATAGCCTACCTACACACATCCAAAACCAACTTTTATTTATTTATTTATTTATTTGACTCCGAAAATACTGATATGGGCAAAATGACATTGGTTATTGTCGTAAATTCTGGTATCTGTAAATTTTCCGTTTATCGCCCCGCCCTATCTCTGAGTATTTCTGCACTCAAATAGCTGTGAACTTCTCTCAGACCAAATGGCAGACTCACATTTTCACTGGTGGACATGAATGAATTTTGTCGTCATCGTCTGTCAAAGCTCAGTGCCTCTTGTTGAACTTAATTGCAGAGTGGCAGATGGAAAAAAAAAGCAGAAAATAAAATGTGAGAGTTTATCCAGGAAGTCTGGGACTTGAGTTCACATTTTCAGGTCAAAGTTGATCAGAAGATCAAATCTCATAACTTGACTAAACTGCCCAAACCTTTAGCCTGTTGATGCTTCATCATGTTCAGAACCAAGTGTGTCATCTGAAGGCCCGGCTGCTCCTCCTTACAAACTTTTAGGGACTTACAAACTCGGTGTGAATGGATGAATGAGTTTGGCAAGGAGCCCCCTTTGTGAACAATGACTTTGACTCAAAACCCCCAAACAATGGTTTCATGAGGAACACCCCATGACTCAGTGCAGACCAGCCCTGCTCAGACTCTAAGGAAAGAGGAAGTCCTAGAATAACTGGGTGGAGAAGCCTGGACTGAGCATCCTCTCAGGGTCAGTGTGCTCCTGTCCTGAGGAGAACACGCCGAGTCCTTCCCTTCAACTCCGGGCCCATCCAATCAGGAAGTGAGGAAGTGATATCATTGTCTGCGGCCTCTTAGGGAGCACAGGCCTTTATGACGCATGCTCGTGTGGGCTTCCTGTCCTCGGGGGAAGGGTCCTTTACAATGGACCACCAGTTAGGCTCAGAAAAAAAAAATGTCGGTTACATCAGTTCACAAACAGTTTCTTTCATCAGGGGGAGATGTATCACAGAGATGAAGAAGAGAGAAAAGGAAAGGATTGACAGGGAGTTTTCTCCAGAGTAATTGACCTACTTGGCAGATTTGCAGGTCATGAATGTGATGACTTTTAGCTGATTCATAAGGCGATGTTTCATTGTGGGGAGTTTAGGATTCGTAGATATTCAAATCCACCTTCTGTTTGCGCTCGTTTGACCTCTTTTTTTTTTCTTGTTTCTGATCCTCTCTCTCTCACAGAAAGACGAAGTGTATCTGAATCTGGTTCTGGATTATGTTCCTGAGACCGTCTACAGAGTGGCCAGACACTACAGCCGAGCTAAACAGACTTTGCCTATGGTCTATGTCAAGGTATACCTCAGTGTGTGTCTGTGTGTGTTATTAAACAGTTTTCTGTTTCACTCTATTTTTAAACCATTACTTTTGAGTGTTTCTCTGGCCCTCCTGTAATCAGTCAGAGTGACAAATAACTCTGTTAACTTTTAAACAGGACTTGGCTCATGAAATGAAGGAGATGATCTTGTGTGCTTACAGAGAAGTACCGGGTTTTTCGCACTATAAGGCGCACTTGAAATCCTTTTGGCTTTTCGGAGCACTGCAGGTACCATAGCCTCGCGGAGTTATTGAATGAGTTAAATAAAGTTGGACTTATCTGACTGTTTTGTTTGGCTTAATGCGCTTTATAATCCGGTGCGCCGTATGTATGAAAATAGACGCGTTGATGGTGCGCCTTATAATCAGGTGCGCCTTAAAGTGCGAAAAATACAGTAATAATTTTACTTAACAAGAAAATCATAAAAACGATAGAGATGAATTTAAATAGCAATGGATAATTTATTAATTTGCGATGTGAAATGTTGTGTTTACTACATTTTTCAGGCTGTGTGAGACGTTTGTAGCTGATGAATTGCTCTGTGCTCCATTGATTCAATGAAAAACCATGAGTGGTTGTTTTCGAGGCTTCCCTCCTGTCATGTATACTCAGCACCCCTGTTCGTATGGCGGTAACCTTTGTGTGTTTCCGTGTGTAGCTGTACATGTACCAGCTGTTCAGGAGCCTGGCGTACATCCATTCGTTCGGGATCTGTCATCGGGATATCAAGCCCCAGAATCTGCTGCTGGATCCAGAGACTGCTGTGCTCAAGCTCTGCGACTTTGGCAGGTGAGACACAGTAACCGCATTTTGACAACCTCTGACAGCAGTGGTCTGGTTCTCTCAGCAGTGAGGGGACAGTTTGTTCTTGAAACATGTTTAATTCTCTCACTGGTAATAAAAATCTTATGCTAGCAGCTGGTAGGATAACTTAGCACAGAGAAAAAGAGGAGCACACTTTCAGATTCTGTTTAAAGACAACCACAGATACTTTGATTGATTTTAACTCTGCAAGAAAGAAAAAGCACATGTAACAGAATTCATTGTATTCACTGTTTTATGTTGTTTACTAAATTTATGTTTCTTCTTTTGCTTTCAATGTGTTGATGACTGTGTGCTTTGATTTTGTGTGCAGCGCTAAACAGCTGGTCCGTGGAGAGCCCAATGTGTCGTACATCTGCTCTCGCTACTATCGAGCTCCTGAGCTCATCTTTGGTGCGACTGACTACACCTCCAGCATAGGTACGCTGAACTCTTTGACCAGATTCACAGATTCAGTGATTCTCTCTGTGTTTAACACGGTTCATTTGATAGTAAGAGTAAGGTCAGATGTTTTTTTTTTTTTAACTGGATTCTCATGTTGCTGAAAATCATCTGGTTCTGCACCTTTTCCTCTCAGATGTGTGGTCAGCTGGCTGTGTGCTGGCAGAGCTGTTGCTAGGACAACCAATTTTCCCCGGTGACAGCGGCGTGGATCAGTTGGTTGAAATTATCAAGGTGATCACTCATGAACAATGTGCTCAAAAAGAATCAATATGATTTTTCTTTTTTTACTTCAAGGAGAGATGGACAGAGAGACCTGAACCTGTTTCTTTTCTCTTTTAGGTTCTTGGCACCCCGACCCGGGAGCAGATCCGTGAGATGAACCCCAACTACACTGAGTTCAAATTTCCCCAGATTAAGGCACATCCTTGGACTAAGGTGAGTCAACAGGTACAAGAGCCCTTTTACTTTTCTAAGACCCACCGCTGCAGCATCTCTTGTCTCCATGCTTGTCTTTTCTCATTCTTCACCGGCATGCTGCTCCACAGCCCCTCGACCCCATTAACCCCACCCATCAGAGCTACATGAGGCCATAACCGCTCCACGCCTGCCATGAGCTCTTCAGACATGATGAAAAATGACTCAACATGAAAAACTGTACTCATCTCCAGTGGATTTTTTTCTAGACTTGTTCAGAGTGATGATTAATCATGAGTGATTACTTACCTGTGCAGCATGACAGTGTTCTCTGTGTTCTTCACACTGATTTGGCTCATTTTGAACAGCCAAGAAAGCAGCTGTTACTCTTAGATTGTTGCTGGGTGAGGCTTTTGGACAGTTTATTGAGTAACTTTAAAAGAATTAAATCTTCTCAAATCTTAGATGTCTTTAAACTTAAGAAAAAGAAACTGAAGAATTGATCAAATTGTATTTTTTAAGTAATTGTTGGTGATCATCTCTCAGCAGAGACGGGCTGTATGATGATTGTTTTGAAAATTTAAGTGTAACCTTTAAAAAAATCACAGGATAATTCATGACATTAATCTCAGTATGAGGTAGATTAGCCCTGATGGCTGTTAAAGAATTTAAAGTGCTGGTGAAGCTCCAGCTCTTCAAGCACAAAATAAACAAACCGGCTTTATCTCTCCGTGTGTGTCCACGGGTCATCCTGTCTCCGATAAACATGTGAGATCTTCACACCATGCTCTCTTATTGATTCATCAAAATAAAACTGTTTGAAGTCAGGTGAAGGGACACTCTCTCTCTTCCTGACTTCATCTCAGCAGCTTTGCCCACTCCTCTCTTATTGGATAACAGGATCATCCAATCTGCAGGCAGCAGCAGCAGGTCATCCTGTCTGCCTCTCAGGCGCCCTCCTGTGGTGACTCTCTGCAATTGCATTCAGTCACTACCAAAGTTCACTGAGCAGCCCTTACTGGCTCACATCCCTAATAGACTTAGTTTAGACTTAATGTGAGAGTTTTCAGGAAATCCACTGGAGGTTCATTTTGTGTGTTTGTTTGTTTGTTTGTTTATTTATTAACAACAACAATTTTGCTCCTTTCATTTGAGGCCGTCTGTGGTTGTTAATTTCCGTTTGTTTCTGACTGGTGTTTCAGGTGTTCCGGCCGCGTACGCCCCCGGAGGCCATTGCCCTGTGCTCTCGCCTGCTGGAGTACACACCGACAGCCCGCCTCACCCCCCTGGAGGCGTGCGCACACTCCTTCTTCGACGAGCTGCGTGACCCTAACGTCAAACTGCCCAACGGGAGGGAGAAGCCCTCGCTTTTCAATTTCACCACCCAGGGTAGGCACACAGAATCGATAGACGCTGTTAACATGTGCTGAAACTCAAAATATGAACTTGAACATTTTGAAGGAGATTCTAGAAAGTTGACAGTTAAATCTCTAGCTGGAAATGTGACAGTGAAAGACTCAAGGGTTTATTTAGCGAAATCATGTCTTCAAAACTGAATCTAACTGGAAAAACTCTAACAATTGTCTTTCAGAGTTATCCAGTAATCCCTCTCTGGCCTCTATACTCATCCCTGCCCACGCCCGCAGCCAGGCTGCTGCCTCCACCCCAACCAATGCCTCTGCCAACACAGGTCAGGACTGCCTTTGAATGCTGCACTGGTCAATATATATCATTTCAAAGATCTATGTGTTATAATTCATTTGTTCCACTTGAAAAGCAGTGTGAGCACCACAGCTGTTGTTTTTATCACAAATAAAACCCTCACAGGGCTGAAGTTCTTTTAAGAGAGAGAAGCTTTTACTCTTCTTTCTGTCTCTCTGTGTCGGTCTGTCTCTCTCATTTTTATCCACCAGTCTCCGTCAGATATTTTAAAATCGTCTAGTCGTTTCCAGAATTATTCATAATACAGAGGATACAGAGAACATCCTGACAGATTGTTTATCAAATCAGGAATACTGAAATTCCAAAACTTAATAGAAACACAAACACTGGCTGTAATGTATAAAGTAAAACATAGAATATTACCAGAACGTATACAACTGTTTGATTTTAGATCAGATGACGGAGAACAAAGGAGGACGTTTCGTTTTAAACACCTATCTGCATGGACAACTCTGAGACAGATGTGGATCTCTGTAGTGGGAGCTTAACTATGGAACTGCCAAAGTAATGAATTAAAGACATGTGCAAATTTTTCACGAGCCAAGAAAATGTTGAAGGAAAATGCAATTAGAAATTATGACAAAAGTGACCAGTGATTCAGAAAAGTCAGCTTGAAATACTGTTTTCATTTATATTTATTATTATGCTTGTTTTTGTTTACTTCATGGTATGACTACAGTATAGCCCAGTGACTGATAAGTCAGTTTGAAACTCTGTTTCTGTTTGATTTGTTGTTAGTTTTTTGTGGTAGAAATGTTTCTCAGTGATAGATTATTAGAACAATCAGACTTTGAAAGAGGGGCAGGTAATATAAGATGTATCGTCTCCCTGCTCCCTTCCAACCAATGGATAAGAAATGTTGCAATGTGACATGATATTACCTTGGCTGGAATAAATAAAAAGAAATTAAGAAGGAAAGAAAAGAAAATATATAACCATGATCTGGATACCACCTCCCCCTTCGTTTTTGTCAAAATGGATATCAGAGATGTATGCCACATGGGAAAATCACATACGTCTTAAAAAAACAATATGATCTTTTTGTAGATATTAGGCAACAACTTTTTAACTATATGGAAAATTAACCTCTGGAGACTGTAGATCTTCTGTTACCCTTTCATTGGTTCGACTTTAGGTTAATTCTAGTGTCCAGGTATCATGTGGAAAATGACTGTAATGATGAATACCCTCTTTCTGTCCGTAGATGGCAGCAGTACAGAGCGAGGTCCCACCACCACCAACGCCTCTGCCTCGGCCTCCAACTCCACCTCTTGAGCCCGCAGACCACCCACACACCCGCCCCGGTCTCAGCCCCAGCCCACGGCCTCTCCATTGCCCCGGCCAGGGGTCGAGCTCCGCTCCGCTCAGCGCTGCTCTGCTCTGCCCCGCTCTCCTCCCTGACAGCAGCGGAGCGATGCTGATGCAGTCCGGGTTCAACAGCTAGCCAACAGCCCCATGCCACGACCACAAGCAAAGCGCCTCTGACCTGTCTCTTTTACCCCCCCCCCACCCCGACTGGCCCCCCTTTTTCATCCAGCTGTTTGAACTCTACTCCATCTCTCCGCACCTTCTCAAAGGGGAAGCAAAGCGCAGGGCCAGAGGTGTTGACTGTACTATTGATCAAAGTTCACTGTACATGTATACACACAACGCTAGCCTGCTAATGTTTTGAGAGGACAATCTGTAGAAAAAGTCCTAAGCTGTCCCCCTCGGCCCTCATCTCCTCTGTCCTCCTCCATTTTTCTGACACCTCATCCTTTGACCCTCGAGTCCCCTGGCCAACCCCACCCTCCCAATCCCCCTTCCTCCTTCGGTTCCCCCCTGTAGTGCATGGCCTGAATATGGTTAGGATCACCCGAGGGTCACCCCGCCCTCCCACCTCCACTTCCGCAGACAAAGGCATGAGGCTCACGCACGGGTATACACGCATACACACTCATGAATACACACACACACACTACAGAACACACGCACACATATGTACACACACACCTGGATGCATGACGACCCTGATGTATGTGGAAAGAAGCAGCAGCAGCAGCAGTCCCACCTGTGAGTGGGGGTAAAGTTTGGACAGATAGTTTTGTTTTCTTTGCCTGGGGTTGTTTTTAAACGGTTAGCAGTTGTTTTACTCGACCTTGTTTTAAAGTTTAGTTTTGTACTCCCGGGCAGAAGTTTTTTTTTTTTTTTTGGATTGCCATGTGCGATGGATGTGACATGTATCTGGTCCTGTGTGCTTGTATAATATATACATACAATACAAAACAAACATGCATTCATACACAGTTTATATATTACTTTTCCTTATGTATAAAAAGTATATATAAATATATGTATATTAACTACAATGGTTCAGAAATCATTTATGGTGAGCTCATATCTGGCAGAGTAGCGGCAATATTTGCCGCTGCCTAAAGACAATAGATTTAGAGAAGGTGGTGTTTTGTTTCTTTTGGCTGGAGTGTGTTAAGATTCCAGCACTCACTTCTCTGTTCTCCTGTGTCGTCTGTATTAAGGCTGTAGACGGATTTAGGGCATCGCTCTATTCCGTGTCTTTGTACCGACTCTGTCTGTAGCAGTGTTTCTGTGACAGTGCAGCGTCTAGACAAACATCTACCCCATTTCTCTCTCTCTCTCTTTCTCGCTCTCTCTCTTTTCTCTCTTTCCGTCTCTGTGAGATTTTTTCTTACACTTTATTCTTCCCTTGACCTCCTCGAGAAGTTTTAGCGGTGGTCTTCTGCTCGCTGTTGACTTTCTCACGAATTTTGTGACCACTGACTGAAGTGTTAGCCTAGCATCCTTCTTTCCTTCACCTGCCGCACATAGAGCCACTTGGTACAGTCTGTCAAAGCGTCTTATTTACAGAGAAATACTCACTACGTTTAAGAAAAGAAAAGAAAAAAAGCTGAATTTGTATATACAGTATAAATGCTCCTCACCAAAAGTCTGACTTGTATGACTCGTATGTTGTTTTTTTTATGTTCTGTTTATTTTTTTTTCCATGTTGTGTTCAAGGTATGTATATATGCAGACCCATGTACTGTTTATGAGCAAAAACAAAGACGACAAAGGGTAGAGGAAGAAAAACAAATTAAAAAAAAGAAAAAAAAAAGAGAATCAGGGCAAAACTGATGATGTTCATGGATATTGTAGATGATGATGATGATGATAATGATGATGATGAGCTTTATCCAGCCATATGTTCAATCTTACCTGTACAGTACAGTAGATGACAGCTGTATTATTGTAACAAGAACTAGTCATGTATAGTGTAACTATAGTTTGGAGTGCCTTTGCTTTCATACACCTTCGCCTTGTTTCCTTCCCTCACCTCCCCTCTCCCTTCCATCACTGCCCCCCTCCTCCATTTAAATTGTGACTCTCCCTTTGGTGCTGTTGAATGTCCTGCTGTCCTGCAACACACTCTTCCATCTGATTGTCAGAGCCCCCGTTTCCCCCAGTCATCGCACACTTAATGTAAAGTACATTGTTAATGATAAGGATGTCCTCCTTAAATGAAGTGTTTATTTGAGATGTTTTATCTTGGACACGCACGCACAAACCATGTCAACACAACAGCCCTGGTACCCACTCCAGGGCTTGAAGTGGGTAAGGGAGTGGGGTTGGGTGGGTGGGGGGTGTTATGGATGGCAGCAGGGTTTCAAAAGGCCTCATGACTGTATATATAGAATACAGTACGTTTTCTCTATTACTCACAGTGTTAGTTCTGTTACCAAAGCCAAATTAAGATGTAGTTGTGTTGAGCCATCCTCAGAGGCAGCTCTGTGCCTCTTCCTCTATATTTGGATATTTTCTTGTCTCTCTCTGTCCTCCAAGCTTGTCCTCCTCCCTGTCTGGGTACCCAGGGGGGGCTTCAGTAGCACCTAAGGGGGTCGAGTCATGTAGCCTCTCTCCCGTCCCCTGCTTGCTGTAATTTTTGCATCCATGAACGTGTTGCTACCACCAGACAGTTTGAGCACCTCACCCTACCCCCAGCTCCAGTTCAATAAAGACACCACAAAGTTACCAAAAAAGAAGGCAAACAAGTATATATGCTGGTATGGAGTACAATACGAGCATATATATGCTAACTGGGGTTCAATAAAAGAAAAATCATAGAAAATACTACAAAAACATCCTGTATAACAGTACTACTACTTGAATGCCTCTGTTTGTGACTGAACTTTTTTTTTCTTTTTTTTTTTTCTTTTGTTCTGTGAAGGTATGCTAAATGTGCACCTCTGTAAATAATCCCTCTGCGTGCTCTGAGGAATAGTTCCCTGGTACTGTAATTTGCATTAAATAAAGAGTAGGATAGCCTGGTAATGAACAAGCTCTTTGTCTGTCATGCCTTTGCTTATGCTCTTGTGTTTTGGTCTTTTTACACCGTTCAAACTTTTGGATGTTTTCAGCTAAAAATAAAGACTGAATCTATCAGTGCCAACAGCTTTGGCTCCAAATTGTGAGCCCTAACACTGACACTAGCATGTTAACATGTTCATATTTAGCAGGGGTTATCTTTGCCTTGTCATTTTGATGCTTCGGGCTGCTATTATGTCTAATTAGCACTTAACAGAATGATAGCTCAGGCTGTCTGAAAAGCTATTTCTCCATGAAAGCAGATGTTCTAAAATCTGACCCAGTATCCAGAGCACAAGATGAGAATCTAAAATCATAGAGAGGGGTCTTATGTTTGTTTGCAGATTGTCCTGATGGTTTTGTCAGTAGCTCTACCTTTTTTTTAAACATCCCAGGCTGGTGTCTTTGTAAACCCTCATTTCAGCCTCTGTAACACTTCATTTCTTAAAGACTGTCCCAGCATTCCAGAAACCTCCTCCACTGTTGCCATCCAAAGTCACTGTCATTTAAGAATTATAGCCTGTATTACTTTTACTCAATTTTTGACCCTGCTGCCATTCTAAACCATTTCTCTTCACTCTCAGGTTCACCGGACCAATCATAGCCCTTTATTTGAAACTGGGACAGGTTCGATAAGATGACCACACAGGAGCACCACTATAACCTGTTTATAAACAATTGCAGGTAACAGGTCTGTTAAACTGTTAATTGTGCAATACTTTATGATTGTCAAATTGTAAAGTATTGAAAGGCATTCCTACTGAAAATGTCAAAACAGGACAATAATTACTGCACTCAATTTAGCCTTGAAGACACAAACCCCACCAGTAAACCAGCACTTAAGGAAAAGTTTATTTCCACCAAATTAAATTTATCGTGGTTGTACCGCATTTATTAATCCAGAGCTTAATCTGCGAGTACAAATGAGTGGAATAACAGATGCAGTCCCTAAAGGTAACAAGTTTATCATTAATAATCATGATCAAAGTTACATTTAGCTCCTTCATAGACTTAACAACCCTCTAAACAACAAGTAAGAAATGTGGAAAGATCTGTCTTTCACATTTTACAAACTAAACCCTGATTTTTGTCTCTTATTCAAAGTGACGTGTATCTTCCTAAATGGCCACAGTGGGGCGCTGTTATTCTTCTTAGACGCTCAAGGCACCATAAGTCAAAGGAACTCCTGAAGTCTGTTTTTTAAAAGAATGTATGAGAAATGATTTATTTTCATTATTTCCTCTGAGATCAGGCTGGGTCTCCTGGATCTGCAAACCTGTGTGCTTTACTCTCTAGTCTCAGTCCTCATCTCGGTGAGACAGGATATCTCTTAAGGATCCAGCAAGCCAGACACACAGAGGAAACAGATGAGGTTCACTCTGTGACTGAATCGAGTGAAACGGCTCCCTGTACATCTCTTCCTGTGTTACTGGTCGTGTTCTCTTGCTGTCAAATTCAGAATTTTAATGCTACCCCCAAGGTTTCACAGGATTCATTTATCACACAGTGTTGCTGCACACCAGGACAATCTGATGAGTCAAATAAAATCTCTACAGCCTGCAAACTTCTACAAGTGCATTTTTATGTTTGGCTTGGCTTTGACTGATTCCAAGGTTGAAATATTTACAGGAATCATGAAAGTTTCATAAAGAAGAACTTGGGTGATCTGCTGAGGTGCTGCTGCTGCCTGGAGAGAACAGAGACATAGCATGCCTAAGAACTCACTCTTTTCCTGCAGATTCAGTTCGCAACAACTTTTAACAAGAGTTTGATTTCTTCACACATGTTTATGTTTTATTATAACTTCCTTACTCAAAATAATAAATCATGAAATATGACTTTATGTTTTGGACTGGAAGGTTTAGACAGGGGTTAAACACTCTCAAAACAGAGCAGGATACCTGTTTTGGAAATTTTCTGCTCTTTGAATGAAATTCATCAACTGGTGATGTCACGAGTTGCTCGAATCTTGTGTCTCTTGTAAAAAATCTCATGTGACTTCTGAGCTTTCAAAACAGCATGTGGGATTACATTACCTCGTATTTGAAACTGACACAGTAACACTCACACACTTACTCAACGTTTGTTTGTAAAATATGAAAAAAGCTTAGTACCACTCTGAAAAACAGTGCAGATCATCATTCGAGTGAAAAAGGAGCTTCTATTTTGACCAGGCTGAAATAAAACCATCGCACAGTTAGATCGTATCTAAGACACTTTTACATTCGTATTTCCTCTGAAGTTGGAGTGCGGTGTTACTTCCCGTCCTTTCTCTGCTCCTGTTCTTCTTGGTGGATCGTCTCTTCAAAGACTTGGTTTGCGGCCTTTTCAGAAAGACAGGTCACCGCTGATGCTCCCTGAATGCTAGGGAGGAACCCAGAATGCTCTGCAGTTCCCTGGATGATACTCCGAGCTGCCTTCAAATGTCTAAGCTGCCTCTGGTGCACTTAAGGAGAGGAAAAAAGCACAATCTTTTAAAATTCAACAATTTAGTAAGAGCATTATCAATGATTCTGGAAATAAATGCTGCCTACTCTATTGTTATTGACAGATAATGTGTTGATTTCAGAGGAAAAAAGGAAAATCTCCCAAACCTCTTTGTCTCACATTGATCTTCTCGATTTCAGGGATAAGGAAACTGTGCACCAACTCTGACACAATCTCCTCAGACTGCAGACTGTTAATGCCACTAACAAAAACAAACATCGACATTGGTTTATCGCCCTTTGTCCTAAATTTCACTCTGACAAGAAGTCACAGGCATGCCGAGTGGTGTGTTACCTTTCCTCCATGGCATAAGCGATGTCATTGACCTCCTTTGCCTTCCTGTGGATCTCCCCCCTGGCCTGCTGGTCAGCTGTCTGCTCCAAGGTCTGTAAGATGATGTCCTCCAAGTACAAATCCAGAGTCTCTTGGTGCACCTCCACCACCTGTGGTACAGTAGAAAGAACAGGCTTATAAATCAAACACCCAACATTCTGATGACCACGTTCTTGGCTGACTTAAAACTAAAACCTGTAAATGTACACACTTGTCTGAAGATCTCATCTTCTTCCCTGCGTCTGCGCTCCTCCACCTGTCTCCTCCCACTCTCCTCCGCCTCTCTTAGACGACGGTCTCTCTCAGCCATTAGTGTGAAGGCATGGATCCTGCGCTCCTCCTGGAGATGAATCAGATCCTTGGACAAGGTGCTGAACAGGTGTTCAAGCTCTGCACCCACCGCTGAGGCCTGAAACGCCAACTCTTGAGATCTCTGGGAGGAAAGAGTGAGAGGGGAATGAGATTTTTTTGTTGCTCATAAGTTTATAAGTTTGTGTCAGTGTGTTTCACCTTCTTTCTCAGTTGGTCCCTTTGTTTTTTCTGGGTCAGTAACATCTCTTTGTCAGCTTTCTGTAATCTTTGTTCCTCTGCCTGGAGAGCGTGGACAGTTCTGAGTTCCTGGATGAGATTGAGATGGTTCTCTTTGCCTGAAAACATCTGCAGAGACACATGCACTTAAATTCATTGATTTACTTATTACTGAAGCACATGCTCTGCCTGAAGTCATAAAAACCCAACAACAAGCAGAATAACACACATACTGTAAATGTACACAAAAACACACATGCTTAGGCAGGCTCAGACCTGATACTGGACACTTCTTCCTCTCAGTAGTTTCTGCAATTGGATGACTCCAAGCTCCGTGTTTTCATCTCCCTAGTAAGAAAAATGAATTATTGAACATCTCAAACAGGCTGATCAAGTGCAAGGGTCTGTTTGTTTCAAAGACCATTTGCTGACCTCTGGTGGCTCCTCCACTTTAGGAGTGGGGGGGCGGGGAACAGGCTTCTCCTTCTTTACTAAAACCCGCAGGGGCTTTTGTGCTTGCTCCTCCTCCTCTTTCAGCGCCTATGGAGCAACTACAGGTAAGTAATGTGAATCTCCAACTTGATTTGTATTCTTGAAGAACTTTTTCGTTCTGATTAACCTTGTATTTCAGCATCAGTTGTTCTTCTCTGCTCACTGGGGGTTTGACCACGTCCTTCCTGAGTTTCTCTCGCGGTTTCGGTTTTATCACCTGTGGCTTGAGAGTTGAAGCAGCGAGTCCTGCTTCTAGCTTTTGCAAACCTACAAACAGTAAAGTTTGGTATTACTCTACTAACAAAGAGAGTCATCATGGACCTGAATGCTACATTCTTCTTGTATTTAAATCTAGACCTTCATAAGTGTCCAGGTAGTGACTTTTGAACTCCTTTTTGCTGGTGTCCCTGGAGGTATGAAATGCATTCATCTGAGAACTTGAAGACCTTTTCGAAGTTACACATCCCTCTTGACGCTCACGCAGATTTCTTCTCCTTGTTTCTAATTTGTGAAGCGCTACAGACACAACATCATCGACAAAAACAAGAACATTTTGGACAAGTGAACAAAACCTTTAAGAGCACCCTCACAGTCTAAATACAATGTTAGATAAGAGGCTGTAACTTTCTTACACCTAAGGTAGTCATTGTTTATCTTGTTCAGCCTGGTATCCTTGTTTTTTAGGAGCCTGGAATGGATCTGATCTATTCTCTCGCTTGTAACTTTATTCTGGTTTTCATCCCTCTGCTTTACAAGGTCCTTCAGCACGGCGAGACGAGCCTCCTGCAACCTGGAAAATAAAGAGAACAGAGAGCATCAGCAGCAATCAATCAATCAATCAATCAATCAATCAATCAATCAATCAATCAATCAATCAATCAATCAATCAAATTTTGTTTAATAGCGCCAAATCACAACAGTTGTTATTACAAGACGATTTCCCCCCCAAAAAAGCAGATCTGGACCACGCTCATTGTTTGATGAATTATCAAGACCCAACCTTAAGATGGGACAGATTTGACCCATCTCATCTAACGTGAGTGACAGTGGAAGGGCAAGTGTTGCAAGATGATAGGAGCAGTAACATTCAGGCACAGCCTCTGCAAGACTGCTAAGCAAGCTCAGAATTGAATATGTTGAACACATTATCTTTAGTAAGACAAAGTATTGTATGATTTAGGGAACAGAAGGTGACTCAACAATTGTAGAAATAAACCTGTTCAAAACGATGTCTCAGTCTTTACCAATGTTTACTAAAGGACAGCCCATGTAGAAGTAACCATGTGATGTATATTGAAGATAAAAAACTTGATTAATCATGCCTCTTTAAACCCTCTTAATGTTAAATTTATTATTATCCGATACACAATGTATGCTACTGCACAAGTTCTGGGACTTCATGGTATGTAGTTGTCATTGTAGTAGGCTCCAAAAGTAATGTGACTAACTCAAGACGTACTTCCAGGTGGCTCAAACCACTACACCAACAAACTTTGAGTAAGTGTGTGGCTTTGTTCTGTATTTATGAAGTCGCTAGCTGGGCCATAAGTGGAGAGAAAAGAGGCTGAGGTGCACCACCACTCACTTCTTGATTTCTCCTTCTCTGAAAGCCCACTCTTTAGCATCCATCTCTTCCATCATGCGTCTTCTTTTGTCTAGCTGGCTGAGGTCATCCATTGGAGGAAGAGTGGCCTCCCAAGCTAGTCTAGCGCGGGCCCGTTGTATCATTTCCACTTCTGCTTGGCCTGCAGGCAGACCTCGACCTGGGGGAGCAGTCATCAAAGATTTCAGTGGTTAACACTGATCGGCGTTGTACAGGCTGCACCAGTAGAAAGAGTGGTGATGTATGGATTTTCCACGAAAACAATACACTATTGTCACCTCCAGTTGAAGCCTTTATTAGTTTGTCACGTACCCCACAACAAAGTTGCCATTTGCAGAAGCTCTGAGGGAGTTGTCCCTGGTTGTACCACATAGTCAGGGCTGTAAGGGTCTGTCTGTGTTTCACTCTCCCTGTAGTCGGTCTGGACACCCACAGTAAAGTGAGTGGGCCCTTGCTCTGCTTTTCTTCCACAGATAGGTTCAAAATCATCTCTGTGAAGATGAAAAATAAACATCTGACAGCACAACAGCAAAATGACACATCAGAAATGATAAAGAAAATAAATATGGGCTGTTGAACTTACGTTGGTAAAGTGAAAATAATATTTGAGGGAGCTTGTTGTAAGTATGGAATCAGAGGACTAAATGGAACAAAAGAAAAAAGCAAATCAAAGACTTGATCTGGATCAAATTGGAGACAAAAAGGCTAGGTATAGGATAGGGTAAAGAATAAAACGGGGGAAACAGCTTTATAGAAAAGTTTGTGGGACTATATCCCAACTTTAATGAGATAAAGCAGCTTTACTATATGAAATAAAATGTTCCATGTGATAAATGTCATCCTGTCTGCCCACTTGCTCACTGTGAATTTTCTTTGCTGTGGTTATACATCATCTCACCCTGATCCCTAGTAGAAATTCTGCTATGAGTCTTACGGGGCAAAAAAATCCTAATAGAGGTGAGATGAGAAATTTAGTTGTTTGCATTCAGACATTCATCCCACCCACCTAATTTTGACAATGCATCTATAGTTTCACAAGAATGTAGGCTTGCAAAACAAACCGTTTGAAAAATTTCCAGCGGTCCGCTCCAGTGACATGACAATCCTCCCTCTGCAACCGCAATTTGTCATTTGGAATAACCCTGTTGAGAGAGTGATCAAGAACTACGGCAACAATTTCCATAAGCGGGGTTTACATTTGTCAAAAATATTAGTCTGAACATTGAGGGAATAGCACTATTGATCTCTTGATGGTTATGAAAGTTCTGTGTGTTAATGTTACCCAGCCAGCTGCTGCAGTGCTGCCTTGCGCTGCTCTGCGTGGCCCTGCCAGCGACGCTCAATAGTTGGTGGTACGGGGTCTGAAGCGTCCAGTTGAAGAGTATAGCTCGGGTGGTGAGGCAGAGTACTGAACATAGACTCAAATACAGGCACTTGTCTCTGATAAAGACAGGAAGAAATACTTAATGCAGTTTCCCCTCCCTATGCTTCATTTGTTCTGTGACTGGCTGACAGCTGAGGTTATGTTTCATGGTTTGTCCTAACTTTTTCTTTTGGTAAAGTGGAATTACATGCCATTGAAAGTGAACATATCAGCTATGAAACAGATTTATAGATGACGTTTCTTTAAACTATAACAGCCAATAAAACCCCAACTTTTTAGAAATAGCCTTCATACCTTTTGAGCTTCATAGACTTAACCAAAACATATGTAAATCAATGGCAATAAAAATACAGAGTGACCTAATATAGTCTGGAAGAGTCACCAAGTCTAGTGACTTAGTTAAAGGGATATTCCGGCGTAAAATTAATTTAGGGTTAAACACACCGTAACACCGAGTTAGACACCCCGTTGAAAGATGAAGTACATATAGGGTCCCAGCCACAGCACTAGCCACCAAACATCTTTTTAACTTTGCCTGATTCTTTTAGCAAAGACACAAACCCAGCTCACCTACTCTCTTCCAGCAGCTGCTTGTTTGTAGCGAGACCTCGGGCCAGTCTATCACGGACTACAGCAGAGTGACGCAGCTCACAGAAGAACATATATGATCATTTCTTTATCCTTTCCTTAAAGCAATAATCATCATATTAATCATTTTGCACTGCAGAAATGGTAGTTCTTCTGCCTTAGCGTCTTGGTCTGATTGAATTTCCATGAAGAAATGATCATAAATGTTCTTCCTTGGGCTGCGTCACTCCGCTGCAGTCCGTAATGGACTGGCCTGAGATCTCGTTACAAACAAGCAGCTGCTGGAGGAGAGTGAGTGAGTTGTGTTTGGTCTCTTTGCGAAAGAAATCAGGCAAACTTTAAAGATGTTTGGTGTCTAGTACTATGGCTGGGGCCCTATATGTACTGTTGATGAAGTTAGATGCTGTTCTGAACATTATTTGTGGCCATAGAGTGGCGTTTTGGTTCAGGTTTATCTATGGCTCCTCAGACCGCTGTGTATTGCTATCGTGTGGTCGTTACTAAAGTTGGTAAAACCAGAGAAGCAAGCGGTCGGCAACATTCATCTCTCGAGGGTGTCTAACTCTGTGTTACAGTGTGTTTGACCCTAAATTAATTTTACGCCAGAATATCCCTTTAATGCATGGTAATTTAGTGCTAAAGTTTTTATTTATTGACTTATTTTTATTTATATTCTCACATAAACATTGTTTACAGTAGTTAGGATTACATTGTTTGTTCAGGTATCAGGTAATCCAGCAGGTGGGGCTGTTGAGGCAGCTCAGATTAAAGAGAGGAAATAAAAAAGGAAGAAGAAGAAGAAATAAGGCAAAACAATGTGACCTGATGAATTAAAGTTAAAGTCATCAACGAAACCAAGACCGTGCTGGACTACACGACCTCTTTTAAACACTCCTACGACCGGTTAACCCTCAGACAGCTGAAAAACCTGCTAGAGGCTACTGGACTCTACTTACAATCCGATCCTTCGAGGCATGGGCCCTCAGGTTGGCCCTGGCATGATCTACCTCGGATGAAACGGTGTAAACTGGATCTGTAGCAAACAATGAAGTTAGACGCAGCCAAATATGCTAATGCTAAGCTAAAGCCGTCAAATATTCCAACCTTTGGTACGTTTACTTACCGTAAAGGTGGTCATAAGCCCGCTGTCGCTGAACAACTTTGTTTGCTTTATGTTTTCTCGGAACTGTGCGAGTTTCAGATAGGCTCATTTTGTTATTTCAACAGTTAATGTGTTTTAGTTTTCAATTTAGGGCCCACAGACAGCTGTGGTGTAAACCCCGGCGCTACCAGGTAACCATGGTGACGGTAAACTGACCGTTTTGAAGTGGGCGGGGTTACTGTGAGCACACCTCGTTTCCATAAGATCAGAAATGACAGATCAAGTAACGATAACTGCATGCAGCCGATGTATGAATGTGTCAAATCTAGACCAGAGTCTTTTTTTATGGGGTAAGACCGCTTTACCTGTCTGAACTGGACATGCAGAGACAGAGCAAGTTGAAGGCAAACAGCCCTGAGAGAACGCTGTCCTGTTGCTCACACATAGACTGCATATACTTTACCATTTACTACTATACCATTCTATATACAGTCTATGTGCTCACAGAGCTACAATACATGATTGTGAGGCTTTTGAACCCGAAATTCATCCACTCCAGAATGAGTATTAAACACTTATAGATAAAACAAATGTTGTGTTTCCAAAGGACACTAAACTGTTACTTGAGCAATAGAGTATAAGACTATGGAAGCCCTCAAAGGACATGATGAACCTTAGAACTCTATCACTAAAATATGTAACACCATCACTATCACAGGGTGATTGTAACCCGAAATAAAATACCCAAGAAAAAGTACTTCTCATCAAAATATATCAAAATAGGATAAAGTAGTTTTTTTAGCTGTGCAATGTCCAAAGGGAGGGGAAAAAGTGCCATGAGGGGACCATATAAAAATGCAACAAAATAACTGAAATTAGGCATTCATGGACAAAAAATCTTTAAAAATAAAATAAAAGAAACTATAAACTTGGTTTCTTTTCCACCCATTCCTGGGGCATGTAAGTCTTCCCTGGTGAAGACTCAGGGTCCTTGGCACAACAACAGCTGCAGGAAAGAGAGCCAAAACATGTATTATGTATGATATTTTGAGTGAGTAAAAATGACCAGCTGACCAAAATATTTCTTATTACTGTATGAATTCCCTTGAAAATTACTACTTTTTGATAGTTATTCATAACCACTGTGCTAAATAAAGATAGCATGCAAATTCCAGGACCACTCTTACTGACCTTATTCCCTACATGCAGCTATCAAATCCACCCAAACCTACTTTACCCTCTATCACTATTGCTGAGTGAAAATCTCCTGAACACGTGCCTGTAGGAAAAAGCAGGTTTTGGATCAGGGAAACAAATATGCCTTTCGAAGATGTCAAAGTCAATGCTGAAGCTACCCAGGGACCCATGATACTCAGACAAATGCAACTTAATGAAAATCAGGTAAACATGTTTGGTTGTGTGAAAATCACCCGGCGATAGTGTTTTAGGGTTAAACACCTTTTTTTCCCCTTAGTTTTCTTGAGATCTGGAAAACAAAGCTTGTTTTCTCAAGATAACAAGACAATGTGAAAATTAACTTGAGATTCCAACAAAATGGAAAGAGAAAAAAACATCTAATCATGTCTTTTTGGAGCTTCCATAGTCAGTTTTAATTTCAAATTTGCTCATTTTGTAAAAAGTTTACACTAACACTTTTTAGTGCCAGAATACTATGTTGTTGTTGTTTTTTGGCCTGTTCTGAATTTTGAGAGATGGTTGGGACACAAAAAATGTTCATTTTGACATCAACAGGAAGTTGTCTTTATCTAAAGGAAACAGGGCACACATTCACATAAAAGCTAAAGGCGACACAGAGACTATATTCTCTGCTTTAAAGTTATTTTTTCCTTTTTTTGAAAACTGTTTTTGGATTTGAGGAACACAACTGAGCAATATTACTTCACATTTTGCAGGTTTTGCAACTCTGTGGAAAAGTTTGTATTAGTGCAAACTGTGCTAGCCTGCCAGCTCACAGTCAGCTGAACTTCTGCTACCTATGAGTGAGATAAACAACATCTAATATTAGGCTTCGGGAAAAGGAGAACAGATATATGACTGGTTGAAACTCTGGATTATTTCAAAAATGACTTCCTTTCAGCAGTGTCAGCTCTGTTTTTGAAATCAGAACAAGATCAGCTGTGGATTTCACGAGGTCAGGCTATTCGAGGCAAGTTTCAGGAAGATGTCTGACAGCTTGATGGTGCTAGTTACTGTTCACAACTGTTTAACGGTTTTTCTGCAGCATGCACCAGCAGACTGAGCATACACGCCAAAAAAAAAAAAAAAAAAGATAGTGACAGCTTTCAGCAGACAACAGGACAGATAACATCAAGATTTCTAATTGCACACGTAGCCCACTCAGAAACCACAAACTCCACATACAGCTTGCTCATCAAAACCACATACACAGAGGCAGTGCAAAATGAGTTGTCAGCTTATCTTTGACCTTCAAATAGGGCTGGAGTCAGTATTAATGCCTGTGCCCTGGAAGGAAGTCCTTTGGTTAAAACAAACACTTATGTCACAAAACACCACATTGAGTACCATACTGGGTTAGACTGGAGCTCAATACATTTATTAGATTCTTAAAGAGGTAACAAAATGACTTTCATATGTCCCCTAAAAAGCCAGGCAATCTTAAAGACTGAGGCCTTCTGACTTTTAATCCAGCTGGGCTTTATAAATGATAACAATGTCGCGAACATGTCTGCTTTTGTGTTGTCTTTCTCAAATGTGATCATGTGACCAACAAAAGGAAACTGGTGTTTCGACTTATCAGACGTCATCCTGTGTGGGAGAAGGAGGCAGATGTATGCGTGGAAAGAGGTTTGAGGATGGAGGAAGAGAAAAAAGAAGGGAGGGATTAGTTAGTCAGATGTTTTTTTTTATACATTTCCTCATAATAAGGCCTGCCAAAGAATTTTCAGTTTAGACTGGATGTGGTTGAGAACCCTTCGCTCTCAAACCCTGAGCTTACTAGGCATACGAAGTATCTGAGAGGGTTAAATGAACCAGTATCTGGAGCTGAACCAGTTTGATGACACCATAGAGAGGGTTCAGGACTGAAGATTCAGTAGAAGTATTCATGTTTGTCTGACTGGAGTGAGAAGACGGTGGTTTCAAGGGGACCTTAACTCAACGAAAGATGAGGGACGTGATGTGGATTTGTGCCATGATTATCCTCTCGCTCTCTGAAGCATGGAGCCAAAATCCAGGTTTGAGCTTTTTTTGTGAAATACAGCTTAAAGACACAAGTACAACTGTAGAAAGTACACAAAACCTGAAAAAAAAAACAGTACGCCGTATCTATATTTGTTCTTGTATCTCACAAATCTGCTGCTTTAGGAACTTGAAAGGATGTAAATGTATTTTGTTGCTGTATTGCTGTTTACATTTTGACACAGATTTCAGATAGAGCTATAGTATTTTATTTCACAACTCTGACTCAGTGTGAGTGGCAAACTATTAAAATAAGTAAGTGGAAAGTAGATCAGAGATTTCTGTTGGAGTCGTGCTTTGACTCACAGCGTAGACACTCAGTGGAAAGAACGTGCATGGAGGTGGGTAAAGAAGCTGACAAAGGAGGGAAACTTTCCACAACAGATGTATGCACAGGTTGCCCCACAGTTTCTGAATGAATATGGTAAGGCTTGTTTCTTGTTACAGTGACCTTAGATTGAAGAGATAACACAATTACACGGCTTTTCTCCACTCTGGGGTTTCATAAAGGTGGAGGAGAAACTTCTGTTTGGGGGTCTGTGGTTTTGCGAACTCACTTCATGCGTAGGATTTTGTTTACACCTGTTTGTAGTAAACAACATTAAAACCACCATAACAATCAGGAGGGACTTCAGCCCTTGAATATTGAATTTTCTCCTTTGCTTTGGGAAAATAAGACCTGAACTTGTTGCTCTGCTGCTGTTAATCACATTAAACTTGTTCAGCTTCTCTCCATAACTAACTCACGGACTAACTACTAATAACCAATAACAGGTCAAACGCATAGATCTTTCCCTGCCAATTTACATCTCTAACTGTTGCTTTCTGTCTAAAAAAACCCCGGACTACTAACTCTTTCCTAACATCCACCTCTTTCTCTCTCAGGGTCTAATCAAAGCATCCCTGTCATCACCAGCCCGCCTCCCACATTTTATGGTAAATTGATCTTATTCTGTTATTTTTTGATATCCTGAGAAAATAATTTTGTCACACTAGGTGCACAAAGTGCTGCATGTGAAAGCTCAGAACACTTAACTCCTCGTTAATCCTTGCTCACATATTAACCATATTTTATTTATCCAAAATTAACATCTAAGAATAAATCCTTTGCAAGCAAGTTTGCAGTGAAAAAGTTAAGATTGGTCTTATTTTTCTGTTTATTTTGGAATGTACAGTGAAAAAAATATGGGAAAAAATAACTATAATAACTATAATTATAATATGAAAAAATGTTGGGCTTTATTTTTTGAGGACTGTATAAAAATGAAATGATCATTTTACTTATTGCATTTAAAAAAAAAAAATTATGTTATACTGCAAGGTTTCTTAACAGGACATGTTCCAAACACTGTTTTTTGTATGGATCCTGTTATGTCGTGCTTTACTTAATATTAAATTGTCACTTTTGTTTGTCTTCTACAGTTGTTAGAAATTTATCTGTAAATCTGGGGACAGATGTGAACCTGACATGCAGCAATAAGACGTGGGATGAGACCCTTTTTGTCACCTGGAACATTTTTAAAAACAAGGCAAAAAATCCTTGTATGATATCCTTCATCCCTGGTGGTAAAAGAGTGGACTCTTGCAAGGATGGGAAATCTCTTCGAAACACATCCCTCTCTCAGTCATACCTGCACATCCCAAACTTCTCAAAGGATGATGTTGGGGACTATAATTGCCATTCGCCCTACAAAGGAGGAAGTGTAGATGTTGTCATAAATCTGAATGTCACAGGTAGGGTTATTCTCCTTACATATAGGGTCTCGGCACATGTCTGGGCTAGTAGAAAAGGACCATTAACTCATTTTTTTCCATGTCTGACACCTTTTTTCACAGTTTTGAAGAAAGTTTGACTCTCAGTTCTGACTTCGAATTCAGAATTTTGTCCAAAAACTGACAAAATTCTGAGTGGGAGACTTTAAAATCATAATCCTAAAAAACTGAGTTCTAATTCAGAGTTCAGACTTTTTCAGACAGCTGTGACTAACACTTCTGTAATGAGAGAGGAAATGTTATCATTTAGGTCTGAACTCTTACTTAAATCTTGGAATCCTAAGTAAATAAGTAAAGTCAGACATTTTGACTTTTTCCAGATTTTTTAAAAAGCTATTCTGAGAAATGTTTAAATTCAGAAGAAAGTCTGAATTTAAAAAAGTAAGACCTTGACACCACATGCTTTGTTTGTGCTTATATTCTCAGTTACAGTTTATGAAAACAAAGTTAAGGGTAGTTATTCTGTGTCAAAGAAATTTTTGTTTTTTTTTCTCACACCAAAAATCATATTCTCTTATTTTTCGCTTAAAAATCAAATAGAGATAACAGAGTATAATGATCATGTGGAAATTTTTTTTTATGACTCAGAGATTAAAGTCATCAATTTAGGAGAATAAAGTCATAAAGTTTCTTGCTCTTATTCGCGTAAGTTTATGACTTCTCATATATTAATGAATTAATTTTCAAAGGTTTACGACCTTAGTCGTAAGTTTATGACTTAAGTTTATGACTTTATTCCGATATGTTTATGACTTTATTCTCATAAGTGTACAATTTTATTCTTATAAGTGAATGACTTTATTCTTTTAAGTTTATGACTTTATTATAATAGGTTTACAATTTTATTCCAATAAGTGTATGACTTTATTCTTGTAAGTTAATGACTTAATTTTTATAGCTTTACAACTTTATTCTCAAAACTGAAACTGCACAACCGACTAGCCAGGTGTGAATTAAGTGAAGAGTCATATTCAACCCTATTTAAGTGTGACTGATAGATCTTTACTTTGGTTTTTATCCCTCAAAGCAGTGATCCCCCCTAACAGTGGGCCTGTAGTTTACTCATGATGACTTTGAACAAGTAGAACTTCAACTAAAAAACTCCAATCCTGTGTGGAAGGTGAAACTTTGAAGAAATGTAGAACAACCTTGTCCACGTAGTGATTCCTGTAGTTAAGTTGACCTCACCTTAACACAGAAATCTAAATCTCATTCTTATGTTTCTGTTCCTAATGACTCAGTTCCTCCCAAACTTTTAATATGGTTGGAGCGTAAGGGCAATTGGTCGGTGGTGGTGTGCAAAGCTGAAAGAGGAAACCCTGCAGCAAATATCAGCTGGAGTCCTGTTGGGAATTCATCTTTCGATAAAACACTTGACTCCCAAGGGCTCTATACTGTCGAAAGTCGCCTGGTGCTTCCCAAGGGAGCAGATGCCAATAACCTTAGCTGTGTGATCAAACACCCCTGCTTGGAAGAGGAGCTGTTTTTACAAGACGGCAAAAAAGGTCAGTGATTTGCCGAGTGCATGACACAAGAGAAGAGACTTTAACTTTAGAGTTAGTACAGAGGAAAAACCCTCTGCTTTAAAAACTACAGGAACGCAGTTAGCTCTAACTTCACTTTATATCTTCACTTTCCCACTGTAGGAGAAGTTCCCTGGCTGATCATTCTTTTTGTTGTGATAATCTCCATATTACTGGTCGGATGTTTATTTGTTGCACAAAAGCAGCTGGGAATATTGAGGTAAGAACAATAATTTGTCCAACAACAAACCACAGTAACCACATTCAATCCTTCTCAACTGATCACTTAGCTAGTTTGTGTCTTTTTGCACTTTATTCAGGCGATGCCAGCGCTCTGACTCAGACCTCTCCACATCCAAATCTCAAACAGTAGGTTATTTGTCGGTAAAGCAGCACATCATAATCTGCATTCTTGCTTGCACTTCGGAAAGCCTCTTTCATGAAACCCCTCTGTTTCTTTTCAGACAGAGGATGTGGAGGAGGTAGAGCCGTACGCCAGCTACATTCAACGTGTGAACTCTATCTACAACTCCTCTGCTGTTTTGTACACATAAGATTCAACACTGAACCCAGCGCTGAAGTGCTCTCGGTGAGAAACTGAAGGGTGTGAAACTGAGAAATTGTGAAAAAATAGAGAGACAGACATGTGAAGGCTGTGAAAGACTTTGATAAATCTTGACTAATACTTGACAAATGGAAGAGGGGATGTACCTAATACCAAATGGGTGTCATGGAGGCTATTAGCAATAACCGGATAAACTGCCATGAACCAAAGAACAAGATCTTGAACAAGTATCCATGTGCAAATGGATACAACAGTTAGACTTTTATAAAACACCATGTCTGTAAATAACATTTATATACTAACTCACAAGAGTTGTTCTCCTTTTAAAACAGTAAAAGTGTCAGGAAAAGAGTGTATCTATTATTATTGAGTCATTAAAGGTGATTTGTGTCTTAATTTATGAAGTAATCATGTTATGTCTTATTGTATGCTTGGTCAATAAATGTTAAACTCATCTGAGCACATTTATGTCCCTGTTGCTAAGCTATACAAAAACACAACATCCACTCAGATTTGTCCAGACAACCAAGCGATCAGACTGCAATATGTTTTTCTAGTGCTGATCACACCTTACAGAACTGAGAAAAGCAAAAGTTTACACTGTAGAAGTGTGACCTGATAGATGGTCTTTGGCATTTTGACTAAATGGGGAGCTGTAGAGATTGAAGGATTTCTGATCTGAGCAGCAGTAGAGGGGTAAAACCCCCATGGAGTCACCAAAAAAGGTGGTGGCGGAGGATGGCAACTTGGAGGGATGGGGCGAATGATGAATTGAAGACTGATGATTCAGTGAAAATGAAGCGTAGATGGGGAGATGGAGGGGCGCATGTAACGTCAGCACAAAGACAGGAAAGGCAGAGAAAGAGTCGTATTCAAATAGAGCAGAAAAGGGATTGGCTGATGATGAGGGCGTACCGCTGTGTTATTGGATGATGAGACCCGCAAAAGAAACAGCGAACTTACTTATTACCAGGGGAAAAAGTGAGTGAGTATGTACAAGAGTGAAAATAAGAAAGGCTATGAGTGTGACGGTGTGACTACAGCTCATGTAAATGGAGGCTGCTTTTGTTTCGGGTTCATGTCCGTCTGTTCGTTCGGTCATTAAAGAGGCCAATCTATCAGGGTCCAAAGTTGGTAAATATCAGTATCTTTTATGACACAGCTGGAGTTCACACTGTGTGTTTGAATTTTTCTGCCATAACTTTTATTTGTGAAACACTCACATCACAAAAAAAGACAGGACAGAGATTTAGTTTTGGCTAAACAAACAGATTTCTAACTGATGACTTCTTCTATATGTTGTGAGGCTAAATTGTAAAAACAGACAGTCTAAGGACCACGCTCAGATAAAAGGTCCAGGTGTTTATGGTGGAGAATTTGAGTGTAGAAAGTTGTTCATTTCCTGTGATCTGAACCATGTTTGTGGCCTTTTTAAATAAACCTGGATCAAATGTTCTCCACTTTAAGAGCCAATCTAACCCTTAGATGTACAACTGGGCTGTTTTTTGACTTGGTGAGGTTGTTTTCTGGCAACATCTTTGCCCTAAAAAAATTGCCAACATTTCACACTACAGCAATTCCTCAGAAAAACGTTTTTTTTTTTAAATTGCACATTGAAAATTTGAACTTAACTTTTAACAAATTCTGAAAATTTTAGTTTTTATATTACAAACCAAAGCTTCTATAGCCGGGTCAATAATGACCCATATTTATTTCTTATGGGATTTCAAGGAAACCTTTAATTCTGATCAGCTGTAACTGTCAGGAATATATTTACAATGAGCTGCACTGATTATTTAAGAAGTATCACCACTTACGAATAACATATAATCAGTAAAACCTGCTACATTGAAGGTTTGCCTTATTTGTGATTTCAGAAAGTACTTATGTCATTAAATCCTTACAAATGAGTGGCATATTCACACATTCATGTGTGTTCATACGTCATTCTTGATCATTGTTTGTGTAATATCCTGTTACCTGGATTTCTATCTAACTACTCAGCTGAGTTATATACTCGATCTGAATGTTTAAACCCAGTGATAACAGCTGTTTATTCTAAAAAGCAAAGATGATTCAAGTGTTACGCAAAATAGGCGTGACAGGGTGAGACCACAACAACACGCAAGATGGAGAAGTCTCATCTCACTGTGTCAGGATTCTTTCTTCTCGCTGATGGTCTAATCAACTTTTATATCTCATAAAGATGCATCAGTAATGTTTTTATTCTGTTTCATAACCAACAAAAACTCTTCACAGGAGCTTTAAATCCAAATAGAAAAAAGCTTTGGCTGTATTTAAAGTTGGAACATAAACTCACTCACGCACTCACTCACTCACTCACTCACTCACTCACTCACTCACTCACTCACTCACTCACTCACTCACTCACTCACTCACTCACTCACTCACTCACTCACTCACTCACTCACTCACTCACTCACTCACTCCTACACATACATGAAATGACATCTCTGTAATAATATTTTATGCAATTCTCCTCTTTTTCAATAACCAAAATGCTAATATATCTATATCAACTGTATATCTATATCTTTGATTATAAAAGTAGAGCTGCTGCTGTTTTGGTTAAAAATGTTTATCAGGACTTTAATCCAAATGCTCAAGTGGTTGTTGTGGTTTTGGAGTTGCCGGTTAACAGGGACACTTGATGCAGCAAGTGTCCCTGTTAACAGCAACACTGATATCTGCCTCAACACTGCTTCAACATCATACTGTGGGCTTGTTACTATGGAGTAAAGATATATCACAACATCAATATTTGCGCCACTTATGAAGTCACCTTTAAAAGGATCATTTCACTTTTGCAAACTTTCAATAATTTTCATCATCTCCATGATTTTAATTATCAACCAAGTGGGGAGTCAATGATTTGGCATCTTCTCATATCAGCTAACGGGGTACTAATCACACACTCTAATTAATAAAATCACCTTATTTCTCTCTGGATTTTCACTGTCTATAGTCTATTGAGGCTGTTTATCAATCAGAGGGTGTTAAAACGACAAAAATGTGTCTGATGATCAACTTTCCCTCACACCCTGGAATGCAGCAGCAAGATATGACACCAGTATTTGAGCTTCCCACCTTCAGTGTAATGTAATGGTTGGAAATAATGTGACTCCCAGCAGTTAAACAAAGATATGATAGTTATCAATGTAGTTAGTAAGTTAATGGTCAGCTCGATTCCAGGAACATGAAGAAGTACTGAGAGAAAACAAAGACCTGAGTTTGAGCAGCTACATAAAAACAACAACAAAAAAGTGTCTTAGAATGAGGATGTTGCTCAGCAGTTTGTGGCCCACATTGTCACCCTCAGTTATCATGAATTTGAGTCCATCTTTATGAATAAGCCAGCAGATTCAGAGTCTTTCTTATGAGTCACTCCGGCTGTATCAATCTTTTGCCAGCAGTCTGACACCCTACCATTAAAATCTCCTCCTTATCTTTCCGTGTGGATGTGGCCTCTGTGCCCTTTTCTTCATATCCTGTCACCATGCTCTTGATATTTCTCTGGCTTTTGTCGGACTGAGGATGTGGGACCTTTTCTGAAAGAACTCTTCTGCCATCTGCTGTTTGAGATCAGAACATGATAGTGTAAAGTTATCATGATCTGTTTACCAGTCTGTGCTCAAATATCTGTTAAAGATCCATACACACGTATATCTCTTTAAATAGTCAGATGAACTTGAGTACATGCCTTCATTACTTTTTGCTAAAGTTTGTTAAACCAATAGTCATCTAAAACCAGCACTAGTCTGTACATTCTGTTTGAATCATGCTGTTGAACTGTTGGCTGTAGACACAGTCATATTTTTACCCTCACACTGATGATAAGAAAGAGGAAACTGATTAAGCTTAGCTTTACAAATGTATTTCTGTCCACACAACATGACACACTCATGCTTTTTTACATTTCCTCTTCAGAACCCCTGATGAAAGATGTCAACATGACTGTTACCGTGACGTCTAATAGACGAGTTCAAGAGCTGAAGTTGCTTAACAGAATATTCAACATGAACATGAGTTTGTTCTGTTAAGTTTTACTTGAAAAAACAAACAAGAAAAATCACAATCAAGCAAACATCAGAATAGAAAATAACAACACGTCATTGTTTAATATCCAGTCTGTGGGCAGATAAAAGAAAACAAAAATAATTTAAAAAAGAATTCTCAGACCGTATTTATACAGTATATACACAGTAGTACATTTGGATGGTGTGCATTGTTCTCAGGACCTATTAAACACAAACTCTAAAAGCAGATGAATGTGAACAGTGTTTATCCTTCCTGTTTATGCAGAAATTTAATTCCCATCTATCAGACCCCATCTGATGGGTTAGCTGAAAATCATAATCATGTATAATTTTCCAAACATGGCTGAAACAGGATAACAGAGTGAGCAGATAAACAATATTAGATTGTTTTCTGAGAGTGTGGGCAATATTAGCAGACCTAGAAACACCAGCCTCCAGTCCTCCTTACAGGTTTACGCCCTCATGCCTGCACTGGTTGAGAGGTTATGCTACTTTATCTCCATTTCCCAGATCAACATACTGCTCAACCATGCCATGCTACAAGATGACGTGTTAGCTATGCTTGTGTGCATCAGTAGAGCGGTATAGCATGAACCAAAGCCATAGCCCCTGCTTGTGGTGGTACAACATATGACCAGGGTCTACAGTAACAACAATAGAAAAAGTGATTCTGGCGCCTACAAGTAAGATTGATAATGTTAAATGCTTCAGTTGACTTCACCCACACACACACACACACACACACACACACACACACACACACACACACACACACACACACACACACATCCCTGACCAAGATATGTGACAAGGACTCATATTCGTGGGCATAGTATTATTTGAGGTTTCAGTGTAGACTTGTTAAAGGAAGTGGTCCCATGCGTAAAATCACCAAAGATTAAGATCAGATGTTCACTCTGAGAAGAGAATCAAAGTAGCAGTTTATGCGTACTTGTTAACTAACGTGTGCTCTTGCGGTGATCACTTTATGCTGACAAGTTCACGTGTTGTTTTCATCAGGGTTTGCTTTTCATGTGAGCAAATTTGTACAAAATTTTACTTCACCAGAAAAAATGCCACCAGAGAATAATTAAAAACTGTATCTCTAGGGTCATCCGACAGCCTCTTCTTGGGTCAATAATTTCAGGGTAAACTGCTCAAAGACATTGCAACTGAATGTAACAAAACTGATGTTTAAAACAACCTCTCCGGTTGTTTGGGCAATAATTCCGGTCAGTCTGTGAATCTCAGGACAATTCCAGAAGTCCTCATCTGAAATATTTCTTTGGATCCTGCTCTTCAGGTGGAGTTTGTCGTGCACTGATGTCTAATTCAAGTCAACTTTCTTTTGGTAGCTGACCACAGCGTCTGTGTTCAAGTTTTAACCACAGTTTCCTCAAGCCTTGGTCAACGGTTTACTTGACAGATGAAAGTTGTCAATAAGCCAGGCGTTGTCTCCTTTCTGTTCCTACTTAGCTCATTAGTACATAGTCATCTTCACAGTCTCCCTTTGATGAGCTCTCAGACACGGGTTGAGGTTGAAGTGCTTGGGGAACATAAACTGTTGCATAGTCACAGTCATCCACGGTTGTAGCTCTGGTTCTTCTTGATCCCGTGGAGGCGCTATGGTCAATAGAGGCATATGTTACATCCTCGTTTGGCTGTCATGAAATAAAACACAGTGAGATGCCAGCTTGTTAATTCTGAACAGGTGTTATACGTGATCTATTCTGAGTTTTAGACAGTGCTACTGCAACTGGTGTACTATCTGATGTGGCTTGTGGCTATGACTTCCTGCTGATCAAATAAACAGCCCGGTAGTTCCTTACAACAAAGACCTCACACTGTTCTTCATTTAGTATGCAAATTGAACACAGTTGCAAATGTGAAGCAGTCATAAAAGCACAGACTTTATTTAGCAGTTATGAAAATTCAGACCAAACCAAACAGACTCAGCATAGAGGTTGAAATACCTACCTTTGCATTTTTATCTGCTCTGGAATCTCCTAAAAGAAAAAGCACATATTAACTGTGGTATGAAACTTTTTAAAAACTGAGTCAACACTGTAAATATTCTTTGGATAGTTACCTCCTCCTTTCTTCTTTAATCTGACAATAAGAAAAAAATGAAATGATTAGACCATGCTAAGGAAATAAGTAACAATGAATAAACGATAGAAACATGTACTTTAAAAATGCTGGTTTAACTTTCAGACAGGACTTATGATGCCAATCTTCAAAAATCTCAAAACAATGTCGTCATGAAATTGTATTTTGAATGCTTTTTGCGGTGTTACCCTTTAACAGTTTCCTTGACAGCCCAACAGATGTCACAGCGTGGTGCAACAGGAAACACTTTGCAAATGCTTACAACTAGCTTCTGTTAAAGTATAACTCTGTGTCCATGAGTCAAAATGCACAAGACACAGTTAGCACCAAGTTAAAACAAACATATAAAGATATCATGGCAAAAACTGTTAGTTCTTTACAGATTAACCAGCACTGGCAAGCAGAGTGTCTCTCACCTAGTCTAAATTTAGCTGGTAACCACTATTTTGTGATGCAGGAAATGCAGAAGCTGGTTGCCACATGCCAGCACAGCCTCACTGTAACTACAGCACAGCCTTGATCCAAGTGCTACTGAGTACCATTTTTAACTTTTCATTGACGTTTCCTGAGGATGCAAGATTTCTAACGAAAAGCTTTTATTTTTACACGCAAGATGGTTTTTGTTTGGCAGCTGAGAGGTCCTTTCCAATGGAGCATCCAAGGACATTTACTCACCTTGAAGTGCAGGCTCCCATGCTGAGGCCTCAGTTTCTGGATGTCCACTCTGTATTTGTCAGCAGGTGGAAGGTAGGAGGTGGGAGTGCTGGGTTTGTTAGGAACAGCCCCGAGCTTGATCCTGTAGTAGATACTGACCTCACTGATCACTCTGCTGCTGTGTGTCAGTGCAAACAGGCCACAGAGGAGAGATAAGAGAGAGAGCGAGAGAGAGAGAGAGAGAGAGAGAGAGAGAGAGAGAGCGAGAGAGAGAGAGAGAGAGAGAGATGGGGGACAATGGTTTTTCTGTATTGTTTTGATTTCCTGACTCAATGGCTGACACTTAGACACACAAGAAAGTACAAACCCGACCACAGATATCTCAGGTTTTATTTTTACCAAACATGAATGTTGATGAGTTAACCAGCTGATTAAAGGAAATGAATAAAGAGTTGTTTGATACATAGTAGCCTATGTATTGATGTGTGTACAGCCAGTATTAACACACGAAAATTTTACTACAATCATTAATCATTAGCCAGTGCCTGGCTTTCAAGCGTCTTTAAAGTTAGCTAAAAGTTATACACAATTCCATATTTAACTACTGGATACACAGTTCAAAATTAAGCCACAAGCCAGTTTGTTAAAATAGACACTTGGTTAAAAAATAGCCTAAATAAATAGTGGTTTTCATGGTAACCAAAGGGGATTTCTAGAGGAAGAACCACGAATAAACAGCTAAAACAGTAAGCTAAAAGTAACAGTAAGCTAACCAGAAGAAATAGGTTATGTTTATGAGGGATAATTTTAACCATCTTATGTCTTTGATAGTTATTTCATCTAAATCAGCATCTATTGCATGTATTGATGTGTGTACAGCCAGTATTAACACACAAAAACTTTATACTACAATCATTAGATAGCTTGAAAGTAAGGAAGTGAGCATAGAAGTCTTTAAAGTTAGCTAAAAGTAATACACAAGTCCATATTTAACTACTGGATACACGGTTCAAAATTAAGCCACAAGCCAGTTTGTTAAAATAGATAGTTGTTAAAAAAATAGCCTAAATAAATAGTGGTTTTCATGGTAACCAAGGGGATTTCTAGAGGAAGAACCACGAATAAACAGCTAAAACAGTAAGCTAAAAGTAACAGTAAGCTAACCAGAAGAAATAGGTTATGTTTATGAGGGATAATTTTAACCATCTTGATAGTTATTTCATCTAAATCAGCATCTATTGCATGTATTGATGTGTGTACAGCCAGTATTAACACAGGAAAACTTTATACCACAATCATTAGATAGCTTGAAAGTAAGGAAGTGAGCATAGAAGTCTTTAAAGTTAGCTAAAAGTAATAATTAACTACAGGATACACGGTTCAAAAGTTAGCCACAAGCGAGATGATAGTTGGAATAGATATAGATAGTTGGTTAAAAATAGCCTAAATAATTAGTGGTTGTCATGGGGGATTTCTAGGAGGAGAACCACGAATAAACAGCTAAAACAGTCAGCTAAAAGTATAATTATATACTAATTTTATCCATCTTACATCTTTGATAGTTATTTCACCTAAATAAAAAAAAAAATATTATTTTCACAAAAAATTCCCATAAAAATTTAAGTGCTGCTTTTTTGTTGTCTGTAGCATTGTAAAGAAATTAAGCAACCACTGATGTTAACATAAGCATCAGCTTTTTGTTCTTCAAATATACTAGCTGTATTATCTTTCGAAAAAGGAGGAGAAATATCCTGAGCATAAATCCAGTCAGCAACATGACAACCACTGAGGAGGTACTCAGGAAATATATATCCACCCTCATGTTAGGTTTCTTTAATTTTGTTAATTCCAGACAAAACCATTTTGACTGTATTTGTAGTCATGCCCATTTAGCTCATACACGTGCATTGCACTGTCCAAAATTAAACACTGGAGGGCGCTATTGGAGCACTCTGATATTTGTCATACCACTTGTGGACATGCTCTTATTGAAATAAGGAAACAGGTTACATGTCATCTTCAGCTGCCCTGGTTAAAGTGAATCAAGAAATCACACTGAGTACATTGGCATTCACCAACCACCATCACCAGCGGCAGAAAAACAAGATGTTACTTGCATTTTTGTGTTTTAATATTTTATTGCTTGACCTAACTACTTGCTAAAACTCTGGCAGACTTTGTCTTTTACAATTTCTTCATCAGCAGAGTTAATTTGTACAAATTGGATAAGGGAAGAAAGCAGGCCTCTTATTATTTCATGAAGATTTCAGTGTCATCTTTGCCTCCAGTGCTGACTGGTTCAGTCTGTTCACAAACATACATGCAGTTTGTCTACTCGGGTACTTTTTTGTCTTACTTTATCTTATACAATAGATCTAAACCTGGTCAGTTTTCAGATACTGGTCCTTGATAGTTAGGTTAAGATTTAGCACAAGCGTTTCTGAAGGACTAGAAAACAAAATTAAACTACAAGGATATTAATACATTTCAGTCTTTCCTCCAGCACACATTTTGACCTGTTTATAACGTAGACTGACACAAGCATACACACACTTGTGATGGATGGTCTTCAAAAAATACGTAGGCGGTCAGGAAGTGGTAAGCATAGTCCCAGGTGAAATGAGCCCAGTGGAACAGCAGTAGCTTGTCAGACTATTTCTCAAGCCTCAACTCATGAACATGTCAAGCCAAATGGATAGACTCATTTTCACTACCCTGTTGATTTTAAGCTGTTTCACATTTGTCTGCGTCCATGGAAGAAGTCAAGGTAAAGCATAACACTTATTTTAATCTTGTTTAATGACTTTCAAGATGGCATGAAGGTAAATTTCCAGTGGATATAAGTCATTAGCTGAAGGTAGAAAAGTGCCAGATAACACCCTATACTACACTGTCATTGTGTAGTTTTTTTTAAATATACTGTATCTTTCATTTATAGGATGTTCGCATATAGTGTATATAAATTGGCCAGTAAAGTGAATACAAACTAAATACCCTGGTGTAATGCCTCAAATAGTAGTAGTAAATTAATCTATCTTAAGATATAAAGATCAGAAAACACTACAAAGCTGCACTGTAAAGATAACATTATGGCCATTAGCCTACACGTTTTGATTATTGTTTTTTTTAAGGCAAATACGGCATTTGAATGTAGTATCTGACAAAAGTATGATGGACTTAAAAGTCACGTCATATACAGAAATAAAGAAAAAAAAAATATATTTTTTTTTCTGAGAGATTAGTTTATTTTCTTTTCTAACACACACATATTACAAAATTGTGACCAAATTAAAGGCTTTTACTTTTTAGTGCAGGCACACAATTATCATGACAAACCATTAAAGACTGACTTCACTAGTTTCCACAGTTACCCAGAACGTCATGAGTAGTGATAAGTTTTTAGTACTTCCTCACGCTGTGCTTTTTCTCCATTTTTATTGTGTTTCATTGACACATTTCAGATGGGTTTTCCTCCTGTGAAGTTGCATTGTTGGTCAAGAGGGGCACGACTTGGGCAGCTGCCCCAGAACAGCATCTGACAGTCGATTGTCCCGTCAAACACTGTGGAGAATCGCTTAATGTCACCTGGTGTAAACTCAGCAACACAGACCGATGTGAACATATTAATTTTGCAGAGCATACAGGAGTAGAACAGAATTTCAGACAAGAAAAGGATAAAATAATCTCATATTTGACTTTTGAACGGATTTCCATTCATGATGACGGCCTGTACAGATGTGTTTTATTAAGTTACAAAGAAGATCCTATCAGTCACATAATCAACATCTCAGTTTCAGGTTGGTATATTTTCTTTTCTATTTTGATCAAATTGAAGTGTAAGACTCAAGTGTAAGTGTAACATTTCTAATGCTGATTTTGAACATGTTTTATAAATTTACAGATTCATACTCGGGGGTTCAAAACTTACAGATTCCAGGTAAGAACTTTCTTGTGAACTGCTTCATAATCCGTACACTTTGAAGTAAAGAGACTAAGACTGTGATTCTTGTTTTGCAGATGCTGCACGTAGAGCTGCTGATCCGAAAACTGTTGAGAATATTGGGGATGCCTTCTGGCTGCCCTACTTCTACATCTGTATTAGCATAGCCCTCTTGGCTGTCGTTCTGACAGTTTTAACCTTCATCAAGTTATGCAGCTGGAAACGTAAGAACATGACACTGTAGTCAGAGTCTGAATTAAAGTCTTAATTTAACCACCAAATGAATATTGATTAACTGATTTTGACTGCCATCTTTGCAGGGATACTGACAGTGACCCAGACAAAGGGGCAGGTAAGTTGCATCTTGCGCAAACTAGTTCACATGTTGTTTTACTTTAGTTTCAATGATATGAAGGTTGAAGGGACGATTGTTCTTTCCTCACTTGTTCAATTTTTTTGTTGTGACAGGAAATAGCCACCTATGCAATACCTGACCTGCCCAAGGGAAGCGCTCCATCTATTTCTGTCCTGCCAGTGAACTTCCAAGTTCAGAATGACAGCTATCAACCTGCAGTGAGACCAGCATCACAAGCTCCCCCGATGACTTGTGGGAACCAGTCTGCAGTGGTGAACACAGTAGAGGAAAGTCAGGGGTCAGACCACGCAGTATATGCTGTAGTTAACCGCCCAAAGGCTGAGATACCCGTCCGAGAACTACATAACCATACAGCAGGAAATAAGAACACAGAATATGCTAGCATCAAATTTCGTAGCTCATCATAGACGCAATAAAAACTGTGATGGAAAATATACATAAGTATGTGGAGGTGTTGTGTAACTGAGTTATCCACTTCACTGAAGTGGAGGTGGTCGTAGGAAACTTGTGGTCATGAACAGGCACAGTGCAGTCAGAGTTAATAACCTCAGCTGGGCATGAAGCAGCTGTGAATGTATCAGATCACCTCCAGGTTTATTCCAAGTGATGCAGCTTTGTCTTTATAATTTCTTGTTTGTTTTCCCCTCAGTTAAGTGACTTAGAGAAGGTCCTTTTTTTAATACTTATTGAACTTTGGTTTTCAGTCGGTTAAAAAAAATACACTGCCAAATTTTAGAAGGCATCTTTATCTTGCACCAAACAAACAAAAAACACATTTTCCTTTGCTTATGATCTTTTGACAATACATTATTTTAATTTTATTTTTAGGGCTGTGAATGTGGACTGTATGAATACTTAGCATGAAAAATGGAAATTTCTTTGTTCCTCATAAGAAATATTGCCCAAAAGACTGAAAAACAACATTAAAAGCAAACCTTTCTATGAATTTTCAGAGCAGACCTCTCTGTTTTTCACTGTCATGAAATGAAACTCAGCCTCTGATCTGTGGACGGACCCGGTGTGGTTAGTTTCAATATGTAGGAAGCTGACTGTAACACACTAGTATGCACTAAGTGCCTCCATTTCTGAGAAACCACTTGTTTCCACATGAAGACCCTGTAGTGCGATCTGTGTTTTTATCACTGCATGAGTCACAAGTATAGAAAAGCTGAACTACAAAGAAGGAAAGCGCAAAAGTGACTGGCCATAGCTTACAGATAAACTCTGTTTTACACCTTTAAGATGTGAAAAAAGGATTTGGGGTGCAAAGAACTCCCCAAACCCAAGTCTGATTTGGATAACTCTCTTAGGTCGTCACATTTTGTACAAATGGGACTCAGTTTCCTCTCCATCCAAATCACACAGACTATTTTCCTCACAAATATTCTTGAAACGATCAATCTCAGTAACCAAAGGAAGAATACCAGATCATCACTGTCCACCAAAAAAAAAAAAAAAAAAAGGTATGTTACATATTATTTTAGGCTTGGAGGGCTATGTTTGTTTGCTCCACATAATGCTGTCTAGTTGACTCTGTCCTCAATCACAATCAATCCACATTTTCTTATATCTGCTCTTTTTTAATAAAAACATGCTAAATACACATCTTTGTAAATAAGCCTGATCATGACTTGTGTGGCTTTGATGAAGATTCACATGTGCAAATGGAAGGAAAGGTATAGTTTTAAATGTATGTATCACACGAAAATAAGTTCAGAATAAAATAAGACTTTTAGACTTTAAACTATTAAACAGAAAACTCCGGAACCATTTTTACTGTGTGACCACGTGGAAACTTGAACTTAATATACTTTTACCAAAATGAAATAACCAAAGGTCCATATGCTAAATGAATCAGTCTATTTATTCACCTAATCTTAAAGCTCTTATGACAGACTTCAGCTTTGTATCAACTTTGGTGCCCCCCTGTGGCCAAAGAAGTCCTTGCTTATCTCCTAAATGTTTGAGTTGTGACTTTTGACAAAAAATCTCAACCTTCTGACTTCTGACAGTCACGTTTCAAATATTAGTAATATTTTTACCCAACAATTGTGAAAAAAGGGCTGTTTCTTTATTTGCTCGGCTGACAACCACCCCCTCACACCAGTTATAGGTATTAAAAGTGACTATATACGAATGTTAAATCTTGTTGCTTGTGGTCTTGTATAACATGAAAGGGCATCAATATGAATTTCACTCTATTTTACAAACATCAAAAACCTCCACATAGTAGCTTTAAATAATTTCTAAGTTGTTTCCTCTGTAAATTACAATAACAAGGGTGAGAACAATTATACACTAATGTTGCACTTGTCTAATCTGACTTTTCTCAACCTGAAAGATAAAATACTTGAGAAAAGAACCAAAGAACATATTGACCTGCTCCTGTTTACCTTCTCATCCTATTACCAGGAATCTCCCATCACAGTTCACCATGCTGAATTTATACAATTTGTCACATCAACAGTCTAATAAACCACTTTGTTGAAGTGGAGGAGAGTATTCTCAACAGTTTACAGCGTTTTAATCAATTTACAGACTCTCAAAAGATCCCTGCCTCCAAAAATGTATGAAATGTGAGGATGAAATGCACCCAATGTGACTTTTTGTACATGCGTCCTTGAAATCATGTTTCACTGAACTTTTCGTCTTTGGGTGGAAAATGTTCATCTCAACAATCTCTGGTTTTTACAGCCCACACACTCTCTACCCTCAAAGTCTCTCACTCTCTCTCTCTCTCTCACTAACACTCACACATCAGTAATTGTGTCGTTTCTGTGGCAGACAAAGCGCCGTTTCAGACCACAGAGAGACGGAGCTTGTGCGAAGGCAGGGTAAGAGACGGGCCTGATAAGAAGGAGCCTGAGGTCACTCAAAGCGTGTGGACTCTGCGATTAAGTTAACCAGCTGACAAGGAGTGGAGGTGCAGTTGTGTTACTGATGCATTTGTTCCTACTCAAAACCCTCTGTATTGAAAGAATCGGAGTTTCGATCATAATGAGGACATTCAAATGTCAAACAAGCATTTCAGTCAAAACAAAGTTTTTGTCACACAGATTTGATTTTGAATGACTCAGAATCAAAATGAAGTTATTAATAGAGAGGTTGTTTAGCAGGATTTTAGGGTTTGGTCTTTTGAAAGTTATTTTGCTGCCCAGAACAACGATGAAAACAAAAAATACATCAAATGTATCACTAAGACACCTCCTCCTTACTTCTCACCACAGCTTGGTCTGCACATTCACACTTCTTCCACTCACACACGACCTTAACTGACTTTGAAATGCACACAAGCAATGAGATGCATGCCATTCACAGGAAGAGAAATTCTTTCTGCTTTGACTTCACACTTGGAATTTATCATGTTACACACTGCACTCACTCTCACACACAGCTCTTTTGGAAAGGACTTGGAAACCTTCAGAAATGTTTGTTACCAGAGTGACATGATTAAGTCTGCAGCTTATGAACAGTCTGAGAATATAAAGCACCGGGACTAAATACATGTGTACACATGAGTCAAACAAACTGTGATGTTCATTTTGATCTTGATAAGACGTGTAATTTTATGATGTTATTATATGTGACATAAATACGTGTGCATTAATGCAAGAAAACTCATAGTGTTATAAATACACCAGACTAGAGCTGCTGCGGGTTCTGCATCTGTGGTGCACAACATGTGTGATCAATACTGCCTGGCTTTGGATGAAAATAGCCACAAAAAATTAGCATCTGGAGGCCAGGTTTGGTACATCAGAGAGGAGTAACATATTTTTCATATTATTTTGAAAGATAAAAAGGTGCACTTTAAAAAGACTCAGACATATCTCATATTTTATTTGTTTTATTGTTCTGTTTGTCACGTTCATTTAATTTACTTTACATCGCTGGTTGGGATGAATGATTTCAAATACGTAACTGGAGTTGTTCTATACAGGGATGAAAACTGTGCTTCATTTCCCCTCATTTAAAGCATACTGTGAGCTCATGTGTGTTGTATTTATATACAGTGAAACTATGCAGACAGAGGAATGCTGTCTTGAGTCTTTTAACTGGCGAGGAATGCAATGTTCATGATGGAGCGCTCAATTCCCATTGTGATGATAACTGACAGGTTCAAAATGTTACGCTTTAACGTACAAGATTATATCAGTGTAAAACTTTTTAAAGCTTCTGTGCACATACTAACATGATATATATCCAAAAAAAGCATCATAAGATTACCTTTTAGGGGTTTAAGTACTTTGATCCAGAGGAAGGTACAAAAGAGTAGGCAAATGAAAATAAACAAGACAAAACACCTGAAGTGACACAGTGGGTCTCCACTGGCTTTAAATCATAAGCTTCCCAAATCTCAACCCACGTATCCCCATCTTCTACACACACTGGACCTCTCTGAACTCTGCCATGCACACGGCCAACAAGACACGCATTCCTTTCAGAGGCACAAAAAAGGTTTCTGCACGGCTCCCTGGGGGAATTACTTCAAGCTATCGCCGTGAAATTTAACCTTGAAAATATATTCCACACACACATTCTCTCTCTGTCTTATAACATACACAAACAGATCTCAAAGCATGCAGAAAATCTGCAGTTGATATAACACAAATAAGACATAAGTATGCAGCCCTCCCAGCCGAACAAATAAGGACCATGACTGAGCTCACCCAGCATTAAGAATACTCAGAAGTAATAGAGGCCTTTAGCTGAGGAAAATCAAAGGACACATATTAATGCCAAGCTTAAATGGCCAATTAGCCATGTTATTTCATGGGATAAAGTTAGCAATGTTCTGTAGTTTCCTCCTGTCAAAACTAAACTGAAAAATACAAACAAAACAACAAAGAATACTATGTTACTGTTTTGGATAGGGAGCTGATAAGGACTTCGATCTTTGGAAACAGTGCACAATTTTAGATATTTAAATGATACAAGTCCTCCAGTTCAACAATGTTATGTAGTGCGTCTGATGTGAAATATACTCATTCAAAGATAAACATACATTTATGGTGTATTAATGGGGCAGGACAGCATATATAAGACAGACTTTGATTGACTACATGAGCCAAAATCATGCCTATGCTGCACGTGGCTTGGTAAGGGCCTATGTCTATTAACGCCACTTTTGGGCTGTTGGCACCAAAGACCAACATTAAAGGATGCTCATCGATGGCACTTACTGTTGCTACGTTATGAAAGTTGTCTTGCGCAACTTCTGCTTTTCTTAGTAGTGGTCATTGAGTCTGTATTGAGATTCTCTGTAAAGTTCATATTCGCTTTCCAGTATGGCATTTTACCAAGGTAACCTACAGACAATTGATTTAAATAGTGTCATTAGCAGTAGCTCTAGCCATGGATATTTTACCTTTGAAAAATAAGTGTGGTTAGGTCATCCTTCACGCAGACCTCTGACATAATTGTTGACAAAGTTACAACATAAGTTTTGTACAGACAATAAAGGGTACCAGCACAATAAATGCTGTAAATGGACACAGGCCCTTATATGGTCTTCAAAGTTTTCAGAAAATGTATCACTGGTGTAAAAAAAGAGGTAAAGCATCCATATTTATCTCTTCATAAGAAAGATAACATAAAACCTGATGACAGACAGACAGAGAGAGGACAGTATTCTTAACATGTGCAACAATACCACAGCAAAATTACTGTAATTCAATTTTCCATACAGTGAATCTGCTGCAAAGTGGTGGAATGTAAGACCAATGAGCCGATCAGTTACAAAAGAGAAAAATCATATCCACTCAATGTCTCTTTGTTTATTTGATGTGAGGACTGCCATGAGATTATGTAAAAGGCAGATTCAGAGGAGCAGAGATGAATGTCATTAAATGAGTCTGAGCTCATAAATAAGATTGTATGTGACATCCTAAAGAGGTGTGTCAGAAGATCTTCCCTTTGGACCCAATGATGATGAGGAGGATGACGACGACGCAGGCAACAGTTCTGTCCTGTTGACTCTGAGAAGCCCCGCCTCTCCTCCGGGTCTGGTCTCATCTGAAAAATTAATCAGCTGAAAAGTAATGAAGAAAAGTAGCAATAAAAGAGTGGTATCTTAAAAAGTTTATCCTTATCCTAAAATTAAGAGAAACAACTAAACATAAAAAAGCCGGAATCCCAGGAAGAAGAGAGTAGGGATTGTAAAAGGAAAAAAGTCAGAGAAATCGTCCAAAACACATTAAAAAATCAGAGGGAGTGAAGCGCTCCACTGTAAATGCTGAGTTCAATTTTATTTTCAAATTTAATTTCATGTTGTTTCTCCAAATGTTAAATCTGTATCTCAAACAAAGTATTTTGATGAGACAAGAGGCACCTTATAATTTCTGCATATGAATCACATGGCTAAATTAAGCTGATTTTTGTAAATTTATATAATATCAGATCATGTTTGTCACTCTTAACTGAATCAAACAGGGCACCCAAGCTACTCCCTGCAGACTCGTGTTTTCCTGTTTTGGAAACACGAAGGTCAGTGTAAAATTTCAACAGATTTTCCGCTGATGTGTCGACCTACAAAGTAGTTAAAGTGCAGGAAAGTGTTTCAGTAGCTCAGCAACTGTCTACCTCTAGTCAGGGACCAAAACTAGCTGTATTGGTGGGGCCGCCTGAATTATAAGCACTTGTACTTGAGGTACAACCAAATATCAGCACGCCTGTGGCCCACACTGGTGTACAGTGGGGTAGAAAATCACTTATATTGCTTCATTATTAAAAGCTCCAGCTAATACCTGTGTGCACCAGACCTCATCACTTTACATAAACGTTTCTCTGCTCTAAAAAGGCTCCAGCATCAATTCTGCTTCTACTGGAGAGCAGATACGTCTTCACTCAATATATTAAACTGCTGTTGCTGCTTTTATATCCATGCATGATTTCCTCTATTTACAGACAGCAACTATTAAGTGAACCTGAAGGAAAGTGCAGATTGAGTGCAGGTATCAGAAAAATGAAATGAAGATCTGAAGTTCTCTTTGGAGGAGAGTGCAAGCGTAACATCTTCCGTCTATTAGTCCAAAAGTGTAGTTTAATAAGGTTTCAGAACAGAATCTCACTCGAATTTGACATCAAGACTTCTGCTGTTTTTAGAAATTTGACAAAAACTTGGTTAAGGTGTGATTTATAAATTTCACTCTCATCTTATACCTTCTGATCTGTGAATATAGGTGAAAAGGGTGTGGGTCGAAGACAATAGTAGAGATTCAGTAACTGGTAGAAAAGACTTTTTGAGATCCAGATTCTTCTTCCCACTTTCTTTGAATAAATATTTCTGAATGACCCCTGAAGTCAGAGGTTTGATAGACTGATGTCATCCTACAGGTGTAGCTGCCACACTCCAGCTTATGCATTCATGATATTTCATCTCCACAATCGCTCTTATTGTTATGAGGTTGACAGCTGAGAAGTCAGATTGTTCTTATTCCTGCAGCTCCAGCAGTTTCCTTGTCTGAATGTGTGGGAGAACGTCAGTCGCAAACGGGGGGCTGCAGATCTACCGAAGCAGCTGGAGCTGATTATCGATACATCCTTACAAAGCCCACAGTCTGGGCTTTCACACGGACAAACGTTGCTAAGACAAAGTTTAGTTAAGACTTGGCTGAAGTCTCAGTCCATAAGAGGTACCAGTATCAACAAAGACTGACTCAGAAGTTTAAAATAGGCTGTTTTGCAATGATGCAGTGATAAAAGATAATCGATTATAGCTAACTTTGTCTGTGTGCATCTGTGTTCAATCCATTATTCTGGTGTGTGTCAGCAGACAGCAGAGGAGCTGAAGATGGACGCTATCAGGAAGGTAAAGCTACGTATAGTTTAATCTTTGAATAAGACAAATTATGTGAAGCACTCTCTATTGCTTGATGTATAGATGATATGATAAGTTCATGGCATTATAAATCAAATCTGTAAATATTAGAGGGCTGGTAAGCTCTTTGTATCTTCTACACTAACCTTCATGTGTCTGTATCACTATTCAGACCCATGAGTTTTACTTAGCGTAGTTTATATTGTTAAGAAAGTTATGTCAACATAATTTCTCTGGTAATTTTTAAATGATTCATGAATTGAATCATGAGACAGTGAGGATGCACAGCTGTATTAGTGCAACTTAGTCCAGAGTGGGGAGAAGGATGCAAGGATACATCATTTCACCTTTTTACATCAACCTTGCTCCTGACAAACATGACGACACTAGTAAAGAAGGGAACATCACAAAATAGTCAGGCCTATTATTAGACTTACTCTCCCTTCTGACAGAAGTCAAACTTTTAATGGTTCCCAAGATTATTTTGTAATTTATTTTGTGAGGTGTGATATGAGTGATTCACTTCCCCAGATCTGCTCAGAAGTTGATAGGGCTGTCCGTATTTGAAATAGTAAATATTAAACAAGTTCAATTTTAGCTCAAACAGAGCTTAGCATGCGCTGTCTCTAGATTATCGTGTAAAATTAAATGATTGCTAGTTGGGAAAATGGCTGACACAACAAAAACAGGTGTGGCTACAATAGTAAGCATGAAGTATAAGTTTGACATTAGAAATGAGGGACCAACTAATGTTAAGTCAACGTGTCCTAAATAAGAGTCAAAGTGACAAGGAGAAGAGTTGAAACGATATGATGACTGTAGCGAATGTACCAACAAACTGAGCATCGAGTTAAGTTTGGCTTGAAAACCACACAGTTGTCCACCATGTTTGCTCACTCCAAAGTCCCATTTGACCAAGTTTTTCAGTTTTGAGGGTCAAGATTGTTGGTTGTTGGTGAACGCAGTCTGTCCGTGTATGATGTGCTGTTTTGATCATCTGGTTGCACACCACACACTACGAGAGTTAAATCTATCATTATTTGGCACCATGAGCGGGATCCCTGACACGTTTAAAACTAATGAAGATCTCTGCTGGGCTCAGAGCAAACAGACACAAACAAGCTCACCTTCTTTGCGCAGGAAACACTTCCACAGGCAGAAACACAGAGACATGACCAGCAGTGCTGCCACTGTGGTGACTGAGATCAGGATGGTGAGAGCCGTCCCAACTAGGAGAAAAGAAGACACACTTTTCAAAAATAAACTCAGCTGTGTAAATCCTGGTCCTGTGGATGTGGTTTCGCAATTAAATTTTGTAGAGAAGGGAAATGTGGTTAGAGTTTTGGTAATATGACTAGACCTGTGCTGACATGGGTAATAATTGTAACAAGATTTGAAATTAGGTTTACCGTGTTACTGACTTAATTCTGTCAACGCGCTTCTCCAGAACCATGAAACTGGGGTCATCTAAAGTTTGTCTTTAAACCACAGTCATGACAGACGTATACACTGTTCATATGTTATCTACTCATTTTGGTGCATTCAAACTAATAACGTTTTTTTTCTTTTTTTAACTTTGACGAAGCAAAAGCTGTTGAGGAAAGGTCATACGTTTGAGAAACTCATGCACTTGGGATTTTCCCTCATAGTCTGAAGCCAAAAGTCGGAAAAAGTTCCAAAAATTCTCCTGATTTCAATTTTCATCAAGTATTTTCACTAAGCAATAGAGACAGACAAGTCATCACTCAGGTGGTTCAGAGTTTCTCTATTTTCATACTGGACCATTCAGACCACTGCTAGTTGGTCTTTGGCTGTTCCTTTTCATGGAGGTGTGTTCACTGTATAGGTAAGCAGACCACCTTGAAAATATCTTCACAGGAGCTTTTAACCCTCTTGGTAGCAATGACTTGGCTTACTTCTAGGCATGTTTTCCAAAAACACATTAAATCATGGTGACACAAGAGAATTTGAAGCGTTCTGCCAGAAATGTGAAGATATTTGAAAACAAAAAGCTATTGAAAAAATTTGAATTGATACATCCACACTGCTATAAACTCACTTTTCGTGTTCATGGATACAGCGATTGGTGACTCAAGCCCTTTGTGGTGCACCAAGCATTTGACTGACACGTCTTTCAGCAGCCCTGATTGGACCGTCAGCGTGCTGATGACGAGAGTGGTTCCGTCCGCCTGTGGGAGCTGTGTCGTCACAGGGGGGCCAACAGTGCGGTTATCCCTCTCCACGTTCCATACGATCTCCACCGGGGGGCGCGACACTGCCGTGCAGTTGGCTTCAATCACACCTGGGGAGGTAGTCTTGTAGCTCACCTGAGGTTTAGGCAGCACTAGGAGGAATAAAAGCAGAACTGGTATTAAAACTCCAAACAGCAATCAGAAAAACTCATTCTGTGACACGATTTTAAGAAAACATCTCATTAAAAATGACATGTTTTTCTTTTGTACTCCTGTGTTTTGCAGGACAAGCAGGGACGGAAGGCTAGAACTGTTTGCCCAAAAGGTGATACTTTAAAACCTTTGGATCAACTCAGGTTTTTGAATTCCTGCACACTTAAGATCCATAAATGAATCTCTGGTTGTTTTCAATCCTCTGGGCTGAGTGAGGAATGTGATATGTTGGAGCTGAGAACGTTTTTATTGGCAGAAACACGGTTAGCCACAGATATTTCATCCTCGTAGTTTCAGCCTCTTTTCAGAGATCCAGGCAGTGAACTTCCCCACCATCAGTGTGGAGTATTATCACACTTAAGGTGATTCAAACCACAAGTAAACTGTTGTTACAGTCCAAACCATAATGGCACGTGAACAAGCACCAAGCTGAGGTGGAAATGGGACCTTTAAAAAATAAATTTAATACTTCATCCAAAAGTTTCTCATAACTTCTAACCACATTTGTTGAACACCTTTAACACAATCCTTTAACACCCTCTTATTATTATTTTTATAACTCTCATTTTTTTAAATGCCATTTGACGAATGTAATTTCACACTGCCTGCGTCCATTCAATAAACCATATGTCTTAACAGTGACTGCAGAAGTTTTTGTTATAGGGTTCCTTTAGTGACTCGTGATTTTTCAGGATAGGTTGAAAATGAGCCCTTGTCATCAAAGTAAAGTAAGAAAAGAAGTAAAATTACATTCAGCCTTGAACAACCACAGCAGTAAAAACAAAAACTACTTACATTAAATCCAAAAGATCCAGTAAAAATAATCTAGTGCAAAGGAGGTGCACTGAACTGAAATTCCTGACTGACCGGGTAAATCAAATACCAGAAGCAGACAGTTTTCAATGTGCTTGTAAAAAAGCTTAACACAGAACTATAGAGTCTGTGGTTTAAAAGAGTCAACTTGGTTTGCAGAGTGTGGCTAACACCAGCAGAGCCAGCATCACCCATGTTTGTTTGCCTGTGTTGATTATGCATTGCCCTTGTTGAGTGGTTAGATGTCAGTTTAACCAAACACAGGCTACACACTCCATTTTCTAGATTAAAATACTGTCAAAAGATATTGTGTTTGTTTAAATACTGGTTGTCGAGCTATCATTACAGCAGTACCATTAATCATAGGCTCTGATCTAAGGTAAGGCTGGCATTGTTGGCCAACAATAATAAAAATATCAAAAACAACAACAATAATAATAGTTTCTTTAACAGTCTGAGTCTGGTGCTAACTTTCAGCTAAACACAGACATCCCTATGGGCTCAGTTTCAACAAAGCTTTCACAGCTTGTTCACATTTTAGTCATAATATTTAACAGTAAGTACAATTTCCTTTTTTTATTGATTATTTTGAGTAGAATATGTAGTTGGGATGTTATTTCAAAGGTTTCAGTTCTGTGTTTCCTGTTCACCAGCTTCTCATTAGCTGCTAAACACTTCACTGTGTTGACCAGCTGGTCAACATCTTTTTTTCTGACTGCAACTGACTTTTAAGGTCAAACCAAAAGCATGAGCTATGAGAGCAGTCAGCTGAATCAAAACACTCAATTGAGGATGTCATGCTAATCCTGTTGTTTAATTAAATGCCCTTGCGTGTTTAGCAGTCATTGTTTGGGGACTAGTTGGATAGGAGGAAACTTCAAAACAGGCTGACTGAGAAGCCTGTGGGAGGCTGCTAGCAGCATTAAACATGAGCATGAACGCTTATCAAGTTCCACTAGCAGAAACACCTACTGCACTGTACAGTTTGATTTCAAACAAAAGCACATCTGTTTGTTGGGATAACCATGAGCGAGAGGGAATGGGAGAGGAGTGGAAAAGCAAATGAGCAGGAAGACAAAGCACAGAGGGAATCAGTGTCTGCTGCAAAGACTGACACAGTCAGGACCTCGCTCCCTGCCTCCATCCTTCCCTCCAATGGTCTATTCTTCAAACGGACAGACTGCTCTGTGTTTGTGTGTGTTAAAATATCAGCCATCAGCTTAGCCTCTCTGTATCAAGAAAACATTCAACAGCTACAAATGGGAAGAAAAGATCAACATTCCTGTATTATTCCCAGAGGTACCTAAGTTTCCAGCAGATACAAAATCAAAGTTTTGTCTCTGAACCATAAAACACAAATCTGACTCATTTATTTTACAGCCAAGATCCTACTTTCCCAGCTCTTACTTCTCCTGTAAGACTTATTCACTTACAACACGGCAAAAGTGCCTCTGTATAAATAAAAATGAATCAGTATAGATTTCAGTCTCTGTCATAAGTGCCAAAAAACTTCTCAAAGGAGATTGACGTTTCTACCATATTCAAGAATAACACAAAAAATTTGACTAACACCAGTCAACCCAGAATGTATTTCTTGATGAGAGAGTTAGTTCTAGTTCTTCTTTGTTGGAAAGCAGGACTTCAGTTGCCTGTGTTAGCCAAATCATTGTTTCTTTTTTGAAATAGTCAGTTTTTCAGTTTGTTATTTCCACTTTTGTTTTCAGAGAGTAGTGACACATAATTGGGTCTTCATGTGCACACTAACAGAACAAAACAGAACAGAACAGAACAAAACAAAACACTAGCCAAACAGAGACCACATGAACTTCAGGATCCTGGTTTGATCAACTCAGACAGCATAATATGTTAATTAACTTCAAACTGAACTTGAATTAGTTCAAGGTTTTAGATTAATTTTTTGTTTTCTATTACCTTTCTACAGCCTGAATCAACTGCCCAGCCAAAATAGCTGTCATCTCCTATTTCTAGTCCAGTTATGCTAAATGAAGCTGAGATAAGCTGCTGGTGTTGGCTTTATATTAACTATATCAACAAGAGAGGCAACAACTTCTCCTTTCAGTACTAAAAGACATCAAATATCTATATTTATCATGGTCTGTGTCGAGAAACGATTTCCTCTTGGCTTCAAAGTGTTCACATTGTTAAAGTGCACTGATTCTGATGACCTGTTGGGGGAAACACTGGTGGAAACACTTACACTGGTGCAGAAGAGATGTGATTGAGTGGATGCAAAAAAAAGAAAATGAGTGAACTTCTCATTAGATTTGTTACTTCAGCTAACATCCATTTAATCAACTTCTCTAATGCTTCAAGATGTTCATTTTGCTCATTTTGGTTGAGTATGGACTTTAAACAAAAGATAAAGCAGAGCTGACTAACAGGGGCTGACCAACCTCTACCACAGCAGCCAATGAAACAGGATGGAGATACGGCTATGCACGCCCCCTGCTCTGGCCAAATATGGTTCCTTCTGGGTCCAAAATAATACGGTGATGGCTAAAATGCCGAACATAAAACCACTGACTGCACAAAAGCTTTCCTTAAGCGCCAAACTTTTTGAGCTTGCTTTGGTGACTGGCTTCAGTTTGGGTTGCAAAACCCACCTCCTCCATCATAACAGATGGGACAGTGGCCAAATTAGAATGAATATCAGATTTGCTTTCCTCAAACAAGCTATCTTTCATGATGGCAAGTTTTGTGATGCTGGTTTAGTTTCATTTTTTTTGTAGTTCTGATTAGTTACTTTATGTTAAAAGGAATCATGTGACACCTTGATTGACAAGTCTGTTGCATTCTTGACTAATTTGAGCTGCCGTGACATTCTTCACCAAATAAGCAAAGTAAAGAGGAATGTAGGAGAAAACTAAACAAAAACACAGACGCAAGAGTCAGTGAACTTTCTGTAGCAATGAGTGTCTGCTTTAAATCAACACAAGAATCTGTTCTGCTGTGGGCTGCACCAACCAACCAACAAGGATCTTTGCTTTTTTATCTGAGTGGTAAGTGTATTTAAAAGTGTGTGACGTTGGGTATGTGGCTATTCCAGCCAAATCCGCACCGTTCAAGTCCTGGCTCAACCAGCCCAATATGTTAGCACCCTTCATAGCAGAATTTTGGCTTTCTTTGGCTAAGGCAAAGATAAGTTTTAGCTCAAGTTTCACTCACTAACTCGGTCAGGGTGCCAGTTTAACCCTGTGGTTTTAAGTGTGACCCATATTCAGTGGGTGCAGTTTTCTATGCAACAGCTCCAGTTTGACTGCAGCAATCAGCCCTTTTGCGTACCCCACCCAACTATCCTCCTCCAACATTTCATGTCTCTCCTCAGAGACATGAATAAAGAAGAGAATGGCCCAAAATCCATCACCCCAAAAAGTTTACTTGGCTCATTTTTTAAAATAATATGAGCAATATAAAGCCTAACAACCAGCAACAGCAGTCAGCTTTGGAACAGTTGTTTACCGTATGTTGCGAGGCAAACAGTGGAGCTCTTCAGCCCCTCAGGATAAGTGGCGTACATGCAGGTGTAGCAGCCCTCATCCTGGATGGCAACAGGCTGGATGATAAGCTGACTGTCAGACAGGGACGCACTCAGCCAGACTCTCCCTTGGTACGGCGGCTCTATCATGGGGTCACTGCGCTTTGCATATGAGGCAACCTCTGCAGAGTCTCCTTGTGGAGGCATGTGTCTCCATGTGACCTGTTGCACCTTCTCAGGCAAACCGTAGGAGCAAGAGAGGGAGGCCTTCTTGCCGCTCACTGCTGTCTTGTTGCTGTCTACGGTGACTTGTGCTGAGGCCGAAGAGTGATGGAGGAGGGAAAGAAAAGAAAAGGAGAAAAAAAGAGGGAGAGGTTAAAAAGCAGGGCACTGCTAATATCCAGAAATATGAGGCACCAAAACAGAAACCCATCAGTGGAATCTGCAGCAGCTGTTTCTAGTTATAAAAATGAACCCTCCTTCTTCTGCATTGCACAGCTTTATTAACCTGACTGGTGGAGCCTCAACTGGCTTATCAGCTTGTGTTTAGAGGTCAGAAGGGGTTGGAACATCTATATTCACATATTTTCTTAGCAAGTCCCCAAAGCCGTTTTGTAATAAGGTCATGAAAGGAGTAGCTGATGTCTTAGAGTGCTGGAACATTGGTTTGGTTTGATAGTAATGGGCGGGTGCACAGTGCAAGCATGCTAAATCAGTTATGTTGCATCCAAGTCAAATAGCTTTTACCACAATTATGAGAAGCTGAGTAGAAAACTGCCTTTAACATATGGCAGGAATTTCTGACACAGACTATATCTCACAGGTTGAGTGCTGTCGATAACTGTGTTTACTCATGAGCCAGCAACACTTGAAATTTCAACACTGATATTAAAAGTACAGCAACATTGGAGCCAATTTTTAAGGCTCTCTTATTTGAATCTGGCGTTACTGAACAGATTTGAGATATCTGAGCTTCTCAGTTTGGCTCTAAGGAGAATTGGGCGTCTTCCTGCAACAACAGCCATTACTCAACCTGCGCTCAAGAGGAAGCCTCTCCCACCTGGTTCATGACCTTCCTAACTGTGTCAAAATAGTTGAGTTAACTCCTGGCCCGCATAGTAGATTTAAAAACTTCATCTGGATCTCTACTGTCAGGGTGCAAAATATGTCAAAGAGTTCGTGTTTTTCCTTTATCCCTGAATGTCACAGGCTTAGTTCCAGGTTTTAAATTCATTTGTGCACATAAAAAAGGCATTATTATTATTAAGCCCATGATGTACTTCTACAGTCTTATACCTTAAAGATCAAATATTTGCAGTCAGCATAGGTAACCACTCCTTCTCAACACCAAACATTCCCTGTGGTGTTCTGCAAGGTTCTGTATTAGGTCCTTTTTTATTTTCCTTTTTTATGCTGCTACTTGTCCAAATTATACGGTGCCACAAAGTCTCCTTTCATCGCTATGTAGATGACACACAGATATACCTTCCTCTGAGAACTGAGGGCCCTAGAAGCTTAACTGCTGTTAGTGAATGTCTCTAGAACAAAATTTCCTTCAGCTCAACAACTCAAAGTCAGAAATAATATTGTTTAACTTTCCAAACTCCAATCCTGTCTTTAAGAGTGGCCCTGGTGATCATCAAATCTTTAGTAAGAAACTTCAGAGTCATATAGTTGATTGAAACCTGTCCTTGGACTTGACCAGAGATAAATTGTATAGCCCTGTTTCATCATATTATGCACCATCTTCAAGATTAAGCTGATTCTCTCTCACTCAGATCCTGAAAAAATAATCCATGCCCTGATCTTCCCTGGACTTGACTACTGCAAATTGCCCCTTACCAAAATGAATCAGAGAACACTCTCACACCTCCAGTTAGAGCAGGATGCAGCAGTTAGGCTTCTCATTGGTTTCAATAGACAACATCACATTATTCCCATTTTAGCTTCCCTACTCTGGCTTCCCATCAGTTTTAATTTTTTTTTAAACTTTACTGGTCACCTTTAAAGCTCATATGGGTCTGGCTCCAAGCTACGATTCTGAATTTAAACCCACCTTTATTGCCTTTTTTGATGTTGTATTGTTTTTGTCATTTTTATCTCATCTGACAGCTTCCAGCTCCCTGCTTTTTTATAATTTTACATGTATGGTCTTTTTGGTTTCAGTTTCTGTTGCTTGGTTCTTGTGTTGCTTGGGTTCTGATGAGTTCTTATGTTATTGGGTCAATATGTTCCTCTGGTTTTCATGTTGGAGTTTTTCAGCTGTGGGGTCCTTGTGGTGTTGCAGTTATATCTGGTTATAAATATTGGTATTGATCTTGTGTTATTCTGTGTAATTTATTTCTCTCTGTTCTTGCTTTGTTTTATTTACTTTTGCTTGGTATTTCAAAGCACTTTGTAAACATGTTTTTAAAGGTGCTTTATGAGTAAATTGATATCATAATCATTATCACTGCCAATTTTTGATTCATCTATTGTCAATAATTTCCTTTTTAAGAGTAAGCAGAAGAAAAAAAATGTGAAAACCCTACTGCAACATGTACGGACTCTTAAAATGTTGCAGATTTCTGTTCTTATGTTAGCAGATACTACCATGACTGCTATGTTCACTCACCGGTCACAGTCAGGCAGGTCTGTCCCTGCTTTGGACCAGAGGGATGCAGATCAAAGATGCAGGTGTAACAGCCCTCGTCGCGGAAGCCAACTCTGCGGATGGTGATAGCTGAGGTGTCTTTTGGAGAGGTGGCGAGCTCCACGTGCTGCTGTCCACTCACACTGTCTTTGACGCCAGGCTGGTAGCTCAATAGAGTCTGGTTTTGGACATCTAGCCAATGCACCAGCTTCAAAGACTCACCGCGATCCCTTGAAACTGAGCAAGTCAGGGTGAAGGGCTTCTCCACAGGAGCTTCAAGCCGCTCTGGTGCTGTTACCCTGCCTGCAACAACCACCAAAAATACTTAAAAGTTTTGAATTCACTGTTTAAATTTCTAAATCTCTACCAGCCATAGCACACTCACCCTGAAGTCCTCCCACCATCAAGAGGACTAAACACACCAGCAGACCTGTCCTATAGGAGGCCTGGGTCCTCATCTTTGTCATTGTTCATTTAACAAAGAGGACAGAACTCCTGAGACACGAAGAAATTTCAAAAGTTAGCAGCAAACCAAACTTCTGTTTCTATTATAACCAGTGATCCAACAGTTCTGACCTAAGAATTTCTATGTTCTAGCATAATTATTTCCTTGTTTAAGATATCCCCTTCACTCACTCGACACCGCCTGACTCTCTTGTCTGAAGCACAACAAGATAAAATGAAATACCACATTCTTAAATACCACAAAATTCAAAATACATGGACTTTAATGAGGACTCTTGTCAGTGGGTGTTGGAGTTTCAGTGCACTCCACACATTTGATGTCTATCAAACTTATTCTTTAGAGAAAAATTCACATACATGATCAATAATTGCACTAAACTAATTGTGATATAAAACCTTATAGCAAATTACACACCAACCCCTTATGTAAGCTGTAAAACTTAAAAGTTTCAACAAAAAACTGCTTATAATCAACGGGGTTGAAAAGAAATTACTACAATCATATAAAACTTACCTCTTATTGTTCAGCTGTAGAAAAAAGGTAAAAGTCAAAGTTGAAGGTGTTCTACCTCTGCAGCATCTCCCCGTCTTTATGATCCAGCAGTCTTGTGAAACATCGCCCCACAAGCGAGAAACTATTTTTCACTCATCCGGCTGTTTTCTATTGTGCACTGCAGCAGCACAATGAACACCAGCCGGCGGCAGCTCCGTCCTCAGTTTGCTGGAGAGGAGCAGCACTGACTGAGCTCTCGGTGGAGGAGAAGACACGACTTTGTTTTAGACGAACAACGTCCTCTAGCGTCGAGCAGCATGTGTGTGTTTTAAAACAAGTGTTTTACGAGTTTTCTTTATTTTCTAAGAGGTAAACATGTGCAAATTGTAGAAATTTGATGCCAGAAAAGGCAAACGAGTAAAAGTGATGTAAGTAAAAAATACTGAAAAAAGGCGAAGAAGGTCCATGGTAAAGTTTGCAAATGTGGACATATAAAAGTATACAAAAAATGAGGTGTTTATAGTTCCTTTTTAAAAAAGGTAATTAAGTAGAAAGTAAGTAAGTAAGTAAGTAGATAAACAAACAAATAAATGGATGAATAAATAAATTAATGAATACTACTACTACTACTACTACAACTAATAATAATAATAATAATAATAATAATAATAATAATAATAATAATAATAATAATAATGATAATAACAATAATAATGATTTTGGGACGTTTGTGGCGTTTTCGTATAAGTCTGACGTCAACATTCTGAGACGGAAGTTTTTAAGTCGGCTCGTACTGATGACGTAAGCGAAGACTACAGTTGGAACTTGACAGCTGGAGCAAAAATGGGCAGAAATGAAAATAGACCTGCTTTTTTCATCACAACATGAACTAATAAGATCCTCGACTCCGTTTAGCACATGCTACGCCAGTACTTAACGGACTGACAGGTGTTTCATCATGTCGTTTTTCGTGGACTCGGTGATCATGTTCACCTCACAGGTACGCACGAGCTGTTAAAAGTCTGTAATCCTGTTAAAACTAAGATTTTAAACAAACGTTACAAAAATGAATTGCTTTCTCACCCAAACTTTATAGAAACCTATGTGTTTTCAGTTGTTTCAACGCTATATTAAGTACAATGTATTTAAAGCTCATGTAAGGAACTTTTGGCGCCCCGCGTGCATTAAGCAGTTTTTGCTGATCTTGTTCTTTTCCTGCCAAATTGTAACAAAAAATTAATCCTGTTGACTTTGACCATCAAATGCATTAATTATTGTTATTAGTTAAGGAGAAAATGTAAAAACCTGGCTGTTTCCTCCGATGCTTGACTATCCACCCACATCATTTTAGGTATTGTTTACTATTAAAAGGCAATATTCTGAATTTAAATCTACATCAACACATGAGGCAGAGGCAATACAATACAGCTAATATGTTCAGTTGAACTTTCTGTTATGGGTTACTGTCCCTGGCTGCACAAACCCCCAGCTCGATATCAAGAAGAGATTACCAAAAGTCTAGGTCAATCTCAGTCCTTCTCATCTCCAGGGGGAAGGAGTCAACATTTAAAAAATCTGATACATAACATTTACATACAAAATCACTAAAAACTCACTGATCAAGTCGGGACAGAGAACAAAGGGGGGAAGTAAGAAAAAGTAAATAGAAAAACAAATATGTTATTATTTTTAGACAGTCCATATCCATAAGTGTTTACTGCTTTGATTATAGAACCTGCAGAATTCAACATTACTATAAAAGAAGGAGTCTAAAAAAGGCTGGTTTCTCCATATTATGCATTTCCTTAACATCTACCAACCTCTTTTGTGCTTGGGAGTAGTACTTTATTGTTTTTGTTACCATGAGTTAAGGTTTATCCTTTAAATTTGTACTATACTTAATGCAAAACCAGTAAAAATGTTGCAAACACATATTCTGAACATTAAATCACAGCCATCTTCATTTTGTTTCGTTGAAACTATATCCTTTTCCAGTGTTAGATGGAGTTATTACTGAAACCTGTACTTTTGATTTTGGTTTCTGATGTCTGACAAAAATGCTTGACAATATTCTTTCTCCTCCTTCTTTTCTTATGTGATTTTTCGAAACAGGTGCTGTTCTTTGGATTTGGCTGGCTGTTCTTTATGCGTCAGCTGTTTAAAGATTATGAGGTACAGTGAATTAAAGCATTTATTCACAATTAACCATCAGAGTGGATGCACTGACTGCCAGTTCAAGCCTGGAGCTCATTCTCCTGGAGACTTGAGAAGGTCAATCATGGAAAGTCTTCTTTATAAACACGCTCTAATGTTTTTCTGTTGTCGACAGGTGCGGCAGTATGTTGTGCAGGTGGTTTTCTCAGTCACGTTTGCTTTTTCATGTACCATGTTTGAGCTCATCATCTTTGAGATCCTTGGTGCCTTAAGTAGTAGGTAAGTTTATTGTCAGTGTGTCGTAACAGTTTTTCTCTAATATTTTCTGCACATTGCTCAATACTTATTTTTTTCCACCCCAGTTCTAGATACTTCCACTGGAAGCTGAATCTATATGTGATACTGCTGGTTCTTATCTTTGTGGTGCCTTTCTACATTGGTTACTTTGTGGTTAGCAACATACGCCTACGTGAGTAAAGTTGATTAGCTCCAAAATAAACACTTCAAATTGAAAGGTGCTGTTATAAAGATATGTTTACACATTATGCCAGTGACGGCTGTTTGCTTTGTGCCTGTGTAGTGCAGAGACAGAAGCTTCTGTTTGCCTGTATGGTCTGGTTCACCTTCATGTATTTCTTCTGGAAGCTTGGGGACCCATTCCCCATCCTAAGTCCAAAACATGGTGAGTCTGCAGTCAGATTTGAACATCTTCATATCGATTCTAAATACTATGACTGCCTTTCTTCTTCAGAATTCGACTGTCTGCAGTAAGCATTGTGAGGAAAGTTAAACAAAAGTGTCCCTGGTGTTTTTTGTTTAGGCATTCTGTCTATTGAGCAGCTAATCAGTCGAGTTGGCGTCATTGGAGTCACACTTATGGCCCTATTGTCAGGTTTTGGTGCAGTCAACTGTCCCTACACGTACATGTCCTATTTCCTCAGGTGAGTGAGCCCAGCACTGGGTTGTCTCAGGATTGGATGCTACTTTTCAAAATCACCAACTCTTTTGTGTAGATTTGTTGTTTGATGCTTGCTGCGTACTTGTTTTTGCAGAAATGTTACAGACAGTGACATTCTCGCTCTGGAGAGGCGGCTGCTCCAGACTATGGACATGATTGTCAGCAAAAAGAAGAGGTAAGCAAATAATCTGAATCAAAAATTAAGGTGTGTAAAAAAACACTGTGCTGAGACTTTGTTTTATATCTGTAGAATTGCAATGACTCGGAGGCAGATGTACCAGCGGGGAGAGGACCAGAACAAACAGACTGGATTCTGGGGCATGATCAAGAGTGTGACCTCTACACAAACAGGCAGCGAAAGTATCCTAAACTCTGACCAGCATGTGAAAATATGTTATTTATCTGTTTCCATCTGACCGTCCTCCAGTTCGTGGTAATTATCAGTCTTAACCCTCCTCTCCAGACCTCTCTCTAATCCAGCAGGAGGTTGATGCTCTTGAGGAGCTAAGTCGGCAGCTCTTTCTGGAAACTGTGGACCTACAAGCCACCAAGGTAACAACAGCGTGCATATGCTGAACATTTTTTGTTCCACTCGTGATCGACTAGATGTACGAGTGATTAGATGTTTGCTCATAGTTTTCCATGTCATCTTGACAGGCCATGTTGTAGTCAGTGTGTTTCTGCTGCCCTCAAGTGGCCCAAGTCGTCCCTTATTGTGGCTTCAAGCGTGAATTAATTGCTGTGTTCTGTCGGTCTCATAACTGTTGAGAAAGCTCTGATAAATTATTACATCTTGTTTCCAGTTTCTTTGACCCTCAGTGTTGGTGTTTTTAAGAAGAGTCAGTCAACAAAGGCCCTCAAACAAAATCTCAGCTGCTGACTCTTATCAGTTCAGAGTTTTATCACCTGTTTACCATGCTACTTTGTGTGATTGCTTGTTTGTGTTGCCCTTCCCCTGCAGTACGTCTGTGTTTGTGATCATAGTTTGTCCTTCCTTCAGTTGATTATTACAGTGGGTAGTGTGTTCTGTGAGAAGCCTGAGCCAGTCAAAGATTATTGAGATAGTTAAAAGCAAACGGAGCTGGGGTGGGAAAGGAGAGAAGAAAAATCCACGAAAAAAGCTCCCAAAGCCCTTCTTACTGACAGAGTTGAGGAATATACAACTTTAAAGATTGGTTTGTCAATTCTCAGACCTATTTTTTAAATTCTTGTGGCTAAGTTTTGGGCCAAGTTTTATAAACCCGTATCACTTAAAGCAGATTTAATGCCGAATTGGAATAGTGCTTTAGTGCATCTAATAAATGACAGTCTAATATACTGTACCTTGAGCTTTAAACTCTGGGTTAGAGTCCTCTAGTATCAGTATAATATTGACTGATATATGGGAGGAACACTAGAGTTGAACAAGGGAATATAAGTCTTCATATTGAAGACTTTATGCATGCGTGAGTCAACACTTAACAAAAAAGGGGTTTAACACTGCAGACTTAGTATGTTGTCAGTCTGGTCTGACCATTTTCATATCACCATGCAGCATTTAGAGCTCTGTAAGGCTAAAGGCGACTGCAGCATCATTTCATATTGCTGGCAAACCAAGACTTAACCTACCTAAACACTGCAAAAAATCAAACATTTACAGAGTGATATTAAATTTTACTGAAATGTGCAGAACATCACATTCTGTTTAGTCATTAAGTTTGTTAGTACACATCACTGCTTTCTTAGGCTGTTAGTTCCTAAAAGGCTCTAAAGAAAGAAAATAAACAAACCCTTTTGTTGCATTCTAACATGTTTTTGAGTTGTTTACATCTATCTTCATATAAATCAATTTCTGTCACTCAAATCAGCCCCTGATATGTTTTTATTACTGCCATGATACCACTTACTGCCATAACAGATCCATGCATTTATCTCTCTCTCTTTGCTACACCCATTTTCTTAATCTCATGTATGATAGATAACATGCTGAGTCTTCACCATCACCTTCCCTTATCTGTAGGAGCGGATTGAGTACTCCAAGACATTCCAGGGGAAGTATTTTAACTTTCTCGGCTACTTCTTCTCCATCTACTGTGTTTGGAAAATCTTCATGGTGAGGACATCCACAGTTGTATTCTGCCGTTGTGTCTTTGATTCCAACTCACACAAATATCCAGTTTTATCATATCAGTCATATCAAGTTTATTTTTTTCCCCCTGATGTTAAAGATGCAGGAAACTCTTTTTCTGTCCTTCTTAGGCCACCATAAACATTGTGTTTGATCGAGTTGGAAAGACAGACCCGGTCACAAGGGGCATTGAAATTACAGTGAACTACTTGGGTATCCAGTTTGATGTGAGACACACACACACACACACACACACACACACACACGCACACACACACACACACACACACACACACACACACACACACCTGCAAAAACAGTCACATGTCACACTGCGTAGCCTCCTGTAAAGATAATTACAGGCACCATTATCATCTCGTTGTGCTGCCTTCTTTGCAGCGAGCATGATAACAATCATATGTGCGAATTTTCATAGCTCACACCCAGAGCGTGCCATTACATTAAAATTAGATGAATAAATGATTCATGTATATAGAAAACTGTCCCTCTCTGTTTGTTCTCTGGAAAACTGCTTTATGTTTAATCTTTTTTGGACTGTTTCAGGTTAAATTTTGGTCCCAGCACATCTCTTTCATCCTGGTGGGAATAATAATTGTGACATCTATTCGTGGCTTACTCATCACCCTCACTAAGGTAGAGCCATAGTAGGAGGATTCATGTCAAAGTTGAGAATGATGTTGTGGTTAATACTTTGACAGTTCATCCGTTAGTCCAGATTTAATACTTTTCACTTGTGTCTTTAGTTCTTCTATGCCATTTCAAGCAGCAAGTCGTCCAATGTCATTGTGCTGGTCCTCGCTCAGATCATGGTGAGTGCATCATCTCACTTTGATAAATGGAGCATAGCCAGCAGGAGATAAACTGAAACCTCTTTGTCTTTCAGGGGATGTATTTTGTTTCATCCGTGTTGCTGATGCGTATGAGCATGCCGCTGGAGTACCGCTCCATCGTTACAGAGGTCCTGGGAGAGCTGCAGTTTAACTTCTACCACCGATGGTTTGATGTCATCTTCCTGGTCAGCGCCCTGTCCAGCATCCTCTTTCTTTATCTCGCCCACAAGCAGGCACCAGAGAAACACATGGCCCTCTGATCCCCTTCGTGTGGACTCCTGGAAGGACTTTGAATCTGGTATTTTGATACAACTAGAGGGATTTTTTTAAGTGTTGGAATAATATTTGTCTGGACTGCCTGTTCCTGAATCAGGAATGGCTGATTGTTAGATGCTGGTGATGGGAACTATTGGAGCAAAGGATGCATAAACCTTTAAAAAACAGTTCCTTATTTACAATATTACAGAACAAAATTGATTACCTTGATTTGATTCACAAATAAAACAAATACATCATAGTTCTTTGTGCTCTTAAAGTTTTCACACTTTGGCCTAAAAGATATTTACCCCTGCAGTCTAAACACACTGGAACTGTACTCTTGGCACATCCCCCTCTCAATTCTGCAGGGGTAAAGACTATACGAGGCAAAGATCAACATGTTCTGTTCTTCAACTCTTATAAGAAAAAGTGTGATGAACAAATAAAAAAAGAAAGCTGAATTCAGATAGTTCGTGTTTGTTTATTTGTGTTCATGAAAATTGTCATTCGTTTCAGAGATAAGAACAAAAGTTGAATTTTCAGAACATTAAATAAAAGCAGCAAATCTCTCACACAGAAAGAATTCATTGAAGACCTCAGTGTTGACTGACTGAATTTTCATTGTTCATGTTACATGTCGACTCAAAGATGATCAAAGCCAGGTTTAAAAAGGTATTTTCTCGGTCATTGTACACATCTGTGACAACATCTGCTATTTGCATCAGAGGATTGCTCTTTGTTCTCATCTTTTATACATGACACCATTCAACAGTGATTGCGGTATAACACTGAGCTCCACAAGTCATTACTGTCCATGTTTTCCTTCCGCCTTCCTGCCTCCTGTGATATAAATTGGCTGTGTAGAGAGCTAATTGTTAAATAGATTGATTAACATAAGGTGGAATCAGGAATGGAGTCACTCAGCGGCTTCTTAGAATCTTTCATCAACACTGGCTTCTGATGACGATGACCGTGTAGACGGGGTCTAGAGGAGAGAAAAAAGGAGACAAAAATCAGACACTGAGTGTTAATGTGTCAGTTTTTGGTAGATGAATAATGAGGACTTTATGTTGGTGCTGGAGCAACATTAAGGGATCGCCCAAGGTTAGGGTTAGGGTTTGACAGTCTTGTTGTTAGTTTGTAGCACTAATCAAACAACTAACATGAGTTGGTATAGCCTACCCATTTTTTTTGTCTTAGGCTGTTAGTATAGGTGAAGAGTAGCATTTCTTACTAAAGCTTCTTTAAGTAAAAAGCTTTAAAGCTTCTTTACTCTTATAGCTTTTTTTTCTTACTACTTTTCTGTACTTTTACACTAGTTCTTTTTGTTGTTAAAAGTATTGTACTTAATTTCACCTTAAAATGAAGTTGAGGCAAAAAAGACACAATCTCTTTATCGTGTGCTTGACTGACAGCTGATTGGTTGCTGTAAATCACCTGACAGCCAAAAGAATTTAAAGCTCCAGTTGTTGTTTTTTTGACATTTATGAAATGGACTGCAATGCATATAAATGTCTTTTTATGATATAAAAAAACAAACAAGATCATCTGGGGCAAGATTGACAAATTGCGTGCTGTAATTTTTAATGCCTGGTAGTGATTTGAGGGGTTGGGTAACAGCCTTAGGTATGAGTTGCACTAAAGCTGGTAACAGATATGACTGAAGGATGAAATGTTTTGTCTCAAGTCACTTCACAAACAGGAAGTATCTTACAGAAACTTTAAGTACGTCAGAGAAGAAGACGCATATTGCTTAAAATACAATAAAAAATAAAAATACATCAAGATTTCGCCTTCCCACTTCAATAACTCATCAGTGGAATATTGTTTTTGTAAATCTGGCTCCTCTATTCTACCATGGGACAGTAGACGTAAGCTACAAATGAGTCTCTAGATGGCTGACAAACTAAGTTACACATTGTTAACATTGACAGAACCTCACAGCGTCAGGCCTTGTTTTCTGTGACTATATTCAAAGTCACCACTCACCCTCTCTCTGGTTGGTTGAGGGGGGGTTTCAGGTCTGACCACCTCATATTGCTCCTCTCTGCTGGTCTCTGGAGTGTGTGCCTTATGGACCTGAGCGTATAACGTCTCGCCAAGGAGGAGGCGTGTGATGGCCACTCCTTTGGCTGTGAGTTGGTCGTACACGCTCTTCTTGGCCACCAGCATCTCCAAGGAGTCTCCACCTCTGCGGATCAGCTGCACCACCTCATCATGGCTGCTGTTCTCCACATTTACTCCGTTTACCTCCACCACAATGTCGTCATCCTCCAGACCCGCCCTGTCTGCCACTCCACCCTTCACCACCTGAAAAACGGTGTGTTTTAGCATCTGGATTTGAATCCTGCTGTGATGCTGTTACTCTCTCATTTGTCTTACCTCTCTGAGGTATTGTCCTCTCACACCCTGTATCCCGTTCAGATGAAAGCCATAGCCTGCAGCTTCCTTCTCCATCCTACACAGCTTTGGCTTCAGAATCTCTGGGTCCTGAACAGGTGTGGGTGTTCGGACCTGAGCGGGTGAACTCATGGCCTCTGTGTAACTGGGTGGCGAGTTGGTATCATCCATTTGTTCCCAGAAAAGCATTGGGCTCACTCCTGCCTGTGAGAGATACAAGAAGGTGTTACCTAGATTGTCTGGAGTCCATAAAAAAAGTGAACACAGTGGCCAAGTACTCACCAGCTTGCACATTTGGTCAGTTTCTTTTTCCACAACAAATAGACAGCAGCTGTTGCCACTTTGCTTGAATCTGGACACCACTTGCTCATGATCGCAGCTTTCCACCTCCTTGCCATTAATGGCCACGAGTCTGTCCATTTCCTGCAGTCCTGCTGCCTCTGCTGGGCTGTGTCTGTCTATGTCCTTGATGTAGTGCTCTGCATTAGGTACACGAGCACAGAGTAAAAACAAGGCCTAAAACTCAATCATCAAAACACTAGAAAAGAGATACTGATTACAGTCTCACCTTTTTGGTTGGATTCTTTCCTGAGTATGAAGCCGTAGCCGTCAGGTCCTCTGGTTATGTTGATTTTACGTGGCTTATGAGGGAGATACCTGGTTGTGGCTAACCATGCTCCTATCTTTATACGTTTGTTGCGGTAGTACGTATCCGTTTCCTCATCAACCAGGAGGAGCATGACACAGTTGCCGACGAGCTTGAGCTTTTCCACCACTTGTTCGTGTTTCAGGTTGTCCACATCAGCCCCGTTCACCTCCAGAAGACGGTCGTTGACTCTGACCCCGGCATCGAAAGCTGCACCTCCCGGGATCACCTCTGTCATGAAGAAACCCCTCTCATCTGAAATAACAGAAGATTCATAAGTAGTAAAAATGTTTCAGATGAGAGCCTGCAGACAGCTCTCTTCAGTCTGATAACAGTGGAAGTTTCACACTCTTGGTAAAATACTCACTCGCTCTTTCTAGAGCACCTATGTGAAAAGGATCAGAACTTTGTTGCCATTTGATCCATTTAACAGCTTTTTATCCTCCTTCAATGCGGTCCTTACACAGCATGATCACTTGACTGTACAGTTTTCATCTGAAAACCCATCAGCAATTGTCTGAAGAAATCTGAGTATCTGGTTAACCATTGACAGCCATCATGACCTGCTCTTCCTCTAACTGCATATGTGTTGGTTATTGATCGCTGTCTACCTAGAAACATAAGGTGTGGGAACAATTGAGGGTTGATGAGCAACGTTTTGGTGTGCTGTTTTCTGAAAGAGACAGTACACACCGGGCAGTTACCTCTAACCTGGCTTTGCAAAGTAAAGCGAACAGGCAGTGCCAAAAATTGCAGTTCCGTGAGTGTCCACTGGAGGCTGGCTCTAAAGCCCAGAAATTCTCATAAACATCTGTGTTGGTCAGTCAACTTTCAAGCAGTAATAAACTAGTATGACCATACGTCTTCTTTTACCCGGACATGTCCACTTTTTGGGGGGCTGTCCTGGCTGCCAGGCCTTGTCCGGCTTTGTCCGGAGAAGTTTATAAAATCTTTCAAATGTCTACAGTTTTGTGCAGAAGTTTCCAGTTTGTGTCTCGTGGGCTTACTGAGTTAGAAGCACATAAAAGACACTCGATCCGACCCAAAAAACTCTCGTAGTCGTATCCTCTTTCTGGGAAGTCAGAATATGGCCACCCTTAATAAACATTCTTACAGCCTGGTATCAAAATAGTTGTGGTAGGGGAATGAGTCCCATTTATACCCCAATTTTAACTCTCACAATCCAGGTTATCAATATGTAGTCTGCTGCACAACACCCCTGTATGATGTATATGAAATTGTATTTAAGGGGTGCATCCTGGCTAAGTTATCTCTGATAAATTAGTAGCTGTTTGCAAAGTGTGCAAAAGTGAAGCTAAATACGCCAGTAACTTGACCAGTCTTTTTGTCACTTGTTATAGTGGTATGGTATTAGCACTGAACGCAAAGGTGCCAGCCAAAATGCACACCTGGACTGTGCGAAAAGATGGGGACAGATGTGAAACTGAAAGGAGTAAGATCAGATCTGTGCTATCTAACTGCAGCACAGATTTTCGGCATTTTCATGTGTTACTGTGTTTTCTGGTCAAAAAGTATCAATGCATCAATTTCTGGTCATTTACTCTTTACCTTTCATACTGTTCCAGATGAACCAATATTGACCATGTACAGCAGTACATTTACAGTTATCATTTTATCATTGCACCCCCTCAAGTTTAACCAGTTTGAGGTTTGAGTCAGCATTTCCAATATGGGCTTCAAAATTCTGCTTAAGAAACCAATGAGTGACCTCTGCACTCTGTCCCACTTTTATACAGAAGAGCTGGTTTCAACTAGCAAACAAATTACATAACCTTTACAATCTTAAAAGGCCTGTGTTTAAGACTTGGATGCTTACCTGTTCATGTCTTTGTCATAAATGCTGTTGCGTAATCAGTAAAAGTGCAATCCATTGAGTCAGCAGTATTAAATGTTAGGAGTAACTCAAGACCAGGCTGTAAAGCACGGTTTCATTGCTCTCCCTGATTAAGAGTTTCAAATCTGGGGTGTGGTGTGGTTGGATGTTATCAGTACTTGAAACTACACCCAATACTGATGACACCACGTTTAGCGGTACACCTGAACCTCAGAGCACCAAGGTTATAAACTGAACAACTAAAGGTAAGTGGAAGTTAAAGCAAACCTGAGATCAGTGAGGGTGTCAGCTCACCTGTGACTGAGCGGAGAGAAAACCCAAAGCCTGAGCTGGACTTGGTGACGTAGCAGAGTTTGGGTTTGGGTTTTTCAGTGTGGGTGGAGACACCGTTGGAAACTGGTGCGCCCTTAGGATCAGACAGGTTCACTCCCTTTGCTTTGGCTTTCTTGTAAGAGGCTTCATCCAGGATCTGAAACGTCACTGATGATCCACTGTTTTTCACTAGGTCCACCACCTGTTCCCAGGAAACATACAGCAATATGATATTCTTAAAAGGATGCCTGACAAGTTATTCCCAATTTTTGACACCAACAATACAGCCAAGCTACAAATATATGAAAAGAACTGATAAAAATACTGCCACTCTGACTTGGCTGCTGTGAAGGTCAGGACCTCAGTGGCTTGATCTTTATTTTTTCCATCACGACTACCACTTGACAAGAAATCCATATTTTCAAAACTCTTTTAATGATTTATCTGAAAAGACTCTCCATTCTAACATTTCAAACTTTCCTCACCATTCTTGTACAGGAGGCTTAAATGTTTTAGCAATAGTAGACTAGTACTGACAAGATAACACTAGGAGGAAATTCATGAGTACCTTCTTTCTGTTTTCATTGGTGCTAATTTCTAAGTGTTAAAACTAAGTTTCATAATTTTGTATTGTTTCACTTTGTTTATTGTGGTTCTGATCAAATATGCATCATTAACAGTAGGTAAACTGGTTGTTATAAACTAATATGTTTAATTTTTTAAGGTTTCCTCTAACCCTCTTTTTTAACATTTCATCTTGTTCATATCAGCTCCACTGACTGAATTTGTGCGCTTTTTGCGCTCTACATCCCACACACCTCTGAGTGAGACATTCCATCAACATATGCTCCATTCACTCTCAGGATGCGGTCTCCGTCCTTCATACCAGCCAGCTCAGCAGGACCTCCCATTTCCAGGCAGCGGATGAGGTGACCCTCCTCCCCATGCTCCACTCTCAGGTAGAAGCCAAAAGTTTGACCCGGCTTCTTGGTCAGAGAAATCACTCTTGGCTTGTACCCGCCCATGTCCTGTAAGAGAGTGGTTAGAAACTGATTTAGAAACAACTTCAAAGTATCAGTAATAATATTTACAGAGAAAATGATCTTCACATGTATGTTAAAGAGTGTTGTCCTATGTCACCTCTGTTTCACTACCATCATTAAAACATTTACTGACAGGTAACCCTGGACACGGTCATAAAAGTGCTGATAAACTCAGATGAAGAGTTAATCTTCCTCACAGGCTCTAGTATCAGTTAATGGTTAATTGAGGCACATTAACTGAGATGACAGCTTCCCCTTTACGACTGCCTGGACTTTAACTTAGGGAACGCCTTTTACAGTAATCCTCTCATTGGTATGTTATCCCTCTCTGGTGTTGGTATATGGACTCAGAACAAGTAATATTTTGGAGCCTGTTGATTGTTTTGCTGATTGATGTAGTTCCACCAGAGGTTTTTGACTTCCTACAATGTTTTCTTGAACGTCATGTGAAAAAAGGTTTTTTGGTCGTACAAAACAACTTCCCAGAAACACAAACACAGTGATCATTTATTATCCCTCCCCGCTCTGATCTGACATTTACAGATGCTAAATCTGTGTGAGGTGTTCAAGCCTAATACAGTGTCTATGACAAAACCATAAAACTACACACTCATGATATGAAACTTGGCTAAACTGTGGAAACACCACAAGGAACTAATAGACCTGGGATACGATTTAAAAGACACTTTCTCTATAAAAACTCACCACAGTTTTTGCCACCACAAGATTTTCGAGCAATTTAGACAAAACAACCCACTGCACCTTTAACTACTGGGCTCACTCATGTTGTAAAATACTAAATATTTTCCTCAATTTTGAAAGCTACCAACAAGTTGAACTCATACCATCCCCTAGATGTATGTTTACTTGTTACAACCTTCCCACTGTAATTGACGTGTTCAACCAAAATTAAGCTTTTAGGATGCTTAAAAGGCACAAATGCACAGTCACTTTACCAAAGTATAAAGGACTAGGAATAAGTTTTTTTTCCCATTTTTATCTGGTTGGCAAACCTTCATAAATTCACAACCCTAACTTCTATATGAAAAATTTGTTATTTTTTGTCTCCATCAATGATTATAGAAGAGTTATGAAAAAGTTTTAACAGCATAATTAAGTATTTTGAAATTAGCTCACCAGCTCTTCTCTGCTCGGTGTCCTCGGCCACAGCAGGAGCTCACCTGTCTCTGTTTGCTGTTATCTAGTGTATCTTCAACCTGCTCTCCTCCTCCTCCTTGTCGTCCTCCTCCTCTTTCTCTCCCTGCGGGGACTTTGACAGGCCAAAGGTGGGCCTAAAGGCTGAGTTATTTAACAGCGTCTCGTGTCAGGAATGTCTCGGGAGGCCGTGGCCCCATGTATTCTGTCCTCAGAGGGAGGGGAGGAGAAAACATAAAGTAGTCATCTGTTTAGTGGTCAAAGGTACAGGTGGAAATCAGCAATGTCAGGAAATATCAGGGTGAGTACATCACAGTCAGCAATGCATCTGGGAGAGTGTATTACATCCATTACTTGCATAAATTCAACTGATATGAACCCAATTGGACTTGAAGTTTTGACCAAAGAGGATGATGAAAAATTTATACACTATATTTTGCAAATTTAAAATGTAAAAAAAGGATGTTTACATATTCCCTTCTGTTAACTTGTCACTCAAAACTGCCCACAGGTGTGACTCTGTGTGTGCATGTGTTTGTTCGTCTCTGTAAGTCTGCCCTGTGATAGACGGGCGTCTTGTCCAGGTGGGCTCCAGCAACCCCCAGATTCTGAACAGAATAGAGGTAAAGTTAATTGCTTGATGGACTTGTTTATTTGCACTTGTATGTCCTCACAGGTTAAAGTTTGACCTCCGCCTTTCTCATAAAACACTTTTTTTGTGAACAGGATCTAAAAGCCAACCTTGAAAAGCTCTTCTTGTGAGGAAACAGAGATTTACTATACATTTGTCTAAAACTGTAGCATCAGGTTCACAAAGTTTAGGATAATCTGGGGTGTAGTCTAGTTTGGCAGGTTTATTGTTACCATATGAGATGGTCCTCCGGCCGTAAAAGGCTCATTATGAAGCTGCTATCCTTCGCATAGGACAAAGGTGACAAAAACTCCACCGATGCCAAGAAAAACAAATCTGCAAACTTTCCAAGTTAATTCATTACTGTGTTAAATTATGCCGAAAACACGAGGGTTCTGATGTTATCTTTGTGACGGCCTGCAAAGAAAGTGACGTATCCAGACAGGGCAAACCACTGACTGTAATTTTAACAGAGAAGAAACACTGTATGGTCCAGTAATTATCAACTGTTCTTTCTCTTACCTCTCTAACCAAAGTATAATTTCAAAATCAAGTAGACAGAACCAAAACGGAGACACTCCTGCAGTAAACTGAGGGGGCATATGAACACTAATGAAAAACCTTAAACCTCACTTGAGTTGCTTTGTCAAACATGTTGCTGCCATCTACTGTTGTCACAAAAACCTTTTGGACATCAGTCCAGCCGGACTTGGAGAAAACTAACATGCTTGAATGGTGCTGTTTGTTTAGTTTTTATACAATCAATGCAAAATAAACACATCATTATTACTGTTATTAATGAAATATGTGTCATATAAAGACTGACCATGCCATGATTTTGGCATGTTAACATTTTGTACGATAGTAAATATTTAATACTGTTCTTCTAGAGTCTACAGAAACGTGCAGATGGCCCTGTACTCATGCAGCAGAGAGCTGGGATTAAAACTTAAAAGGAACTCCCCTCACTGAAAATTTGTCTGCAGCACTCCACCTGTAAAGCTGCCAAATGTAGTTGTAAAGACAACACTGACATATTATCTGTATTTAAATGTTTTCTTTTGGTTTACATTTGCAGCAGTGACTGATCAATATTCACTCAGTCATGTTTTAAGCCCCCTGCTGAGTAAAACAAGTCTTTCTGACTCCCTTATAGCTCTGTTTCTCTCAAGTCCACATTTTATTTCATTTCAATCAGGAGTGACAAAATTATGACAACACTGTGGACATACTCTGCTGACTCTTTGGGACCAGAGTTGATCATACGAACATCAGGATGTATTTGTATTTTTAACTGCTTTACTAAAATTATGCTATGGTGGAAAATGGCATGGCATCCTGAGACCAACTGTAACAGTCACTTTGTGGCTGGCTAAACAGTCAGTTACAGCTTGATGAGAAGCTTCATAAAGGTTCTATGAGAGGCAAATTTGGGTAATGTGTCTTTGCACTTCAATAGTTATGAGTTTTTTCGAGCTTCTCACATTGGTTTTAATCAATTTTAATCGAGAAAGTGCACCATTAAGCTGAATGATGGTGCAGAACTATCTGCTGAAATAACCTACAAACAAAGATGTAAATATTTATCCAAAATCTTCTTTTGTATTTTTAAATATTTGCTATTGTATACGCATTATTTTACGTAATCTTTTACTCTCTTTTTTCTTTAAATTAACTAAAAGCCTACTATCTCGGGACAGGAGTTGGAAACTAGCAATAGCTATCCGTTTTAACATGCAGATGATGTGCTATGTAATTAAGATTGTCTCTGTCAATTAAACTGCATAAATAAATATATAATTTTGTTATGGGGAAATGTAAGAATCAGAGCAAAAGTTCAGCTCCATGTCTTTGGTTTCATCCAGACTCTGACATCCAGGTGTTTGTGTTTCCGGAAAAGTACGTCCTCTGACTGACGATGGTTTGTTGCTTTTGGCTTATGCAAACACACATACTCACACCTACAGCCCCTGCGGACGCACAAACACACTACCAGGCTGTGACCATAGTTGAACAATCGATCCCTGGGGGTCCAGGAGCCACAGGCGGAAGAGATATGAAGCGAATGGAAAGAGACAGAAATTCTCTTCAGCACTGATGCATTCACTATCCATTAACCTCTGTCATCACCTTGTGTTTCCTGGAGAGGAAAAAAAAGAGATTTTCAGTGACACTGCTTCCGGAGATTTATGAATTCTCCACGCTCACAGTTTGGTTGTCTTTTTCACCTGAAAAGTAATTGTGCTGTTTTGTTTAAAGCACAAAGCATCGATGTGTACTGATGCACCAGAAGATATAGACATGAGCTGTAAAGTGCTAGCACAAGAGTGATTATCTCCAGCCGGTCTTCATCAGCAGTGGAGCATCGGTAATCAACATGTCATACCAGTTTGTGATTACCGCACTCAACTGGGAGCACTAGTCTCCTCTTCATCATGATTGGCATCTTCACATGGCTTGTTTATCTGGGCCAAGTGTCTCGGCACATGACCCACCCGAGCCAGCTAATGAGACCAGGGGAAAGATTAAAGGTTGGCAACATGAAAAGATGTCCCCCTCCCCCCCTTTATTTTCCTGTGGGTGTCATTTGAGCATTCAGAGGCCAGCAGACAGTCCCTGTTCTCCACAGCAATAACACGCTTGACAAAGCAGCAACATTTCAACCCCTCAAACATACAGGTGACACAGAGGAGACAGGCTGGAGGAAAAACAAGCATGTTACCTGTCCAGACTCCAGGCACACTTTACATCCAGGGTTCATCATCAGGGCCAGTACAGTTCAGTGCTGCAGCAGCTGTGGGTGCAAAAAAAGAGTCTTCCACTTTAACAAAACTCAGAGAATCTACTCTAATCTTAAAAACTGTTCAGACTAGAAGGCCTTCTGAAAATGCTCTAGATTTATACATTAGTTTTTAACCGTTTATATCTGTATTGAAAAGACAGGATGGTGCATGGGGCAGGAAACTGTGAGAGTGGGGAAAGATGTAACAAAGGGCCAGAATGCCTGCATAACAGACTTCAGACTAGGTCAAACCAGCGTCCTATTAATGCTCCAGTTCTGTTGTTTGGTTTGAGTGTTTTATTCATAATCTGTATATGAAAAGACACAATTCTATCTGATTAAAATGTGAATTTGACAAAGTTATGTCCTGATAGATTGATAGATAGAAAGATACTAAAATAATTGTGTGTGGAAGAACTCATCACTCTAGTTTCTGCTCATAAAACACTGAGGAGATCTGTAACTGCTGACATTTCTTTGGCTTGAGCAAGAGCACAATGATTGCATGGATGATTTTATTTGATTTTATTTACAAAATTAAGATTAAAAATAGACTTATCTGGAAAATCTACATTTTTGTAAACACAAACTATATCCAAATGACAAATTTTAACCACAGCCTGAGTGTCGGCAGCATGGTGAAAACACAAAAATACAAACAAAGTAGAGATTGTAATAGTTAAGGTTGGCGCTTATATGATGATAAGCCATTGATAAAAGGGAAGATGACCACTAAAAATGAAGGTTTTAACTCAAAGCTGCAATTAAAAAACACACTGATCAGGTGGAGGTTCACTCCTAAGCCACACGAGGGCGCTGGTATGCATGTAAAACCTGTTCATAGGCTCTAACAGTCCACTCTAAAGGCATAAGGTCACCCATCCTTCCTCCAGCTTTACATTAGCTCCTACTCGATGATAGCAGCCACCAACCTCATCTGTTACTGGACTGAGGGGCGGGGTATGTACTGTGCACAGGTTGCTAGGCTGACACCAAGAGACAGACAACTATTCACGCTCAACAATTAACATTAACCTACAAGGCAGTGGAATACCAGGGCACTGAAATCTCGACCTTCAAACCTCTCTACTTTGCCCACAGTTTTACAACAGGATCACAAGCAAATCCTTTCGGCCCTGTCACTATGAAATAGACGGTCGAATGGTCTGGATAGAACCACTAGATTAACATGTTACAATGTATTAAAAAAAGAAGGCATGAAAGCTTAATGTGCTGTCATCACAAGGCTAATTATCTTCCATTTCCATTCATCTCAATGCCATCCTTTTCTTTTCCTCTCTTTATCTTCTTTGCTAAATTAATCTGATTTTCTCTAAATCTCATGTAAACCAACAAGGCCTTAAAGACACTTAGGTTAAAATGATTACATAAAACGACTTTTCATTTTGTTTTTCAACTTGCAAAAATACTCTAAGAGCCGCGTGGATTGTGTTTTTTCGTCTATAACACGAGGTACCTCCGTGCGTAAAAGCAAGAATTTCAGCATGGATTTGCTCGAACTGAGAGTCCAAAAAGACCGTAATCTGACGTCCAACACCTCACAAAGTTGCACACAAGCGTGCACACTCATTCACGCAACGCCCCAACCCTGAATGACATTACCCCCTCACTTCCCTCTGCGCTCAGTCGTTCCTTCCACGCGCTTCAGTAGACGGAGCGCAGCAGTGCGCCACGCTCCCCTCTACTCGTGCGCACTCATCCCTGATTACCGCGTGTGATGCCAAGTAGGACACATCCTCTGTATAGAGAAGGAAATAATCAAGTCCAGTGTTTTTTCGCGGGGGTTTAGAAGTTGGAAAGTGATAGCTTCCGACTCATGTGTGCAGCGTGCAGGTTTTCATTCACTTTAGATGACCAGAAGAGGACTGATAGAAGATCTCAGTCGAACTTTTTGCGTGCGTTGAACGATTTTTTAATTGAAAATCATGGAGCTCTGTGTGCGAAACGAGACGTTTGCATCCCCGGCGTGCGTCGCGGCACAAACGGATGCGCAGCAGTCTGGAGCCGGTAACGGGAGTTTGGAGACCTCCAACATCACCTGCTGCAACGTCTCCTCAATCCTCATACCTCCGCACGTACGGCAGAGAGGTGAGCGGAAAGAGATAACTGAACTTTTGTCACCTGGAGTTTTTCTTTTAAAGCTGAATTGTTACCATGGTTTGTGATAATTGTCTGTGTGCCTGAATTTTCTTTTAAAGGGAGTTTGCAAGTTAATGTGGTTAGTCTGTCATCCCCAGCTTGTGATGTCAAGAAGGCAACACTTAACGGTGCTACAGAAAAAAAGAAAAAGGGAATATATTTTACATTTCTTTTACAATGGCCTCAGCTTTTATTTTCAAATGTTTGAAAAGTAAATCAAGATGATCTGGGATTTGGCTTTGCTGCCCACACACACACACACACACAAGTGATTCATAACTGTATATGTTTTGTTAGAAATTTAAATTCATCAGTAAAGGCATTTGTAGGCTATGATGCTCCTTAAGCTGTCTGAATTCTTTTTGCACCTTTACCATCCCAGAATTCATCAGTACACCGGGGACAGGATGTGATTTTTCACACTTGAGGTGCATTTTTGTCTCACTCATTTATAAAGGAACTTAAAGGAGAAACTGTGAATGACGGATCAGAGAGTCAAGAGTGAGTGCGTGTGTCATAGTCAGGAATCAAATACCGGCAACACAGGGGATTTATTCATAAAAAGGTCAGATGACTTCTGTGCCACATGTTCATGCTGCTGCTTCCTGCTGTTTTTCATACTTAACATCCATTTTTATCCTCCTCTTCCTCTCCCTCCACATTGGCATATCTGTGTGTCACAGATGACGCAGTCTGTCAAAGCCTTATGAGGCAAATGGCTGATTCTGTACTACTATAAAAATATAACTGATTTAACTCGTTCTTGCCAACGAATAAGAACATCAAAGTGCGTCATCACTCTCCTCTCTTCTTGCTACTTTACCAATCAACACGTGCTATTTTCAACCACCTCCACTTCGCTGTTTGTCAGTGTTTCTGCTTGTGGATGAGATTTTTTCAAGAGTGGGCTTCAGACGCTCAAGATTGAACATCTTCATGCTGTTGAAGGTAAAAGTTGGTCATTAAAAGTGAGATGTATTTTGCTTTTAACCCTTGATAAAAACCTGGATTTTTTTCTTGGATGGTCTCACTCACCTCTCAGGTATATTGACTGTTTTGCGCCCTCACAGATTATCACTCTCTGTAATTTGGCTCCTAAAATGTGTTCTTTCTCTCAATTACACAACAACGCAGGCAGCTTGCAAATTGGTAAAAGAGGGTGTGTGACCCTGTACAGCTGCTGTCAGCCTCATTACTCACTCCATCACTCATGAGTTTGATTACTTCTTCTCCACCACGCTTTCTTTTTCCTGTCTTCTTCTTTCCCTGTCAATCACTGCAATATTAATGTTTCGGGATCAAGCTGAAGCGTGTCACCTGTCAGACTCATGAGTTATTGCAGCATTTTTTTTCTCCAGATTGGTGTCAAACCAGGTGCCGTAGACCACTTTACTGTTTATTCTTGCCTCCACTTTGAATCAGTTTTTTCTTTATGAATCAGTAAAAAAACATTCAACTTCACTCTAATCTACAGGTTTAGTTATGAGCTGTGAGAAGTGACTGAAAAAATAAAATACAGGTGCCTGAAATTACTTTCCTGAGAGGAGTGGCTTGGCTTAGCCACCTAGAGGGGATCTAGAGCTTGAAGAGTCTAAAGAAATCTTAAGGTGGTCCGGGAAACTGCTAAGGGTGCCTCCTGAGTGCCTATCTTAAGAGATTTTCCAGACAAGTTCAACAGGGAGGACAGACCCGGAAAGTGGTGGAGGAGTTACAGTATGTATCCTGTCGAGCATTGGGATGCCTCTTAATCTCCGAGGATGAGCTGGAAAGTGTTGATTAGGGAATGGATGTTAATAGATGGATGCCATTTGTGGTCAAGTGGAAACTAATGTCTATTAACCTAATCAAGCCAAAATGACCTCATGTTGAAGTCTGACCAACAGATGTCTCTCATGTTTAAGTCCTGTTGAACTGTTGGTTCTGGGCACAAATATGACCTGGTTAGTTCTGGGGATATAGCAACAAAATGTGGTTTAAAAAAGAGATTAGTTTAGGTTTAAAATACCATTTTATCATTAACATTAATTATTAATTATATTGTTAAGCAAAAGAAGTGAGCCTGTTGTCAGAAAAATTAAAATAAGCAGGTATCTACTGCTGTCACATGTGCTGCTTTGCTTACCTGTCTATCATTTCTGACTCTCTCTCTGAAGTGACAGCCTCCCAAGCAACCAAACCAATCTCCAGTCTTGAAAAATGAATCTCATGTGTAAAAAAACCTCTAGTTTTCAATTAAAGCTGATCCCATCAAGGAAACCCCATTAAGGGTTCATATTAACTTGCCCCTGTTTACATCAAAATTAAACATGTTTATTGCCCAAGGCTTCAGTTTTGTTGGCTCTTTTTCTCAGCTGTGCAGAAATTCACATTTGTATTAAACATCATTTTTGATTAGATTGAGACGAAGGCATGTGCGTAAGTCGATAGTGGTGGCTGATTCGACTGACAGGTGGCCGTGTTGTAGCTGTTTTGCTGGTGGTGGACTATCGCCTTGACTCCATCTCTTTGCTTGTTAGACCAAAATAGTTGGAACATTTCCAATGTGACAGTGACCATCTTTGGTCTTCCCAATGCCAGACATCACCAAAACTACTCCATGTTTCCTTCAATCTAGGTTTGCACCATAAAACATGTTCTAATGATAACTTTTACTAAAGATGTTCTGAACTGACTGATTTACAAGTTATTTCAATGCAAGTTCAAATTCTTAATAACCCATCAGTCTGAAGGTAAAAAAACAATCATAACAGTTAAAATTGAGTACAAATGAATCAACACAGTTAAACACAGGATAATAGAGTCTAACGATGCCAAGTGATAAGTGCGGCAAACAAGAACAGAACTAGCACCACCAGTCAAATTGCAATGCTGCACATGATGCCATCTTACATCTGTGCTTGTTACATCAGGGTGGTAGATCATTAAAGCAGTGGGCAATAAACTGGAGCTACAGCCTCAGATAGTAGTGGGCAACTGAACAACAGACTTAACATATGACCGACATGATGTAACCCTGCAGAGCAGATGGATTGGCCAGATTCCATGTCTGTCATTGGGCAAATCCATTTTGTAAAGCCTCCAGTTGATACGATTGTTCCCGGTCAGAGAGTGACAGAACCAACGGGAATCATTTGAGGAGAAAGAGGCAGAGACTATGGGTATGTTGAGTATTAGTGGTAAGAAGCAGCTGAAAGCCTGTAATAAAACAGTGGCCCGTGAAGAGTGTAGAGTAAATACAGCTGAAGTTCTGATATTATCAGAATTTTGGAAATATTTTCTCAACAGTACAGTTATAACTTTGTGGGGATTGTTGTTTTTGGAGTCACGCCTCATACAAATAATCAGCAAAGCAACCATAAAGTCATATAATTTAATGAACTTAGACCACCACCCAGTAGAGGGTGGGGTTTGAGATTAAGTAAAAAAGAGAAATAAAAAATAACCTTTGATATAAAATATAAGTGGTATGAGGTCTTAGAATATTTGTCTATAGCTGCGTTTACATGGGCACAAATAATCTGAATAAAGGCCCGATCGGAATAAAAATGCATCATGTAAACATTTCGATCAAAAGATTCCGATTAAATTTGGCTCAATTGGAAAGAAATTGTATTCTGAAGAAGAGGGGTGGTTCATGCCGGTTACTATTCTGAAACATGTCCACGTAAACACTTTTTTCTGGACGTGACTTTCTGCTGGAGCAAAACTAACCTGACTGAGCATGTCCATTCTAACTGGAGGGAAAAATCCTGAATTGGGTGAAGTGAGCCACTACCGCGTTTGTTGGTTTGTTGACAGCACTGGTGTAAATGCAACTCTTCTTCTGCAAAGGTTTTGGCGTTTCTAATCTGAATAAGGCTTGGTGCACGTATACACACGTCATGATCTGATTATTTGATTTTGCGCACATACAAACAGTGGATTCAGATTGTCTGAACCCTTGAATTTTTAATAGGATGAAAAAAAATTTTGCACATGTGAACATGGCTTATGTCTCTATAGAAGCTTTTGTTATATGATTGGATGACAAAGAGCAGGCTTCCTGATTGTTAGGTGTCAAAAAATGTTCTACCCTGAAATCTTTTGGGAATATGTCCCGTTTATATAACAATGGCACACTTGTTGACTGGATTTTTTTGCAGGAGAGTATAAAAGTAAATAAATGAATCCCTAAACATATCACTGCTTTGTAAAACTGGAACTGTTCCACATCTGATGTGGCCGCTAAACATGAGCAACATGACTCAAAGCATGGGATAAAAAAACTCCCCCGACATAGCTGGAGAGGAACATCCCTCAACCACAACTATCTTTCTAAATGGTTTCACACTGATGCAGTGAGGTGTTGTGATATGGAACAGAAACTTGCAGACTTCATAGCACTTGGTTTGACACCCTTGCATAGACCTGAAAGAAACTGTTGAGAAATTCTCGTCACATCTTGTTTTCTGCAGAAGACGCAGGTGAATGACTATTTATGGAGTCAATAATAATGTTAGCGGACGCTGGCTGGTTTCGCTCGAACTCATCATTCAACATCAGGAGGTCATTAGTTTGAAAATGTTGACGACGGCGACAGAAGTGAGGTTCATCAGTCACCACCAGAGCAAAAAGAAAAAGAGAGATTGAAATCAAGAGACTGAGAGTACATCTACTCTTCACAGAGGGCATTTGAAGAAGAAAAGAATTAAAAGCTCTCCCATGACTTTCCCTGCACTCCACCTCTCCTGTTGGTGTGTGTCTCCATTACTCACACCCTCTCGTCTTACTGCCTGTTGAGGGCGTACAGTATTCAATACATGCCTGCTGCACGATATTTTATTTTGTAGCCCAACCTCGATGACCCGGGGGCTCGGCTTCTCCTGTGTTATGGTGGTTTCCTCAATCAACCGTTGAGGGCTGCAGTTGGCTTAGCGTCAAGGTTTAGATGACATTTACCATGCTGGATGAGCCGCTATAGCTGTGACATTTACCCACAAACCAGTTTTACAGGAGCAGAATCAGCTCCTCCCTGATAGATGAAAGAACACCAAAGTAACGCTCATCGCATATGGATCAGACAGAAATGGGCTTGTGGTCAGTTTAATGTATTCTCTGGTGATTGAAAGGAAACCAATGAAAACCTCAAATATTCATGGACGATTTATGATTCGCATTAGTAATTCATAGACTTTTCCCCCGCATGTTCTAATAATAGCCTTGACTTTATTACAAAGTTTCTATTATTGTAAGCAGGTAATCTGTTCACCATTACATCCAACCCTTCAATTGCAGGTTATGAAACAATTATAAAGCTCTTTAGCTGATGTTCCACAAAGATGGAAAGTTTTAACGGGTTCTGCACAAAAACTATATATAGTCAAAATGTGTAGCATGTACACATTTGATACTGTCCAAGCAGACTTCCTGTACATTTGTGATGTAACCAGAACGGAGACATTACATGCAGGACAACTCTATGTGCACATCATTTCACTGAAACTGCATGAAGAAAGCATCTGAATTGACAGTCTTCTCTCCACGTTCTGCTCATTTTTTCACACTGCTTTCAGTCGGTAAATATGAAGCAGACTGTGAACCAGAGCCAAGGGCAGCCACTGCTCTCACACTCAGAAAACTATCCCTCCACACCTCCAGCGCTCCAGTGCTGCAGGCTCTCCTTCTGTCATTTGGCTCTGTCACTGAAAATAGCACTCCTAATAAATTGTGGAAACTGAGTGCACACCAAATGAGTCTAAACGAGCGGGGTAGGCTCCTTTGACCATCCCATTTTACCTGTTGAGAATTTTAGCTTAAGAGCTCGATACATACCTATTTGGTATTTTCTTCAAAAACTGAAAAACTCTCTGATTCTTGAGAGGGCAGCATGCATCCTGCAGCTTGACTGCAGATTTGTTCAGAGGTGTGGGCTGGCAGACATAGCAGAGGAGATGTGAGCAAATTCAGGTGGTAATAAGACAGAAATTGAGGGGTAGAAATAAGATGGAGCTGTGTGGGTTGGCCCTGCACCAGAAGGCAGGCTATTGATATAAAACTAATCATACTTTAAAGGCACGATGAGTCAGATTCCCTTAAAAACTATAATTCAGACTCATAGAAAAATAATCCCTCTCAATCATCTCTCATGACTCACTTGATGTGCATGACACTTTCTTCATCTGCCCTTATTTCCTAATTTTGCTAAAATTTTACCAGCAGTATGTGCTGAGTCCACTTTGCAAAATTGAAACATTACTTTCTCCATGTGACACCTCTGAGGACTGGTATACATTAAACATCTGTATAAATATGATGCGATGTCAACTAACACTAACCGGTGAATGAGTTATGACGCACAACCAAAGATAACAAACTCTGTGCTTACACTGTACGGTCTGATTGTCAAGACTGACTTAAGTACTTACATGTTAAATCTGATCAGACCATTTATGATTATCACTAAAGATCCTTTTGAAAACTCCCCAAGATGGATGTTAAAGTTAAAAGATACAACTTCAATAATCAAGTTTGATTTCTGACACATCAAAAAATAGAAAATAAAAAATTCTAATCTTCATAACTGTAGATTCATGGTAGAGCTGTTGTGTTGGATTGCATTAGATTACAGGTGATAATAAAGCTATTACTGATTGGTGCACACCTTTCAGTTACCTACACCATGTGGCATGGTGTTTTCAGAAATACAAATAAAATTTTGACCAACTGAGACCAAAAAGACCAAAGATGTCAGGTAATGTAAGAGGATAGAGAGGTAAAGGTCATTCCTCCCTTCTGCAATAAGACTTTACAACGAACTGTAATAGAACTGGACTCACACCACCACTTTTTTCTGGTACTTAAATTGTGTATATTGTATATAGTTTTATTTTATTTTATTTTATTTTATTTTATTTTATTCTCACCTTTTTCCTTTTTCTAAATTTTTTCTTAATTATTACATTTATTTAAGTTCTTAATATTACGATCTTTATTTTTATAACTGCATTTTGCACTACCTTTGTCTGTGATGCTGCTGTGGCAAAAAAAAAAAAAAATCCCCCATGGGGGATCAATAAAGGAATGTTCTATTCTAATATTCTATTCTAAAAGCATTAGAATCTAAAAAAAAGCAATTTAATGTGATAAAAGTAGTTGAGGCAGAAGAGATTAAAGAGTTAAAAATTAAAAAGAAGTTATTGAAAATTAAAAATTTATAAAAATAATGAAAGCCAAGAAGCAGTTAAAGCAATAAGAGTGAAATCTTAAACAACTAGGAGGGTCCTACCCAAGGCTAGTAGGCTATGAGCTTGCTCATGAGGAGTAAACTGTTTTAATGTGCAGCTTGGAGCCAGAACCCCTATGTGCCTGAAGAGTTGATGGAAAAGACACCAAGGCTGCTCTTGATTAGGATGGTGTAGCTTTCTGAACCAAATAATATCATATGTGATTTTGACTTATTTAGCTGAAGCAAGCTGCATGCCATCCAACAGCTGATCTTGCTGAGAAAATCTTTGAGAGTGGCTCGGCTCAGGATTTAGAGGAAGACATATCTGTCAATCATCTGCATAGCAAAGAAAAGAGACTTTATGGATCATTTGGCCCATTGGCAGTATACAAGAGTGTAAAGGATAAAAGCTCGGGTCGGAAACTTTGGATAGATCAATAAGAGCGAGCTAGGTTATGAAAGTTTTCAAATTGGAAAAAAAATCCAAACCAGCTCATCCAAACACACATGAGCCCAGCAACACTAACAGTGTGGATGAACTACTGAAGACTATGAATGGGGATCAAGACCCAGTTCCATTAAAAACCTGATACTGCATGTTTTAAAACCCGAAAATCAACAATTATGGAGAAGATTCATTCTGCTATCAAGTCTTGTAAGTCTCAGAAGCAAACACAACCTTCTGTGCTGATGTGGCCAAGCACATTCAAGGTCAGGTCAGTAAAATAAGAATTGAACAAAAGTACATGATATGTTATCATGATGGAGCGTGAGATTTCCAGATGGATTGGTGCCATGTCAGTGTTACTATGAACCATTGCTCATATGCAAAAGAGTCAGTTAAGGCGGTTTATGTGTTTGATAAGGATGCCTCCCTTCAGAGCTGTACCAGGCACTTCCAACCTAGAGGAGAGCCTTGGGTAGACCCCAGAGCTTGCTGGAGCGATTTTATATCCTATCTGGCCTGGGAAAGCCTTGGGATCCTGCAGGAGCTATAAAATGTTGCTGCAGCAAGGGAGATCTGAGTAGACTTGCAAAGACTGCTTCCATCACAAACTAATCCTTGATAGGGGGAAGAAAGCTGATGGATGGATCAAGATAACTAGAGATAACAGTTGCCAAAAGAAAGGAAAGAGGCAAAAAGAAAACTGTTGTTTGTTTGGCTGTCTTTTGTTTTCAGTGAAATCATTTCAGAGAGCAGCATTTAGATTAAAAAAAAAATTCTCTGGGCATCATTTTGAGCAATTAATGCAGGTAACGTGTAGGTCAGGTAATGGCTCAATCTGACTCAGTGCAGCGCACATCAGCAGCTATTTGAAACTCTGGCCTGCAGGAAGCGGTGAATGTGCTGAGCGTGTTATCAGTGTGTCCAGCACACAGGAGAGCTAATTTTCTTTGATTAGGCAGGAGCCAGAATAACATGTTTCATTAGGCGAGAAGAGGAGAGAGACAGAGAGAGACAGACTCAGCAATAAAGAAGAGAGTGAAGGTCTCCGTCTCTTTCCAGTCATAGGTCTGCACGTCTTCATTGTGCTTATGCAGATGTATGTGCACTCACATTCAAGCACGGACACAAATTAAACACTTGACGCTGCTGTCATTCGCAGGCCTGTTCTTGTGAAGAAGCCCTGATGTTCTGTCAGGAGAGCAGAAGCAGCCATATTAGATGTTACCACTTTTTGTGCGCATAGGAGTGTGAGACAGATGGTGATGCCTCATATTGATAGACAGAAGACTGAGTGTGTATGTGAGAGAGAAAGAGAGAGGGAAAGGCAGGCTGACTTTTGCTGACTGAGCTGAGCCCATTATTCAGCCTGTGTGTTGTACAAACACACTTTCAAAGAAGAGATAAAAGCATTAAATCAGTGGACATGTTCTGCTCCTTTCTATATATTCACATTCCATGCAGATTGCAGACTATCAGATTTAGTAGGTTTGTTCTTCAGACAGATGCTATCAAGTCCAGGAAGGGATAAGTGCATTATGTTGTGTGCATTTGAAGCGTTTTTTTATGCCAAAAGTCATCTGGGTGGGATGGCTTAGGGTGCTTAAAAGGGTATCATGCTTATTTTACATGTATGACAAAAAATGCAAAGTTACAATACTTGGTGTCCATACTAAACATATTTGTCATAACCCAAAAAGACACATGTAAACTGCTCAAATCTTGGACAAATGAGACTGTAGTTTATGTGTGAGATTTACTTTCAGTCTGATGTAAGAATTATAGACTCTCCTTACTAGTTCATCTGTGCATTAAGCAAAGCTGAACAGCCTGCCTCCAACAGCGTGTGAGGTGACACCCATAGCAACCACACACATAACGTACACCAGTGGCGGCTGCTCATCTTTCAAGAAGGGGAAGCAAATTTTTTTTCCTGACCTACATCATAAATGTGTTTGTTTATTTATATGTATATTCTACCCTCTGTTCCTTTTCAAGAAAAATGATCCGTGACCCTGTCCTACCAACTAGACAACTGCCAAACCCAACGCTAGTTGTATTTAACAAAGACAAAGTCGGTGGGGATCGGTAAAGTCTCTGGATCAGTTTAGAACAGTGGAATGAAAAATGCTCCAGTGGATGTTTGTACTTTTAGATCCCTGATTTACTCATTTCGCTGTCAATCAAAAAAGGATTCCATCTCAAACAGATCATCCAGTCATCATGCAGAAGCCGAGCATCTGGGCCAGCCCACTGCCCCATAGACCCCCAGAGATGGTGAGTGTCGGATGGGCGGGATAAAGCCCAGCATTTATCAGACGACTGTCAAGTTTCGCGCAGTCGAACAACCCACTCTACGCTTCCCCATTGAAGTCAGTAATGAGAAGGAAATCGAACTTTGCCCTTGGTCAGCTTCTGGAAAGGTAGCCAATCAGAGGAAAGTGGGCTTGTGGAGGGGGAGGGGCCTTAAAGAGACAACAGCTAAAACTAAGTGTTTTAGACATAGGTTGAAATAATGATATATTAGTACACCACTGTGAGAAATTTGAGAGTTTTTTATCTGAAAAATCATGTAAAGCTTAAGGAACATAAGGAGACAGTCTCACACTTTGGCTTGACGAACACTGAGATCCGGATGCACACGATGCATTTGAGCAGTTTTTTTAATGAAAGTAAACTGACGTTTCAACACTGCAGGTATCTCTCTTCAGTACTATTAAAGAGGAATCAGTAAGGATAGAGTCTGTAAGAAATGCATAATAACACCCCTTTAAAATAAAAACTGGACGATTCAACTGTGACTTTTACAAAATGAAACGTACAGATGGCATAAACACCACTTTTGACGCTCAAGATTCAAAGCAGTTTTTCATGCATTTCTATGACTTGAAAATGTCATCAGGTATGAGTCATGCATATGTGGCTGTCTTTGCTGCGATGTTGTGGCGTTTTTCTTAAGCTTTGTACTTTTAATTGAAAGCAGATGGAGAGGAAATGGACAGAAATAAATCAAAGAAAACAAAATTCAGAGGAGAGGGAAAAGGGTAAAGGTCAAGGGAATGTGCCTAAAGGAATGAATACACTGCGGATGTTGCCTCAAAGAAGTGGGAGTAAAGTGAATAAATGGAAAAGAGATAAAAGATGAAGCAGTACATTTTTTGAGTTTTTTTCCAGGAAACATTGTTTTGTAGTGTTGGTGTTTTTTCAGGGGATTAACACTCAAGTGTGTTTGGCTGCATGTGCCTGTACAACTGTGTCAATAAAGTAAGGGGGTGTGCATGTGTGTGATGTGATGTGCTTCCTGGGGATGTGGTACACATGGCTGCCTTTAATCCTCAGGATTCAGACGCAGCAGGTAACCAGTTAAAAAGTGTTGTGTCTAAGCAGGGGGTGAGGCACAGATAACAGAGAGAGCTGATAACGGTGACTTTACAGGATATGATCCAGTGAAGCTGCTAATGGCTGAGAGATAGACAGGCAGGCTGTGGGCTGCAGAATACTTTATACTCTGGTATACTTTAGACTGTGTCTTGTACACTGAAGAGTTTTCCCTCAGCTCGCAAATGTACAGAAGAGGAAATGGTGCATAATAACACTTAGCTGATTGAGTAACGTATGAGTAAAGTAGTAGTTGAGTAAGACAGTGTGAGCCAAGTAGCTGGAAGACTTTCACTGGGAACAACAGTGGAGACTAGTCTAGTTAAGTGCACAGTCTTCTCAAGAGAGCTGGGTCTTTAGCTGACTTTTGAAAGTAGGAAGGGACTCTGTGGACTGAATGTGTTGGGTAAATAATTCCACCATTTAGGGACAACAGAGGAAAAGAGTCGGGCTTGTGACTTAGGGGCCTGATGTGCTGGAAGAACCAGGTGCCTTTCTTTGGCCGGGTGTAGTGGGTGGGAAAGGGTGCAGACCTGAATGACAGTTCCAGTTAATCAGAAGCAGTTTTAGTTACTGCAACGATTAGAGTTTTGATTTTGTCTCAGCTGCAACTGGAAGCCAGTGTGTAGAGATGAACAGAGGAGTGACATGAGCTGTCTTGGGCTGGTTGAAGACCAGAAGTGCTGCTGCATTCTGGATCATTTGCAGAGGTTTAACTGTGCATGCAGGGATCCAGGTGCATCCAGGAGCTGTGTTGCATGTCCTGTCAGGTAGGGTCTGATCCTTTTGATGTTATAGAGAGCAAATTGACAGGACGGAGCAATCAAGGCCACATGAACCTTGAAGGTTAGCTTGTCATCAATCATGACACCCAGATTTCTGTTTGATCCAAACTTGATATTGATCTGCGGGCCCACTGTGGGAGTGGCTGGAATTACAATAAGCTCAGTCTTGGACAGGTTGAGTTGAAGGTGATGTTCCTTCACCCATTTAGAAATATCAGTAAGGCAGGATGAGAGTCAAGCTGAGACACTTGTGTTTTCTGGTGGAGAGGATGGGAAAAGCTGTGTGTCATAGCTTAAGCAGTGATAGGAAAAGCAGCGGGGGTGGATGATTGCACCAAGTGGGGTGCTGTGTATTGAGAAAAGGAGGGGACCAAGCACTGACCCTTGAGGCACCCCTGTTGATAAGCCATGAATATCGGACACTTCTCCCCGCCATGATACTCTAAACGATCTCTCTGTGAGGTATAATATGAACCAGACATGCCAACCCAGTGTTGTAGGCGTTCCATTCAAATAAAATAAAGATATTCATGCGTCAGCAGCAATCAGCAAATCATTTAACACTTGAAGTTTGGTTGTCGTTCTGTGTTTCGTCCTAAAACCAGACTGGAACTTCTCAAAGGGCTCATCGTTATTTGAAAAAGAAACAACTTGTTCAGCCACGAACTTTTCAAGAAAAAAGCTGTTGACCAGCAACAAAATTACAGAAAAGTCAACTCCCTCAAGTTCCACCACACTGAATAACAACATGTTTGCACTCAAAATAAAGACTTAAGTAGACAATTTAGATGAGATACTCTAAAATCTTAATTGATGCTTATTTGTAACACAGAGTTTAAAATATCTATGTGTAACACAGCCAGCATGAGAGTTGCGTAAATCTGTGTTTGACTTTTTTTCTGGTCTTAAAAGAGGAAAGGGAATCTGTATGCCAGGCTTCAGGATTCCCACTAGGTGAACTTTATGGACTCGTCCTCTGTGCCTGTGATCACTGATATAAAACCTACCCTCTGAGCTTTGAGTTCACCATATGTCAACCCCTAAATGTTCCCGGTGTCTGATTTTTACTCCATCTTTTCATGGACTGAGATGAACCAGACCTCACAGTGCAAGTCAGGTTTGCCAGATTTGGCATTTTCTCCACTGAGTTCGGCCCCTTTTTGGTTATGAAGTTGGACAAATATTGTTTTTTATCTTGCGGGGCACGAAGTTCACTTGGTCTGGCAGGAAATGAAATGACGATGTGATCTAGACTATGATAAAAAAGCAACAACAACAACATAACAACTATGAAAAAAGCAGTGCTACGAGGGCTGGAACATTATTTGCAATACATTTAAAGATGGAAAATTGTTCTTTTTACATTCCATACAATTTTTCACTTTTGGCACACTATAGTTTCACCGCTGCAGCTGCCATTTACCTGATTCAAGCTGCTGCCATGATTTAAACTCGGGCCACTGTGCTTTTAATAAAACATTTCTCTTTAAAATGTCCAAGACAGCCGAAATGAAAAGTCAAAAGTGTTGAACACTGTGTTGAACAAAAGTAAAATATCTCCAAAGTACTCTACGTTTGAGCCACAACCTGCAGGCATAATAAATGTTCACCTATTAGGACTGAGTGTAGCTATATCACAAAAGCTGACAGATCACAGTTTTGGGGTGTTGGAATTACCCCCGACCTGTGGATGAACCACTCCGAAGCTGGTTTAGACCATATGCGTGTAGCAGTTCAAAATTTCTTTAAATGAATGAATGAATGTAAAAGTCAAGGGTACAAGAATATTTCCTTTTACTTATGTTTACACAGGTGACACATTTACCAGGAAAGTTGGGGGAAATTGTTTTTCTCACAGCACTCCTGGCTTGAGGCTGTTAAGATCAATAAAGAAAGTGAGACAGTATTGATCATGTTGTAGAGTAGATTGGCTACAACCTTAGACATATCTTCTGCTCCTTCGTTTTCTCGTTCCAGATGAGGACCACACACTGCGAATCCTGCTCTACTCACTCATCTTCTTCCTGAGTGTGGTTGGGAACCTGCTGATCATTGTGGTGCTGACGGTCAATAAGCGCATGCGTACCGTGACCAACTCCTTCCTGCTGTCGCTGGCTGTCAGTGACCTGATGATGGCCATCTTCTGCATGCCCTTCACCCTCATCCCCAGCATCCTTAAGGACTTCATCTTTGGAGCCACCATGTGTAAAATTGTCTCCTACCTCATGGGTGAGAGAAGGGGAGATGGGTGAGGGAAGGATGAGAGAGAGAAAGAGAGAAATTTTGATTTTTATGGAGATGTGAATTTCCTCTACTTGAGGATGCTCATTTGGACTAAATAAAAAAAAGAAGTGAATGGTGAGAGACAGACAGATTTTAAATGACACAAAATTAAACAGAAGAGTAACTAGTTTATGTAAGCAAAGTTTAATCTCATAGTGTCGTGAGAAACACTGAGAAAGAGATAAAAAGGGGGTTGCAGCTATACTGCTGAAGTTATATGATGATGACATGTATTGTAAAAAAGCACTTAGAGTGAGCAGATGACTAAAGAAAACACTATATGAACATGTTGACATAGTCCATTTACCACGTCTGTCAAGAGGCTACAGACAAAAGCTAGTGGTACTAGCATAACAGAAGACGGTGATCAAGGAGAACAGTTGCTTAGCAATGTGAAAGGTTAAAAATAACGACTCAATACTTACTGCAAAGAATTTCACATGTAGAGTTGGCCGAAAAGTCTACATTGTGAAGGAGTTTTTATGTAGGTCAGATATCTAGCTGTTCCTGCCTCATTTCCAGTCTTTACATGAAGCTAACTCAGCTTCTGGCTTTAGCTTTGGCTTTCCAGCATCAGCAAAGGGAGATAGTTTGAGGAAGCCATGAACATAAATCTGATTCTGTGCCGGTCAGGTTGAGTACAAGTTTGCTACTTGAGCAATTAATCATGAGTTTAATTATTTTAGAATATAAGAATTCACAAAAGATCAGAGACATTATGGTAAAAAATAAAAAAATAAAAAAGTGCTCTAGCAATGCCAGCATCATGCTCAACGTCACCTTTAAAAATATTGTTTGAAGCGCACAAGGTTAGAAAACTGAGGGAGCTTCAAGAGACGAAAAACCTCATTGAGTCTTCAAAGGCTCAATAAAAAGGCAGACAAACAAACTTCGATCTCCGGGAGTAATTCAGGTAATGGGATATTTTCATGCCCTCTTGAGCACAGAAATGAAATCCTTCAGAGGAGGACTGAAAGCAAATATAAAAATGGAGAGTGCATGAGTTCATGCTCAAAGATGGACCAGGCAAAAAAAACAGAGAAGGAAATAAAAAATGAGAATCAGTAAAGATTGAAATTGAGATTTAAAAAGATTATGATAAAAATTAGGTACAAACATGATTAGCAACAGCAGGAATGCTAAACCGGCCTTGGTAGAAGAGCAATTTTCGAATTGCATACAGAAGGTGGATTATGTGGAGCACATGGCCTTTAGAGGAAGGAGAGGCTTCATCTGAATGCACTGAGGAACAGAGGACAGACCCAGGGGAGACACTGATGGCTGATTGTACTCTGCTTCAGTTGAATCTTCTCTAAAGCTGCTCTCCAAGGTACAGACAACATGCTGTATCCCTGGGTTCTTTCTGTCTGTGTCTGTCTCTTTCTCTCTGACACACACATATACACAAACTCACAGGTTGTGTTATTGCTGAGGACACAAGAGAAGTAAAGAGTAATTTCCCGTCTTGCCCTGCCAGGAAGGAGAAAACAGATCACATCAGTGGTCTGGACCAACATGATTTCTTCTACCAGGACTGAGCCTCAGATAAGAATCCCCACCGCCCATATTTTCAATATGTTCATTTACAAGTTCATCTGCACAGACCTGCACATATTGTTCTCTGTTACAATTGCAGATATTACAAACACACCTCCAAACATGTTGGTCCGATTTAATACAGCTCCAAAATCTATTCAGAGCGCAGAGCTGTAATAACTTCTCATTCATTAAAAGAAGAGATATCCGCACACCGGCAGCAACATAGATGTTTACTTACTTTCTGAATCACCTGTTTTGTTTTCCAACAGGAATATCAGTGAGCATCTCCACGTTTAGCTTGGTTGCCATAGCAATAGAGCGCTACAGTGCCATCTGCAACCCCCTGAAGTCCCGGGTGTGGCAAACGCGTTCTCATGCCTACAAAGTGATCGCTTTAACATGGGTGCTGGCCTTCATCATCATGATCCCATATCCCATCATCAGTCACCTGGAGTCTTATCAGCGTCCTGACAACACCACAGCTCACCAGTGTCGTCACAAGTGGCCCGTCGCAAAGGCAGAGCAGACCTGGTGAGTGACTTGATTTGTCTTTGCCGCTTCTTTTAAAAAACAGCTGACTTAGTTTTGCTGATTCACTTCCTGTTAACGTAGACAATATTTTGAAATGACTTCTTTGCCCTTTTCCTGGACCCAAAAGATAATTAATGGCGGTATAAAGTGTGTTGTAGTAATCCCAGGATGAGACTGCAGGTTGCTCTCAACAGCAGGTTCAAAAAGTCACACTAGGACCCAGAGAGATACACACAAGATTGGCTCAAACTGTGACATGAAACTCCTTATTAGTGCAAATTTGTAATAAAAAAAGGAACATGACTTTGTTGCATTGCAACAGTGGAAGAGGGTTCTGGGGTGCTTTGAAGTGCCTTTAAAAGGCAGTTGATTTCAAACAGAGACCAAAATAAGAGTTTTTAAAGAAAACAATCTGAGATATAGAATTTTTGAGCTGTAAATCTTGTAAATGTACCAATAAAGCTATCAGGAGGACAATGTAAAGCCTGAAAATGAGCATTACTCTCCCTCTTTTAGGATCAGCAAATATTTACATGCAACCCAGCATGGTCTCATTAGTTTTGTTATTTTGAAGTACATACATCCTATCAATAGATTAAAAAATCACCAAATCAAAAGAAGGAAAAAGACCAATCAGTGAGCACCTCCAAACGACATTCCTACACGCACAATCCCCTCAGTATGAGTTAAAATAAATGTTTCTTCTAATAATCCTCGAAATCAGCAATTTAGTTTAAGCTGATTCAATCAGATTCTGGCCTGTGGGTAGATTCTCTTTGTTTGAATGACATAAAAACCCTTGTGTAGAGTTGGATATTTATCCATACAGCTACTCTAGCTGTTTTTCTTTTCTCTGATTGAAAGCTTGCAATATTTCCAGAGTTACCAAACACGCAACGGCACATGAACTGCAGTTAAACACAACGCTTGAGATCAGACCATTTATCTTTCTTACCTTTGCACTGCTTGCTGTCTGTGCATTGAGCTGTTTTGTATCAAAAACACTTAAGATGAACTGAGTCTGACCTGCGTGTGCACATACTTAAGTGGAGCTACACTGTGGAGTGTCTCATTTATTACCATGTTTGGCTCTGGAGCCTGTTCTTATAAAGTCTCTTTTGTGGAAACCTTTTGGCAGATGTAGCGACAGGGAAGATGTTTTTGCTTGGGGACTGAGGGAGCAGGCTTTGGGGTCATTTCAGGCAGCACAGTGTATGTACAGTATGTGTGTTTTTTCAGTTGAAACTAATAATTTATCATGAATGTATTATTCCTGTTTGCCTGACTCAAGATTGTTAGTAAGTGGAATGTAAATTGGCTGTATTCAGTGCCTTCTCTAGTTTTTTTTAACCTATTAAAGCACTTGTATGTCACATTCACCCATTCACACCACATTTATACACTGATGCAAAAGAGGCTGCAATCCATGTAAAGCGCCCACATTATAATTTTGATTGGTACTGCAAAATTTAAGCAAGGGCATTCTGGGGAAAAGTGGAACTGCTTGTGAAATACAGCTATGTGACCTGGAAAAACACGGATATTTGAGATATTTGAGGTTTATGGAGATATTTTCAAAACAAATGAGCATTTTTGCTGCATGATATTACGTTTTATTCAAATATCAGCTTATGCATAGACTTTCAGCTCCTATGTGCAGGTAAATGTTGCACATGAATACCTGCATGCACGCATGAATGTTCATTTATTCACCTCTCACATGTGTCCTTTTAGGTACATTCTGCTCCTGCTTGTGCTATTTGCAATCCCCGGGGTGGTGATGATTGTAGCCTACGGACTCATATCCAGGGAGCTCTACAGAGGCATACGGTTTGAGATGGGCCACAAAAAAGACTCAACTGGTAAGCACCAAATACAGAAAACTGGAGGTGGAAATATCATGCAGTACAAGCTAAATTAGATTGGACTTTCGGGGATTTCAAACTTTTTCACACAACTTGAAAGGGTATCAACCATCACTTATATCCACATGCTGGTGGTCATGACAATTAAGAGTGAAAAAGGTCAGTCAGATCCAAAGTAGTGAACATATAAAAGAGAATCCTCTGATTAAATGAACGTTTTAATTCCTCTGAACCTCTTCTCAATGAAACCAGCCTTTTAATAAAAGAGTTTCCATAAATTTTTGATGTTAAAACTTTGTGTTTTACCTCACAGATTCATTGACATTGTCGTACGAGTATAAGCTTGAAGTATTGTGATAATCCCACGTCTTTGACATTTGTGATTTGTTATTCCAATAAATGAGAAGTGATATAAATATAACAAAAGTCGCAAAAGAAGCATAAATTAATTTAGACTTTAATAATGTTTTAATGAAAATACAGTTTAATTGTTAGTCAAATCATATCTCTCCCAATAAAAGCCATTTCATTCAGCACCTACCAGGCAGGCTTAATCGTTTTTCTGATGATTTATGCAAATGGAGAGGAATTTTATTAAAAAGAAAAACATTTTCATTAACGCTACAATCATTGTAATGTGCGCAGGCTAAGTGAAACATAACCTTTTGTGACCAGATGATAGTCTGTCTAAGCTGACAGCAGCATACAGTGTGTTTGAGTGTGTTTGCTCCATTAGAGGATGGGATTGGCCGGCAGCTGCAGGCCCGGACATCACCATCTGTTTGGTTTCAGAAAGAAAAAGGTTGCCTAAATCATAAAAAAGAGAGCCCGGAGACAAAGAGCTTGGAGTAGGAAAAAAAGGAAATGAAGAATGGAGAAGAATAAATAACTTCTATTATAACCTCTGGGAAAATGTGTTTTCTTTCCAGGTTTTGCAAATTGCCTACATTCACTTCCTCTACAGTACAGGATCCTGTGTGTATTTTATCTTGGAGCTCTTATTAAGGTTGTTAGAATACTATGAAGAAGGGAGACAGACCATTAATTTTCTCAATAAATAAAAAATGTCCCCTGACATGATTGATGTGGTTTAGCAAGAATTACAAGTTACTTTTCCTTCAAAGTGAGCTGCTTTTTTTATCAAGGGCTATGATTGATTCCAAACAAACCTGAACATACACACACATATCTTTGAAACTATTGTATTATTTTAAAAAGATTTAGAGGCTGTAGGGTGATTTCCCTGGCCATATATTTTTTCAATACAGTGGCAAAGGTATTGTTATTATTATAATTAATAAGTTATAGCATTACTTATGTACTTTGCTTGACAGGAACAAAAAAGTAGTGTTAATTATGCGCGGTACAACCAAAACAAAGGCATAAAAATATTGTGTTATTTTTAAAGGAGCTTTATCCTGAGTCAAGTATTAGCATTGATGGCAGTTTTCTTTGACTTTATAATGGATTAGCACCATGCCTCTGTGTTCCTCCTATAGTGAGACATGAACTTGTTTGATCCTGTCCAAGGGTTCAGACACATTGTGCTGCATTGCACCTGGCTGGTGGAGTCACAGGGTTGGTGCATTTGACTAACTAAGTGTCAAAGATCCCTCCACAGTCCACAACAGAACAGCCTTGGGTTTGAAGCAGACACTTACGGTTACAGACACACCAACATGTGTCGGTGTTTGCTACGTTTTCTCTTCCTGTCCCTCTACGGCTCTGCTGATTTGGTTGAGAACACTTCATGAGCTGTATTTTCAACAGAGCTGTCACTGAATTGTATAATGACAACAGATGACAAGGAAAAAAAAACTGCACTTTGAACTATTATAACTATTGTAATGTAATTATTGATTTTATATGTCATCCATCTGTTCATATGTGTGAGATGGGTTTTAAGACTTTTACTGCAACCAGTCAGTAGGGGGAGCTCTAAGACTTATAGCTCCACAGTCTGTGAACACTTATAGAGGCCGTTTTGCTACACAGTCTGTTATTTTGTGTAACTACATCCTCCGGTGGGAAAAACTTCTGGGTTGTGCTGATTTGGCCACTCCTGAGATAAAGTGGTGTCTACTGACCTTGTCCTACATGCAACAAAACAAAACAAAACAAAATAACAATCAAAAAACCCACATCCTGCTTCTATTTAAGCATCAAACAAACCACCAATGGAGAAATGTTTGCTGTAGAAAAATGAGAACAGAGTTGTTTTGGAGGAGCGCTCACTTTGTTTGACACATCACAGCAATTTTGATGTAAAAACTATTGGCTCTGTGGTTCGCTCTTACCCCACATGTAGAGGCCAGAGTCAAAAAGGTGCAGTCCTGATCTAAGTCCACTTCATGCCTCTAATTTGCATGTCACTTTCTGTTCGTAGCTACCTTTTCTTACCACTGCTCTCTCTTTTAAAAGGAGCACAAAAAGTCTCTCATTGAGAAGTATGAAGTATGAGTACGGCCAGTTCTTGGGGTTAAAGTTCAAACTATAACTCTAAAGTGGGTGCTTTCACAACATTACTTCACAAAGCTCTTCATGTGTTTTGTCTTGCTCTCTCATACAGATGTAAAGAATGGCCTGACTACCGCCGTGTCTGCTGGCAGTGATGATGGGGACGGTTGCTATGTTAATGTCGTCCAGCGGCCGCACTCTATAGAGATGTCCAGCATGGCATCATCAGCCAGGGCGGCTAAGACCGACAGACCACGCAGCAACACATCCGAGGCCAAGCTGGAGGCCAAGAAGCGCGTCATCCGCATGCTGGTGGTCATTGTAGTTCTCTTCTTCTTCTGCTGGATGCCATTGTACTGTGCCAACACCTGGCGAGCTTTCGATGACCTCTCCGCCAAACGCGCCCTCTCAGGGGCACCCATCGCTTTCATCCATTTGATATGCTACACATCTGCCTGTGTCAACCCCATCATATACTGCTTCATGAACACACGGTTCCGCAAAGCTCTTCTCACCACTTTCTCATGCTGTGCTGTGCCCTGCCACCGACGACAACGGCGCCATGGGTTACGGGACAATGAGGAGGACGTCATGGCAACGGGAGCATCCATATCTAAGTTCAGTTACACTACAGTCAGCACTATGGGAACCTGCTGAGGCAGATAGATGCAGGCAGAATACAGGAGAGACAGTTACTACGGCAACACCGCTCCTCACATCCTTTGTCTTTAGGCCAACTCAAAGAAACAGAATGATGGAGTGAAAACAGGCTGTACAGTGTAGCAGTATAGAAGCTTCAGCCATAACTGTGAGTAGATTATGTGGAGATTATTCAAAGTAAACTTGTCTTACGATGTAAATACCTCCATAGTTGTAAAAAAAAAAAAAAAAGACAACAACACAGTTATCTCTTGTCAAAGTGGAAAAAGGCATCTTGTTCTCACAGTAGAGTGTGCGTTTGTGTGCACTGAGTCGTGGTGGGCTGTGTGATATATCAGGGGGTAGTACAACAGCTTTGTAGTTATTTTATAGCGAAAAAAAGGGACATTTCACATGTCATTTCAAGCGTGTGAAACTTTTTGCAGCCAGGCGTGTATCCGTGTGAATGACAGTAATTCAGTTGCCTTGTGCACTAAGTGCCTGGTTCAAAAAACTTTATGCTTTTGCTGTTTGCCTCATTCATCATGAGCACCAAGTGAAAGTGGTATTGTAGAATGAGAGATTTGGGAGTCAGACCTGTAGATCTGGTGATCAAACTAAAATCATTCTTGAAAGGTAGGAGGTTTTTTTATGTTGATGCAGATCAAGGGGCAGGTTGCCAGTTGTGCATTGCTTTGCAGTCGAGAACAAACAGCTTGGAAGGGCAGCAGTGAAGCCTTTTGTTGTGGTTGTCAACTCAGTGCAAGACATTTTTGTGTGGGAACGCAACATACAGTATGTACACAGGTATCCTGTCAAGAGTGTTTTATTTAAAAGATTGTATAGGAGTCCTCACAAGGGGTGCAGCAGCACACAAAAATCATGGTTTAGGTACAGCATGTACCTCAGATTAAAGTGAGTTTGATTCACACAGTAAGGGAATAAAAAAAAGTAATTTCTTCTCCTTCTTGGGAAACTGAAAGAACTAACCCTTTACATGTTTTCTAAAGTGCAGCAATGACAGTTCAGGCTTGACGGCCGACTGTTATTGTACTGTGAGACGTTCTAATGAGCAGTTACAAAGAAACTAAATTCTTAAAACATCACATTTTCAAAGAATTCAACAGAAAGGCTGAGGCAGACACTAAGACCTTTGGGTTTATTACCACCTACTTTAGACTGGCCGGAGATTTAACCTGAAAACACATTGACAGTTCTGGAAATCCATGCGTCATTGTCAGTGCTAGAGCAGATAGCTGGGACAAGCCGTGCAGAACAGCAGCTTTGGCATGTTCATAAAGGTCTAGTTTGACTTTCTTGCTGAAATACAGATGAGATGGACTTTTATATTACAGATCAATCCCCTTTAACACTTGTTTAAACAACTAAGTATGGTCACAGGTCTGTCGCTGGAGAAATGCATATGTTACTTTATTGGCCTGCTTAGAAATTAGAGTAAAGACCTTTTAATACAAAAGTCAGCTGTGTTTGTACTTTGGCATCATTTCTACCTACTTGCAGTGATGTTTGTGTTTCTGTGGAGCTGTTTTAAATGCATACATGAGTTGGATGTGTTGACAGAAATGTACCTGAATTGCTACTGATAAATGTCTGCACACTACTCTTGTCATATCCATTTGTCTTTGTCCATTTTTGTTTTTCACTAGGGAACTTAAGTGTTCCCATGCAGGAGACCTTAATGAGGAATCTTCACGCACTTGCTTTTTATTTGTTGTGGCTGACATGGTGGGGCTAAAAGGAGGGATAAGGGAGTTCAGACTTTTGTTCCAAAATCACTCAGATTGGTCCGCCTAGGACCAAAAATCCTGTACCTTAATGGTCCAGTGAATACAAACACCTTTACACCTCCAGTCATTACATCAGTATTTTCCCAATCCTACCACTAATTGGCTATTATGGACCTTGGTTTACCCTCTAGAGATGATGGTCAGTGTTTTAGGGTTATATGCAGGTATCTTTTAATTAACAGCAAAAGTTTACAGCTTTAGTTTTATGGACAAATAAAACAATATCATAAAGTTGCTCCCTTTGTTGCGGCTTAGATGTTCGCTGCCCAAACAAGCGCACACAGCTCTCAAGTCAATCATCAGTGTTAAAATGATTGAAACCATCTTTTGTGTTGCTGATATCTGGTCGAGTTTACTGCTCAGAATTTACTGGCCTAAGGGTAAAAGCTCTGTGCCACACTCAAGACAGCTTGAATTGAACTGAAAGGTTTATCACCTGCCAAAGCATTAAAAAAAGAACTCACAACATTAACCATTTAGCATTATTCTAGCTTGCACTAACACAGCTCTTTAAAAGTCTTGAATGAGTTATTTTACATTGACAGTGTTACAATGCAAGTCGTGGAGAAAGGCTATTTTTCGAGGTATTTAAGAAGGAATGCATGCTTAGTGGTGAGAAAAAGAAATTATGATTCTAATTAAGCAAGAAAAATACTTTCTCTGAGGCTGTTTACATGTAACTGTGTTCAGCTAAAACAGTAAACTACTGTTGTGTGTTGGCAGTTCCTTCACATGGACAGAGCATTTTGGCTCAAACTTTACAGTAGCTTGTACAAACAGTAAATTATACTTCCATGATAACTTTGTTCCCATGTACAGATGGTTGCAAAGTTTACTGCAGCTTCTTAATGAGTTTAAAAGAGACAGCAGGAGGAAGAAGTTTACACAGGAAGAAGTTCAGTGACTGCTCAGTGACATGCGGTCTCTGTTGATTTCACCTGCAGGCTACAAAATGGCAGCTCAGTTTCAGAGGTCTCTGTTCATCAGACCCTGCCTGACTGCGGCTCCCCCTGCTCACACGGCACTAATTGTGTTACAACCTCAAACCCTGCCAGGCTGAAGGGATGAGCATATTTCACTGAGTGCAACAAAGCACAATGCTGTCAGTCTTACTGCTAATTGATGTATGGGCCGCTTTTGTGAGCATCTTTTTTTTTTTGGAAGATTTTGGTTTGGCCTGCAGCTTCTGGGCTTTATTGTGTGCACTGATCTCTTTGTGCTTCAGGAATAAATCAAAATGATGCATTACTGCAGGAAGCTTAACTACAGAGAGACTAAAGTTTTACAGCTGGTATCTCAATCTGTGTTATGCAAAATATGAAAAATATATCTCAGAAAGTTGACTTCACAACCCTGTAGTTAAAACACACATTATGTGCTTTCAATACAGCTTCCTGTAGTAAAAAGCACTGTTTACGTCTCCTCCAGAAGTATTTCCCACATCAAAATATTCTGTAGCACAGCCGTCTGTGTTGTTGTTTATGAGCGGCACTTGGGGCGAGCTGTGAGCGGCTGATTTCCCCGCGGTGTGACAGAGGCTCTTTGACGTTATGATTTGCGCTCCAATCCACCCCAACTCAGCCACATGCAACAAACACTCACTCACTCGTTCACACACGCATACACACAATATCAGAGAACTTAAGCTTTAACTGTTAATCATGAACTTGCCACAACTAATTACAGAACGATGTCAAATCAGAGAATAAGATTTGCCATGGAAAAAAACAGCTCGGTACGAAAATAACTGTGATGACAGATACACAGTAGGTAGCTGTTGGATCTCTAATTAGTATTCAACTTTTGTGTGTATAAATGTCAATGTGAACACAAATACTAAAGGTTAATGTAAATGTTCTCGGTTTATAAATGTCACATCTCTGATCATAGCACACAAGCTTCAAATTATAGGAAGCATATAGACTTAAATCAGATATGATGTAGGCAGGAAACGCTTCATACAAAGTCACACATTAAAGAAAGCCATGCATCAAAGAACCTGTCATGGTGGATGCATCATTTGTTCAGATGTGAGTTTGAATGTCAAGCTAAAGAAACATTTGCTTTGTACAGAGAGAATTCCCCCCTTACAGTTTGGATCAGTGTTGTAGTGTTAAAGTTTGTGAATCAAGACTTCAACAAGTTCTGATTTTTTAGGACTTAACTTGGACATACGCTGATTGCATTTATATTGAAGAGACGGAGAAGAGGACTCAGACTCATTTACAGATTGGACTCTTTTGGTTCTGGTAATTTTTTTGTTTTCGAGTTATTGCTGGAACATGTGTCTGCCTGAATAAAAGACTAGAGATGCATCTAGTCCAGGATGCCATCTGAAAAGTTTGTGAGAGTTGTTGATAAAGTTACCGTTAACAAGCTGCTGGCTAAAGCTAATGTTAGCCTCTGAAGTGACTTAGCCACAGGGTTGAAGATTAAAGGGTTGCAAGTATTTTTCAGTGCATAAACATGTTTAGTGAAAGCAGAATCAATCGGATCATTTCCCCATCAAAAGTGCTGTGGTGTGTATTTATAGTGCAGCAACTTTGGTGATACCAAAAATCTACAGAATCAAACACTCATAAAGGTAATGTCAGGGATACACACACCCAAAATATCCCACACATTTCACTTCAGGTTTATGCAGTGAGTGTTTAAACTGAAACAGTAGTTTTTTATAAATCTCCAGAATATGGGTACTTGACCAGGACTCAACTCAGACTCATCTTGGAATATTCCTAATTGACTTTAGACCTAAATGTGAGGGACTCGAGGCTTGACTTAGACTTAAGCCCAAGGCACCTGTACTAACCTAAAAATATTATAAAGAAGATTTTTAATTGTAATTCACATTAGTATCCTGATATAAGACATACCTCCCATTTCATGTGTAATAAAATATGTTAAATTGATATTTTCAAAATCTAACTTCACCCAAGTATTGGTACAAAAAACAGGGCACAGGTTTATTGATACTATAGAAAGCTGAATGGTTTGAATCTACTCAAAACTTCTGTTCAGTGATCAGGCTGTAAAGGTCACTCACTGAGAATAGAGGCAGAAAAACAGATTAATCTAGAGCTATTTATTTCTATGATATTCTCACATTTGACAATCTCAAAGTTCAATTTACCACCATCTACTTTGTAATAATAGGGTACCTCTTTAAGACAGACACCATGTACATCTAAGATATTTCAAAAACTGGAAAATCAAACCTAATGTTTTTGACATGATTAGACCTGTCATGATTGATAAAATGTGTATTTATACAATGAATTTAACTGAATTCTTCACATCCATACAGAGTGTTCATGTCAATCTTATACTCAGATGATGTTTCGAGAGATAACCATGTCTCAGGCCACACATTGGGGATACCAGAGAGTGATTACTAACGAGTGCTCTTCTCACTTTCACACAGGTAATCAATCACATTCAGTCAAGACAATGAGGTGGCCTTTAAAAGCAGACAAGCTCTCACTCATTCAGGTGATTGTAATGCCCCCGCAGCTCCCACCTCTCCATAAAGACTACAGACGATTACTGCTCAATGCACTGACTTCATTTACTAACAATAACATCCCTCCATCACCCACCTTCAGCATTATGAGTGCCCATAATGTCGGGGGTATCTCCATTGGACTGGCTGAAACTCTCACAGTTGTTAGGATTGTTGACTGCTCTAATGGGAAAGTGTTCATCCGATCAAAGTGAGGCCATTTGTTTCAATCAATGGTCTTCTAATCTTTCACAGAAATGCCACTAGCAAGTGAGGCAGGTGTGTTTAGAGGGAGTTGTGTTTGTGGTTGATAAGGACACTGTCAACAGGTGCCGCGGTCCCTGGAGAGGGAGGGATGGCAGTTGGTGCTGATCATTTACTTTGAGTAAAGCTGGTATTTGGGGAGCAAATTTGCCTGTGTGGGGTTCACAGTCATGCAGGTGCAATGATGACAATTCAGCTCAGTGGTGGCAACATGATAAAAAAGTGGACATCTGGATGACAAATAGAACTTGTGTGGCTTGATGCCAAATTAAGATAGTGAATTATCTACCTATTTGTGACTGTCAGTGCGAAGGTTAGTGATACCTTTGTGACATTTTTTCCCTGCTCCTTTTTCACTGATATATTTTTAGATGTTTTTTTTTTTTTAATTGACTTCCTTGTTGGTAATATTAAGCCACTTACCTGTCATTAATTGCCACAATTGCACCACTGTGTGTTGTGTCATATCCCACAAAGGACATTTTTTAGACAATCAATTCAGGCCATCATCATGCCCTGATGAGTCTGTCTCAGAAACAGTCTCTTGAAATACGCCAAGATGGAAATCTCCTCTTTCTGTGAGTTCTGAACGGTCATTGCTGCAGACCCAGTGCCAACTTTTACTTTTGGAAAAATGGAGCAAAAGTGAAAAAAAAATGCAGTTAGTGGAGGCTCCACTTGCCAAGGTAATGCATAGAGTTGTGGGGCCAAGTAGATGGATCATTAAGTGAGAAGGCCAGTTTCTGCATTGACAAAAATAAGGTAAAGTTAGCAGTTTCAAAATGGTCCAATCCTTACTCCAATCAGGATCTGTCTTGGCTGATATTTAGTGGAATATTGGGTTGACCCAAGTCTTGGGTTCTTTCTTAAAAGGTACCGTTCTCATACTTTTTCTGGTGACACATCGCTCTAATAGTGTGATTAAATTTCACCTGATCAGAAAAGCCTTGTCTGGATCAAATCATGATGAGCTACAAAATGCAATCTAGACTGTTAAAGCATTGTAGCAGTAGTACAGCGTTAAGACAACATATTGCTGGTGTTGTGGGCCTACAAAAATGCCAATTTACCATAGCAGCATCGAGAACTGACTTCTAGACTCTTGATGAATAAGGTATCCATTGAGGATTCCTGGGTGTTGATCCAACCTTGCACCTTTAATACATCTACTTACAGATCAAGACTCTGATTTCTACCACAACATAGGCTTCACTTTTTGATGAAAGAACCAGAAAAAACACAACGCATGCTTTTTTAAAACATGTATCTTTGAGGTGGAGCCAACAATACATAAGGGTTTGATAGTCTGTGTGCACATAATATGTTAGCAGCAGCATGAGTGATGTTGTAGTTTAGCTGATATGATGAAGATGTATTAATAACTTTGACAGTCATGATGAGATCTTCTGTATTTAGTTGGAGAGTAGAAATAATGGAGGGTGGAATATATTGATGGAGATTAAAGACTGTGTTTACTGAGAGTTATGACGAGCATCTGGCTATTGTTTCATTAGTGTTGATGTTTTCTGTCTCTGGGGTGGATTTTGGATTAGCGCAGCCATCTTTGTTGTGAATGTCAGACTCCAGAGCATGAAGACAAAAGCCTTTTAATGACATACACATACATTGATCGGGTCCATATCATTTGTGCCCTCTCTTGATCATTTGTAACACAAATAGTACTTAGAGTTGGACTGAAATCAGGTGTTCAAATGTGAAACTTTTGTATATTTGCTCGGTGACTTTCTGTGAAGGAAAGAGCCGATTTAGTGATTTAGTGATTTGTAACAGTGTGCCATGTTTCTGAGCAGCTTGTTAATGCCTGGGGCTCATAGGGGATGAACTGGGATAATGGGTTAGAGAAGCATCCAAGGGCACATTCAGATCTACTCCAATGGCCACGGTTGCGAGGCCACCACTGCCTTAAGTGTGTTTTGGGTGTACAGTACTTGTATGTATGTGTTCTTATGCATTTACTGTGTATACTTGAGTCACTGTTGTTTGAAGCAACATAAGAACTGAGGATAAAAAGCCTCTCCTGTGCTGTATTCCCATCCATGGATAGAGAATTGACATGATTAGACAACTCATTCAAGGTTGACTTTGCATCATCAGCCATTCATGAAGAGACGGGAGCAGAATAGAGCTTACCGTGACTATTGTCCTTTCTGAACTAAATTGAGAAAACTGTCCGTGAAAATTAGTCTATGTGGTTTCCTCAGCTTTTGTCTGTAAGTGTGTTTGTGCTGCTATGATGTTGTAAGGCCTTAGGTGTTTTGAAATGTATTGTTCTATGTTCTGGTTCATGTTATAGACACAGGAGGTTCAACGGATCTACCTCCCATGTGACAGAGCAGATTCATTGCTATAATGATTGTCTTTGCGGCCGCCAGTCTTCGCTTCTGACTTGTTAGACAGGTGAGATTTACTGTCTGCCAGCAGGAGGATCATCTGGATAACATTTGTATATTCTCAGTGTTAAAAGTGTGTGTGGGTGTGTTTGTTTGTTAGAGAGGAAGTAGGATCATGACTTAAAATTTGATCTTTGAGATTTATGCTGGCTGCGGGGGCTTAATAAAAAACTGATCCTTGTGTCTGACGGATGCTCATGTCGGTTTCCTGTCTGACACACACAGACACACACACACAGAGTTATAAATGTGTATGCATAGCTGGCTGAATATTCAGCTGGTGGAACTTTGCTTTTGCTTTTTGTAATGTTATTTTATGCCAATAAAGTCTTAATGTCAAATTACATGTCTCTTGGTGTTTTCTTTGACATTCTTTCAAAATAGACCGTGTTTTTTCTTCTA